ACTTTAACCGAAGAAAACTGCGACGCCAAAGCAGAAGAGATCGACGCTGACGTTATCCTCTGCGACTCAAAAGGGTAAAACCCATTTGTGGATGCATTTGGATTAGCCGTATCCTCCAAGTTTCCACCTCCCAAAGTCGGCTGCTGATGATGAGACGCCGATCTCCACTCATCAATACAGCTCATAAGCGAACCACCGGAGTTTCCCATGTGGATTGACCTCAAGTCTTGATTCAATCCTCCATAGTTCAACAAGCTCATGCTATTGTCTGTTTTTGTATTATCAGTGAGATCTCCGAGATGATGATTGTAGTTTGGATTCATTAGCCTCACCGGAGATAAAATCTGGCTTAAGATACTCTCTTGATTTCCTCCATAGTTTGAGGAGAGAATCGCGCTGATGGTGGATGCATTCCCTGAGGCAGCGGAGGAGAAGCTTGTGTTGTTGCTAGTGGCGGTGCTGTTATTGTTGCTGCTGCTTTTCGTACGCCTATTTCTCCGGCAGCCGCCGCCGACGGGGACGTTGCGGAGAGCACCGCCACGTGTCCAGTATCTCCGGCATGTTTTGCAGAAGTGCCGTGGCTGAGTGAGGCTGTAGTTGTTGAAGTAGCAGAACTTGGTGTTGGTGGATTCGCATCTTGGACATTTCAGTGCCGCTTCGGGCAGGGCTACGTTTGCTTGCCTTGCTCTGTCAACCATAGATCCTGCTCGGATTGAGCCGCCGCCTCCTCCTCCGCTCCCATTAGACTGTGTCTGCGGTTGTGGCTGGAGCTGAGGACGAAGACCATGACCCCCGTTTCCTGAGGTTCCTGCCCCGCCCTGATTATAATTGCTCGGAGGACCCTAAAATAATTTGACAATTAAACAAAAAAGAATGAGTTCTTGAAAGCGAACAAGTATATTCAAGAACATGCTAAGGAAGAAGATTTTTTGTATCTTTTCTTTTTCTTCCTTCGAACTAAGATTTACTCTTTTTGAGTTTAATTCTAAAATTAGATCATGCTGATTAAACAAGAAGAAATCTATTTGTTTCTTTTTTTTCTTGCTTTGAATTAAGTTTTCTCTCTTATATATGATTAAAAAAAATTAGAACATGTAATTGATAAGCAAGAATAAGAAGTGTGTATATATGGAACAGTAAAGGACTTACTTGTTGCCAGTTGGATGAATCAAGATAAGCTTGGATGGAGGAGAAAACCATGGTTATACTCTCTTTGTTTTTCTCTTTTGATTTTATTCTTCAAAATTCTTAAAGTAAAGTTATATTCTTTGTCTCTCTTTTTTTCTTGGTGGGTGATAGTAGAACTAGAGGAATCAGATCAAAGAAAACAAAGAGAATGAAGGGAGAGAGGAGAAGGTTGAGTGTGAGAATGAAGATGGCTAAAATTAAAAGTGGCCGGACCTTTATATATATTATGTCCATGTATATACGCTTATATATGTGTGTATACAATATATTTATTTTGGGGTTATAAGAAAATAATTGTCATATATGTAATTATTAGGGTTTGTGTTCCATATGGGGTGGGACTGACATGATTCTTTTTGTTTTCTTGCTTTACTTAGGGTTTAATTTTTTTATCACTAGTTTCATATGTATTAATGTGTAAGTGTAAGTATATTTTATCTTGTGCCTTGTGATGGTCATCTCATCTCGCTTCGAAGATCCACACATTAGACCGATCGAGATTCGTCAAAAAAAAATAAAATAAAAGACCGATCGAGATTTGTAGACCAAAGTTAACAACGTATAATTGTTATATTATTTATAAAAAAACGTAGTACCCTAGTTGAGTAATGATTTCTATAGATTAGAAAATTAGCTGCTTTAACAATTCAACAAACCTACTTTGGATCCTCATTACAATTGTTGTTATAAATTTCATGATGACAAAAAATATTATTGTTTAGTTATTAGTTAGAAAACAATTCAAAGACAGCGATGTAACTGAATTGGATGAAATCCTAGTGTAAAGTTAAACCTTGTCTCTTAAAAAAATGGCCACACTATGTCTTTGTGTATACTGATTCAACTAAAAAAACTGAGAATATATCGTTAACAGTGACTATATAGTTGGATATCTGTGTAGATTGATCCGAGTAGAATATATGGAGTGAATTTAGGAGACAAAGGTGTTATGTAGACCGAATTTCGAGGTGTTGCATAATGATTATAATAGGATCGTTGATCATATAATGATTTATGATAATTTGAAAATAAAGCAGAGGTAAGATTGAAAATAGGAAAAGTGGGTAAAATGGGTGCTTTGGTCGTTGGACGACAGCCGAAGCATCGCGACCGGTCCATCATGTTCCCTCTCTCTGCTTTGCTTTTTTTTTTTTTTTCTCTGCATGGCAATATCTCTCTCGTAGATGTGATTGATCCTCACGCTCCCTCGAACCGCGTGACTCTTACTCTCTCCACATCTCCCAATACGTTAATTCTTTCCATTTTCCGAGGTTTCTTTTCTAAGTTTTACCTACCACGCAAAAAACATTCCCTGGCCACAGACTTCGATAGATTTGATCAGGATTTATATACTTTTCAGTGGATTAAATGTAATGTATGGAGTTCTGATTTTTAGTTTATGTGGAATAGTTTGGCAAATAATGGCTATGATTTTGTAATCTATATATGGGATCCACAGTTTATCAAGTTTAAATCTTTTCTTTTGCTATTATTCTTCTATTCTTGTCCACATATTTTTGTTTTCTACTAATTCACCATCATGTTCACAAATACTGGCTATTAAAGCTGCAAAATGACGAATTCGTAGATAACAAAAATATGTGAATGTAATATAATAATATAAGTGGTCACACAATTATCAATAAAGTCAAAATTGCTTATATTGTGGGATACAATTTATAAGCTAAAACAACTTATATTATGGGACAGAGAAAGTATTATTTAAAAATAAACAATTAATTTATAGGTAAAAATAAGAGAGTTATCAAAAATTTGTTTTACAAAAAGAAGTATATAAACAAATTATAAGAAAAATATATGCGAAACATAAGAAAAATATATGTGAAACATAAGTAAAATATAATAAATATGAAATATTATCATATTTTGTTAATATATTATTTGTTTTTATAATTGATCTATTTTACAAGTGTGACCCAGTTAATAAGATTAGTGGTAATAAGATTAGTATTAGTGTGTGATCGATTATTCTCTCGAAACTCCCTCGCAAATGGAGCCCCACTTTGAACCATATCGCTGAAATTCTCAACCGTTAGATTCAAAGCGCGCTGCTGGAGAAGAGGATCCCAATGCGTGTAATGCAACTCATGGTTCACCGTCGTGTTCTGATAATCTTTGTTGTTGCACACAACCGTCTGAAAATAGCCTTCAGACGACAAAAGGAAGTTGGTGTAGTACATCAACAGCGTTCTTGGGAGATTGTCCCATCCCCAAATGCAGAACTCGAGGAGTTAGAGCTACGCTTGGTGATCCTATTAGAAAAAGTTCATTACACACATAAGAATGAATGAAGGAGAGGGAGAATGAAATAAGCAATGAGATTTGAGTGTTTTTTTCCATACCCATTAACTTAGAAAAATTCCATAAAGTTTAATTCTGCATATATTTTTGTTTTCCATAATTTAAAAACATTTTCATCATTGGATTATCTACGTAACATGTTCACAACATGAACTACAAGAGTGCAGTTTAAAAAAATAAAAGTATTGGTAACAAAATAATAAGCAATACAATTATTCTTTGAAAACTATATTTAAAATCTCTGTACAGTATATTTTTAAGTATCTCGTGGGATACTCTTTCAATAAGCATCAATTCCAACTCCTTTATCCGTAATATTTTCTTACATCATTTGTTGGATAAAATAAAACTCACATTAGGATAAACAAAATTCTTTAGACTAACGAGTACAGATATATTCCAAGAAAAATTAATGATTAGAAGAATAAAATCAATACTCAAGCGTTAGGCAACAAAGAAACTATTTACATTGCTTATCTCTAAAACTCTCATGATCAAGAAGCCTAACCATAAGCTTCTCAAGCCTCTTCCAACTCACCGTTGGCTTAACAACCTCCGGAGTCTTCAACCCAAATCCACCGTCGGTTTGACCAATCAGCAGCTCGGCGTCGATCTTATCAAGTATAAGATCATCCTCCCTAAACTCCCTCGCAAACGGAGCCCCGCTCTGGACCATATCGCGGAAATTCTCAACCGTTAGATTCAAGGCGCGCTGCTGGAGAAGAGGATCCCAATGCGTGTAATGCAAGTCATGGTTAACAGTAGTGTTCTGATAATCTTTATTGTTGCACACAACCGTCTGGAAATAGCCTTCTGACGACAAAAGGAAGTTGGTGTAGTACATCAACAGCGTTCTTGGAAGATTGTCCCATCCCCAAATGCAGAACTCGAGGAAAGATCTTGTTAGAGCTACGCTTGGTGATCCTATTAGAAAAGATTCATTACACACACAGAAATGAAGGAGAGGGTGAATGAAACAAGAAATGAGATTTGAGTGTTTTTTGTTTACCCATGAAGAGTTTGAATGAAGCAGGCAAAGATCTCCGTTCTTTAGCCCAAAAGACACCAGATTTCTTCAAATGGTAAAAGCCAGGATCGATTATGATTGGTCTTGCTCTTTGGTTCCTGCAAGGAAATGAACATTTTTGGAGCTGTTAGGCAAAAAGCAAGCAAAGATCTGTTTTGTGAATATAGAAACGGAGAACATTTCCAGGTAGGTATACATAATATTAGCTCCCTCACTCTTTCCAACCGATGTTGCTTGTGTGCTCGATGAAGTTCAGGTAACGTGGCAAGTATGAGAAGATATGCAAAACATCTGAAACTCCAAAAAAGGGGCCAAAAGTACAATAAGAATCAAAAAGTGGAACTGTGGAAGCCAAAACCAAAACTTAAACACATTCTTATGCTTCAAACTCAAGTCCAGTGTTCCAGAGGCTAGTTAAAGTCTATATATATGAGGTCTAGAGTCATTCATTGTAGTGGTAAGTAGTTAAACGAAGCAATGTTGTACTTAACTTTTATGTTTTTATGCATTTTATAGATAATATATACATGAAGCCGTTTATGACTTATGGGGAAATTTTTGTTTTTTGAGAGAATATTAGGTATGGTATGACACATGACATACACATACTACATCAGTTGTACTTGTATGTCTAGAAGACTAGAACGTGTCATACCATATCTAAAATTCTCTCAAAAATAAATCTTTCCCCATAAGGCCATCATAAGTCATAACGGCTTCATGTTTATAAAACTGCATAAACCATATACAAGTGAAGCACAACAATGCTTAGTTGAATTAAGTACCATTTCTATTAATGACTCTATATTTCATAGAATTCCGTTGAAGGAAATGTCAAACAGAGAGATTTGATTAGTTAGGGCTTAAACAAGAGAAATGAATGTTGAGGTTAACTTAGGTTAAGGGATGTTCAAAAGCATTGAGATTTCAGTTATACGAGCATTAATTCTCCCTATTCAATTCAATATTGTCTACAAGAGAAGCCTAAGCCAATACACATAACAGAATCCTAAGTTCATATTAATTTGATTTTGGATTGCAGAACATTAATTCAACTACAAGTGAGTTTCCTCAATCTGGAGTCACAGAGGTACATTTCGGACTCCTTACCTCTTCCGGTTCCCAAATTAGGTCCATTTGATGTTCCTCCCTTGGATTGAGACCGTTTCACTCATGTTTGTCCTCATAGTCATGTGGAGAACCTATTAATCCATGTTTGGGTAAGTATGGGTCCATCTAGTTCATCTTATACACTACAAGTGAGTTTCCTCAATCTGGAGTCACAGAGGTACATTTCGGACTCCTTACCTCTTCCGGTTCCCAAATTAGGTCCATTTGATGTTCCTCCCTTGGATTGAGACCGTTTCACTCATGTTTGTCCTCATAGTCATGTGTAGAACCTATTAATCCATGTTTGGATAAGTATGGGTCCATCTAGTTCATCTTATACACTACAAGTGAGTTTCCACAATGTGGAGTCACAGAGGTACATTTCGGACTCCTTACCTCTTCCGGTTCCCAAATTAGGTCCATTTGATGTTCCTCCCTTGGATTGAGACCGTTTCACTCATGTTTGTCCTCATAGTCATGTGTAGAACCTATTAATCCATGTTTGGTAAGTATGGGTCCATCTAGTTCATCTTATACACTACAAGTGAGTTTCCACAATGTGGAGTCACAGAGGTACATTTCGGACTCCTTACCTCTTCCGGTTCCCAAATTAGGTCCATTTGATGTTCCTCCCTTGGATTGAGACCGTTTCACTCATGTTTGTCCTCATAGTCATGTGTAGAACCTATTAATCCATGTTTGGGTAAGTATGGGTCCATCTAGTTCATCTTATACACAACCAGTGAGTTTCCACAATGTGGAGGCACAGAGGTACATTTCGGACTCCTTACCTCTTCCGGTTCCCAAATTTGTCCATTTGATGTTCCTCCCTTGGATTGAGACCGTTTCACTCATGTTTGTCCTCATAGTCATGTGTAGAACCTATTAATCCATGTTTGGGTAAGTATGGGTCCATCTAGTTCATCTTATACACTACAAGTGAGTTTCCACAATGTGGAGTCACAGAGGTACATTTCGGACTCCTTACCTCTTCCGGTTCCCAAATTTAGGTCCATTTGATGTTCCTCCCTTGGATTGAGACCGTTTCACTCATGTTTGTCCTCATAGTCATGTGTAGAACCTATTAATCCATGTTTGGGTAAGTATGGGTCCATCTAGTTCATCTTATACACTACAAGTGAGTTTCCACAATGTGGAGTCACAGAGGTACATTTCGGACTCCTTACCTCTTCCGGTTCCCAAATTTGGTCCATTTGATGTTCCTCCCTTGGATTGAGACCGTTTCACTCATGTTTGTCCTCATAGTCATGTGAGAACCTATTAATCCATGTTTGGTAAGTATGGGTCCATCTAGTTCATCTTATACACTACAAGTGAGTTTCCACAATGTGGAGTCACAGAGGTACATTTCGGACTCCTTACCTCTTCCGGTTCCCAAATTGGTCCATTTGATGTTCCTCCCTTGGATTGAGACCGTTTCACTCATGTTTGTCCTCATAGTCATGTGTAGAACCTATTAATCCATGTTTGGTAAGTATGGGTCCATCTAGTTCATCTTATACACTACAAGTGAGTTTCCACAATGTGGAGTCACAGAGGTACATTTCGGACTCCTTACCTCTTCCGGTTCCCAAATTTGGTCCATTTGATGTTCCTCCCTTGGATTGAGACCGTTTCACTCATGTTTGTCCTCATAGTCATGTGTAGAACCTATTAATCCATGTTTGGGTAAGTATGGGTCCATCTAGTTCATCTTATACACTACAAGTGAGTTTCCACAATGTGGAGTCACAGAGGTACATTTCGGACTCCTTACCTCTTCCGGTTCCCAAATTTGGTCCATTTGATGTTCCTCCCTTGGATTGAGACCGTTTCACTCATGTTTGTCCTCATAGTCATGTGTAGAACCTATTAATCCATGTTTGGGTAAGTATGGGTCCATCTAGTTCATCTTATACACTACAAGTGAGTTTCCACAATGTGGAGTCACAGAGGTACATTTCGGACTCCTTACCTCTTCCGGTTCCCAAATTGGTCCATTTGATGTTCCTCCCTTGGATTGAGACCGTTTCACTCATGTTTGTCCTCATAGTCATGTGTAGAACCTATTAATCCATGTTTGGTAAGTATGGGTCCATCTAGTTCATCTTATACACTACAAGTGAGTTTCCACAATGTGGAGTCACAGAGGTACATTTCGGACTCCTTACCTCTTCCGGTTCCCAAATTTGGTCCATTTGATGTTCCTCCCTTGGATTGAGACCGTTTCACTCATGTTTGTCCTCATAGTCATGTGTAGAACCTATTAATCCATGTTTGGGTAAGTATGGGTCCATCTAGTTCATCTTATACACTACAAGTGAGTTTCCACAATGTGGAGTCACAGAGGTACATTTCGGACTCCTTACCTCTTCCGGTTCCCAAATTTGGTCCATTTGATGTTCCTCCCTTGGATTGAGACCGTTTCACTCATGTTTGTCCTCATAGTCATGTGTAGAAGCTATTAATCCATGTTTGGTAAGTATGGGTCCATCTAGTTCATCTTATACACTACAAGTGAGTTTCCACAATGTGGAGTCACAGAGGTACATTTCGGACTCCTTACCTCTTCCGGTTCCCAAATTAGGTCCATTTGATGTTCCTCCCTTGGATTGAGACCGTTTCACTCATGTTTGTCCTCATAGTCATGTGGAGAACCTATTAATCCATGTTTGGTAAGTATGGGTCCATCTAGTTCATTTATACACTACAAGTGAGTTTCCACAATGTGGAGGCACAGAGGTACATTTTTGACTCAACTCTACTTATTGCAGAAAGAGAGATGCATGGTGACATACAGCCCCACCAAGGGCAAAGTATATGCACTTCTCAAGAATCAGGCAAACTTAGATGACATTCTCAAAGCGGCATTTCATGTACAAATGATTTTCAATCCCTGTCATATATATCTCTAATTCTGTAGAGATGAATCAAGTATAGCCTAAAGTTTCTCGTTCGGTTTCATGATAACATCACAGGCACATGTGCTTCTTCATTTCATGAATCATTCAAAAGTTAATACCCTATAATCAGTGAAACAACCGGATCCTGATTTTGCTCCTGTGGTACATGAGCTCGAGTCTCAATTTGCTGAGTCGTGTGAAATGGTTTCTACCTCATATGGCGTATTCAAAAGCAGGGCTGCAGAGCAGGTAACTTTGCAGAAATCTGTGTATATCATATGGTTTCGTTATGTATACAAATGATGATTTGGTAAGATGGTAAAGGAGTTTCCACTTTTGCTAGGGTTGCAGAATGTCAGAATCTCTGCTTAATCCTGGACGGGCTAGGTTATGTAATGCGCATGAAGAGGTGGAGTAAACTATTATATGTTAGAGCAGAAATTAGCACAATTTCCCTGAGCCCGTCACAATTAATAATACTATGTAAGTCCGGCCCGCTTCCACTTCCACGGCCTCAAAGAAAAGGAAGTACTTGGAGAAAAAGACTACATCCAAGAAAAATAGAAGGAGATCAACGCCAAAGAAGAATATTTCCAAAAGAAATATGGAAGAATATCTTGAAGAAGCCAACCTCCTCTCCATATAAATAGAAGACCCCCTATTCCTTGAAGATCATCCACAATAATTCAGAATCATCCACAAGCATCCAGAAATATTCAGAAAACCCTAGTCATAATTCGTCCTTTGTTCTTAGCTTCTCTATTCTTTTCGTATTCGTCTCGTCAAGCCTTATCGTCGAGACGAATCACCCCTTGTATCATCTTTGTCTTTGGTTGATCTAATAAAGAGTCTCTCTTAAACCTCACATCTCTTATCTTACTATTACTGTGTGATTTTGAGATTCAACATTATATGCTCTGATAATAAATTTCACTTCACACGATAAATTTTGCTGTCGTTGGTTCCATGAGGAAAAGAAAAAGAAACAGGTTTTCGTTGATACACGTTTAATTAACCATGCTGTAAAAATAGAATGATAATATTGTATCTAGCATTTGTAATTTAACAGATGAACCTTCTTTCTGTACCATTTCTCACAACGTTGTCATACACAAAGAGATATCACTATGCAAATGTGTTGGTTGAGGTGTAGACTAAAACATTATGTCTAGGTTTTGTGCATTTTGGCTGTATGAATATCGGATACGACTTATCGTAATCATTTGGAGGATAGGATGAGTATATTCTTTTTTTTTTTTTTTTTTGGTTTGTCATCAGTCTCTATTCCTAAACCAACTCAGTGATCCAAGCCGGTGGAACAGAATTTACATAATACACATCAGTAGGTAGAGCTCGAGCACTGCGTGCTAACTTGTCTGCCTTCGTGTTCTTCTTTCTCGGTATGTGCGCTATGCAGAAAGAGGGGAATCTCCTTCTACATATGTCGATTTCTTCTAGCAAAGGTGCGAAAGCTGGCCACTCCTCCGGACTAGACACCATCTTGACGACGTCGGAGCAATCCGTTTCGAACATTATTACTTGTTTCCCTTGCCTTAGCATACACTGCATAGCCCATAGGAGTGCCTCAACCTCTGCTTGCAGGGGCGAGAGTCCACGTCTTAAGTTGCAGGTGCCCAAAAGTTTTTCTCCTGTGTTGGTATTATAATTATACCATCCCAGCCCCGCCCGTGGTTCGGTAGCTTTCCATGATCCATCCACCTGACATATATCACCCTGAAACAGGGTATCCACTGATGATCCAACTTGAAGGGACACACCCCCTCGTTTTTCCTGGGCCTTGGCCCATGCAATGTTCTCTCGTGCCGCCAGGTTAATAGTATCATTGAGATCCCAATCATCATTAGAAAAAACCTTGTCATTGCGGGCTTTCCAAATGAACCAAATCAACCAAGGGTACATCCCCATCCTGTCATCCTCTGGTAGATGCCAAAACAAATGAGCTACATTTGTAAACAAACTTCCCGTCGGGAATCGGTTGGGAGCCGTTGGGATTGGCGATAAAGCCCACACCTGTAATGCCGGGGGGCATTCGAATAATAGATGATTAATGGTTTCTGGAGCCATCCCACATCGCATGCACTGTGGGTCGACCTGCATTCCCCTGCTTCTTAGTCGTGCCCCTACAGATATGCATCCCGTTAAAACTTGCCAAATAAAGTGTTGAAGCTTTTGTGTACACTTTACTTTCCACGCGTGTGCTAGTAGCCGCCGTATATCTGGCCCAATGGGCACATTACTATCCTCCTCGTGGATTTGTTGCGCCAGGTCGTACCCCGATTTGACCGTATATCGTCCCGTTTTCGTGAAAAACCATCCCACGGAATCCGGTCTGCCGGCCCTTGATGTCGGTATCCCCATTATTGTAGAAACATCACTACTCTCGAAAAGTTGATTTAATAGTGGAAGATTCCACGTTAATGTTCCGGGTGTCATTAATTCACTTACCCGAAGATGAGGGTAAAAATGAACCCCGTTTCCCATGGCTGGCCTCGGGCGAGAAGCTGGAATCCATGGATCCCCCCAAACTAATATAGAGGTTCCAGAACCAACCCTTTTAATAAGCCCTTTGTTTACCAGAGGTCGAGCCGAGATAATACTCTGCCAGCCATAGGAAGGCGAGTATGATTTAATGGGTTCCAAAGGAGTTGTATTCCTGTAATACCGTCCCTTGAAAACGCGTGAAAATAAAGAATCCGGGTTATCCATCAGGCGCCACAGCTGTTTCGCCAACAAGGCGGTATTAAAATCCTCAATCACTCGGAAACCCAGACCTCCATCGTTTTTATGTCGACAGAGTTTTTTCCAGGCCAGCCAATGCATTCCTCGTGTCTGCCCCGTACTACTCCACCAAAAATTTGACACCGCACTAGAAAGTTTATTGTAACACCTTTAGGCAACCGGAAACAGGACATCATATGCATAGGCATCGCCGATATAACTGACTTAATCAGTACCTCTTTCCCCCTTTTGACAACCACTTTGAGTTCCATCCGTTAATCCGTTTGTGCTGTCTGTCAATCAGGAAGCTAAAGATCTTCGTTTTAGCTCCCCCCATACTCTCTGGTATTCCAAGATATTGTCCCATCCCACCGACGTTGCCTATCCCCAAAATTTGATGAATCTCGGCACGTACTCCCGTATCCACCGTATGTCCAAATTGTACCGAGGATTTTGCAAAGTTTATTTGTTGTCCCGATGTAACCTCATATTCCTTTAGAATCTGTAACAGTACCCGGCTCTCTTCACTAGTAGCTCTACAGAAAAAAAGACTATCATCTGCAAACAGCAGATGGGAAACCGCTGGGCTTGCCCGGGCTACCTTCAACCCAGTAATCCTCTTCATTTCTTCCGCTTTCTTCAGATTTGTTATTAATATTTCCGCGCATAAAATGAATAAATACGGAGATAGGGGGTCTCCTTGTCGGAGTCCTCTATGAGGTGTGATTTGACCTCTTGGTTGGCCATTAATTAATACCTTATACTTTACTGATGTGATGCACCGCATCATCCACACAATCCATTGTTCTGCAAAGCCCATCTTCCTCATTAGGGCTTCCACAAAAGGCCATTCCACTCGGTCATAAGCCTTACTCATATCCGTCTTTACCGCCATGAACTTTCCTTTGCAAAACTTGTTTGTCCGCAATCCATGGAACATCTCCTGGGCTATCAAAATGTTATCCGAAATCAGTCGACCGGGAACAAAAGCAGACTGAGTCTCTGATATCAATCTTGGTAGTAGCACTTTAAGTCTCTGGCAGAGGACTTTTGAGATAATCTTGTAACCCACATTACACAGACTGATGGGTCTCAATTCTGTCATCCTAGTGGGCCGTGATGTCTTTGGTATTAGGCAAATGTTGGTCATGTTCAATCTTTCATCGAAATTGCCGGATGTAAGAAAATCGTTAACCATGGTGAGGACATCCTCCTTAACTATATGCCAAGAACGTTGAAAAAACAAAGCCATCATTCCGTCCGGTTCTGGCGCTTTCTCTGGATGCATCATGAATAAGGCCTCCCGCACTTCTGCTTCTGTCGCGCGACGCCTTAAAACCTCATTCTCCGGAATAGTAATCCGCTCCGATACATTTTCTAGGACTCCCGTAAAGTCCACCGGTAAAGTGGACGTGAACAGACTATCAAAGTAGTTTACCGCTACTGTCTTTATCTCTTTTCTTCCAGCCACCCAGACATTAGCCTCGTTATGAAGTCCCACAATTCGATTTATCGCTCGCCGTTGTTTGGTGGAGGCGTGGAAAAATTTCGTATTTAGATCTCCGTCCTTTAACCACATGTTCCTACTTTTCTGTTTCCAATATTCCTCCTCATCCTTATATGCTTCCTTTAGCTTATTTGTAATAGTGGACAATTCATCCTGGGTACGTGTATCATCGTCTTGTGCTTCCGCTAACGCTTGTTGTAGATCCGCTATTTTTGTTCTTCCATATGGTTATTCTTTCTCCAGGCCGAGATCTCGTGCCGGCAAGTGTGAATCTGGTCAACTAAACTCGGTTCCGACCCTCCTATGATTTTTTTCCACCCACTCTCAATCGAATCCATCAGTCCGTCAAGCCCAATCCACCGTTTATCAAACCGAAACTGTCTTTGCCTCTTTATTATTTTTGAGTCCAAAGTACCTAGAATTAGTCTGTGATCAGACCCAATCATTGCTCAATATTCCACATGAGAGCAAGGAAATAAATCATGCCACTCTTCTGTAGCTAACGCTCTATCTAGTCGACACCTTACTAATTTACCTCTGCGTCTACCTCGCCATGACAGGGTATTTCCCCGGCCCGGGAAATCCATCAAACCACAATCACTTATCATAAGATTAAACGGGATGAAAGTCGATGCCTGCCATAAAGCACCTCCTTGTTTTTCATGGTTGCCTGTGATCTCATTAAAATCTCCTATAAAAAATCATGGATCCGTCCGTATTGTCCCAATTCGTGTCAGGCGTTCCCAAACATTATCATGGAGTTTAACTACTCGATTATCGTAAATAAATGACATAAAAATTGTTTTACCGTTATGTTTGGCCTCAATATCGATAATCCTTTTATTGGAAGAAATGATAGTAACATCATGTATATTATTATAAAATAAGGCCAATCCTCCACTCGCACCATTTGATTCCACCATGAAGACCTTTTTGTTTTAAATTGGGATATTCATGAGTGACTTTAAAATGGATACCATGCGTTTGTTTTGGGGTATTTTAATATGAAAATCAGTCAACAGTTTCTTTTAAATTATGCAGAAAAAAAAACGTAAAGGATTGTGTTCTATTCTCCATAATCGCTCAACACGTGAAAGCAGCAATGGCTGTCCAAGTCTAGACCCGAGGAAACAGACATTACTGATTCCGATGATGTCTTTTGTTTTTCTAGAGTTTTTTGTACTAGTTATTTCATATAGGTAGACAGATTATATGATTGTTATACGTTTCGTACTTTCTTCATTAATGTGATAATATCACGATATATATGTCTATATTGTTGAAGTGCTATTAAACATCTATATATATATATAAAGCTTATGTCATTTTATTCTGGTGCTGCAATCTCAGCAGAAGAAAATATCTCTAAATTCAGCATATTTTATATATATATAGATTTTCTTTCTATTTTAACTTTTTATAATAATTATCATTTATTACTATAATAACTTAATAAAAATATGAAAGTTATTTAAAGAAACATTTTAAAACTTGAGAATTGGAAATTTTGTTTACTTCCTATTATATTAAGTGACGAGACGAGATCTAAAAGAATAGAAAAGAAATACATAAATTCCACCTACCTCTAAATATAATAATTATATTTAGGGGCAGAACGGAAACAACAAAAAAACATGAAGAGAGAGGACAAGACATAAAGGTTGAACGGGACATATCATAACGGGATGGGAAGAGACGGGACATGAATTTTGTCTACCCCTAATTATATTTAGAGACGAGACAGAGATAAGATAAACATGACAAAACGAACGGGATGGGAAAGAACATGACAAGATGAAAGGAACGGAATAAGATATAATTATATCTACCCTATTATATCAAGGAACGAGACAATAATAAACAAAATGGAAAGAACCATAATGGGATAGGATAGGACTGAACGAGACGGAACATACATGACGAACGGGACGGGAAAGAACATAAATAAGGAAAATGAACGAAATGGGACGAGATGGAACAAGATGGTACAAAAAATTTGCCTAACTCTAATTATATTTAAGTAATATGTCTATAATATCTTTGAAACAATATTAAATTTGCGGAAAAACAATAAAACTAACACAACCTGCGCGTAGCGCGGATCACCCCCTAGTACTATTATAAAACTTGACCTGTTGACCCCCTGACTTTTCTGACGAGAATACAAGCACATAAGCTGAATACTTTTATTGGAAAATACAACTTTTATAAAATTTAACACAGAAATGACTATCACAAAGAAAATGTTGATCGCACTTTTTCTGAGCTTTTTATTGGCTATATCTTATGTCAAATGATCTGCTGAGAGTATTGGTACTAACTTATTATTATAACTCTATTTATTTTGTTATTTTGAACATAATTTTTTTTTATGTGAATATGCATAATAGTTTATTAATTTTTGTGGAATAGGGTCTGGAAAATGGAGCGACTATTGGCAGATATGCTACAACAAAAATCAGTGGCAAGGGATGACTTGCAAGGCGTTCTGCCTGAAAACTTTAGAAGGATCGGTATCCGGTGAACTTGTTACGGAACACAGATGTTGTTGTAGAAATTATTATAACTTTTTATAAAAAAATTATTATCCTATAATAATAATAATAATGATAATATAAAAAAATTTCTATAGTTGTGAGTGTTAAACCAAAATCATACAAAATTGTATTCAGTTTCATTTTACTGAAGCAAATTTGGTGGAAATCCTAACAAAATATTAAACAAAGTGCAAGAAAGATTTTGGTTTAGTCGGAGTAATAGCCAGTGATTTTATTCTTCCAGCTTGCAAATGTGGTTGTAGAAACTCTTATGATCTTATCTAATATTTGTATCTGCTAGAAACATAATTATCATACTTTAGTTACAATTATAAAACCGAGAACGTTACAGTATATATAAATCATACAGTAGTTAATTGTGTTGGATTTGATTTTATGAGCGAATTGTGTTCCTTCTTTCCTTAGAGATGTAATTCATAATGACACGTGTTGAGCATGTATTTATTCACCGTTTAATGAAAAAAAGGAAAAATCCTCAATTCTCTCTCTCTCTCTCTCTCTCTCTCTCTCTTGGCCCATGGAAATGAATCGAATCGCCTTCTTTCCGATTCGTTTCCGGCGATCGGTCTCATACGGAGCTCCTATCGTGGCAGATGGTGGTTGCATCTGTCTATATCTATCCCTCTCCTTCTCGTACCAAAATTGTGTTTTAATCCTGGTCAAAACTGAGTTCCTTTGTTTAGGGGTTTTGATAAGGTCTGGTTTTTTGTTTATAGGGTGAGGAGAAAACAGATAGGCCATGGAATATCAGAGAGTCTTATCAGTAAAGTCACTCGTGGGTTGTTCAATCTTGGAGAAACTTAAGATGAAGATGACTCTATAGCTCTGTTTGAATACAATAGAGAGCTTTTTTGGGTGCTCCGTTCACAACTTTGTTCATTTAAATTATTTTTTTGTGCATATATCTCCCATTCCCCAAAACATCGCGAAAAAAAAAACAAAAGAACCTAAAAGACCAATGGGACCAACACCAGAGTTTGCTAAAGACTTGAAAGTGGCGGATCTTCTGCTACCACAGTCAAGAGGATGGAATGAAGACTTGATTAACACTTTATTACCTTGTTACAAGGAAGAGATACTCTGCATCGTCCCTGGTTCTTTTGATACAGAAGATCGCCTAGCGTGGCTCCCACAGATGACGGGAAAATACTCGGTGAAAACAGGGTACTACGCAGCACGAGATCGAGCCCCATCAGACCTAATCCCTGCAGTCAACAACAACTTTAATTGGATTTCAGAGGTATGGGGAGGAAATTTTGCTCCAAAAATGAAAATATTCCTATGGAAAGCGGTTCAAGGAGCCTTACCAGTGGGAGAAAACTTAGCGATCCGAGGAATTGTACATCAAGCAACGTGTATCCACTGTGGACAAGCTGAGTCTACCCTCCATATATTCTTCCTCTCTGAATTTGCCCAGAAAGTGTGGCGTCTAGCTCCCTTCCGAAATCAATTTACCTCTGGAACTCTTACAAATATCAAAGCAGGAATCAAAATCCTCAATGTGGCGGTGAGCTTACCGCCGACAGGAATCGGCGCCTGCACGTTTGCACCGTGGATCATGTGGAGCATATGGATGAGCCGGAACAACAAGATCTTCAATAATAGAAGGTTCCATGTGCAGGAAACCCTAAATCTCGCCTCAATCCGGGGTCACGGGAATGGCAAGAGGCTCAAGAGAAGACACTGATCCGCTCCGTAGCGAACAGATCCAGTAGCAACCCGAGAAGCGTGTGATGCCACACCGATGGCGCTTGGAGTAAAGAGAAAAAGATAGGAGGAATGGGATGGAGCTTCCACGATGGAAATCAGATCCCAATTACACAGAGATCAACAGCAAGGAAGCACATATCATCACCGCTAATAGCTGAGGGACTAGCGATCCGTTACGCCCTAGAACATGCCCTTGATCTGAGTTTCTCCTCCTTGCATGTGGCCTGAGATTCGCAGAAAATCGTTAGAGCAATCAACTCAGGAAGCCAGCTATTGGAGATCTATGGGATCCTCCAAGATATCGCTCATCTCTCTTCTTTGTTTGTCGATTTAATTGTCGTTTCAATTCCCAGGGAAGCCAATTTGCTGGCTGATTCTCTCGCTAAACAATCTCTCCGTGCTCTTGAGCAGTTGGGGAGTTAATGCGTTTTAATTAATAAAAGAGGTTTTAGAACCAAAAAAAAAAACACTCAAGCCACGTATCATTAGTAGGGCTGGGCATTTTTACCCGGATCCGAGGATTCGAACCGAACCTGACCCGAAAAGATGGAACTGAACCAAACCAGAATCGTTACAAATATTCAATGGGTCCAAATTTCTTATATCCGAAAAAACCAAACCCAAATCCGAACCGAACCAAGAACCGAATGGGTACCCGAAATATCCAAAATATTAGTTATATATTCAAAATATTAGTTATATTTAGACTTAAAATAATCAAAAATAACTAAAATTACAATTATAAGTCTAAATAGTTATATTTAAAACGATATAACCAAAATATTCAAGAAATCCAAAAAGATTTAGTAGAAGATCAAAGGTGTGAATTAGGAAGGATAGGTCGCCTTACCACTCGGCCATGCCTCCAAAACGATAGAAACTATGGAATAGAAACAAGTTTTTTTTTTTGGTTATGATCGGGTATTCTGTTAAAAAAAAACCTATTATTGGATAAAAAGAGACGAGATTGAATATGACGAGACGAAAAAAAATAGAATCGGAGAAGAGAGGAATTTTGTTTACTTCTTATGATATTAAGTGACGAGACGAGATCTAAAGGAACGGAAAAGAACATAATAGGACAAGACGGAAATTTCGCCTACCTCAAATAATATTTATAGGTGGAATGGGAAAAACAAAAAAAACATGATGAGAGAGGACAAAACAGAAATGTTGGACAGGACAAAATGAAAAAAAATGGAATGTGACGGGATTGGACCGGACTAGATGAAAAAGGACATAATGGGACGGGAATTTTGTCTACCCCTAATTATATTTAGAGACGAGACAGAGATAAGACAAAATGAAAATGAACATAATAAGATATGATGGGACTGGATGGGGCGGACAGAACGAACAGGATGAGAAAGAACATGACAATATGAAAAGGAAACGGAATGAGATAGAATCTACCCCTAATTATATTAAGGAACGAGACAATAATAAACAAAATAGAAAGAACCATAATGGGATAGGATAGGACTGAACGAGACGGGACATACATGACGAAAGGGACGGGAAAGAACGTACATGATGAAAATGAACGAAATGGGACGAGATGGAACAAGATGGTACCAAAAATTTGCCTAACTCTAATTATATTTAAGTAATATGTTTATAATATCTTTGAAACAATATTAAATTTGCGGAAAAACAATAAAACTAACACAACCTGCGCGTAGCGCGGATCACCCCCTAATACTATTATAAAACTTGACCTGTTGACCCCCAGACTTTTCTGACGAGAATACATGCACATAAACTGAATACTTTTATATGAAAATACAACTTTTATAAAATCAAAAATTATGGAAAATAATTTTCAAATAAAGTTATGCTAAAAACAATAAGATATTATTTCATAAATGCTAAAGCATAACTAGGCAAGAAAATCATTTGTTTCCTATAATATAAGAATTGTTTTTCAAAAAATTGCTTCCTTTTCTAAAAACTTTTGACTAGAAAATATTTTCTACATATGCCGTGTTATTATATATATAACTATTCATCCAGCCAAAATGAAAACATTTAAAAATAATCTAAGAAAATAACACAGAAATGACTATCACAAAGAAAATGTTGATCGCACTTTTTCTGAGTTTTTTCTTGGCTATATCTTATGTCAAATGCTCTGCTGAGAGTATTGGTACTAACTTATTATTATAATCTCTATTTTATTTTGTTATTTTGAACATAATTTTTTTTGTTTTATGTGAATATGCATAATAGTTTATTAATTTTTGTTGAATAGGATCTGGAAAATGGAGCGACTATTGGCAGATATGCTACAACAAAAATCAGTGGCAAGGGATGACTTGCAAGGCGTTCTGCCTGAAAACTTTAGAAGGATCGGTAACCGGTGAACTTGTTACGGAACACAGATGTTGTTGTAGAAATTATTATAATTTTTTATAAAAAAATTATTACCTTATAATAATAATAATAATAATATAAAAAAAATTCTATAGTTGTGAGTGTAAAACCAAAATCATACTAAATTGTATTCTGTTTCATTTTACTGAAGTAAATTTGGTGGAAATCCTAACAAAATATTAAACAAAGTACAAGAAAAATTCTGGTTTAGTTAGAGTAATAGCCAGTGATTTTATTCTTCCAGCTTGCAAATGTTGTTGTAGAAACTCTTATGATCTTATCTAATATTTGTATCTGCTAGAAACATAATTATCATACTTTAGTTACAATTATAAAACCGAAAACCTTACAGTATATATAAATCATACAGTATTAAATTGTGTTGGATTTGATTTTACTTGAGCGAATTGTGTTCCTTCTTTCCTTAGAGATGTAATTCATAATGACACATGTCTAGCTCCCTTCCGAAATCAATTTACCTCTGGAACTCTTACAAATATCAAAGCAGGAATCAAAATCCTCAATGTGGCGGTGAACTTACCGCCTACAGGAATCGGCGCCGGCACGTTAGCACCGTGGATCATGTGGAGCATATGGATGAGCCGGAACAACAAGATCTTCAATAATAGAAGGTTCAATGTGCAGGAAACCCTAAATCTCGCCTCAATCCGGGGGCACGGGAATGGCAAGAGGCTCAAGAGAAGACACCGATCCGCTCCGTAGCGAACAGATCCAGTAGCAACCCGAGAAGCGTGCGATGCCACACCGATGGCGCTTGGAGTAAAGAGCAAAAGATAAGAGGAATGGGATGGAGCTTGCACGATGGAAATCATATCCCAATTACACAGAGATCAACAGCAAGGAAGCACATAGCATCACCGCTAATAGCTGAGGGACTAGCAATCCGTTACGCCCTAGAACATGCCCTTGATCTGAGTTTCTCCTCCTTGCATGTGGCCTCAGATTGGCAGAAAATCATTAGAGCAATCAACTCAGGAAGCCAGCTATCGGATATCTATGGGATCCTCCAAGATATCGCTCATCTCTCTTCTCTGTTTGTCGATTTAATTGTCGTTTCAATTCCCAGAGAAGTCAATTTGCTGGCTGATTCTCTCGCTAAACAATCTCTCCATGCTCTTGAGCAGTTGGGGAGTTAATGTGTTTTAATTAATGAAAAGAGGTTTTAGAACCAAAAAAAAAAACACTCAAGCCACGTATCATTAGTAGGGCTGGGCATTTTTACCTAGATCCGAGGAATCGAACCGAACCCGACCCAAAAAGATGGAACCGAACCAAACCAGAATCGTTACAAATATTTGGTGATATACCTCTATTTTACACTTTTTATGCTATTTTACTATGGTTTTCTAATGGTTTTCTAGTGGATTCTTGTGTTAAAAGGTAGTTTTTATGGATTTATACTGCAAAGAGTCATTTTAGGTAAAAAGGTGCATTATGGAGCAAAACAGAGGATTTGGACTCTAAACCAGTTCAATGCCCCTGCATCAACTTTGGATGGAGCTAGAAAAAGATCTACTCAATGGATTTCATCAAGACCAGTTCCCTGCGTGCTCTGATTGAGTTAACTTTCCAACGCAAGTGGAACGGCCTCATTTGGATGAGTAGAAAAGGAGTTATAGCCAAAAGAGTGAAGACTGCTCCAGACGGCTCTATCGAGAATCAGCGCCCGAACCGCGCAGACCGGCTGGCCGAGGAACGAATGTTCCGCGCTCGGCCAAAACCATCCGTCCGACTGAAGTCTCGGCCAAAGTTCAACCATCCGGCCGAACGCATACACGACCCGGGAAACAATGTCCCGCGGTCGGCCAAGCCACGCACTTCACACACCGCGCACGACCGCGCGCGAGCCGGGAAAAACGCCTCGCGGCCGCGCAACCTCACTCGTACCACGGCCGATGTCCGTCCGAGCCGGGAAAACGTCCGCGTCCGGCCGAGAAACATCGGCCAAATTCTCATCCGTCCGACCACCACGGCCGACCGAGAAACATCCGGCCACGACCGTTCCGACTCGACCAACGACCCGATCTCCGACCGACCGTCCGAACGCCGCGGTCGACCCGAAGCCGTTTTTGAAGCCCAATCCGCACAATTCAAGCCCAAAGCCGGCGCCGACCTAGCTAGATTAGGTCTAGCCGCTTTTTCATACTTAGCATTATAAATACTTCTTTTTAGCCTTGTAACTCAAGAAGGAGAGAGACCACAATTATACTTTACATCTTTAATAAAGTTTTGCTTGCTTTTACTTTGTTCTTGCTTGTTCTCTTTCTAGAGAGGATTCGAATCTCTGTTCTTATGAATATGAATTCGTGTTCCTTCTCTATGTCTGAGTAGTTTACTTGTTAAGTGATAGGAAGTCAAAGGATAGCATTCATGTATGCTTGATGATTGATCACAATTAGGGTTTTACTTATAATCTCCATCTTTGCTTATACTTAATGCTTGTTGTTAATCTGGCCAATTAGCATATGCCTTTAGGTTGATTTGAGCCTCGACAGTGCTGTATCATTCGCCTGAACTAGTATTTGGTGGGCAATCTCTTTTAGACTGCGAAAGTTGATCTACTTGTAGGTTGTGAACAATTGATCTTAATCGAACTAATGCTTGATTTAATCACCTAGGGACATACCAAAAGTTTAGCGACTAGGTAGATTAACAAAGGGGTCGGAGCCTCGACAGTGGAATGATCATACCATAGTGTTTCAAGTTCTAGATTAGCACCTAATTGCAGTAACCCTAATTGATTGATTTCATGCTTCTTGAATTGCTTATCTCAAGACTATCCTATTGCTTAGCCTTTCTCTCCTATTGAATTCATTTCTTATTACTTGCATGCTTTACTTTCTCTGCACTCAACCAACTTATACTTTTGCCCTAGCTCGATCTCAATCATAGTTGTAGTGTGCAATCTGGTCCTTGTGTTCGATACCCGTTTACTACTTCTGACCTGTGCACTTGCAGAATCAGGGATAGGAAAGGGGAAGACCTGATCCCGCGATCAAGTTTTTGGCGCCGTTGCCGGGGACCAATTCGCACCTACAAGCTCTTGCAAGAGAGCTAGTCTAGGGTTTCATCTTTTCCTTTTTGTTTTTGTTATTTTTCCTTTTTCTTTGATTTGTTTTTCCTTTTTGTTTTTAGCTTTTCAGGTTTTCCTAGTTAGATATGGAGAAGGAGCCACAAGCCTTTCCCCTATAAAGGCGATGCCACTTCGCCACATACCACCTCAAAGACCTCTTGAGCGAACAAGAGATGTCAAGCCCTCAAGCACCACCACCTTCATGGGATAGTCCTCCAAGACTATCTCCTTGAAGACCAAGAAGAAACTTCTTCCCTACCTTGAAGCAGCCGACCTGGAGACGTCTAGCCAAGCCGCATCACAAGAAGAACACCTTCTAGCCACACCAGAAGAGGAGATTGACCCTGAGCTGATCGAGTTCGTGAAGAGAGATCAATTCCATGATCTGTTTTCAGAGTATGCGCTGGAGCACATAGATCACTTTGACAATCTTTGTGATTCCTATGGAGTTTTTGACTTTGAGAAGAAGATGATGCTATTCAGCACATCACTAGCTGGACCAGCACTAGATTGGGCGCAGCATGAACCACTCTACAATCGAGTCATGGATCGATTTTAGAGAAGCTTTCTTGAAGAGATTTGCAAGGCCCACCTTTCAAATCCAAGTACACCACTACTCTCATCAGCTGGAGAGAGAGCGTGATGAAGAAGAATGGGGAGGCATACCACCCCATCCTGAAGTCTTGAATGAAGAGCTAATCAAGCATGTGGAGAGGAATCCTTTCTACAATTCTACTTCAGAGTGTGCAAAGGAGCATCTATGCAACTTTGAGCAGCTTTGCCACTACTATGGACTTGGAGACAACCCCAAGAAGATACAACTTTTCCAACTATCACTAGCTGGACAAGCCAAAGAATGGGCTAAGTTCAATGCCCAACATGCTTTCAAGACTTGGAATGGATACAAAGGAAGCTTTCCTCTACAGATTTGCCAAAGGTCCGATTTATGTTCCACCACCACGCCCAAGCTATTCACAATACCATCCATCATCACCAGACATAAACAAGACACCACTTTTCCCAAGGAGAGCTTCCAAGCTGCGCGCCAAACCAAGATTGAAGAGATGCTTCAAGAGTACTTGAGAAATCAAGATGAGAGTACAAAGAAGATGGAGAGGAGAATCGATTTCATCCATGAGAGCCTTGGAAACAAATCTGAAGTCCTATTCAAGCAAGTGATCAAGCTTGATGAAGACATTAAGAAGTTAAGAGAGGATCATGATCGATTCTACCCTAGTTAAGCTTGATGTTGCTTCCAAATATCAAGAGTTGCTGAACAAGAGCATGAGAATTGAAGATACTAGCTATGGCAATAGCAAACATCTTGGATCGATCTACAACCGCCTACAAGCCCTTGAAGGATCATCTCATGCCAATACAAGAGAGAGAGGAGTCCAACACCCAACCACCCTCCCTTTTATTGCAATGCCATCACAAGAAGAAGCACTACTCAAGTCCATGAGGACAATGAAGAAGAAGAAAGAGAGTATGAGGAACAACTTGAATGATGAAGATGAAGAGCAGAGCATCGACATCAATGCTTCCCCAAAACAGAGCAAGGATACACCTAGCCCTAGTTGACCCTCGTTTCTCACCAACCAAGAAGTCAAGCTTCTGAACTTCCAAGATTGGAAGCAATGCAAAGACCATCACCACCTACTGAAGAAGAAGATACTTGGCAGTATGATCCCATTGATCCCAACAAGATAAGCCCCATGAAGCTTAAAGAGTTCAATGCTAAGGTGAAATCACTTCCATTCTATGTCACTTTTGAAGAAGCTTGGGATAAACATGGTCTAGTGGAGTTCTTTTTCACAACTAGTGAAAACAAAGAAGAGATACACAACTTTTCAGAAGGCTCGATTTCCCATTGCCCCTCATGCAGTCAATCAACCACCATCACCACCATCATCACCACCTCACCCGTGGTATGTCAATTCCATATCAAGAGAGAAGCTTGCTGAGTTCAATCAGTTTGTCCAAACTCTTCCAGCCAGCATGTCTTTCAAACAAGCTTGGCGCCACTACCCATTCACCACCTTCTTCCACAACTGCAAGAGACACCTGAGGACATAAAGAGCTTTTTGAGAAAGCTAAAGTTCAGCCACCTTCAAGACCCTCTACAAGATTGAAGACCCAGGTCAATTCTCTATTCCCTGTCAAGTAAATGGTCATTACTTTGATAGAACACTATGCGATTCTGGCTCTTGCATAAACCTCATGCCAACCCAAACCGCCAAACTCCTTGGCATCACACGCTTGCAACCTGCTCAAATTAGTATTGGACTTGCTAACCATACTATAGCCAAGCCAAGAGGAGTTGTTGTTGATGTTCTTCTAGAGATTGGAGATATCAAGATCCCGGTGGACTTTCATGTCATGAACATCAAGGAGGATGTGACACACCATTGATACTAGGCCGACCCTTTTTGGCCACTGCTGGAGCTGTCATGGACCTTCCAAACCGGCGAATGTCCTTAGCCAATGTGACAAGACAGTCTTTTACAAGACCATACCATTCATCTCACCAAACAAGCTGTCTTACCTCATCACTGCCCAAGGCCGCCCAAGAGAACCACCAGACCACACTCAAGGTCACAATGAGACAAGAACTAAAAGACTATGTCTCAGGCCGTGCCCTTACCCCATCTCCAACTAAGAGATCCTATCAGTCAAGCTAATGACTCAAAAAAGCGCTGCATGGGAGGCAACCCATGAAAGGTGTTTTTCTTTACTTTTCTTTTCAATTAGTTTTAGTTAATGTCTAGTTTTGTTTTGAGTTTTGGATACAGGAATCTAAGAACCACACAATGGTAAAGAAGATATACCACAAGAAGAATGTTCATAGTTGGCGCGACTTAGATGGCCGAGCAGAACCTCTCCACGCTCGCCCATGTCCTCTCAAGCCGCCCAACACACCATCCCATCTCATTCCATCTGCATCTCACCCATCCCACCTCACCACACTTGCATTCCATCACTACCATCATTCCACTGCATTCACCATTCTTCAAGTAACACCAAATCAGGTTACATCTTTCTTTTTACATTCACAACCACTTTATTACCTCTTTCTTTAACTCCCTTAATTGGATTTTCTTTCACCGGGACGGTGCAAGTTAAGTCTGGGGGGATTGTCGGTACTAATGTGTTTGTTCATGGTTGTTTTGATCTTATAATTGGTTTTTCCTAACCCACTTTTTCAAAACTTCTGTTTTATTGAGTCAAAACCAGTCCGGGAACAATGAACTTGCTTTGAGATTTGATAGTGTTTAACAATCTATGACCCTAGAGCAAACATCAAAGCTGAAGGCACAAGCCTAACAGAAGCTCCTAGAGTGGATGGATGCTAGCTCAGCGAAATTTCTAAGGTAACCAAGCAATCTAGAGTTAACCTCACCCTTAATCAATCTTAATAACTCTTGTCAAGGGGATTGGCATACATGTCGACAGTTCCTTGCTTGATTTTCAATGAGATTTGTCTAAAGAGTTCACCTCTCTCTCCCATCCCAAAAAGTAATGATGAAAAGCTCAAAGAGCACAAGGAAAACAAGTAAGCATGAGGAATGCATATGTCTGTACCTTCATGTCTTATGGAATACCTTATCAAACAAGGAACAAGCTAAAGACTTATCCTGTGGTTGAAAGAAGGTCAATAGAAAAAATAAAATGATACCCTAGAAAAGTAGGGAGAAATTGACCTTTCAAAGTTCTGATGTGAGAAAGAGAGAGGAAAGGAACTCATTGCACAAAGACAATCTTGGAGAAGATCAAGTGGTAAGAACAAGTTCAATTGATCGATTTTCCCTTGATAAAGAACTCACGCTTTAAATTTCTGCAAGAGGTTAACAATAGAGAGTTTGGATTGCTGGATGAGACTAGTTGGGTTGGTATGTTGCTAAACTTGCAGGGTGTATGTGAAGCTAACCTTATGTTGACTATGTTCTTAGTGGAATACAGGAAAGGAACCTTTCACAGGATTTTCAAAGAAGCAAGAGAGTTCCCACGTTTTTCAAAACCTCTTCACTAGTTTAGATTCTTTTTGCTTGGGGACAAGCAAAGATCTAAGTCTGGGGGAGTTGATATACCTCTATTTTACCTACTTTTTATGCTATTTTACTATGGTTTTCTAATGGTTTTCTAGTGGATTCTTGTGTTAAAAGGTAGTTTTTATGGATTTATAGTGCAAAGAGTCATTTTAGGTAAAAAGGTGCATTATGGAGCAAAACAGGAGATTTGGACTCTAAACCAGTTCAATGGCATCAACTTCTATCAAATGGATTTCATCAAGACCAGTTCCCTGCGTGCTCTGATTGAGTTAACTTTCCAACGCAACTGGAATGGCTTCATTTGGATGAGTAGAAAAGGAGTTATAGCCAAAAGAGTGAAGGCTGCTCCAGACGGCTCTATCGAGAATCAGCGCCCGAACGCGCAGTCCGGCTGGCCGAGGAACGAATGTTCCGCGCTCGGCCAAAACCATCCGTCCGACTGAAGTCTCGGCCAAAGTTCCAATCCATCCGGCCGATCACGCATACACGACCCGGGAAACAATTGTCCCGCGGTCGGCCAAGCCACGCCACGCCACGCCGCGCACGACCATGGCGCGAGCCGGGAAACAAGCCTCGCGGCCGCGCAACCTCACTCGTGTACCACGGCCGATGCATCCGTCCGAGCCGGGAAAACGTCCGCGTCCGGCCGAGAAACCATCGGCCAAATTCTCATCCGTCCGACCACCCGGCCGACCGAGAAACATCCGGCCACGACCGTTCCGACTCGGCCAAGACCCGACTGTCCGGCCGACCGTCCCGACCGACCGTCCGAACGCCGCGGTCGACCCGAAGCCGTTTTTGAAGCCCAATCCGCACAATTCAAGCCCAAAGCCGGCGCCGACCTAGCTAGATTAGGTTTAGCCGCTTTTCATACTTAGAGCATTATAAATACTTCTTTTTAGCCTTGTAACTCAAAAAGGAGAGAGACCACATTATATTTACATCTTAATAAAGTTTTGCTTGCTTTTACTTTGTTCTTGCTTGTTACTCTTTCTAGAGAGGATTCGAATCTCTGTTCTTATGAATATGAATTCGTGTTCCTTCTCTATGTCTGAGTAGTTTACTTGTTAAGTGATAGGAAGTCAAAGGATAGCATTCATGTATGCTTGATGATTGATCACAATTAGGGTTTTACTTATAATCTCCATCTTTGCTTATACTTAATGCTTGTTGTTAATCTGGCCAATTAGCATATGCCTTTAGGTTGATTTGAGCCTCGACAGTGCTGTATCATTCGCCTGAACTAGTATTTGGTGGGCAATCTCTTTTAGACTGCGAAAGTTGATCTACTTGTAGGTTGTGAACAATTGATCTTATCGAACTAATGCTTGATTTAATCACCTAGGGACATACCAAAAGTTTAGCGACTAGGTAGATTAACAAAGGGGTCGGAGCCTCGACAGTGGAATGATCATACCATAGTGTTTCAAGTTCTAGATTAGCACCTAAGTGCGGTAACCCTAATTGATTGATTTCATGCTTCTTGAATTGCTTATCTCAAGACTATCCTATTGCTTAGCCTTTCTCTCCTATTGATTTCACTTTCTTATTACTTGCATGCCTTTACTTTCTCTGCACTCAACCAACTTATACTTTTGCCCTAGCTTGTCTCAATCTAATAGTTTGTAGTGTGCAATCTGGTCCTTGTGTTCGATACCCGTTTACTACTTCTGACCTGTGCACTTGCAGAATCAGGGATAGGAAAGGGAAGACCTGATCCCGCGATCAAATGGGTCCAAATTTCTTATATCCGAAAAAACCAAACCCAAATCCGAACCGAACCAAGAACCGAGTGGGTACCCAAAATATCCAAAATATTAGTTATATTTACACTTAAAATAATCAAAAATATCTAAAATTACAATTATAAGTCTAAATAGTTATATTTAGAACGATATAACCAAAATATTCAAGAAATCCAAAAAGATTTAGTAGAAGATCAAATGTGTGAATTAGGAAGGATAGGTCACCTTACCACTCGGCCATGCCGCCAAAACGAGAGAAACTATGGAATAGAAACAAGTTTTTTTTAGTTACGATTGGGTATTCAGTTAAAAAAAAAAACCTATTATTGGATAAAAAGAGACGAGATTGAATATGACGAGACGAAAAAAATAGAAACGGAGAAGAGAGGAATTTTGTTTACTTCTTATGATATTAAGTGACGAGACGAGATCTAAAGGAATGGAAAAGAACAGAATAGGACAAGACGGAAATTTCGCCTACCTCAAATTATATTTATAGGTGGAACGGGAAAAACAAAAAAAAAACATGATGAGAGAGGACAAAACAGAAATGTTGAACGGGAAAAAATGAAAAAAAATGGAATGTGACGGGATTGGACCGGACTAGATGAAAAAGAACATAATGGGACGAGAATGTTGTCTACCCCTAATTATATTTAGAGACGAGACAGAGATAAGACAAAATGAAAATGAACATAATAAGATATGATTGGACTGGATGGGGCGGACAGAACGAACGGGATCAGAACGAACATGACAAGATGAAAATGAAATGGAATGAGATAGAATCTACCCCTAATTATATTAAGGAACGCGACAATAATAAACAAAATGGAAATAATCATAATGGGATAGGATAGGACTGAACGAGACGGGACATACATGACGAACGGGACGGGAATGAACGTACATGATGAAAATGAACGAAATGGGACGAGATGGTTCAAGATGGTACCAAAAATTTGCCTAACTCTAATTATATTTAAGTAATATGTTTATTATATCTTTGAAACAATATTAAATTTGCGGAAAAACAATAAAACTAACACAACATGCGCGTAGCGCGGATCACCCCCTAGTACTATCATAAAACTTGACCTCTTGACCCCCTGACTTTTCTGACGAGAATACAAGCACATAAACTGAATACTTTTATTTGAAAATACAACTTTTATAAAATATAAATTATGGAAAATAATCTTCAAATAAAGGCGAGAAAATCATTCGTTACCTATAATATAAGAATTGTTTTTCAAAAATTTGCTTCCTTTTCTAAAAATTTTTGACTAGAAAATATATTCTAATATGCCGTGTTATTATATATATAACTATTCATCCAGCCAAAATGAAAATATCTAAAAATAATCTAAGAAAATAACACAGAAATGACTATCACAAAGAAAATGTTGATCGCACTTTTTCTGAGCTTTTTCTTGGCTATATCTTATGTCAAATGCTCTGCTGAGAGTATTGGTACTAGCTTATTATTATAATCTCTATTTTATTTTGTTATTTTGAACATAATTTTTTTTTTTATGTGAATATGCATAATAGTTTATTAATTTTTGTGGAATAGGGTCTGGAAAATGGAGCAACTATTGGCAGATATGCTACAACAAAAATCAGTGGCAAGGGATGACTTGCAGGCGTTCTGCCTGAAAACTTTAGAAGGATCGGTAACCGGTGAACTTGTTACGGAACACAGATGTTGTTGTAGAAATTATTATAATTTTTTATAAAAAAATTATTATAATTATAATAATAATAATAATAATAATAATAATAATAATAATATAAATTTTCTATAGTTGTGAGTGTAAAACCAAAATCATACTAAATTGTATTCAGTTTCATTTTACTGAAGCAAATTTGGTGGCAATCCTAACAAAATATTAAACAAAGTACAAGAAAGATTCTGGTTTAGTCGGAGTAATAGCCAGTGATTTTATTCTTCCAGCTTGCAAATGTTGTTGTAGAAACTCTTATGATCTTATCTAATATTTGTATCTGCTAGAAACATAATTATCATACTATAGTTACAATTATAAAACCGAGAACGTTACAGTATATGTAAATCATACAATAGTAAATTATGTTGGATTTGATTTTACTTGAGCGAATTGTGTTCCTTCTTTCCTTAGAGATGTAATTCATAATGACACGTGTCGAGCATGTATTTATTCACCGTTTAAGGAAAAAAAGGAAAAATCCTCAATTTTTTTCTCTCTCTCTCTCTCTTGGCCCATGGAAATGAATCGAATCGCCTTCTTTCCGATTCGTTTCCGGCGATCGGTCTCAGTCGGAGCTCCGATCGTGGCAGATGGTGGTTGCATCTGTCTATCTCTATCCCTCTCCTTCTCGTACCAAAATTGTGTTTAATCCTGGTCGAAACTGAGTTCCTTTGTTTAGGGGTTTTGATAAGGTCTGGTTTTTTGTATATAGGGTGAGGGGAAAACAGATAGGCCATGGAATATCAGAGAGTCTTATCAGTAAAGTCACTCGTGGGTTGTTCAATCTTGGAGAAACTTAAGATGAAGATGACTCCAGCTCTATTTGAATACAATAGAAAGCCTTTTTGGGTTCTCCGTTCACAACTTTGTTCATTTAAATTATTTTTTTGTGCATATATCCCCCATTCCCCAAAACATCGTGAAAAAAAAAACAAAAGAACCTAAGAGACCAATGGGACCAACACCAGAGTTTGCTAAAGACTTGAAAGTGGCGGATCTTCTGCTACCACAGTCAAGAGGATGGAATGAAGACTTGATTAACACTTTATTACCTTGTTACAAGGAAGAGATACTTTGCATCGTCCCTGGTTCTTTTGATACAGAAGATTGCCTAGCGTGGCTCCCACAGATGACGGGAGAATACTCGGTGAAAACGGGGTACTACGCAGCACGAGATCGAGCCCCATCAGACCTAATCGCTGCAGTCAACAACAACTTTAATTGGATTTCAGAGGTATGGGGAGGAAATTTTGCTCCAAAATTGAAAATATTCCTATGGAAAGTGGTTCAAGGAGCCTTACCAGTGGGAGAAAACTTAGCGATCCGAGCAATTGTACATCAAGCAACGTGTATCCACTGTGGAGAAGCTGAGACTACCCTCCATATATTCTTCCTCTGTGAATTTGCCCAGGAAGTGTGGCGTCTAGCTCCCTTCCGAAATCAATTTACCTCTGGAACTCTTACAAATATCAAAGCAGGAATCAAAATCCTCAATGTGGCGGTGAGCTTACCGCCGACAGGAATCGGCGCCGGCACGTTAGCACCATGGATCATGTGGAGCATATGGATGAGCCGGAACAACAAGATCTTCAATAATAGAAGGTTCAATGTGCAGGAAACCCTAAATCTCGCCTCAATCCGGGGCCACGGGAATGGCAAGAGGCTCAAGAGTAGACACCGATCCGCTCCGAAGCGAACAGAAATCACAATTAGGGTTTTACTTATAATCTTCATCTTTGCTTATACTTAATGCTTGTTGTTAATCTGGCCAATTAGCATATGATCTTAGGTTGATTTGAGCCTCGACAGTGCTGTATCATTCGCCTGAACTAGTATTTGGTGGGCAACCTCTTTTAGACTGCGAAAGTTGATTTACTTGTAGGTTGTGAACAATTGAACTTAATCGAACTAATGCTTGATTTAATCACCTAGGGACATACCAAAAGTTTAGCGACTAGGTAGATTAACAAAGGGGTCGGAGCCTCGACAGTGGAATGATCATACCATAGTGTTTCAAGTTCTAGATTGGCACCTAATTGCAGTAACCCTAATTGATTGATTTCTTGCTTCATGAATTGCTTATCTCAAGACTATCCTATTGCTTAGCTCTTTCTCCTATTGATTTCATTCTCTGATACTTGCATGCCTTTACTTTTATTGCACTCAACCAACTTAATACTATTTGCCCTAACTCGATCTCAATCTTATAGTTTGTAGTGTGCAATCTGGTCCTCGTGTTCGATACCCGTTTACTACTTCTGACCTGTGCACTTGCAGAATCAGGGATAGGAAAGGGAAAGACCTGATCCCGCGATCAAATAGGTCCAAATTTCGTATATCCGAAAAAATCAAACCCAAATCCGAACCGAACCAAGAACCGAGTGGGTACCCAAAATATCCAAAATATTAGTTATATATTCAAAATATTAGTTATATTTAGACTTAAAATAATCAAAAATATCTAAAATTACAATTATAAGTCTAAATAGTTATATTTAAGACGATATAACCAAAATATTCAAGAAATCCAAAAAGATTTAGTAGAAGATCAAAGGTGTGAATTAGGAAGGATAGGTCGCCTTACCACTCGGCCATGCCGCCAAAACGAGAGAAACTATGGAATAGAAACAAGTTTTTTTTAGTTATGATTGGGTATTCAGTTAAAAAAAAAACCTATTATTGGATAAAAAGAGACGAGATTGAATATGACGAGACGAAAAAAATAGAATCGGAGAAGAGAGGAATTTTGTTTACTTCTTATGATATTAAGTGACGAGACGAGATCTAAAGGAACGGAAAAGAACAGAATAGGACAAGACGGAAATTTCGCCTACCTCAAATTATATTTATAGGGTGGAACGGGAAAAACAAAAAAAACATGATGAGAGAGGACAAGACAGAAATGTTGGACGGGACAAAATGAAAAGAAATGGAATGTGACGGGATTGGACCGGACTAGATGAAAAAGGACATAATGGGACGGGAATTTTGCCTACCCCTAATTATATTTAGAGACGAGACAGAGATAAGACAAAATGAAAATGAACATAATAAGATATGATGGGACTGGATGGGGCGGACAGAACGAACGGGATGAAAGAACATGACAAGATGAAAAGGAAATGGAATGAGATAGAATCTACCCCTAATTATATTAAGGAACGAGACAATAATAAACAAAATGGAAAGAATCATAATGGGATAGGATAGGACTGAACGAGACGGGACATACATGACGAACGGGACGGGAAAGAACGTACATGATGAAAATGAACGAAATGGGACGAGATGGAACAAGATGGTACCAAAAATTTGCCTAACTCTAATTATATTTAAGTAATATGTTTATTAATATCTTTGAAACAATATTAAATTTGCGGAAAAACAATAAAACTAACACAACCTGCGCGTAGCGCGGATCACCCCCTAGTACTATCATAAAACTTGACCTGTTGACCCCTGACTTTTCTGACGAGAATACAAGCACATAAACTGAATACTTTTATTTGAAAATACAACTTTTATAAAATCTAAATTATGGAAAATAATCTTCAAATAAAGTTATGCTAAAAACAATAAGATATTATTTCATAAATGCTAAAGCATAACTAGGCAAGAAAATCATTCGTTACCTATAATATAAGAATTGTTTTTCAAAAATTTGCTTCCTTTTCTAAAAACTTTTGACTAGAAAATATTTTCTACATATGCCGTGTTATTATATATATAACTATTCATCCAGCCAAAATGAAAACATCTAAAAATAATCTAAGAAAATAACACAGAAATGACTATCACAAAGAAAATGTTGATCGCACTTTTTCTGAGCTTTTTCTTGGCTATATCTTATGTCAAATGCTCTGCTGAGAGTATTGGTACTAGCTTATTATTATAATCTCTATTTTATTTTGTTATTTTGAACATAATTTTTTTTATGTGAATATGCATAATAGTTTATTAATTCTTGTGGAATAGGGTCTGGAAAATGGAACTATTGGCAATATGCTACAACAAAAATCAGTGGCAAGGGATGACTTGCAAGGCGTTCTGCCTGAAAACTTTAGAAGGATCGGTAACCGGTGAACTTGTTACGGAACACAGATGTTGTTGTAGAAATTATTATAATTTTTTATAAAAAGATTATTATCTATAATAATAATAATAATAATAATAATATAAATTTTTCTATAGTTGTGAGTGTAAAACCAAAATCATACTAAATTATATTCAGTTTCATTTTACTGAAGCAAATTTGGTGGCAATCCTAACAAAATATTAAACAAAGTACAAGAAAGATTCTGGTTTAGTCGGAGTAATAGCCAGTGATTTTATTCTTCCAGCTTGCAAATGTTGTTGTAGAAACTCTTATGATCTTATCTAATATTTGTATCTGCTAGAATCATAATTATCATACTATAGTTACAATTATAAAACCGAGAACGTTACAGTATATATAAATCATACAATAGTAAATTGTGTTGGATTTGATTTTACTTGAGCGAATTGTGTTCCTTCTTTCCTTAGAGATGTAATTCATAATGACACGTGTCGAGCATGTATTTATTCACCGTTTAAGGAAAAAAAAGGAAAAATCCTCAATTTTTTTTCTCTCTCTCTCTCTCTTGGCCCATGGAAATGAATCGAATCGCCTTCTTTCCAATTCGTTTCCGGCGATCGGTCTCAGTCGGAGCTCCGATCGTGGCAGATGGTGGTTGCATCTGTCTATCTCTATCCCTCTCCTTCTCGTACCAAAATTGTGTTTAATCCTGGTCGAAACTGAGTTCCTTTGTTTAGGGGTTTTGATAAGGTCTGGTTTTTTGTTTATAGGGTGAGGGGAAAACAGATAGGCCATGGAATATCAGAGAGTCTTATCAGTAAATTCACTCGTGGGTTGTTCAATCTTGGAGAAACTTAAGATGAAGATGACTCCAGCTCTATTTGAATACAATAGAAAGCCTTTTTGGGTGCTCCGTTCACAACTTTGTTCATTTAAATTATTTTTTGTGCATATATCCCCCATTCCCCAAAACATCGTGAAAAAAAAACAAAAGAACCTAAAAGACCAATGGGACCAACACCAGAGTTTGCTAAAGACTTGAAAGTGGCGGATCTTCTGCTACCACAGTCAAGAGGATGGAATGAAGACTTGATTAACACTTTATTACCTTGTTACAAGGAAGAGATACTTTGCATTGTCCCTGGTTCTTTTGATACAGAAGATTGCCTAGCGTGGCTCCCACAGATGACGGGAGAATACTCGGTGAAAACAGGGTACTACGCAGCACGAGATCGAGCCCCATCAGACCTAATCCCTGCAGTCAACAACAACTTTAATTGGATTTCAGAGGTATGGGGAGGAAATTTTGCTCCAAAATTGAAAATATTCCTATGGAAAGCGGTTCAAGGAGCCTTACCAGTGGGAGAAAACTTAGCGATCCGAGGAATTGTACATCAAGCAACGTGTATCCACTGTGGACAAGCTGAGACTACCCTCCATATATTCTTCCTCTATGAATTTGCCCAGGAAGTGTGGCGTCTAGCTCCCTTCCGAAATCAATTTACCTCTGGAACTCTTACAAATATCAAAGCAGGAATCAAAATCCTCAATGTGGCGGTGAGCTTACCGCCGACAGGAATCGGCGCCGGCACGTTAGCACCGTGGATCATGTGGAGCATATGGATGAGCCGGAACAACAAGATCTTCAATAATAGAAGGTTCAATGTGCAGGAAACCCTAAATCTCGCCTCAATCCGGGGGCACGGGAATGGCAAGAGGCTCAAGAGAAGACACCGATCCGCTCCGTAGCGAACAGATCCAGTAGCAACCCGAGAAGCGTGCGATGCCACACCGATGGCGCTTGGAGTAAAGAGCAAAAGATAGGAGGAATGGGATGGAGCTTCCACGATGGAAATCAGATCCCAATTACACAGAGATCAACAGCAAGGAAGCACATAGCATCACCGCTAATAGCTGAAGGACTAGCGATCCGTTACACCCTAGAACATGCCCTTGATCTGAGTTTCTCCTCCTTGCATGTGGCCTCAGATTCACAGAAAATCGTTAGAGCAATCAACTCAGGAAGCCCGCTATCGGAGAACTATGGGATCCTTCAAGATATCGCTCATCTCTCTTCTCTGTTTGTCGATGTAATTGTCGTTTCAATTCCCAGAGAAGCCAATTTGCTGGCTGATTCTCTCGCTAAACAATCTCTCCGTGCTCTTGAGCAGTTGGGGAGTTAATGCGTTTTAATTAATAAAAGAGGTTTTAGAACCAAAAAAAAAAACACTCAAGCCACGTATCATTAGTAGGGCTGGGCATTTTTACCCGGATCCGAGGAATTGAACCGAACCCGACCCGAAAAGATGGAACCGAACCAAACCAGAATTGTTACAAATATTCAATGGGCCCAAATTTTTTATATCCAAAAAAACCAAACCCAAATCCGAACCGAACCAAGAACCGAGTGGGTACCCGAAATATCCAAAATATTAGTTATATATTCAAAATATTAGTTATATTTAGACTTAAAATAATCAAAAATAACTAAAATTACAATTATAAGTCTAAATAGTTATATTTAGAACGATATAACCAAAATATTCAAGAAATCCAAAATGATTTAGTAGAAGATCAAAGGTGTGAATTAGGAAGGATAGGTCACCTTACCACTCGGCCATGCCGCCAAAACGATAGAAACTATGGAATAGAGACAATTTTTGTTAGTTATGATCGGGTATTCAGTTAAAAAAAATCTATTATTGGATAAAAAAAGACGAGATTGAATATGACGAGACGAAAAAAATAGAATCAGAGAAGAGAGGAATTTTGTTTACTTCTTATGATATTAAGTGACGAGATGAGATCTAAAGGAACGGAAAAGAACAGAATAGGACAAGACGGAAATTTCGCCTACCTTAAATTATATTTATAGGTGGAACGGGAAAAACAAAAAAAAAACATGATGAGAGAGGCAAAACAGAAATGATGGACGGGACAAAATGAAAAGAAATGGAATGTGACGGGATTGGACCGGACTAGATGAAAAAGGACATAATGGGACGGGAATTTTGTCTACCCCTAATTATATTTAGAGACGAGGAGATAAGACAAAATGAAAATGAACATAATAAAATATGATGGGACTGGATGGGGCGGACAGAACGAACGGGATGAGAAAGAACATGACAAGATGAAAAGAAAACGGAATGAGATAGAATCTACCCCTAATTATATTAGGGAACGAGACAATAATAAACAAAATGAAAAGAATCTTAATGGGATATGATAGAACTGAACAGGACGATAATAAACAATAATTATGTTGTTGCATTCCAAGACCCTACCACATATCTTGCAGTTAAAACCTTTTTTCGACGTATGCCATTTTTCTCCCTTGTGTCAAACATCAAGCTCTGAACTTTTTTTATCTCCATATTTGACTCAACTCTACTTATTGCAGAAAGAGAGATACATGGTGACATACAGCCCCACCAAGGGCAAAGTATATGCACTTCTCAAGAATCAGGCAAACTCAGATGACATTCTCAAAGCGGCATTTCATGTACAAATGATTTTCAATCCCTGTCATATATCTCTCTAATTCTGTAGAGATGAATCAATTATAGCCTAAAGTTTCTCGTTCGGTTTCATGATAACATCACAGGCACATGTGCTTCTTCATTTCATGAATCAATCAAAAGTTAATACCCTAAAATCAGTGCAACAACCGGATCCTGATTTTGCTCCTGTGGTACATGAGCTCGAGTCTCGAATTGCTGAGTCGTGTGAAATGGTTTCTACCTCATATGGCGTATTCAAAAGCAGGGCTGCAGAGCAGGTAACTTTGCAGAAATCTGTGTATATCATATGGTTTCGTTATGTATACAAATGATGATTTGGTAAGATGGTAAAGGAGTTTCCACTTTTGCTAGGGTTGCAGAATGTCAGAATCTCTGCTTAATCCTGGACGGGCTAGGTTATGTAATGCGCATGAAGAGGTGGAGTAAACTATTATATGCTCTGATAATAAATTTCACTTCACACTATAAATTTTGTTGTCGTTGGTTCCATGAGGAAAAGAAAAAGAAACAGGTTTTGGTTGATACACGTTTAATTAACCATGCTGTAAAAATAAAATGATAATATTGTATCTAGCATTTGTAATTTAACAGATGAACCTTCTTTCTGTACCATTTCTCACAACGTTGTCATACACAGAGAGATATCACTATGCAAATGTGTTGGTTGAGGTGTAGACTAAAACATTATGTCTAGGTTTTGTGCATTTTGGCTGTATGAATATCGGATACGACTTAGCGTAATCATTTGGAGGATGGGATGAGTATATTCTTTCGATGACCTTTTTGTTTTAAATTGGGATATTCATGAGTGACTTTAAAATGGATATCATGCGTTTGTTTTGGGGTATATTAATATGAAAATCAGTCAACAGTTTCTTTTAAATTATGCAGAAAAAAAAAACGTAAAGGATTGTGTTCTATTCTCCACATCGGATTTGCAGTCACCACGTGAAAAGCAGCAATGGCTGTCCAAGTCTAGACCCGAGGAAACGGACATTACTGATTCCGATGATGTCTTTTGTTTTTCTAGAGTTTTTTTGAACTAGTTATTTCATATAGGTAGATTATATGATTGTTATACGTTTCGTACCTTCTTCATTAATTTGATAATATCACGATATCTATGTCTATATTGTTGAATGCTATTAAACATCCATTACTAATAAAAGTTGACCTTATATATATTAGAGGGTGTCCACATAGGATTCTAAAATTGAATTTGATTGGTCCATCTCATTATCTTTAATTTTGAATTTGATTGGTCCATATCATTATCTTTATTATTATTTTTTCATTAAATAATGAATTTATATAAATTTCTTATTTTACATATAATTTATTAATTAGTTTTTTATAATGATAATTTCCTCAATTAAAAATTTTATCATAATAATTCAATTCATTAATCATCGTATACTTACATATATTATCTAAATTTACATAAATTATTAGTAATAGTTATTTTTTAGTGGAAAATTTACACATAGTTTAAGTAATTATAAATATAAACTTCCTTTTCAGCCAAAAAGCTGCTATGGTGTAGTGGTTATCACATTTGTCTTAAACGCAATAGATATCGAATTCGATCCTTTGCAGCACTAGGTTTTTAAATTTTTAAAACCGTTACAAAAATAATTATATCCACATTGCCATTAAGTCAATTCACGAAAATATCTCACAACCAACAAAAAAAATTAAAGAAAAAAACATCATCATCGATAGGGGTGTCAAAATGGATCCACCCAATCCATTAGACTAAATGGATTCAAAATTTGGATACAAATGGATTCATAGACCAATTGGGTTAATGGATCAATTAGGTTGGATTGAAATGGTTAAAATTATATTGGTTTGATGGAATGAGATGGTTAACCAATTTTACCTTTTCGGTTTACCAAAATCAGAAACCAATTGATTGAGAAAACGTGATGGAAAAGCATGATTTTGAGATATTGACCAAAAACGTGATTTTGAGATTTTGACGGGAAAACATGATTTCATGGTTGTTGCTAGAAAACATGTTTTTGAGATTTCGACGGAAAAACGTGATTTGATGGTTTTGGCGAGAAAACGTGATTATTAAGTTTTTGGCAAAAAACGTGATTATGTGGTTTTGAGATTTTGGCGGAAAACGTGATTTTAAGATTATGACGGAAAAACGTGATTTCGAGATTTTGACGGAAAACATGATTTTGAGATTTTGGCGGGAAAACATAATATCGAGATTTTGACGGAAAACATGATTTTTGAGATTTTGACGGAAAAACATGAGTTCACGGTTTTTTGCAAGAAAACATGTTTTTGAGATTTTGACGGAAAAAGTTTATTTCACGGTTTTGTAGGAAAACATGATTTTTAAGGTTTTGGCGAAAAACATGATTATGCGGTTTTGAGATTTTGGCGGGAAAACGTGTTTTTAAGATTTTGACGGAAAACGTGATTTTGAGATTTTGATGTAAAAACGTGATTATGAGATTTTGACGGGAAAACATGAAGACATGATTTTTCTTATTCTAAAACAATATGGAAACACACAATTAATAAATTTTAGAGCTTATTATTTACAGTTTGGTGAGACATAGAAGATATTTTTTTTTTCTTTTTCTTTTCCGTTAGAATACGAAACATTTTTATCTTAAAATATAAAATTTGCGAAATTTTTTTTTTCCTTTCTCATTAGAATATGGAACCTTTTTAGCTTAAAATATGAGGCATGCAAAAAAAATTCTCCTTTTTCCCTTGCATATACCAATATTTTTTATTTCAATCCAAATGATTTAGAGTGAAATATTCTTTATTGATTTCTTCAACTTCAAAGACATGTTTTTTTCTTCTAAATTAGTTAAAGAGAATAAAAAATCATAAACACATGATGAAATCTTGAAGGTTATAGTTTATCTTATACTAGGGTTGGATCCGCGCCTAGCGAGGGGTGATGATATCTGAACTTATAGTTTTAAAGTTTGAAAGTTGTGATATTTATGGTAGGTTATACCGCTAAAACAAAATACCAATTTTTCAAAGTTTTTTTCTCATTTTTAGCTAATATACCAATTAAATAAACAAAATAAAAATAGTTGGTAACCCGTATTATATGCGAAATACAAAATAAAAATAAATCAAGAATATTTATGAATAATATTGGCTAATTGCAAATATAAAGACTTTTTTATTTGAATGTAAGCAATCACATTTTTTTTTTTGACGTTAAGCAATCACATTGTTAGGGATGTTAATGCAATTACTGTATCAAATTAAGATACTTTTAATGTTTTAGACTTTTAATAGATTAATCCACAAAATATGTGTTCATAAAAGCATCAAATTTTATTTAAAATATTCAATACATAGGAAAATATACACTTGTTTAGTTTTATATTATTGATTAGTTATTAAAATTACAAATTATCTTATAAATCTTTTTAAATATGTACTATTTTTAAATCTTGATAGAACTATTATTAGAATATATTAACATAGTAATATTTTAAATTTTTATCAGGTTTTATAACAGATTTCTGAACCATCACTCAACAACATATCCAATGTGAATTTATGACTAATTATAAAATAATTAAATTGGTTAACTAAAAAAAAAGTATATTACAAAGAAAAAATTATTTAAAAGAATTACAAAAAGCAAAAAAAATAATTTAGAAACGTTGGTAACAAAAAATAAAAATAAATATAACAGTATAAAAATTCATTAAAACAAAACCCGCGCGTGCGCGGATAAAATACCTAGTCTATATATATAAAGTTCATGTCATTCTATTCTGGTGCTGCCACCTCAGCAGAAAAGGGTGTCTCTAAATTCAGCATATTTTATATATATATAGATTTTCTATTTATTTTAATTTTTTATAATAATTATCATTTATTACTATAGTAACTTAATAAGAATATGAAAAGTTATTTAAAAAAACATTTTAAAACTTGAGAATTGGGGAATTTTGTTTACTTCCTATTATATTAAGTGACGAGACGAGATCTAAAAGAATAGAAAAGAACAGGATAGGACAATACATAAATTCTACCTACCTCTAAATATAATAATTATATTTAGGGGCAGAACAGAAAAACCAAAAAAACATGATGAGCGAGGACAAGACATAAAGATTGAACGGGACATATCATAATGGGATGGGAAGAAACGGGACAGGAATTTTGCCTACCCCTAATTATATTTAGAGATGAGACAGAGATAAGATAAACATGACAAAACGAACGGGATAGAAAAGAACATGACAAAACGAGCGGGATGGGAAAGAACATGACAAGATGTGATAGAATTATATCTACCCCTAATTATATTAAGGAATGAGACAATAATAAAAAAAATGGAAAGAACCATAATGGGATAGGATAGGACTGAACGAGATGGGACATACATGACAAACGGGACGGGAAAGAACGTACATGATGAAAATGAACGAAATGGGACGAGATGGAACAAGATGGTACCAAAAATTTGCCTAACTCTAATTATATTTAAGTAATATGTTTATTATATCTTTGAAACAATATTAAATTTGCGGAAAAACAATAAAACTAACACAACCTGCGCGTAGCGCGGATCACCCCCTAGTACTATTATAAAACTTGACCTGTTGACCCCTGACTTTTCTGACGAGAATACAAGCACATAAACTGAATATTTTTATTTGAAAATACAACTTTTATAAAATCTAAATTATGGAAGATAATCTTCAAATAAAGTTATGCTAAAAACAATAAGATATTATTTCATAAATGCTAAAGCATAACTAGGCAAGAAAATCATTCGTTACCTATAATATAAGAATTGTTTTTCAAAAATTTGCTTCCTTTTCTAAAAACTTTTGACTAGAAAATATTTTCTACATATGCCGTGTTATTATATATATAACTATTCATCCAGCCAAAATGAAAACATCTAAAAATAATATAAGAAAATAACACAAAAATGACTATCACAAAGAAAATGTTGATCGCACTTTTTCTGAGCTTTTTCTTGGCTATATCTTATGTCAAATGCTCTGCTGAGAGTATTGGTACTAGCTTATTATTATAATCTCTATTTTATTTTGTTATTTTGAACATAATTTTTTTTATGTGAATATGCATAATAGTTTATTAATTCTTGTGGAATAGGGTCTGGAAAATGGAGCGACTATTGGCAGATATGCTACAACAAAAATCAGTGGCAAGGGATGACTTGCAAGGCGTTCTGCCTGAAAACTTTAGAAGGATCGGTAACTGGTGAACTTGTTACGGAACACAGATGTTGTTGTAGAAATTATTATAATTTTTTATAAAAAGATTATTATCTTATAATAATAATAATAATAATAATAATATAAAATTTTTCTATAGTTGTGAGTGTAAAACCAAAATCATACTAAATTGTATTCAGTTTCATTTTACTGAAGCAAATTTGGTGGCAATCCTAACAAAATATTAAACAAAGTACAAGAAAGATTCTGGTTTAGTCGGAGTAATAGCCAGTGATTTTATTCTTCCAGCTTGCAAATGTTGTTGTAGAAACTCTTATGATCTTATCTAATATTTGTATCTGCTAGAAACATAATTATCATACTATAGTTACAATTATAAAACCGAGAACGTTACAGTATATATAAATCATACAGTAGTAAATTGTGTTGGATTTGATTTTACTTGAGCGAATTGTGTTCCTTCTGTCCTTAGAGATGTAATTCATAATGACACATGTCGAGCATGTATTTATTCACCGTTTAAGGAAAAAAAAAAATATATCCTCAATTTTTTTTTTCTCTCTCTCTCTCTCGGCCGATGGAAATGAATCGAATCGCCTTCTTTCCAATTCGTTTCCGGCGATCAGTCTCAGTCAGAGCTCCGATCGTGGCAGATGGTGGTTGCATCTGTATATCTCTATCCCTCTCCTTCTCGTACCAAAATTGTGTTTAATCCTGGTCGAAACTGAGTTCCTTTGTTTACGGGTTTTGATAAGGTCTGGTTTTTTGTTTATAGGGTGAGGGGAAAACAGATAGGCCATGGAATATCAGAGAGTCTTATCAGTACAGTCACTCGTGGGTTGTTCAATCTTGGAGAAACTTAAGATGAAGATGACTCCAGCTCTGTTTGAATACAATAGAGAGCGTTTTTGGGTGCTCCGTTCACAAATTTGTTCATTTAAATTTTTTTTTTTTGTGCATATATCCCCCATTCACCAAAACATCGTGAAAAAAAACAATAAAATAAAATAAAAGAACCTAAAAGACCAATGGGACCAACACCAAAGTTTGCTAAAGACTTGAAAGTGGCGGATCTTCTGCTACCACAGTCAAGAGGATGGAATGAAGACTTTATTAACACTTTATTACCTTGTTACAAGGATGAGATACTCTGCATCTTCCCTGGTTCTTTTGATACAGAAGATCGCCTAGCGTGGCTCCCACAGATGACGGGAGAATACTCAGTGAAAACAGGGTACTACGCAGCACGAGATCGAGCCCCATCAAACCTAATCCCTGCAGTTAACAACAACTTTAATCGGATTTCAGAGGTATGGGGAGGAAATTTTGCTCCAAAATTGAAAATATTCCTATGGAAAGCGGTTCAAGGAGCCTTACCAGTGGGAGAAAACTTAGCGATCCGAGGAATTGTACATCAAGCAACGTGTATCCACTGTGGACAAGCTAAGACTACCCTCCATATATTCTTCCTCTGTGAATTTGCCCAGGAAGTGTGGCGTCTAGCTCCCTTCCGAAATCAATTTACCTCTGGAACTCTTACAAATATCAAAGCAGGAATCAAAATCCTCAATGTGGCGGTGAGCTTACCGCCGACAGGAATCGGCGCCGGCACGTTAGCACAGTGGATCATGTGGAGCATATGGATGAGCTGGAACAATAAGATCTTCAATAATAGAAGGTTCAATGTGAAGGAAACCCTAAATCTTGCCTCAATCCGGGGGCACAGGAATGGCAAGAGGCTCAAGAGAAGACACCGATCCACTCCGTAGCGAACATATCCAGTAGCAACCCGAGAAGCGTGCGATGCCACACCGATGGCGCTTGGAGTAAAGAGCAAAAGATAGGAGGAATGGGATGGAGCTTCCACGATGGAAATCAGATCCCAATTACAGAGATCGATGGAGCTTTCGTATTTTCCAAAATATTAGTTATATTTAGACTTAAAATAATCAAAAATAACTAAAATTACAATTATAAGTCTAAATAGTTATATTTAGAACGTTATAACCAAAATATTTAAGAAATCCAAAAAGATTTAGTAGAAGATCAAAGGTGTCAATTAGGAAGGATAGGTCGCCTTACCACTCGGCCATGCCGCCAAAACGACAGAAACTATGGAATAGAAAAAAGTTTTTTTAGTTATGATTGGGTATTCAGTTCAAAAAAACCTATTATTGGATAAAAAAGAGACGAGACTGAATATGACGAGACGAGAAAAATAGAATCGGAGAAAAGAGAAATTTTGTTTACTTCTTATGATATTAAGTGACGAGACGAGATCTAAAGGAACGGAAAAGAACAGAATAGGACAAGACGGAAATTTCGCCTACCTCAAATTATATTTATAGGTGGAACGGGAAAAACAAAAAAAACATGATGAGAGAGGACAAAACAGAAATGTTGGATGGGACAAAATGAAAAGAAATGGAATGTGACGGGATTGGACCGGACTAGATGAAAAAGGACATAATGGGACGGGAATTTTGTCTACCCCTAATTATATTTAGAGACGAGAGAGAGATAAGACAAAATGAAAATGAACATAATAAGATATGATGGGACTGGAAGGGGCGGACAGAATGAACGGGATGAGAAAGAACATGACAAGATGAAAAGGAAACGGAGTGAGATAGAATCTACCCGTAATTATATTTAGGGAACGAGACAATAATAAACAAAATGAAAAGAATCTTAATGGGATATGATATAACTGAACAGGACGGGACATACAAGACGAACGAGACAGGAAAGAACGTACATGATGAAAATGAACAAAATAGGACGAGATGGAATAAGATGGTACAAAAAATTTGCCTAACTCTAATTATATTTGAATAATATGTGTATAATATCTTTGAAACAATATTAAATTTGCGGAAAAACAAAAAAAAAAACTAACAGGCGCGTAGCATGGGTCACCCCCTAGTTTTAACAAAAAAAAAAAGAAGTGCTATTAAACATCAACATACGTAAATGAAACCAACTTGAGAAACATACACGATACATATTATTGGTGTGATTATACCAACATGAACGCACCGGATCGTATCAAAATTCCACGGTTAAACACATACTTAGACAAAGTCGTACTAAGATATCAAAAAGTTTTTGTGTTACTTAGACCCACTAAGATAAATGACTTCTCAAAATGTTTTTGTGTTAGACCCCTTTTTTTATTGGATTCCCCTTATCAAATTAGCTTCAAGTGAATCATGAAGGTTGAAAAAAGAAAAAGAACAAAACCATAAATGTAATTTCAAGAAGGATTTGAGTAAGAGGAAGAAATGATTATTCAGCTCCCACTGGGCACTACATGTGCTCTCTCTCCCTATTTGTCCCACTTGCCCATTATTCTACTTTCAACTCTCTCTTTTCTCTTTACCAAATCCATGACTTAAAAAATGCAGAGCCATAACATAAGTACATAACTCTTCATACCTTTCCTAAACATCATGAACGGTTCAGCCCTCTCTAGTCGCTCCTGGTAAGATATCATTTCCAGTAATATGTTTTTCTATGTTGTAGCTTATATTAAACAAGAAAATGCGAAATTGTTTAGGTCAGTGAGCGAGGAGTCACTGAGAAGGTACGTGAGGTTCGCGAGTGAGCGATGCATCCAAGAGCTCTTATCTGCCTCTGAGGCCGGACGCTTTGGGAATGCGCCCAATGGTTGGAAAGTGGTGAGGCATGACCAAAATGGCGTCGAGATTTCAAAACGCGACTCGGGATCGCTGCACGCGTTTCGAAGCCGCCGCATCCTCACATCAGTATTTCCAGAGCAGTTCATCAGAGTCGCAAATGCCAAGGTATTCATTTTTTAAGTGCTAATTCCCCTATATATCTTGACTAGTTGAAAATTTGCATGTCCTCACATAAACATAATATACTATTTTTAATACTGCTAAAAGCATATGTAAGAGATGGATACTTTAACATATATCTTGTCGTTGGTTAATAAGAGGAAGTGTATATATTTACTTTTTTCATATCTTAGTGATATATGGGATATAATACACATAACTAGTATTTTAATTAAAGTGAAAACAGAAATCTCTTTTTGTTAACATGCATTATATGTATTACTAGGAGGTGATCCGCGCTTCGCGCGGAATTTATATTATTGTGTTAATTTTATTGTTTTTCGCAAATTTAGTTTATTTCTATTGTTTATTATTGTTTCAAAAATATTACACATATTAATTAAAAATAATTAGGATTAGCAAAATTAACGTACTGTCTTGTCTCATTGTATCCCATTTCGTTCATTTTCATCATGTCCATTCTTTCTCGTCTCATCCATCATGTATGTCCCGTCCCGTCCTATCCCATTATGTTCCTTTCCATTTTGTTATGTCCCATCATGTTCCTTCCGTTTCTTCTCGTCCGTTCCCTAAATATAACTAAGGATAGACAAAATTCCCGTATAGTCCCATCCCGTCCCATTTCATTCCTTTTCATCTTGTCCCGTTCTTTCCCCGTCCCGTTCCCCTGTCCGCCCTATCGAGTCCCATCATATCTGTTATATTTTTTTTTCGGTTTTGTCTTGTCTCTGTCCGGTCCCTAAATATAATTAGGGGTAGGTGAAATTACTGTCCCGTCCCTTCTCGTCCCATTATGTCCCTTTCATCCCGTCCCGTCCAATCCCGTCTCATTCTGTTTTTTCATCTCGTCATGTCTAATTTGTCTGTCTCGTCTCGTCCAGTCTTATCCCATTTCTCTTGTTATGTTTTTTTCGTCTCATCTTGTCCGGTCTCGTCTCATTTCATCCCAAAATAGTTAAAAAAATCAGTGTTCTTTTTATAACATCTTGACATCAATGTAAATTATATAATCTAACAAAAATAAATTTACTAAATAATAGTTTTTCTAGATTTATACATAGTCTTTCTCCTTTTTTAAAAAGTGACTTTTCATATTCTTTGTTAAACTTATTATTATTATGAAATTAAAATATTAAAAAGAAAAAATATAATAAATTAAAGAAAATGCTGATATGGCAAAAAGGAATTTAGAAGCTATGAGAAGAGAGGAACATGAACTTTATATATATAGATGTAGGCTAAAGATAAATTGATGGAGGTGAAAGTTACATTTACATGTACTGTAATTTACTTATTCATTACATTTTGATATATAGACCTTACATTTTCATCAACAAACATTAAATAAACTTTATAAATATTATTATTTCCCACATGGTAGGTTTTTTTTTTTTTTTTGTTAAAGGGTTTTTTCACCCACATGCATGGTAGGTTTATTACCTACTTCATTCATAATTGAAGTTAGATTAATTAATAATAATGATCATCGGAGAAAAAAATTAAATGACAGCAATGGGAAGGTGACCTGGTGGAAGCAACACATATTAAGGACATAGATGAGAATCTGAGCGTAATCCATTTAAGGTTTGGGGAAAACTCGAAACCGCTTTTTAGGAACAGAGAGTTCATTGTCTACGAACGACGTGAGACCATGGAAGACGGTACTCTTGTGGTGGCAGTGGCGTCCCTGCCAAAGGAGATCGCAGAAGGACTAGAGCCAAAGAAGAAGAAAAACAATTCAACAAGAGGATTGTTGGTTGAGTCAGGTTGGGTTTTGGAGAAGCTTGAAGATGCCTCTTGCATGGTTACTTATGTTGCTCAGGTCTTTTAATTTTTCCTCATTTTTTTTAGACCCATGTGCAAAAAAAAATTGCCCTCTTATTTTTGTATACCAATTTTACTACAAAAATTTAGTTATCTAGCATCTGTTCTGTTATTCTCATTAACATATTTCTTTGATTTTATTTTGCAGTTGGATCCTGCAGGATGGTTGCCAAAGTTTTTCGTTAACAGATTAAACACGAAGCTAGTAATGAAACTTGATAACCTTAGAAAGTTTGCTCAAACTTTTCCACCTCATCTTCCTCATTTCTAGTTTTACTTTTTTTTTTGAAAACTTGTTTTAACGAAAAAATTTAAATTACTGAAGAGGTTAACTATTACTCCCACTTTTCTGACTAGTCCTGAGAAAGGGATTTAAAACATAATGGATTTTTTAATCGTCAAACGTTTGTAAACCGGCCGGTGTCTACCAATATTTGTTGGTTATTTGTTCTGAGTTTGGCTTCATTACTCTGCTTGTTGGGAAATGAAAATAAAACTTAGTCTTGTTCTTACACACATGATGACATTTTATAATCAACGAGAACATAACAACCAATCAAATCAAACGATTGTTTGTTTGCCATAAGGCAGTTCACAAGGCAAATTCAGTTATGTTCAAGTATGTGAGTGCACATTCACAAGACAGTTAGTATGAAATAAAAGAAAAAAAGAAAAAAGAAAGGCACAATCAATCCAACTATTGTTTGCCATAAGGATCACCAGATCCTTTGCTTGCTTCCTCGTACGTTCTTGAACTGGTTGCTGAATCTATGTTAGGGTTTAAACCCACAAGCTGCATTATGCTCTCAATCTCTTTCACAACCTCACCCATCGTTGGTCTCTTTAATCCTTCCCCCTCCACACATCTAAGAGCAAGATCTACATACGTCTCAAACCCTTTCAGGTTCCCGCTACTTGCAATGATGGCCGGATCAAGAAATTCTTGCAAATCATACAAGCTCCTCGACTTATCCATCTTCCTTTGCACCTCCCTCACCACGTATTTGCCTCCCACTATTGGGCTTTTACCGGTTAAGAGCTCAAGCATCACCACCCCAAACCCATACACATCGCTCTTCTCTGTCAGCTGATTCGTCATGTAGTACTCAGGATCAAGATAACCCTAATTACAAAGATACTGTGTAAGTTTCTCTGGATCCAAGTAGCCCTAATTCCCATACATAACGTGAGTTGCACGTAACATTTCTAAAAAAAACAGAAAAAAAAATGATTGGTGGATGATTCTCTGCTCACCATAGTTCCTTTCACTTGTGTTGTCACATGAACTTTCTCAGGGTCTCCTACAAGTTTTGAGAGCCCAAAGTCGGCAACCTTTGCTGTTAGACTTTCATCAAGTAATATGTTATTTGATTTGATGTCTCTATGTATAATTGGAGGATCAGCAAGCTCATGAAGATAAGCCAAACCCTTCCCTGAACCGAGAGCTATTCTTAGCCTTCTTGTCCAATCAAGTACAATCCCACTCTTCCCTACATATATTAGCATATCTTTAACACACAAGAAACTATATCAAAATTCCCTCAAAGGAAGCGAGAGGTTTGATATTACAAACCTGATAAACTATCTGTTAGAGAGCCATTTGGAATGTACTCGTACACGAGCATTTGTTCATTTCGATCAAAGCAGAAGCCTAACAGCCTGACAACATTCTTATGGTGCACCCTTGAAAGAAGCTCGATCTCATTTTTAAACTCCAACTCTCCTTGAGAAGATCCTTGTTGAGCTCTTTTGATTGCTATGAGTTGCCCTGAAGGAAGAATCCCTTTGTACACTTGGCCATAACCTCCACCACCAACATTATTTGCCTCTGAAAAGTTCTCAGTGCATTTCTTCAGCTCTTCAAAAGTAAAAGCTTTCGCTCCCATTAGCCGCGGAGCATCAAGACTACTCTTACTCTTATTCCATTTGGCTGAAAACATACACAAAAGAATCTCTCAGCACTGTCATCATTCAAGGGATGAGTGATCTTTTGTAGTGGTAAAAAGGTAGAACCATTTCTTCTTACCAAAAGGGTTGTTTCGACCAGTTGCTCTCTCTGCTCTCTTCTTCTGCCATATAGCATAAATCCCAGCTATAGTTAACAACAATAGAAGAACCGCAGCACCAACTGCTGCTCCGATGATAATGCCTGTGTTTGATGAGGCAGAACCTCCTACACATGTGGCAAATGAGTTTATGTCAAACCAATTTTATGTCTGATTTGATAAAAAGAAAAGTGATTGATTTCAACATACCAGAGAACGGAATATACAGATCTGCTTTGAAAATGTAAGGGCCAAATATAGAAGGAGGATCAAAATTATGCGTGCTAAACTCGGTAATGACTCTATTCATTCCAGTCTCATCAAAACTCTCTTTGCCTAATGGAAATACTAAGACCTCTATCAGAAGATGGTGATCAGGTGAAGTCTCTTTTATATTTCTGATGGCAACAGCCTCCATTTGATACTTCGGGTCCTTAAATAAATCTGCTAATTCTTTCTGTAGCATTATGAAGTTAGTGTTGTTGGAAAACCCTGAGAAGGAAGGAGACCTAAAGGTGAGTGTTCCAGTGATTGGATACACACAACGGCACGCTGGAGTCGGTTCCTTGCCATGGCTACATGAAGAACAGTTTATTTGAGGGATAGAAAATGAGTTATTGGACTGGCTTGCTTTGCAGAAGTCACTTTGTTGGTTCCCTGACTCTTTGCACACTGGATTATCTGCCAGTCTGGGGATATATCAACAAACATAAGTAATTAATTGTCTGAATATTAATCTCATAAATTGAAATTTTTGTGTGTGACCATGATACGCACATTACTTGGATGGGTTTATTAGCCGGTTGGTTATAACCTGTTATGCCATTGGTTTGTAAATCCACAAACTCCAACTGATTACTAGAGCTGGTACCGAAGTCTAGTGTTGCGTTTAACTGATTGCGCTTTAGAACACTGCAAACCAAGAAAAATAAAAATCCCAATTAGTAGATTTACTTGTGGTTGACTTCCCAATCAAAATTTTTTTTTTGAATGGGTGTAAAATTGTATTCAATCAAAATCCGGTGTTACATCAAGTGTTACAATGAGTAGAGAACATAAAAGCTGGATCTATTTCTTAGGTTCTTGTTGCAAACCATAGCATTCTATGTATAGGGTTAAAGATTTTTACTCACACAGTCTGCAATTGAATAGGGTTAAAGAGGGAGATTGGTATTGGCCCTTCAAGTTGGATCCCTTCCATCCTTCTGCATAGTGGAATATTATTTGTTTTTCGTAAGCATACACAAGAATATATGAGAGAGAGAGAGAGAGTATACAATGTTGACAAGGAGGTTAATGAAGAGATCCATGATGGAATGAGTGAGAATGTCAATTGGTTATTGCTCACATCTCTGTTTATTACAAACACAGGCATATCATCAAAAGAGGGGGCAATGGTATATTAAAAAAGGGGAAAAAAAAAGATATAGAGAAACTTACAGTGTGTGGAGATTGGTCAGATTTGATAAATTTGGAAGACTACCTGTAAATCTGTTGGAGGCCAAGTACCTGAAATGGGTTCAAGTTCAACTACAAACTCTTTTACCTCTTTTCATTTATATTTACTAACAGAAGAAAAAGAAAAAACTCAAACTGTTTACTTACAACTCGAAAAGATCTGTGAGATTATTAAGGCTTGGAGGAATGTCTCCAATTAGTTTATTTCTATCAAGACGTCTGCAAACAAAGGAAAGAGCATATAATTAGATTAAAGAAGTCAGTAAAAATAAACATTGGAAATTTGTAAATATATTTTTACTACTTACAGCACCGTCAAATTTTTAACGAGGCTGAGGCTGTTCGGAATTTTGCCTGTGAGTTGGTTTCCGTCGAACAGCCTACCAATAAAATAACAAAAACATGCAATTTTTACTTAATTGGGTAACCTTACTAAATTAGTGTAAACTATCAGCTTTCTTATGTGACACGTTAACTTACACATGCAGTAAAGTCGTCTTTGAGGAGAAGAGCTTTTCTGGGATATCGCCAGAAAGCTTGTTATTTCCAAAATGACTACAAAAGAGTACGCGAAGGAGAGTAGACGAATTAGTATTATCAAAAAGAGAGAATATATAATAAAAAAATAGAAATGAGTAAAATTTTAGTATTGTATATACAAATGTTTTGTTTCAAGAAGCATGTCAAGTCCAGGGGAAGAAGTCCCATTAGAAACTGGAATTTTTCCTTCAATCTGGTTGTCAGCTATATCTAACCAAAATAGTTTCGATAGCCGTCCAATGGAAGCCGGAATTGTCCCAGTAAATTTATTTGAATTCAGGGAGCTGTATGGAGGAAACAAAAATTAATACTAATGGATGTAGAGAAGAGAATCTAATGTAAGAGAAAAAAGAGACTGTTTATATAATATTCCAACAAATTAAGTCTTACAGGGTATTAAGTTGTTCTAGAGATCCTATGGAGTCAGGGATTTGACCACTGAAACCACATCCCATAAGGTTCCTGGAGCCAAAAAACAAAAAGTTAAGTTACAATAGAGGCGAACACTTGTAAAAGTTATGAGTATATTAACTTTCTTAAAAGAAAAATATTATAAATAATTGTGACTAGTAAGACAAAATGGTAAAGAATGGGTCATGATCTTGTTTGCTTACAAGGTAGTCAACTTCTTGAGGTTACCAATATTTGGTGGAAGCGGTCCAGACAATTTAGAGTTGGATGTCAAATCCCTACAAACATTGGATCATCATAAGAATTAACAGAAAATCCTCTTTTATTGGAAAGATCAAGAAGAAGAATGACCTACAAGATCTGCAATTCAGACAACGCGGAAATATCGGCAGAAAGCTTTCCTTCCAAGTTAAGGTTGGCTAATGATCTACAACAAGAAACCAACACAATGTTAAAAGTTTGTAGATGATCACATATTCTTAATAAGCCATATAATTAAAAAAAAAAAAAACAAGACAGACAAGAAACAAGTTGATACATTGAAATGACACGGTCATTGCTACATGTAACTCCAACCCAACTGGTTCCACAAGGATCAGAGCCTTTCCAACTCTCAGGATACCTGGTCCATTCGCTCTTCAGGGCTTGTAAAGCAGAAGCTGCACCAGTGTTTTCATTAACTCAAAGATTTTAAAATTTCCTATATATGAAAAACTCTGATAACCATCTAACATCTAACTATATACTTACCGTCTGAAATATTTGTGAACGCAGAAACAGAACAAATTTTGAAGAGAAGCAAAACCAGGAGAATGTAGACGACTCCAATTTTTGAACTCATCTTTAGACCCACAAAGAAAATCTTATCTTTTTTTTCCGCTTCTAATTATACCACAAAATCATTCTTTTGTTATGCTGTCTGCACAAGTTGTGTCGAAATCTTAAAAGAACATACGATCATGTAGACAATGATGTGAACACAAAGGAGAAGACTTTTTACAATTTAAGGGGAAAAAATATAAAGACAGTGGACTATATAAAAACTTGAACTACTTGAAACATATGATAATGAGATTAACGGAAGTATTCAAAAGACTTGTAAGATGGAAATGTCAATGGGGGTAATGAAAAGGAACAATTCATTGATATGTATAGTGGGGTTAATGAATAAATCAAAATAACACTTGTGACTTGTGACTAATGTATTATAATGAATTAATTTAGTATGTTTCTAGTCAAGTTTTTTTTATCTCATGTAATTCCTCGCATTTTTCCTTGAATTATAAATGTCAAAGTATTGGAACAAAATTGCATATACTAAGTTGAATTAAATCCTTTAAACATCATGAACATCTCAACAAGAATTATATATTACTTACTCCTCTAATATTTAGGTTAAGAAAATCAAGTAGTGTTATTGGTTCTGAGATTCACTCCATTCTTGATGAGAAAGATTATTCCACATTGATGATTTATGACACATAACAACAAATCAAATCATGCGACGCCACATTCACAAGACATTCCAAGTATGATGAAGTCACTTACGAATTAACAAAAAAAAAACGACATTTGATTTAAACGTAATCAGTCAGTGGGTTTTGCCATAAGGATCACCAGATGCTTCCTCGTACGTTCTTGAACTCGCTGCTGAGTCCACGTTAGGGTCTAATCCCGCAAGTTGTAGTATGTTCTCAATCTCCTTCACCACCTCACCCATAGATGGCCTATTCACTCCTTCTGCCTCCACGCATCTCAGAGACAACTCAACATACTTTTCAAACCCTTTCAGATTCCCGCTGCTTGCAATGATAGTCGTGTCCAGCAGTTCTTGCAAGTCATACAAGCTTCTTGATCTATCCATCTTCTTCTTCACCTCTTTCACCACGTAGTTGCCTCTCTCTATCGGTATTTTACCGGTTAATAGCTCAAGCATCACCACACCAAACCCATACACATCACTCTTCTCCGTTAACTGATTCGTCATGTAGTACTCAGGATCAAGATATCCCTAATTACAAAGATATTGTGAGTGTTTTTTCTTATTGAATTAATGGATTTTATTATATATATATGATGATAATTAATTCTCTACTCACCATTGTTCCTTTCACTTGTGTTGTGACGTGAGCTTTCTCTGGGTCTCCGACAAGTTTGGATAGGCCAAAGTCGGCAACTTTGGCAGTAAGATTATCATCAAGTAGTATGTTATGTGATTTGACGTCTCTATGTATAATTGGAGGATCAGCATTCTCATGTAGATAAGCCAGTCCTTTCGCTGAGCCTAGTGCTATTTTCAGCCTTCTTGTCCAATCAAGTCTAATCCCAGTTTTCCCTGCATTATTACAAAACTCAGCACACAAGAACTATCATAATTCTTCAAAGAGAGAGATAGGTTTGGTTATTTACCTGAGAGACTGTCTCTAAGGGATCCATTTGGGATGTACTCATATACAAGCATTTGTTCACTTCGATCAAAGCAAAAGCCCAAAAGCTTGACAACATTCTTGTGATGGACCCTTGAAAGAAGCTCAATCTCAGTTTTAAACTCCAAACCTCCTTGCAAAGATCCTTGTTGAGCTCTTTTGATTGCTATCACTTGCCCGGAGGGAAGTTTCCCTTTGTACACCTGTTTTTTTTTTTCACAAAATAATTTCTATTAATGGCATTGCTTCTTTCTCAAGTAATGCAATTTGTAAAAAGACACAAACCTTGCCATAACCTCCACCACCAACATCATTTGCCTCTGAAAAGTGGTCTGTACATTTCTTCAACTCTTCAAAAGTAAAAGCTTTTGTTCCCATTAGCTGAGGAGCATCGATACTGTTCTTGCTCGTATCCCACTTTGCTACAACATACAAAAGAGAAGCTGTAGGGATTTCTTCTCAGACAAGTTAGTAGTAAAATTTAAATTTTCTTCTTACCAAAAGGATCAATTTGATCAGTTGCTCTTTCAGCTCTTTTCTTCTGCCTAAGAGCGTAAACTCCAGCTATAGTTAACAACAACAAAAGAACTAAAGCACCAATCACTGCTCCGATGATAATGCCGCCAGTGTTTGTTGGATTAGGATCTCCTATAAATGTGAGAAAAAAAGGTTATATCAAACCAAATAAAGATTTAGGATAGTAGCAGAAATATATATATATATATATATATATATAAAAATAGGTTTAAGTGTGTGTGTCATACCAGGGAATTTTGTATACGTATTAGCGTTGAAAACATAAGGCCCAAATCTCTCTGAAGGCTTAAATCTTTGAGAGTTAAACTCCGAGAGAATCATCTCCATTCCCGACTGATTAAATCTAATTTCTTGGCCAGATGGAAATATCAAGAGATCTACTAAAAGATGATAATCAGTTTCAGTTTCCTTTATGTTTCTGATGGCCACAGACTCCACAGGATAATTAGGAGCCTTGAAGTAACTGGTGATTTTCTGTTGGAGCTCTTTGAAGTTGGTGTCATTGGAAAACCCTGAGAAGGAAGGAGATCTGAAGGTGAATGTTCCTATGATTGGATACACACAACGGCACGTTGGAGCCGGTTCTCTTTCCTGACCACATTGCCGACAATCTATCTCAGGTATGGAAAATGTAACATTTTCTCTGATTTGTGTGCAGTAGTCACTCTGCTTGTTCGTCGCGTTTTGGCACACTGGATTATCTGCCAACCTGCATGTGGATGTATCAACACACATACATTTATTGATTGAGATAGTCAAAAATTGATTTGTGACATGATACATACATTACTTGGATATCTTTAGTAGGTGGTGGTTTTGTATAATCTTTAATGTCATTGTTTCGTAAATCAACAAACTCCAACTGATTGCTGTAGCCGGTACCAAAGTCCAATGTTGCATTTACAAGATTACCCTTTAGGATACTGCATGATAAAAAAAGAAAACAACAAAAAGCTCAATCAGTTGCAATACAGATTTCACAAATTATATTTAATTTTCCAATGAAATTTTCATGTATTGTTAGGCTTACACTGTCTGTAGTAAATTAGGGGTAAAGAGGAGGACTGGTATTGGACCTTCGAGGTTGATCCCTTCCATCCTTCTGCCATGCAGAATATCATTTATACGTGGTAAGCAAACACACACACACACACCCATATATATATATATATATATAGAGAGAGAGAGAGAGAGAGTATACAATGTTGACAGGGAGGTTAATGAAGAGATCCATGATGGAATGAGTGATGATTTCAGTTTGTTGTTATTGCTCACATCTCTGTTACCAGTTCACATTATGGTAATAGCTTGATTAAGAATATAAACGTTTCCGATAGTGAATTGAGCGACATAAAAGGAAATATTGATATAGAAAACTTACAATGTGTAGAGACTGGTCAAGCTGGTTAGACTTGGAAGACTACCTGTAAATCTGTTGTTGCTCAAGTACCTGAAATGGATTCAACGTAAATTAACTCTTTACATATTTTCATTTATACCAAAAATTTGCGTCGATAACAATTAACTGACTAGTTTTCATTAACTGATAAATAGACCATTTAAATAAATAAATAAACAAAAAGAGGTTCACTTACAGTTCGGAAAGGGTTGTGAGATTATTAAGGCTTGAAGGAATATCACCAGTAAACCTATTCCTATCAAGGCGTCTGTAACAAGTAAAAGAGCATTATGAGATCAAAGGAGTTCGGATAAATAAAATATTTTAACAATCTCTTTTTTACTACTACTTAGTACTTACAGCACTGTCAAATTCTTAACGAGGCCGATTGTGTCCGGAACTGGACCCGTGAATTCGTTTCCATCGAATAGACTATCCATAAAAAAACAACAACACAAAATGCTCTCAGTATCTGCAAACTCTTAGTTTCTACATGTATACAATGAAACTTACACATGAATCAAATTCATTTTTGAGCTGAAGAGCTCTTTTGGGATATCACCCGTAAGCTTGTTATTTCCAAAATGACTGCAACACAAAGTAAAAAAGAGTCATACTAATTAGTATATTAAAAACAGTGATTATATAAAAAGAGATATTAAGATTTGGGATTAGATATACAAATGCCGAGCTTGAAGAAGCATGTCAAGTCCAGGTGATGAAGTCCCATTTGAAACCGGAATCGTTCCTTCGATTTGATTGTCAGATATATCGAACCAAAATAGGTTTGATAACCGTCCAACTGAAGCCGGAATTGTTCCAGTGAATTTATTTAAATTCAGGGAGCTGTATGGAAAACAAAAAAATATACAAATGAATACTAGTGGGTTTAGAGAGAGCTACAAGTTGAAAAGAAAAAAAAAAAACTGTTTATAATGAAAACAGAGCAATTCTTCGTAGCTAGACTATATGTCGTAATAGTAACACAAAAATCAACTTGTTTGGTGGTTTTTAAGTCATTTATCTATCTGGCAATTCTCATATATACCATTAAAACAAGTTATTTTCCTCTCATACCATCACTAGTTTTTTTTTTCTTACTCTCATACCATTTTTCCATAAATTAATTTTAAACCTTTAAAACTAAACCCTAGATACTAAACCTTAAAACCTAAATATTAAACCCACATCCAAATGATTAAATTATAAATCTCTTTTAAAGTTTTATGGTATAGATGGAAAAATGGTATGAAAAGAAAAAAAACTTGACAGTGAGTGTATTTGAAGAAATTTCTCTTATCTAATTATTAAATAATATGAAGCAAGATAAATCTTACAGGTATGTAAGTTGTTCTAACGATCCTATGGAGTCAGGGATTAGGCCACTGAAACTACATCCCATTATGTGCCTGGAGAAAAGAAAAGAAAAAAGCAGTTAGTTCAAAATATGCGATAAGACAAGGTCATTGCGATTGGGTCAGTCTTGTTTGCTTACAAGTTCTTCAACTTCTTAAGCTCGCCGATCTTTTGTGGAATTGGTCCTGACAATTTACGATTCCCTGTCAAATCCCTACAACCGTTGGATTCATAAGATGAGATAAAATTTATTTTCTATGTAAGAAAGAAAAGAAGAAAGACCTACAAGTTCTGCAATTCATCCAATAACGTTATATCCTCAGAAAGCTGTCCTTCCAAGTTAAGGTTAGCTAATGATCTGCAGCAAGGAACAACACATATTTTAATGTTTTCAGTTTCGGAGGATTATTGGAGGATGAAGCAGCAAGAAAATAACCAAACAAAGAAAAGAAAACAAGTGTTGTTTTTTGTTTTTTTTTTTTTTTGATAAAGGGTTTAGAAAAACTAATAAACAAGTGTTGTTACATTGAAATTACGCGGTTATTGTTGTCACATGTAATTCCAACCCAATCGGCGGCGGTTCCACAAGGATCAGAGCCTTTCCAACTCTTTGGAGACCCGGACCATCCAAGCTTAAGGGCTTGTAATCCAGAAGCTGCACCATTTTTTAGAACAACTCAAATATTTTGAAAACTCCTAAAAAAATGATAATCATCTAATCAATAATTATACTTACCTAGTTCTCAAAAAAAAAAAATAATAATAATAATAATTATACTTACCGTCTTGACCACCCGTGAACGCAGAAACAGAACAAATTTTGGAAATAAGCAAGATCAGGAGCATAAAGACTTCAAATCTTGAACTCATCTTGAGACCAACAAACGATCTCTTTTCTCTTTCTCTGGTTGTATTACAAAATATTCAAGAAGAAAGCATGTGGTCTACTCAAGTCATGACGAATTCTTAAAATTAATTACAGCATTCTCGCTAACAAATCATGTAGACGATATTGTTAACAACAAAAATAAAAAGAAATAGACAGTGGACCATATAAAAACTCGTTCAACTTGATATAGAAAATTATGCTATTAATTAGTCGAACGGTTTAAAATGGTTGTAAGATGAAAATGTCAACAGGGTAATGGGAAGGAATAAATTATGAAACCCTTGTTTCAAAAAGAAAAAGGAACAATATATGTATCATCATGAAAGAAATTGATAGGACGATTTTAAGGTCACTCAAATGTTGGATTGGTTGTTCGTGGAAAGCCACAGATCCTACTTCTAGTATAGGCTGGATTTGTTTGAAGATAGATGATTCAACGGTGCTTTTATGAGCTAGATGTCAAAGAAGAAGTTTATCGCCTCTTCACTCGAAGATGAAACTATGAAAGCGTTTATTATCATAGAGAATATAGTCACATGCATACTCACATGGGGGACAACATTCAAGACAAACAGTGTTGAATTGGTGTCACTTATAGTATACAATCCTCGAATGAATGTCCTGCTTCCTCTATTCTACTAGATGATGGTTTGCTTCGAAATTGGCTTAATATTTCATCTTAGTGAAGTATTAAATTTTCATTTATTTGCCCAAAACATTTCATCTTAGTTAAAGAGAGACTTGTGGAATAGAGTCGTGGTCAGCGACTAAGCAGTGATTTGAGTTTCTATTAAACAACAACATGGCATAAAGTCATGGTCGAAGAAAAAATCAGTACAGGCATTCACCAACGACTTTATATAATAATGACTTTATATAATAACGATAACTGTAACGATGATGATACATTGATACTAATGGTTTGATGATATATTGACCAGGATCCATCCCTAATAAACTATAGATTCTTTTACACTATTAATTGTTTAATTATTTTGCAATCCAAGTTGATTATATAGAGATAATCGATTGATTTTGCTTAAAAATATAAAAAGCAGGAGAGTGGCTACATTTCGAGTGGATCATCATTTTCAAATCCATATCAATTTTTTTTTTTTAAAGTTAATGGTTTGGTATTTAGATATTTAGTACGAGAATTCAACAGTTTGATTTTTTTTTCTGTAATTCTTAACATTGTTCCTTTCATAATTGTATAACTATTGGAACAAAATTGTGTCAAATCTTTGTTTTTTGGTTCGCCATGTGAACTTGTGAAGTGTGAAGTGTGAACCACCAAATCTGTAAAAGCACACAGCTCAACAAGTTTCTATTCTTACATAGATATTACTTCTCTCACTTATGTCTGAAAAATGGTGTTTATACTACCAAACTCCATTATATTTCCCTGCTTCATAATCAAGGACATATAATAACATATCAAATCATTCTAATCCACATTCACAAGGCATTTCTCAAGTATGAAGCCACTAAGAAATAACGAAGAAAAAATATATATATCGGAAGAAACATCAATCAATCATTGTGGCTCAACCTTTGAGTCTGGGAAATTTGCACTGTAATCAAACGAGTCCTTGCCATAAGGATTACCAGAAGCTCCTTCATACGTTCTCGAACTCGATGCTGAATCTACGTTAGGGTTTAACCCTGCAAGCTGCATAATGTTCTCAATCTCTTTAACAACCTCACCCATAGATGGTCTATTCACTCCTTCCTCCTCCACGCATCTCAGAGCCAAATCTACATACTTCTCAAACCCTTTCAGATTGCTGCTGCTTGCAATGATCGTCGTGTCAAGCAGTTCTTGCAAGTCATACAAGCTTCTTGATTTATTCATCTTTGTCTTCACCTCTCTCACAACGTATTTGCCTCTCTCTATTGGACTTTTACCGGTTAATAACTCAAGCATCACCACACCATAACCATAGACGTCGCTCTTCTCCGTCAATTGATTCGTCATGTAGTATTCAGGATCCAAGTAGCCCTAATTCCCATACATAACGTGAGCTGTACGTAATATTTCTAAAAAGAAAACAGAGAAACAAAAAAAAAGATGATTCTCTACTCACCATGGTTCCTTTCACTTGTGTTGTCACATGAGTTTTCTCCGGATCACCAACTAGTTTTGAGAGGCCAAAATCGGCAACTTTCGCAGTTAGATTCTCATCAAGTAATATGTTGTTTGATTTTATGTCTCTATGTATAATTGGAGGATCAGCAAGCTCATGAAGATAAGCAATACCCTTCCCTGAACCAAGTGCTATTCTTAGNAGGCCGATTGTGTCCGGAACTGGACCCGTGAATTCGTTTCCATCGAATAGACTATCCATAAAAAAACAACAACACAAAATGCTCTCAGTATCTGCAAACTCTTAGTTTCTACATGTATACAATGAAACTTACACATGAATCAAATTCATTTTTGAGCTGAAGAGCTCTTTTGGGATATCACCCGTAAGCTTGTTATTTCCAAAATGACTGCAACACAAAGTAAAAAAGAGTCATACTAATTAGTATATTAAAAACAGTGATTATATAAAAAGAGATATTAAGATTTGGGATTAGATATACAAATGCCGAGCTTGAAGAAGCATGTCAAGTCCAGGTGATGAAGTCCCATTTGAAACCGGAATCGTTCCTTCGATTTGATTGTCAGATATATCGAACCAAAATAGGTTTGATAACCGTCCAACTGAAGCCGGAATTGTTCCAGTGAATTTATTTAAATTCAGGGAGCTGTATGGAAAACAAAAAAATATACAAATGAATACTAGTGGGTTTAGAGAGAGCTACAAGTTGAAAAGAAAAAAAAAAAACTGTTTATAATGAAAACAGAGCAATTCTTCGTAGCTAGACTATATGTCGTAATAGTAACACAAAAATCAACTTGTTTGGTGGTTTTTAAGTCATTTATCTATCTGGCAATTCTCATATATACCATTAAAACAAGTTATTTTCCTCTCATACCATCACTAGTTTTTTTTTTCTTACTCTCATACCATTTTTCCATAAATTAATTTTAAACCTTTAAAACTAAACCCTAGATACTAAACCTTAAAACCTAAATATTAAACCCACATCCAAATGATTAAATTATAAATCTCTTTTAAAGTTTTATGGTATAGATGGAAAAATGGTATGAAAAGAAAAAAAACTTGACAGTGAGTGTATTTGAAGAAATTTCTCTTATCTAATTATTAAATAATATGAAGCAAGATAAATCTTACAGGTATGTAAGTTGTTCTAACGATCCTATGGAGTCAGGGATTAGGCCACTGAAACTACATCCCATTATGTGCCTGGAGAAAAGAAAAGAAAAAAGCAGTTAGTTCAAAATATGCGATAAGACAAGGTCATTGCGATTGGGTCAGTCTTGTTTGCTTACAAGTTCTTCAACTTCTTAAGCTCGCCGATCTTTTGTGGAATTGGTCCTGACAATTTACGATTCCCTGTCAAATCCCTACAACCGTTGGATTCATAAGATGAGATAAAATTTATTTTCTATGTAAGAAAGAAAAGAAGAAAGACCTACAAGTTCTGCAATTCATCCAATAACGTTATATCCTCAGAAAGCTGTCCTTCCAAGTTAAGGTTAGCTAATGATCTGCAGCAAGGAACAACACATATTTTAATGTTTTCAGTTTCGGAGGATTATTGGAGGATGAAGCAGCAAGAAAATAACCAAACAAAGAAAAGAAAACAAGTGTTGTTTTTTGTTTTTTTTTTTTTTTGATAAAGGGTTTAGAAAAACTAATAAACAAGTGTTGTTACATTGAAATTACGCGGTTATTGTTGTCACATGTAATTCCAACCCAATCGGCGGCGGTTCCACAAGGATCAGAGCCTTTCCAACTCTTTGGAGACCCGGACCATCCAAGCTTAAGGGCTTGTAATCCAGAAGCTGCACCATTTTTTAGAACAACTCAAATATTTTGAAAACTCCTAAAAAAATGATAATCATCTAATCAATAATTATACTTACCTAGTTCTCAAAAAAAAAAAATAATAATAATAATAATTATACTTACCGTCTTGACCACCCGTGAACGCAGAAACAGAACAAATTTTGGAAATAAGCAAGATCAGGAGCATAAAGACTTCAAATCTTGAACTCATCTTGAGACCAACAAACGATCTCTTTTCTCTTTCTCTGGTTGTATTACAAAATATTCAAGAAGAAAGCATGTGGTCTACTCAAGTCATGACGAATTCTTAAAATTAATTACAGCATTCTCGCTAACAAATCATGTAGACGATATTGTTAACAACAAAAATAAAAAGAAATAGACAGTGGACCATATAAAAACTCGTTCAACTTGATATAGAAAATTATGCTATTAATTAGTCGAACGGTTTAAAATGGTTGTAAGATGAAAATGTCAACAGGGTAATGGGAAGGAATAAATTATGAAACCCTTGTTTCAAAAAGAAAAAGGAACAATATATGTATCATCATGAAAGAAATTGATAGGACGATTTTAAGGTCACTCAAATGTTGGATTGGTTGTTCGTGGAAAGCCACAGATCCTACTTCTAGTATAGGCTGGATTTGTTTGAAGATAGATGATTCAACGGTGCTTTTATGAGCTAGATGTCAAAGAAGAAGTTTATCGCCTCTTCACTCGAAGATGAAACTATGAAAGCGTTTATTATCATAGAGAATATAGTCACATGCATACTCACATGGGGGACAACATTCAAGACAAACAGTGTTGAATTGGTGTCACTTATAGTATACAATCCTCGAATGAATGTCCTGCTTCCTCTATTCTACTAGATGATGGTTTGCTTCGAAATTGGCTTAATATTTCATCTTAGTGAAGTATTAAATTTTCATTTATTTGCCCAAAACATTTCATCTTAGTTAAAGAGAGACTTGTGGAATAGAGTCGTGGTCAGCGACTAAGCAGTGATTTGAGTTTCTATTAAACAACAACATGGCATAAAGTCATGGTCGAAGAAAAAATCAGTACAGGCATTCACCAACGACTTTATATAATAATGACTTTATATAATAACGATAACTGTAACGATGATGATACATTGATACTAATGGTTTGATGATATATTGACCAGGATCCATCCCTAATAAACTATAGATTCTTTTACACTATTAATTGTTTAATTATTTTGCAATCCAAGTTGATTATATAGAGATAATCGATTGATTTTGCTTAAAAATATAAAAAGCAGGAGAGTGGCTACATTTCGAGTGGATCATCATTTTCAAATCCATATCAATTTTTTTTTTTTAAAGTTAATGGTTTGGTATTTAGATATTTAGTACGAGAATTCAACAGTTTGATTTTTTTTTCTGTAATTCTTAACATTGTTCCTTTCATAATTGTATAACTATTGGAACAAAATTGTGTCAAATCTTTGTTTTTTGGTTCGCCATGTGAACTTGTGAAGTGTGAAGTGTGAACCACCAAATCTGTAAAAGCACACAGCTCAACAAGTTTCTATTCTTACATAGATATTACTTCTCTCACTTATGTCTGAAAAATGGTGTTTATACTACCAAACTCCATTATATTTCCCTGCTTCATAATCAAGGACATATAATAACATATCAAATCATTCTAATCCACATTCACAAGGCATTTCTCAAGTATGAAGCCACTAAGAAATAACGAAGAAAAAATATATATATCGGAAGAAACATCAATCAATCATTGTGGCTCAACCTTTGAGTCTGGGAAATTTGCACTGTAATCAAACGAGTCCTTGCCATAAGGATTACCAGAAGCTCCTTCATACGTTCTCGAACTCGATGCTGAATCTACGTTAGGGTTTAACCCTGCAAGCTGCATAATGTTCTCAATCTCTTTAACAACCTCACCCATAGATGGTCTATTCACTCCTTCCTCCTCCACGCATCTCAGAGCCAAATCTACATACTTCTCAAACCCTTTCAGATTGCTGCTGCTTGCAATGATCGTCGTGTCAAGCAGTTCTTGCAAGTCATACAAGCTTCTTGATTTATTCATCTTTGTCTTCACCTCTCTCACAACGTATTTGCCTCTCTCTATTGGACTTTTACCGGTTAATAACTCAAGCATCACCACACCATAACCATAGACGTCGCTCTTCTCCGTCAATTGATTCGTCATGTAGTATTCAGGATCCAAGTAGCCCTAATTCCCATACATAACGTGAGCTGTACGTAATATTTCTAAAAAGAAAACAGAGAAACAAAAAAAAAGATGATTCTCTACTCACCATGGTTCCTTTCACTTGTGTTGTCACATGAGTTTTCTCCGGATCACCAACTAGTTTTGAGAGGCCAAAATCGGCAACTTTCGCAGTTAGATTCTCATCAAGTAATATGTTGTTTGATTTTATGTCTCTATGTATAATTGGAGGATCAGCAAGCTCATGAAGATAAGCAATACCCTTCCCTGAACCAAGTGCTATTCTTAGCCTTCTTGCCCAATCAAGTCTTATCCCACTCTTCCCTGATCATTACCAAACTCAGCACACAAGAACTATCATAATTCTTCAGAGACAGAGAGAGGTTGGTTTGGTTATTACCTGAGAGACTGTCTCTAAGAGAGCCATTTGGAATGTACTCATACACAAGCATTTGTTCACTTCGATCAAAGCAGAAACCCAAAAGTCTGACAACATTCTTGTGATGGACCCTTGAAAGAAGCTCAATCTCAGTTTTAAACTCTAACCCTCCTTGTAAAGATCCTTGTTGAGCTCTTTTGATCGCTATGAGTTGTCCAGAGGGAAGAATTCCTCTGTACACCTGTTTCACCGTATCAGATTTTAGGATGAGAGAATTTCATCTAAGCTCTTCAAATGATGCCATTGAGAAAAGAGACAAACCTTGCCATAACCTCCACCTCCAACATCATTGGCCTCTGAAAAATTGTCTGTACATCTCTTTAGCTCTTCAAAACTATAGGCTTTTGCTCCCATTAGCTGAGGAGCATCAATACTGCTCTTACTTGTATCCCACTTGGCAAAAGGGTTATTCTGATTAGTTTCTCTCTGTGCTCTCTTCTTCTGCCTGAGAGCGTAGATTCCGGCAATAGTTAACAGCAGCAGAAGAACCACAGCACCAACCGCTGCTCCTATAATAATGGCCATGTTTGATGACTTGGAACCTTCTCCATCTGTGACAAGAAAAGGCAGAGCAAATTAGTCCATATGGAACCAATATAGGTTAGGGTTTGATTGTGGTTGATCATACCAGCGAAGTGGTTGTATGGGTTGGCTCTGAAAATGTAAGGACCAAAGACACTAGGAGGCTTATAAGTCTGGTTGCTAAACGCAAAATTAACATGTGACATTCCGGTCATGTTAAAAATTTCTCTGCCAAGTGGAAACACCAAGAGATCTATCAGAAGCTGATGATCATTTGGATTCTCTCTTATGTTTCTGACCGCCACAGAGTCCACCGGATAACCAAACTTCTTGAAGAAAGCAGCTATCCCCCGCTGGAGAGTTTCAAAGTTTGTGGAGTTGAAAAACCCTGAGAAGGAAGGAGACCTGAAGAAGAGTGTTCCTGTGAACGGATACGCACAGCGGCACGAAGGACTCGCTTCCATGCCTTGATCACATGGAGAACAGCTTGTTGGAATGGTGGAGTATGATGAATTGTGCTGAACTGATGAGCAATAACCCGGCGCGTTCCCCACTTCTTGGCACACTAGATTATCTGTCAATCTGTTTGGAGAAAATATCAAACAGAGATTATGTAAATTGACTGATGAAAAAGAAAGAGAGAATGGTTACTTGGGTGACAAGGAAACATACATTACTTGGATGCGTTTGTTATTTGTTGGCGGTTTGTAAGCTGTAATTTCATTGTATTGTAAATCCACAAACTCCAACTGGTTGCTGTAGTTGGTACCAAAGTCCAAGGTTTCGTTTATCCGATTTCGCTTTAAGATACTGCAAGTAAAAGAATGAAAGAATCAGTAGAGGTTTTTCAAACTTCTATCAGTTTTCAATCAAAGCTTTATGTTTTTTGTTTTACTCACACAGTCTGCAATTGAGCAGGGCTGAAGAGGAAGATTGGTATTGGACCAACTAGTTGGATCCCTTCCATTCGTCTGCCAAGGAGAAAAACCATTTGTTCTTAGTAAGTATACACATGGAGGTCAACAGAGAAACAGAGAGAGGAATGTTCATACATTGTTGCTAGAGAGCTTAATGAAGAGATCCATGATGGAATAGTTGAGCTATCCAAAGTGTTATTGCTCACATCTCTGTTACAAAAACATCACATCATGCTATAAGATTGAGTAAAAATGAAGTTTTTTGTGTAGTGGTGGAAAAAGAAGAAAACTTACAATGTGAAGAGACCGGTTAAGCTGGTTAAGTTTGGAAGACTACCTGTGAATCTATTGTTGGCCAAATACCTGTAAAATGGATTCAAAGTAAAAATCTTTAACCACTTTTCATTTATATCTACAGGAACAAAACTCAAGCTGATCACTTACAGTTCGTTAAGATTTGTGAGATTACTCAGGCTTGAAGGAATCTCTCCACTTAATCCATTCCTATCAAGACGTCTAAAACAAGGAAGTTCAAGAACACATGAGATTTCAAGAAGTTAGGGTGTATATATAAAAATTTGAACAATCTTTTACTACTTACAACACTGTCAACGTTTTAACGAGGCTGAGAGTCTTTGGGATTGTCCCTGTGAATCGGTTTCCATCGAATAGCCTATCGAGAAAACAACAAACAATGCAATCACTTGTTAGGTCACAAATCATAATCTCTCAGTTTTCACATGTTGTAATGAAACTTACACATGTATCAAAGTCATGTTTGAGCTGAAGAGCTTGTCCGGGATTTCCCCTGAAAGCTTGTTTTTCCCAAAATGGCTGCAAGAGAAATTAAAGGAGAGTTAGGTTAATTAGTATACTTAAAAAGAGTGATTAACATAAGAAGAAGTAGAAAGAGTTTTGGGATTGTTGTATATACAAGTGCTTAGTTTCAAGAAGCATGTCAAGTCCAGGTGAATCAGTCCCATTTGAAACTGGAATCTTTCCTTCAATCTGATTGTCAGCTATATCGAACCAATATAGCTTTGATAACCGTCCAATGGAAGAGGGAATTGTTCCACTGAATTGATTTAAATTCAAGGAGCTGTATGGAGGAAACACAAAATTAATACTAATGCATGCCAATTAACAGAGGCTTTTATAACATGCAAAGTGAAACAGAGTTATGTTTGTAACAAAATCTTACAGATAGATAAGTTGTTCTAGAGAACCAATGGACTCAGGGATTTGACCACTGAAACTGCATCCCACAAGGATTCTGCAGAGTATGATATGAGCTAGTTAAAATAAGAGATAAGACAAGGAGATATATATAAGAGATCCAAATGGTTTCTTTTTTTTTTGCTTACAAGTTCCTCAGTTTCTTAAGGTCACCAATATTTGATGGAAGAGGTCCTGACAATTTAGTGTTATATGATAAATCCCTACAAAAATTTGATCAGAAGATGAGAACAAAAGCCATTTCTATGTAAAGGAAGAAGAAATTGAAAACCTACAAGATCTGCAATTCAGTCAAGGCTGAAATATCTCCAGAAAGCTTTCCTTCCAAGTTAAGATTACCTAGTGATCTGCAACAAGCAATCAACACAAGGTTACAATGTTTTCAGAGGATTATTGAAAGAAGCAAGTAACAAAAAAAAACAGAGAAGAAACAAGTTGTTTACATTGAAACGACACGATCATTGCTACATGTAATTCCAACCCAACCGGTTCCACAAGGATCAGCACCTTCCCAATTCTCAGGAGCCTTGGTCCATTCAGCCTTCAAGGCTTGTAAAGCAGAACCTGCAATTTTTTAAACTAATTTCAAAGATTTTGAAAATTCTTTATATCTGAAGAAAGGTCTAATTAAAAATATACTTACCGTCTAAACCATTTGTGAGTGCAGAAACAGAACAAGTTTGGAAGAAAAGCAAGATCAGGAGCATAAAGGCTCCAATTCTTGAACTCATTTTCAAACCAACAAAGAATCTCTTTTCTTTTCTTTTCTTCCTCTGCTTCTGATTGTATTCACAAAATCATTCAAGGAGAACGCATGTGGTCTACACAAGTTATGGCCAACTCTAGAATAGAAATTTACAGCCTCAGCTCTCGAAACATGTAGACAATAATGTTAACAAAAAGGAGAAGAAGACTTTGAACAAACTGAGTGAACAAAAAAATATATAAAACAAGAAAATAGGGAGTGGAACATATATAAACTTGGTCAACTTGAAACAGCTGATAATGGGATTTAAAAAGAAGTTTTCATTACAATAGTGTAATGTGAAGGAACAAATTATGAAACAATACATTAAATAATACATATGAGTTGTCGTGATGCGAAACTAGTGTAGGACCTCTTTTTATCTACTCTATTAAATACTCATTATTGAGATCAAAGAAATTTACAAAAAAAAAATACCAATCTCCAAATTAGAAAACATTAGATATGATTTGTTTGCCAAAAACGAAAAAGAAAGACTTGTGGAATTAGAGTCGTGGTCAGCGACTATGCAGTGGTATATGTTTTTTTTGTTTTAACAACAACATGGAATAAAGTCATGGTCGAAGAAAAAATCAGCACAAGCATTTTACCAACTTGATAAGATAATGCTAATTCCAACAATGATGATGCTGATGATAATCTTGATGATATATTGACCAATACTCCTAAATCAGTTATAGAATAATCAAGTGGGTACGCAACACAGCACACACACGTAAATTGGATGGCCCCTACAGACTACATAAAGGCTCCAGCTATAAGAAGATATGTAACCATTTGAGTCTAGCTTTCAACGACCAAACCTATAACTGTCTTAATTTACTTAATTACCAAAGGAAACAAAGAGAGTACAAGTAAGTAGCACGACAACTCAAAGAAGAAAAAGTGGAGAAACGTCATGGCAATGATGTAATAGGGTAAGTATATAGGAGCAAGGTCTTTGATGTATGTCCAACGTAATGTTTTGTCGAGCGACTTGATAGAGGATGAAAATGTTGGTGTCCACAGACTATATTCATGGCTCGTGTACAGTGTTACGTCTCACAAAGTACTCTACGCGTTTAAGTATGTGAATATCCAAGGTTGCATCTCACCGATTATTACATTGAAGTCATCAGCCTTCTAATCAAAGCAATCGTGAGGTTTTCATTGCCTCAGAAGACCTAATCGGTATATATATCCAGTAGAAGATTAGGTTTGGTGACTGATTCTTTGGTAGCTTTTGATTAATAAGAACAATTAAGAGAAATCATGTTTTTATCTCCACAAGGACCACAACTTCAAAAGGTTAGTAACAATATAGGGGTTACAGATTTTCGAACTTGCAGAAAACTCTCTGGAAGATTGCAACTCCTAAACTGTGTAATTACAGAGTTGGTGCAACTGTTTCAATCTTCCTAAGATGTATAAAGCCCACCAGTTCTTCTATGTGTGGATGGAGATGGAGCCTATTTTTTTTTTTTTTTTTTGAATAACGAGGAGGTTCTGGGCCGAAGCCCGTACATCCCCAGGCCCGAAACCACAATATGTAATATTGGTTTCGTCCCAAGCGACACTCGATCTTGTGACCTCTAAGCTTTGTCTAGGGTCTCTTTACCAGTCGAGCTATAACCACTTGGTTGTGGAGCCTATCTTTGGAAATAAAGTATTCGCTAGGCATGGGATTGCGTGTACAACAGAGAGAGTCTAGGCTCTCTCACAGGACAAGATCGGGTCTCTTTTTCATTGTCTCTTAATGTGTTCGTTATTATCACATCATGCAAAGAGTGGGCTTTTAGTTAAACAATGATGAGCCATTTTTGCTTTCCCAGTTCTTTAGTATTTTTATTTTATGGAAAATCGCATAAAAAAACTTCAAAGTGATGATAGTCATTTACACTTTAAATCTTAAGAGTTTTTAAATAGCAGTTTAAACTCTTAAACCAAAAATTTTAACATATATACACTTATGTTTGTATCGATAATTTTTGTGACAATATTTTCAGCTTTGATAACTATAAATAATATTCTCCTATAATAATATTTGTTCTCCAATAAAATCAGCTTGAATTTATGTAATTTGAACCATCAAATTGAAAATTTAATACATGTAACAAGATGTATAATATAGCATAAATAATAAGTAAATATGAAAATAAAGACAATTAAGTTTGGTTTGTGTATCAAAAATTCAAACTAATATACTATTGTTGAAGAATATTATTTTGTTATTTAAGTTGAAAATATTGTTACAAAAATTATTGGTACAAATGATATATTGAAGATTATATTATATGTGTTAAATATTTAATTTGAAGGTTTAAACTGCTAGTTAAAAATTCACAATGTTTGAAGTGTAAGTGATTGTCACTTTAAAGGTTTTTTTATGCGATTTTCTCTTTTTCTCAAAAAAATGACAATATGCGATTTATTTTCTATTTATTTTGATGGTAATTTTGAGAAAAAAACGATTACTTTTTGCTTAATTATTATATCAAATATTTATAATTGTCTCATAAATATGCAATAGAAAATATCTATTTGATGGAGATATACAACTAACTATGGACCAGAACTGTATTTTCTACACAATATATATACCTGTGTTTCTCTATATTAAACGTATATAATTAATAACAAATCAACGAGTGTAAGTAACACCGTAAAATTATCCAAACATGAAACATCACACTCGCCATTATAATCATCTTATCCACACTCATTAGTTAGTACTCACCGTCTCACCTCTTCCCCTTAATTGTGGTTGAAATCAAACGTGTCTCTTTCTCCCAAGTACGTTACTCACATGCATTGGCATTTTTTCTCCTAAACTCTCTTTTTCTTTTCTTTTTATTGTGTACTATGATTTACTTCTTTTATTTAATTCTTTATTTCTTTTTTATTGTGTACTATGATTTATGTGAGAAGGAATCTTTCATTAATGAGAATGATGGACCCTCGAATGGTTCACAAAATTTTCTACCTTTTGTCTCCTAATTATCTCCTGAATTTTATCTAATAAACGTCTCCTTAAAATCCGATGCTGTGTCACAGCAAGTTTTCATCACTACACTAAGAAAAAGCTAAACCAAGAAAGATGGATGAATATGAAACCCCTCTTTTGTCTGAGTCACAAAAGGAGTCATCATCATCATCACCATCAGTGGTGGTTTCCTCATTGAAATGGATTTTGAGAGTTGTAATGTCTGTGATTTTCGTTTCTTGGGTTGTTTTGCTTTTGATGTACCCTGGAAAACTTGGTGATGGATTGGTAACAAAATGGAGAGAAGTTTCTTCTAACACTCTCTTCGGCGTCACAGGTTTATATTTTTTTCATCTAAATGCTTCGTTTCTCCGAAAAATATCCAAAAAGTGTAACAAATTTTATCCTCTGGTTTTGGAATTACAGGAAGCATGTTCTTGATCTTTAGCGGTCCGATTCTTGTTATCTCCGTCCTAGCTTCTCTCTATCTGATCATCTCCGGAGAAGAGAAGAGTTTCACTAAGTACGTACGGTTCAGATTTCATTAATTTAGTGCTTGGTATTTTATTGAGTTGATGGTGAAATACAACGGCAAATATAATAATAATAAAAATTAATAGACAGTTAATCTCTATAAACCGGACAATATGATATATGGGTCCATATTCATAAATTTAGGAATACTTGTCTTTTTTAGTTGACTGTGAAATACAATTGGCAGAGAAAAATCATATAAATTTAGGGATAATTGTTATTTTTAGTTGACTGTGAAATACAGTTGGCAACGAAAAATCATATAAACACTAACTAATTTGTGTCATCTCTAAATAACTTGATTTTAAATTCTTTTGGTTTCAATCATTTTGTTTTGCATAAAAGTCTGTTTTGGTGATTCTTTTAGGGTTTATTACTCCCTCTGTTCTCCAATAAGTGGCTTTTTAATATCTTGGTCTTCAATAATGTTTTTTCTTCATAAATGTGTGTTTTGGTGAATTTGATAGGAAGAAGATATCGAAATTCCCAAGGTTTAGGCTATGGACATTTCCTGTTCTTGTGGATGGACCATTTGGAGTTGTTTCTGCAGCTGAGTTTCTTGGAATTATGATCTTCTCTGTTTTCTTCCTCTGGGCTATCTATGCTTATACCTTGAGAAATCTCGAGCTTCTTAAGTACTTCGATGTGAGTCCGAGGGACAAAAAGTACGTTCTTAAACTCATTTATTTCTTACTTAATTATATATTAATTATTATATTTATGTGTTTTAACTCTCCTTCCAATTTTCTTTTGTGTAATTAGTTTGCTTACGTTGGAGGTAACGGGTCTGCGTTTTGGGATGATTGGATTATTCTGTATGGTGTTTTTGTTTCTTCCGGTCTCGAGAGGCTCCGTTCTCCTCCGTCTTGTCGATATCCCTTTCGAACATGCTACAAGATATCATGTTTGGCTTGGTCACATCACCATGGCTTTCTTCTCCTTGCATGGCCTCTTTTATGTAGTTGCATGGGCCATGGAAGGTCGACTTTTAGAAATTGTAAGTTTCTTGCAACACAATTTTCATTTCTCTCATTTTATGTTTTTTTCTATTGTAAAGTGTCATCATAATCATTTTCAACAACTAATTACTCCCTTTGGTCTCAACTCAGATAGTTGGGTGGCAATCCAAAGGAATCGCTGTGTTACCTGGAGTTATCAGTCTTGCTGCTGGTTTACTGATGTGGGTTACATCGCTTCACTACATGAGAACGCATTACTTTGAGCTCTTCTTCTACACCCATCAACTATACATTGTCTTTGTTGTCTTCTTGGTACTTCACGTTGGTGACTTCATATTCAGTATAGTTGCTGGAGGAATATTCCTTTTCATTCTTGACCGTTTCTTGAGGTTCTGTCAATCCAGAAGGACTGTAGATGTAATCTCCGCAACGAGTTTGCCTTGTGGAACCCTCGAACTCGTCCTTTCAAAACCACCGAGTAAGAAATTCTCTTCAGTATCATACCTCTAATCTAGGGCATCTACTGATTTTGTTTCTTTTTTGTTGCTCTCTCTTAAAACCAGATATGCGATACAATGCACTGAGTTTTGTGTTTCTCCAAGTGAGGGAACTATCATGGGTACAATGGCATCCTTTTAGTGTTTCATCAAGTCCTTTAGATGGGAAGCATCACGTGGCGGTTCTCATAAAAGTTCTTGGTGGATGGACTGCAAAGCTTAGGGACCAGTTGTCTAAGTTATATGAGGCAGAGAATCAACATAATCTCCTTTCTCCTCAGTCACATCCCAAGATCACAACTTGTGTGGAAGGTCCTTATGGCCATGAATCTCCATACCACTTGGGGTAATGCGTTTAAACATGGATGGTCATCTTGTTTTTCAATACAATAAGCTATTAGCTTTAAATACAAGAAATGTTTATTTTGGATTTACAGGTATGAGAACCTAGTGTTAATAGCAGGAGGAATTGGGATATCGCCTTTTTTCGCCATCTTAAGTGATATCTTTCACCGGAAAAGAGATGGGAAAGCTTGTCTACCAAGGAAGGTTTTAGTTATATGGGCTATTAAGAACTCAGACGAGCTCTCTCTTCTCTCAACGATCAACATACCTTCCATTTTCCCTTCCTTCTCTAAGAAACTAAACCTTGAGATTAACATCTATGTCACACGGCAATCGGAGCCTCTCTTGGTGAGTCTTGCATAAGATTTTCTTGGGCTATGCAAGAAGGAATTAGTTTCTTGAATTGATTCTGTTTTGTTTTCTTGTCATATATAGGAAGATGGGATGATTCACAAGATCGTGAATCCTTCTGTCAAACCGGTGTCAACCGGGTGTCCTATGTCGATTTTAGTTGGTACAGGGGATAATATGTGGTCTGGTCTCTATCTCATTGCATCAACAATTGGGTTTATTTCAATGATGACCTTGTTGGACATCTATTACATCAACAAATACAACATAACGGCGTGGTGGTACAAGGGACTTCTGTTTCTGGTCTCTATGGTTGCAAGTGTGTTGATTTTTGGTGGTCTTGTGGTTGTGTTCTGGCATCTTTGGGGTCAAAAAACCGGAGAAGTAGTAGAAGAAAATGCCCACGACAAGGTTGATTTGAACGGAGAAGAACTACATAACCCATCTGAGGACCTTAAAGGCCTTGACATAGTTGAAGATGTCCAGAGTTACACCACTACTCGTTATGGCACCAGACCAGACTTTAAAGGTACCATATAAAGTACCTTTATATACAATCCGGTTTTCATTCGGTTCGTTTAGACACATAATTTAATTCGGTTTTTTTAAAACAAAAAACAAAATTGAAAGATTTTCAAGTTTTAAAACTCTCTTTTCTGTTCGGTTTGGTTTGATTTCAACTGTGGTAAAAATAAATTCAACTTGGCTTATCTTCTCTTAGGATTTGGGTCATTTATTTTAACGGATTGGTCATGAGTTTGGACATTCCTAGTCCAAACAAATATTAAAATAGTTTTTTTTTTTTTTTTTAATAAACTGTGCGACTTGAATTCAATGTGGTTCATTTATTTTATAGTTTTTTAATAAACTGTGTTTGCAGAGATATTTGAGTCGTTGAATGGGAAATGGGGAAGTGTGGATGTTGGAGTTATTGTGTGCGGACCGGCGAGTCTTCAGTCGACCGTTGCCAAAGAAATACGGTCACATAGCATCTGGCGATCCGCGAAGCATCCCCTCTTCCACTTCCACAGTCACAGTTTCGATCTCTAAGTTTGCTTTCAAGGCCGAAGCAAACTATGGAATATATACATATAGATGATGCACATATATATAGAAGTTTGTATATGTTAAGGAAACTAAGCTCCTTTTGTGTATCTTTGTCTTTCAATTTTATAGCATTAGTAATCAAATGTATCAATGTATGAATTTTCTTTGGTTTTATACTTGTTGGCATCTATCTGTTCGTTCATTGGGAGGGACACTGGTTAAATACTTAAATGCAATAAATCCTCAAATAATACATGCAACTGATATATAAATAAGAGAAAATTGCCAATTTACCCCAAAAAAAGGCATTTTTGTCCCACTACACCTTTCCATCTTGTTGTTGTCTTAATACACTTTTTTTAAAATAATTTGGACATTTTTGACCTTCAAATTGAATTGGTAATGTGTTTGGAGAAATCCTCTAAAACCATCGCTTTTAGGTCGTCAAACCTAGTATTAGATTCCACACAAACTACTCTTCCTCCTTTCCTCTCATCAGCAACAAATATCCACCCATTAATTTGACACCTCTTCCATGAACCACATACTACATAGATTTGGATTTGAACCATATTGGATAGAGAGAAAGAGGACTACAGAGGAGGAAGGGGATGAAGAAGATGAGGAAGAAGATCATGGAGGATTATTTTCGGATAGTTGGATGAAAATAAGGAAACAAAGATTTGAAAAATATTTTTTTGCAATATTCTCTCGATTTTTGCAGATGATGAACTCTACACAATGTAGAACTAACCTATTTAGTAGAATATCCTGTGAAAACACGAATACTACGCCTTGCAGAAAAACATGAAATATGTAGTACACGAAAACTATGACTGGTAGATAGCAGTGTTTACCGTAGAATTTAGAATCTACGAGTAGTAGCGGATGGTGTATTCTGTAGAATATTTTTGGAGCGAATTCTACAAAATGGTAGAGTGTATTGTATATGGTAGATATCGAAGTCTAATCCGGAAGATGAATGAAGAAATTGTAGATATCATATCCTACGACGGTTAGACTTGCGAATAACTTGTAGAAAGCGTATTCTGCTTTGATATTTTACTTTGTAGAACCAAAACTTCAAAGAATTTTTTAACCATCCAAAACATTTTTAAAAATATTCAAATATTTTACACATTCTTTAGATCATTTATAGGACTTTTAGAAATTGTGTTCACTTAAAAAAATATTCATTATCATGTTTAAACAATATTGAAGGGCAATTATGGAAAAAAATGGCCAAAGTCAAAAAAGGAGTAATAGGACAACCTTTTTTGGGGTACTTTGCCAATTTCCCCTGTAAATAAAGGTGGTTAGAACATCATTTTAAAATTTTAAGTGAATTTTACTTCTCATTATTGTTTTCTTTTTGTAATAAACTAATGATGATCTAGAGACCAACCTAAATGATGACGTGGAAAACACCATAATCTCAAGATTAAATAAAATAAAAGATGCATCCCAGGCTACATCCCACCGACAGTCGAGTTAGGGGATGTGTCTTTGTCATTCACCCGATCTCAGCCAATTGCTTTACTGGTAAACAAAGTATCTGAAATTTTAAATTTCTTTTCTTAAAACGGTGGATATAATATAATATTAGTATTTTTAATTATATTGTTTAGTGGTTATATACATAACGTTTTGTTCATTTTTAAAACTTTTACCGTAGAAATAGTATTCTTAATATCTACGATTATTCGCACTCATTAGCATAAAATAGAGAGAGAAAAAAAAGAAACCGACAAGAGGACCAACAATATATTTATAGGTTTACGTCTTTATAATTTTTTCTATTTATTTATTTATAGGTTGTTTTTCAAGTAATTGGATGATTTTACCATTTCGGTTTACTGTACTATTATTGTTCGATTTTATTTGATAAATTAGATGAAGATACTAATCTTTCACTAAATATCATTCATTAAATTTTCTTTCTTTAAATCCCATTTTCCAAATTTACATGTTGGCGTGAAAGCTCAATCATGGTTGGCGGAATAAGAAAAAGTCCAAAATAAGTGTTAGCTGTAAGCCTGTAACGTAACATGTAGAAGTAAACCGACAAAGAAATAAGCAAATAACAAAATAATAATTGAAGTGAGACATAAAAGGAAAAAATAAAATGAAGAGAAAAGAATCGAAGCCACAAGCCTCTTTTATACATTATTGACTAAAGCTTAGCTCTCATTTCTTCTTCACACACTAACTACAACTACACACACAAACCTCTCTTCTTCCTCCATCTTCCACACACTCTCTCTCTCTCTCTTTTCTCAGATCCGATCCATAAAACAGTGACTCGCACTACTCCTTCTCTGCTGTTTCATCTTCACCATGTACGGCCGAGATCCATGGGGTGGTCCACTCGAGATCAACGCCGCGGATTCCGCCACCGACGACGATCGCAGCCGGAATCTAAACGATCTCGACCGCGCGGCTCTCTCACGGCCTCTAGACGAGACGCAGCAGAGCTGGCTCCTCGGTCCAACGGAGCTGAAGAAGAAGAAGTACGTTGATCTCGGCTGCATAATCGTCAGCCGCAAAATCTTCGTCTGGACTGTCGGCACCATCGCCGCAGCCACATTACTCGCCGGACTCATCACCTTGATCGTCAAAACCGTCCCCCACAGCCACCACAAGGCTCCTCCGCCGGATAATTACACCCTCGCTCTTCACAAAGCCCTCAAGTTCTTCAACGCTCAGAAATGTAAGTCCCTCCCCGACTTGAGATTCTCTAGATCTGATGATGAAATTAAGTTCTGATTTCGATTTCCGATCTGATGCAGCTGGGAAATTGCCGAAGCACAATAACGTCTCGTGGAGAGGCAATTCCGGGCTTCAAGACGGGAAAGGCGAAACGGGAACGTTTTACAAAGATCTGGTTGGAGGCTATTACGACGCCGGCGATGCGATCAAGTTCAATTTCCCCATGGCTTACGCGATGACGATGCTGAGCTGGAGTGTGATCGAGTACAGCGCCAAGTACGAAGCTGCAGGAGAGCTTACTCATGTCAAGGAACTCATCAAATGGGGAACAGATTACTTCCTCAAGACTTTCAATAGCACTGCCGATTCAATCAACGACATGGTCTCACAGGTAATCAAATCAAAATCAATCTTTGTTAAAAGATCTTTAGCGAATTTTGACTGTGTATAAACAATTGTGTTCTTGTTTAGGTTGGACATGGAAACACTGATGCCGAAAGCATAGAGCCTAACGATCATTACTGTTGGATGAGGCCTGAAGACATGGACTACAAGAGGCCAGTGACTATGTGTAACGGCGGATGCTCTGATCTCGCGGCGGAGATGGCGGCTGCGTTGGCCTCAGCGTCGATTGTGTTCAAGGACAACAGAGAGTACTCTAAGAAGCTTGTGCACGGTGCTAAGACGGTGTATCAGTTTGGGAGGACTCGGAGAGGGAGGTACAGTGCGGGCGCTGCGGAGTCAGCCAAGTTCTATAACTCGAGCATGTACTGGGACGAGTTTATCTGGGGTGGGGCCTGGTTGTACTACGCTACAGGGAATGTATCGTATCTTGACCTGATCACGAAACCAACTATGGCTAAGCACGCTGGTGCCTTCTGGGGTGGACCTTTCTATGGTGTGTTCAGTTGGGATAATAAGCTCGCTGGTGCACAGGTCAGTCTACTACTGTGTTTATTAGTCCTCTGATTCAATTTGCTCTTCTTAACCTAATTGCTAACGCTTTTTTGTATCTCTGTTGTTTTTCAGTTGCTGTTGAGCAGGCTGAGGTTATTTTTAAGTCCGGGATACCCATATGAAGAGATTCTAAGGACCTTCCACAATCAGACGGGTATTGTCATGTGTTCGTACTTACCTTATTTCAACAAGTTCAACAGAACGAAAGGTGAGTTTATCTGTTTGGCTTTAGTAAGACACTGATTGTTGAGCCCTGTTCTTGATTGTTTAGGGAATCTAAAAGAAACTGTGGAAATTTTTGGTGCATGTGCAGGAGGTATGATAGAGTTGAATCATGGAGACCCACAGCCTCTGCAGTATACTGCGAATGCAGCTTTCTTAGCGACCTTATACAGTGATTATCTTGATGCTTCTGATACTCCTGGATGGTACTGTGGACCTAACTTCTACCCAACCAATGTCCTACGAGAGTTTGCGAAAACTCAGGTAATATCAATCTCTTGACACTTTTGACCAATACTTGAAACACTATTTATCAACAGTCGCATTTGTTGACTAGTTCATGCATAAATACTTGATGAGATTTGATGATTGGTATTGGAGTTAACACATAGTAAGCGCTCTGTTTTTGGCAGATTGATTACATATTGGGGAAAAACCCTAGGAATATGAGTTACCTAGTGGGATTTGGGCCCAAGTACCCGAAGCACGTGCATCACAGAGGAGCGTCGATTCCGAAGAACAAAGTGAAGTATAACTGCAAAGGAGGATGGAAATGGAGAGACAGCAAGAAGCCGAACCCGAACACGATCGAAGGAGCCATGGTTGCTGGTCCTGACAAGCACGACGGGTTCCGTGATGTCCGTATGAACTACAACTACACCGAACCGACACTTGCGGGAAACGCTGGTCTTGTCGCGGCTCTAGTGGCATTGTCCGGTGACGAACACAATTCTCGTGTTATAGACAAAAATACTATTTTCTCGGCCGTGCCTCCCTTGTTCCCGACTCCGCCTCCGCCACCAGCACCGTGGAGACCTTGAGAAAGGGAATTTTAATATCTCCTTGAGAAAGACAATGATGTTAATTTTCATGATTACATATCTTCATCAAGTAAAAGAATTTTAAACCCTAAAATATAAACTTCAAATCCTAAAATCTAAATTTTAAACGCTAAATATATATCATAGTTTAGGATTAGTAACCCGAACATGCGAACATATATATTAAATTTTGAAAATTACACTACAAGAAATTCTGTATTTAGCATCAGTTATTTTGGTAGTTAGCATCAGTTTTTAATTGACACTATAATTTTAAGGTCAATTTAAAAAGTGATGCTAAAACTGTTGATGCTAAAAATATCTTGCATCAGTTTTACAATTGACTCTAAAATTCATTGTTAGATCATATATAGTGTCAGTCTTGTAAACTGATACTAAACAATTTTTTTGCATATTATCAAAAGTGATGCTAACTAATTTTGGAGTCAGTTTACCATAACTGATGCTAGCAATTGAATTTTTTCTAGTATCAGTTTTCACAATTGACTCTAAACACTGATTTTTGTATCAGTTTTAAATAGATACAAGCACTAATCAAAATAACATTCTGTAAACATTCAAATTGCTATAATAAACTGTTCAAATTGCTATATTATCATCAAATATTGTCAACTGTAGTAAACACAATCACAAACTGTTCAAAATGGACCAACATGTACTACTGACCAAACTATTCAAACTGCTTTAAACCAAACTGTTCAAAGTGTAATAGAAATTCAACTTCTGCTTCATTGTTCCATAAGAGGAAATAGTTGAAATACTTTACCTTCTGCTTTCTTGTTCCAAGTGTAATAGAAATTCAACTTCTGCTTTTCATCATGTTAACCACATCACGCAACTTTTCCAGTTCCTCTTCAAGATAATTGACTTTGTTCCTCAAGCAAGCAACTTCTGTTTTCTCTGCTGTTGTTGTAGGCCGATTCTTGAAAAAGGTGGAAGGAGTAGGACCAAGACCAACGCAACGAACACTTCCAGGACGTTCAGCTCCAAAAACTTGAGAGAATTCATCGATTCCTGTATTTAGAGTCCTTGTATGAGCAAGTTTTTCCTGAAATCAACAAACAGAGCAAACAAGTGAATAAGAAACAGAGCAAACAAGGCAGCAAATAAGATACATACGCTACTCTCCTGAGAGATACTACATACGCTACATAAACAAGATACTATAGCTGAGAGATGATATAGCTGAGCAAAACAAAATCAGCAAGATCCAGGGCAAAACAAGGCAACAAGATCCTATAGCTGAGAGATACTACATACGCTACTCTCCTCAATTTCATTACGCTGAAAGATACTACATACGCAATTTCATAATCCAGGGCAAAACAAGGCAACAATTTCATAATCTTTCATTACTCACGCATAAACTGATATCTCATTAACAAAGTGAAAAACTTACTGATAACTCTTGTGCTTCTTCATTAATAAAGCTTCCATCAACTTTTTGGCGTGAACAAATAAAAATCTCTGCTCTACTTGGACGTTTACCTGTCTTCAGAAACTAGAGAAGTACAAGCACAAATCAGAAATAAGCAACTTACAATGTTTATAATTTTTTAGCTTATAAGCAACTTACAATTTCTTTAGATTTTCGACAAATGCTCTTCTTCCCTAAAGTGTGAGGTATCTTGTAATAGCTCCGATTGTTTATATTTCGGTCTCTTAGTTTCTACAAATCACAGGTTACAACATTAGTTTAGCTCTAAATCACATGTAACAGAGTATATTACAGTAAACTAAATGATTTACAGTACCTTAGCTCTTTCAGTGAATTGCATATGCACAAAGTCTTGCCACTGCTCTTTTGGAATAAAATCTGGTCTAGCTTCCATAGATTCCTCAGGGGTATTGCGACGACAAGAACGCCATAAACGTGTTTTTAGGCCTTTGCATTTTTGACTTAGACTTTTCATGATAAACTTCTTTCGATTGATTGAGGCATCAAAATCAAACTTAGTCTGCAAAAATAAACACAATCACCATCAAAGTTATTAGACTGCAAAAGCCCGGAAATCATATGAAATCATATGAAAGCATGGAAATTATACCTGAATGTAATCCCATACATCATCCTTTCTCCATGACTGTACTTTCCTCCAGTCTTCATAAGTTATCGGAAACTTATTCAAGTCATTACTCAGCTGTCCTAGAAACGTACCAAATAGACCTCCACTTCCTCCTTCAGGTTGATCATATGGCCCAAACTCAAGAATGACTTTACGATTCTCCATTCCCCATATATCTTGGGCATTAAGTCGTTCCTCGGTTACATTTCTTTCTGAATCTGCAAAAAAATGGCAAACAAAAGCTTATATGTAAGTTTATTTCTGAATCTGCAAAAAAATGGCAAACAAAAGCTTATGTGTAAGTTTATTTCTGAATCTGCAAAAAAATGGCAAACAAAAGCTTATGTGTAAGTACCTATTACGTTAACCACCCATTTTCCTCTCTCACGTCCTTGTGTATGCATAAACTGAGAAAAATTGGTATTTTCAAGATGCTCATCATGCTGAAAATATGATTCACTCCCTTCTCCATAATGTGTCTCATGAAATTCATCCATCTGCATACAAAAAAAACATCATCATCATCATAGCATCATCATCAAACATCATCATATACAACAAAAATATTATGAGATTCATTCATCAACTCAAACAAGACATAAAGAGCTAAAACAAGGCAAACAAAAAGACAAGAAAACATCATCATCGCACCTATTTAAACGTCATCATCATCATCTAAAACATCTCTAACTAGTTGAACATTCTGTATATCATCCGAGATGAGCAATTCCTCATTGGCACATGAATCACTTATGTCAATATCTTCAAATAGATCATCTGATATATCAGATAAACCCATATCATACAAGTCCTTAGGTTGGATATGAACAGCTATATTCCAACCAAGTTCACTCGGGTCTTCGATATAGTACACCATCTTTGCTTGGGAAGCCAATACAAATGGTTCATCTTCCTCACCTTGACCGCTATGAATTATACGAGAGAAATTCACCATATTATGACCAAAACCGTCTCTCTTGTATCCACGACTATCTCGAGTATCTGCCCATTTGCACTTAAACAACACCACTCTAAATTCTCGTAATAGTTTAGTTGAATAATGTCCACAAGCTTACCGTAGTAAGGAACATTACCCGCCCTTGGATTATGATCACGAGAAGATGAATAGCTCACAGTCTCAGCCGATGTATAGACCCCACAGTTCTGTGTTTTCAAATCACCATCTCGATCTAATGTTCTGTATCTATAACCATTGACGTTATATGATGAGAACTTCAAAACTCTATCAGAAGGACCCTTAGCAATAATTCTAATATCATCATTAATGTCATCAATCTCATTCTTCTCTACTTTATGTCTAAGCCATCTATCAAAGTGAAGATGAACTGCTCGATCAATGTCTATAGTATAACGTCGTTTCCTACCACGAGTGTTTACTCTTCTCAGCTCTTCTTTATACTTTCTGGATATTGATAAAAAAAAGAGAAAATCAACACATATAGAAAATCAATAAAAGAAAGAAGTAAGGAAAACTAATTCCTTACTCTCGTAATCTATCAAGAAATGGACAGCAAATCAAGATATAGCGATGCGCTTGTTGTCTCTCTATTGGACTTAGAGTTGCATATTGACTTGCGCCAATAGACCTCCCTAGTGATGGAAAGAAAACAGGAATAGCCGAGTCTGATCCAAGAGTATGAGTGGACATTGGAATGTCATTTACTCTTCCTGTGCGGTTGAATCTCGTCTCTATCCCATCAAGATACATAGAACAAAAAGTGAGGCATTCATCTGCCAAGTATTGCTCACATATAGATCCTTCTGGTTGAGCACGGTTTCTAACATAGGCTTTGAAACGAGAGAAATTCCTAAACACAAAGTGATAAAAAAAAATTGCAGACTAAGCACACAAATCAACACATCAAGAATGCAACGAAAACAAAAATGAAAACTAAAATGAATGAAAACTGAGAAGGAAAGCCATACCTCTCAATTGGATACATCCAACGAAATTGGATAGGGCCACCAAGTTTTATTTCCTCAGTCAAGTGGACAGTCAAATGCATCATCACAGTAAAGAAGGAAGGAGGAAATAACATCTCTAAGTGGCATAAGGTAAGGACAATTTGCTTTTGCAGCTTCACTAACTCACTATTACTGATCGCCTTTGAGCAGATATCACGAAAGAAATGACACAATTCTGTTATAACAGAAGTCACATGTGTTGAAGATATGCTACGTATAGCAATTGGTAACAAATGACCCATAATAATGTGACAGTCATGGCTTTTAAAACCATGAACTTTACGTTGCTTCTGATCAATACATCTTGAGAAATTTGAAGAGTATCCATCTGGGAGTCTTGCACTCTTTAAGATACTGAGAAAGGTATCTTTCTCACTATTGGTTAGCTTGAATGATGCTGGAGGATACTTCCCATTGTTGTCTGGCCATAATTCAGAACGAATACCTAACTCCCGTAGATCTTTCCTTGCCTTAAGATTGTCCTTGGATTTTTGTTTATCATCTAATAATGTCAAAACCACATTGTCGAAGACATTTTTCTCTATGTGCATAACATCTAAGTTATGTCTTAGCAATGAATGTTCCCAATACGGTAATTCAAAAAAGATACTCTTCTTTCTCCATTGTTGTCTGCTGCTTCCTTCTCTCATACTTTCAGCACGATCTCGTTTCCTTTTGCTAATCTCTGTTGGTTTCCCGAAAATAACATCAACACTTTCTACTTGCTGCAAGATTGTTGAGCCCGATGGTGTAATTGGAGGGTTTCTAAGCTCTTCACTACCATCAAAATGCTGCTTATCATATCGAAACTTGTGATCAGACCCAAGAAACCGTCTGTGACCCATGAAGCAATTCTTTTTACCATGTTGTAGACGTAGCTCAGTAGCATCATAGTTACACGATGGACAAGCAAGACCTGTATATGTATTCCAGCCAGAGAGATTTCCAAACCCTGGAAAGTCACTTATAGTCCACATCAAAGCTGCACGCATGGAAAACGTTTTGTTTTCTGAAGCATCAAAAGTTTGAACACCATCAGACCACAATTCCTTGAGTTCTTTTATCAAAGGTTGCAAGTAGATATCAATATCATTTCCAGGCATTTGTTTTCCTGGAATGATCATCGACAAAATCATTGAAGACTGCTTCATTGCCATCCAAGGAGGGAGATTGTATGGAAATAAGAGAACTGGCCATATACTATACTTTGTGCTCATAGAACCGTAGGGGTTGAAACCATCAGTGGCTAAACCAAGTCGAACATTTCTAGGTTCTGATGCAAAACCAGGGAACCTCTAATCAAATGATTTCCAAGCTAGACCATCTCTCGGATGTCGCATTTTTCCATCCTTGTTTTCTTGAGAAACATGCCATTTCATACTTGATGCAGTTTTTGATGACATGAATAACCTCTTTAGACGTGGCTTCAGTGGAAAGTACCGTAGAATCTTTGCAGCTTGCCTTCTTTTCTTTCTTGAACCCTTCCTCACTTTCTCCATTTTTGGTTTTCCATCTTGACGTTTCACAGATTTTGCAGACATCGTGATCAGTATCTTCTCCCCAATACAACATGCAGTCGTTTGGACAAGCATGTATTGATTCATAATCCAACCCGAGCTTACTGATTGTTTTCTTCAAATCGTAGAACGAATCTGGCAGCTTTGCATGTTTGAATGCTTCTTTAAGAAGATCAATAATCATGGACATCCCTTTATCACTAACTCTAGAGATAACCTTGATGTGATATAGCTTAAGCATAAAAGAAAGCTTCGAGAATGCTGATCCTTCATAAAGCTCTTCATTGGCATCTGAAAGCAACTCATCAAACGCTCTTTTTTCCTCAGAATTATTAGCAGAATCTTCCTGAGCAGGCTGATCATCAACATAATCTTCTTCCTGATCATCAACAAAATCTTCTTCCTGATCATCAACAAAATCTTCTTCCTGAGCAGGCCTTCAAAATTTCTTCTAATGGCTGGGAACAAATTATCTAGCAGCTCCATTGTGGAATCTTCAATCAAACTTGATATTACTATCAATTTGTTGATGAGTTTCCATTGGCATTTCAGATTCTACGACATTCAGTCGTTCACCATGAGAATGCCAATTTGTATAAGTAGGAAGAAATCCATTAAACATCAAATCCCCATAAACATCATCTCTATACTTATACTTTATCAGGCAACATCGACGACATGGACATTTTATCATGTCTGCATTAGTTTTCGAAAACGCAAATTCCAAAAAGCCTTCCACCCCATTAATGTATTCTTCAGATAAACGTGGTTTTATAATCCATGACTTATCCATATTAACCTAAAACCACAACATACATGACCACAATAAGCAAAACTAAGAATTTTATAGAGACTACATGTATAAAGCATTTTTGAGCTACAATGTCAGAATCATTAAGATGCAGAGGTGATCACACATGTATCAGAGATTAGCTAATCTCAGAGAAGCCAAATACACAATCTCATAGACAATTTAATCTCATAGAAGCCAAATCTCATCAATCACACAATCACACAATCTCATACGAATTTCAGAAACTTCGCTACCAAATCTCATCAATCTCATCAATCACACAATCACATACGAATTTCAGAAACTTCTCTGCCATATCTCAGAGATAATCTTAGTCTAAGTCAATTCTCAGAGAGCACACATATAATCCATCAAATAAGATCAAGGGACTAACCTTGACAAAATCTCAACGAAGTTTGTGTAGTGGGTTTGATTGTTATCAGCAAAACCGTCCTAGAGGAGCTGATTTGATATGGTTTCGGATCTGAAAGCAAAATAAATCACTAGTTAAGCACAATCTCAGAGATACAGGGCATCAATTTACAATGCTTGTTCTCAGAGACATTTCGACAAACACCTTATAATCAAAAGACATTTCTCAAATCTGGAGCGAAAACCGGAATCAAAAGAGACGCGACCATGGAGAAATTCTCAACGAAAACCCAAATTAAGTATGAAGGATGTATAGAAACTCTCACCTGAGATTAATTAACAAATTTTTGAATCGTAGATGTGACGAGACGTGACGGAGATGATGAAACGGAGACAGACACAAATCGGAGATGATAAATCGGAGATGAGATTTGCTATGATCGGAAAGGAGACGGAGAATTTGATCAAGCTATGAAGAAATTGACAATCACCGTCGAGATTCAGCAAAAAAAATCGAGACTCAGCGATCGCTTGAAATGGAATCAGCTCGATGAAGAAGAAAAGGAATCAGCTCGAGAAATGTTCGTTTGATTTCACTGTTCAAAATTTGAAAAAAATTATTTGTTGATATGTAGAATCACTTATCTTAGTAAATGAGGCTAAACATTCGATGCCTAACGTCATTTACATATTAATGACACAAATCAAAATATTAGCATCATTTATACATTAATGACACGAGTCCAATATATTAGCTTCAATTATGTAAAGTGACGAGAAATGCCCTCTTTTTAATTTTTAGAGTCAGTTTTGTAAATGATACTAAATAAACGATGCAAAAAATACGTTTTGTTGTAGTGTTAACACTATATAGACTATAAACAAGCATATATATACATACAAACAAAAGGCCTTAAAGGATTATAAACTTCTTTACGGCTGAATAATTAAGTTATTACAATTGCACGCTTTTTGTATAATTGCAACTCTTGTATGATTGTTAAGAGTTTATACAATTGTGTGAAGCGTAATGCCTCCAGTTGTAGTGTCTATTGAGGTAATAATGCCTTTCGTACAGAGCAATAATAATTTAGATATGGTTATCATGACGCATGATACGTAGAAAAAATCTATATATAGCAAACTATAAACGTAGGCATTTCCTTCTATCATATCACATGAGAATAGATGGGAATGTCATTTTCTCAAAGTCTTGAATGATGACCAAGTGATTGCCAATTTCCAATCCTTAATTATTTTGAAATTAAAGAAACGCTATCAAATCAATATATTATTGGATAATCGGACGGGAAATATCCTTAAAACCAAATGTGAAAGAGACATCTTATTAGGACTACAACATATATATAGTACTCATACAAATCTTATTTTACATTACGTGGTGAGGTGCATCTATGTGCACTAAAGTCTTATTAAAAATTCAAGAAAACCTTGGGTTTCACCATTTTTTTTCTTTCAGATCCTTAAATGTTGCAACGAAGCATTAGCATTTGGAATTCTAGCAACATAGTGGTTGGAGGCTTGCGCAGTTGTTTCTCTGTACTTGGGAGGGTTTTCTTCAGACAAGAGCTCTTTGATCGGTCCATATAAACGGGAACTCGTAGGATGCACAAAGAAAGATGCGATTGAGATGCGCGGCTCTTTAGCTTTGTTCGCCAAAGCCTTATGTTCCACGCTTACAAACTTGTCATTGGTTATAAGCTGCACAAAATAAAGAAATATTTATTTTTTTAAGTAATGGGTTTGTAGAGACTTTTCTCTTCCACATAAGCAAGAACTTGCCTGAAGAAGATCTCCAACGTTAACGATGAGAGATCCTGGAGTAGGAGCAACTGGGACCCAACCTCCATCATGTTGAATTTCAAGTCCTCCAATGTGGTCTTGAAGAAGAATAGTGATGAAAGTTCTGTCTGTGTGCTTTCTTGCACCGAGTGTTTTGTCTGGCTCAGGACAGTGTGGATAGCAATGGCAAAGCATATATAAACCTTTTACGCAATCCATATCTTTGAGGTGGTTAGGATTCAGCCCTAAAGCTTCTGACGCAAGCTCTAAAATTAACTCTGCTAACTTCATCACTTGCTTCGAGTACTCCAACATGATTTCCCTAAAACACACACACAAGCAAAGTTTTTTAAAATCCATTCAATAATATTAAAGCAAAGCTTGAATATCTTCAGACTCAAGGAAGAGACATCGTAATACGTACCCACAAATCTCTGGTAAGTCTTCAGCTTTTGGAGCATCAGGAGCCATAAAACAACTTAAGGTGTCTCTCCAACTCGCAGCAGGAGCGTCATAGAAATCAGCGTTAGTGTTATACTTAAGCTTCTTGGTTTTGTCTCGAGTATAGAACGCTTTTCTCACTTCTGGATCTTGCGCGTGAAAGCCACGAACCCCAGCTATCATCTTCTCCATGGTATCGAGTGGAATCCCATGGTTGACCGCCCTGAAAAATCCAAAAGTCTCCATCGCGTGCTTAACCTTGGCAATCACACTCTCCCGGGTGACTGTGGAATCCACCAACAAGCCACCTGCAAGATCGATCTCTGGGATCGTCACCGGTGAGGAGGGTTCCGGGTTTGCTGATACCGAGGCTTCCGGGTCATGGAAAATGCGTGGGATTTGTGTGATTCCGGTGTCGGCGAGACCCTTCACACCGAGCTTCATCTGGTCGAATGCTTTGGCCTCGCTTGCACGGTCGAATGTTGCCGTCGACTCCATCTTCCTTGTTTCTGTGTGAGTCTTGAAACAGAACACAGAGGGCCCTCATTTATAGAGTCTAATTATATTCGCTATTACATTTTATTCCCCACTTAAAAATTAACATAAACATTAATTAATTAGGATAAATAATGCTCCTCACGGTTTTAATTTTGATTAACTCCTTAAAATTTTGATACATATGTCCTTTTCTTGCTCTCCCTTCTCACACGAATGGGTTTATGTGTTAAAGATACTAAGCACCCTCACACATGTCCTATCGATTTTCTTTTGTTTTGGATGTGTTGTTGTTGTCAAATCTATTACGTTTATTTCATAAAAAGTTTGTCTGTTAAGAGACACATGTATGATGTATCGCACTTGGACATGGACAGATACAAAGAGTAAAAACACACTCATAAAAGAGTGAAGCAGAGATACAAACATACTTATCGTACAGAGACGTAAATAAGTCAGTCATTATCACGATGATATAGTCTAAGATCGAACAAACATATGAAAAGGCCATGTTGCTGTATCTAAGTCACGTCAAGTTTTCATATCGAAAATGAGGTAAAGTTGGAATTGACGGATAATTTAGGTTCGTGAACAAATTTATTACTTTTTTTTTTTTTTTTTTTTAATCTTTTTTTTGGTTAGAGATGAAGCCATTTTGTTTTCCCCTTTAGTTTCGTTTTCTTAAATGAAAAAAAAAACGGTACGTAGTGATAAAGTTCGATTAGGTAACGTGGAAACATAAAATTGTGTGTAGTTGATTAGGTGAGATATTGTTTATGTATATTAGTATATATCTCACGTTTCAGCTATATATATCACGTTTTAGCTATTTTTTAACGTTCGTTTCTTGTAGATTTGCAACCATCTCTATAAGTTGTTTGTAGTTAGGTGAGATATGTCACGTTTCGGCTATTAAACTAATGTTAGTTTCTTGTAAATTTGCAATCATATACCTTCTTTTGCAGAGCCAATTTGTTGTAGATTGCAATCATATACCTTCTTTTGCAGAGCCAATATTTAATTAATTTCTTGATATTAAATTAAGAGTTTATGAAATATCACGGACAAAAAAGTTCTCTTTGTCATCCCAAGACAGATACCACCGCGTGTCTCACTTTTGCTCTCCCACTAACTTTCTTTTTTTGGATTAACATGTTAATCTTATGTAAGTATACTGTGTTGAAAGTCATGGGCATTGAGCACTAGGTCGGGGAAGATGGAGATGATGATCAACAATTGCATAATCTCTCGACTCTTCAAAAGTTGAACCGGAACATCACCAAGAAATATATAGATTTATTAAGCTCAAGAATAAAAAGGATTACAAATGTGATTCAACGTTTGCCGATATGTGAATCAAAGAAATACTAAGAATAAAGAAAAAAAAGTATTAGGGTTTTTTTTCTCTTGCTTTTATGCTCTCAGCCATTTGCAGATGGTCTTCTTCCAGTTATGAAGACTCTTGTGGATGGTCTAATGCTCTCAGCCATTTGCGTATATGGTCATACTTTCTTTTGAGAAAAATAACATATAACTATAATACTTTCTTCTTATGATGATACACAATTAATTATTAAAATTTCTAATTTAAAATTTGAAGATCCCTTTTTTAGTTATTTTGAGGAGTGTGATTTTGCACCCCATTAGAAATTAATATGGACATCTACTTTTTTTTTTCTATAAAAAAATATTGGATACCCTTAATTAGTCTTATATTCTAAACTTATTTGTACATAAAATAAAATTCTCTAGGCTGTCATGCCTTCTTAGTCTATTTGGAGATACTATATTTGAGAATTTAGTGTTTATAAATTATAAATTAAACATTTTATAAATAAAAGAAAAAATGTTGTGAAATATAGTGTACAAAAATTAATTTCTGAGTTACTTCCAAATGAGATGTACATAAACCATTAATTAATATGGCCAAAAATAATGAGAGAGATGGTGGAGAGATAGATAAGAAATATGGAGCTGTATTGGTAGTTGTCAGAAGTGTACACCACCATTTCAGCTAGTTGTCTCTGTATGTGGCTCGGTATATTGTGTTGATGAGAGATAGATAGTGGAGAGAGAGAGTAGATAGAAAAATTATTAATGCATCTAGAAAACACATCAGAGAATCAAGAATAGAGAGAAAACAAAATTAACTGATATTATGTTTAAAGTTTATTTAAATAAAATGTCAGTACTGTATATGTTTGATGGAGAGATTAATGGGGGTTTGCCAAAAGAAGGTCAAAAACATTATTAGTAGGACACGTGGACTCCTAACCCTTATTGGAAAAAAAAATTTATAATTATGTTTTAGTAGTTCACTATGAAAGAGTTTTAATCCCTTCAGAGTCAATTTTCATGGAAATAAATGACTAAAATACAGAGTGATTTGATTCATGCAGTTGTAATTTGATGTTCTGACGTGGTTCAAAATAGACACAAGCGAATCTTATTTGTCGAAGAGGACGATTTGGCACAACGACCGGGAATTTGCAGTTCTCCGTCTGTTTGGATATCTTGCATATATAGTGTTCATGTTGAAGTAATGGAAAGAAATGCATGTCGATGACATGTGTCACGTACTCCTATAACATTTATGTCGTATTTGTGGAGGGAATTGAAACAACCAACATTTTTTTAATAAATATTAATCAATTCTAGCGAAGGTCTTTAAAATAAATTAAATAAATAAAATATCAATAACAAATAAATCAGCTCAGCGGAAGCAAATAATAATTAAACAAGTCTAGCAAAATAATGCAAAACAATAAAACAGTAAACATCCTATCATCCCCCTCTTCAGCCTTGATTCCGCGATCACACAAATCTTTTACCTGCAACACATTGGAATGGAGTTGCGTAAGTATTTAATAAATACTTAGTGAGGCAATCACTCTGCCTACGAGCCATTTACGCAATTTACTAGATATTTAATAATATTTATAAACTCCAATAATTATTAAATACCATTTTCCAATTATTAAATAATTTTTAATAATTAAAACTCAATTTCTCAATTATTAAATAATTCTCATAATTAAATAATAATTTTCCATATTTTAAAATAATTAAAATAATTATTTTAAACCAATTAATTAAATAAATAATTATTTAATTAATTAAATATTATTTAATTAATTAAATCCGAATTTAATCTATTTAATTCCATTAAACCAATTAAACCAATATAAACCAATTAAATTCAATTGAACCAAGATAAACCAGAATCAAATCAATTAAATTCAATTAAACCAGATTAACCACACAAACACACAATTCATCACATAAACAACCAAAATATCATGAAATAACAATTAAACACAAAACTCATCAAGAACAATCATAAACCAAATCTAATCTAGCAAATCGCGGACCCACAGTCATGCACTCACCTTGACAATGGATTGAAACTGAAGGAAAAAGGAAAGACGATGAACAGTGCCGAATCGCGGATGAACAGTACCGATGAACAGTAACCCGTGAACAGTACCAATGAACAGTAATCCGTGAACAGTACCGATAAACAGTACCCGATGAACAGTAAAATCAGATTTTTTCTAGGAACTCTCAAAATCGCCTTTCTCCTTCTCTGTCTCGAAAAACATGATGAACAGACGGCTGCTTCTCCTTTAAAACGAAAATAAGGGTTTCCAATCCTTAACCGGGCTAAACCGGACCCAATTTCACTCAAATTGAACCAAAATCAATTATCAATTATTTGGTTTATGGATGTTACAGGAATAATAGACCACGAGGTGGCTAATCGGAGAACGGACAAAAGTCGGAAAATAATGGAAAGATTAATGGAACAGATCAGTTCTGGTTAAAAGGGAGAAGAGTGTGGCCAAAACACGTTTAGGGCTTGATCCTGAATAACCAGAACGTAACCGGCCGGAGAACGGTCACACCAGAGCAAGTGTTCCTAAAAGAAAAATTTATGTAGGAGATTCCGGAGAGAGTCCGTTCCTCACCTACACATATTAACACAAAACTAATATAGTAGTAGATGAATCAAGTACATAAGTTTTCGGCTTAAAAGATTCATGAGAAATAAAGTATATGTAGCGGAATATTATTTAAAAAAAAGTATGTGTAGCTAGCGGAAGAGAAATTGCGTGAGCCCTTTCTAGTAGCGAAAAACAACAAATTCATAATGAACAAATAGCTTGTACTGTATAATAATAATATTATTATATTATTAATATATATTTTTTCTTCAATTTTGATTTTGAGAAATTTGAATTCAGATAATAATAAAGATAATATTTAAAAATAGAAAAGAAGAAAAAGTAGCAATTACTCTTTCCACTCACTCAAAGAAATCTAGAACTTACTATCAAATGAATGTGTATGTGTATACTAGAAATAGTTCGGTGGAGCATGATTATTTTTTCTCTTTCGGTTAAGTCTTATTTTACTGTAGTAATACTGGCTCTTATAATAACTGCTCGGCAATTAAATTTGTATTGAAAGCTGAGTCGATCATGTAGTACATTTTAAAAAATGAGAAGAAGAAGTAGGGCTTTTTTATTTTATACATTTTACAAATTATTAGAAATGTTTTCAACAAAATTCTGCAACTAATTAACAACTTCGTTTTATGAGGTACCACGTTAAAAAGTCGTGAGTCTCATATAAACATCTCTTCAATAATTTGTATAAATGATGATAAATCGTATTTTTTAAGATTCAAATCACAAATGTACTGCTGTAGAAACATAAACATTAATGAACCTTTGATCAAAATTGGAGCCAAACGATTTCCACTGAAATATGCTTTATATAAACATTTTAGTTTTGTAATTTAACTAGAAATGTTTATATTTTGCAACAAAAATAGTAAGTGGCCCAATAGGAATAGGGGTGAAACCTTCTTTACATATGAATAATATTAGTTAATACTGAGTGGCCCAATAGGAATAGGGGTGAAACCTTCTTTACATATGAATAATATTAGTTAAAAAGTTGTTACTGTCACAATATCTTCAGTAAAGCAAAACGTTTGTTATTAAATAATGTTTAGCAAGATTACACCACACCTACCTAGATACCCAGAAGGGAGCAAGTTGTTACCGTTGGTAATTAATCTTCTCATTAGACTCATACCTATATAAATATCTGTATGTCGATCCTTCATACCAACAACAAGCAGCAAACACAGAGCCATTCTAGACTTTGGCACTCCATAGTTCACAAAATAAACAAAAACAAAAAAAAAAAATCATTTGAACATGGATGTGACCTATCCATCTAGTTTGGCACTTGCTCTATTTTCCATTACACTGGTCTTGGCTCTTTTTGTACGTTCCTTGAGATCCAAGAAAACAAAAGGTCAGCTTCCTCCGGGGCCAAAGGGATGGCCAATCATAGGGAACTTGTTCCAAATGGTCATGAACCGGCCGACTCACGAGTGGTTCCACCGCGTCATGGCAGACATGCAAACGGAGATAGCTTGCTTCCGTTTCGCCCGCGTCCACGTCGTCGTCGTAACCTCAAGCGAGATTGCCCGAGAAGTGCTTAGAGAGAAAGACGAGGCTCTCGCAAACAGAGCTGAGGCATACTCGATTGATCTCATAAGCCATGGCTACCATGGCATCAGTTTCTCTGCCTACGGTGAGGGTTGGAAGCTGTCGAAGAAAGTGATGGTCACCAAACTCATGTCTCCTACAACGTTGAATAACACCCTCGTTAGTAGAACAATGGAAGCAGACAACATAGTCACGTATATCTTCAACCTATGCCAATCAGGGTCCATGAAAAAGCCGATCAACGTGAGGGATGCCACGTTAACTTATTCCCACGCCGTGATGATGAGGATGATGTTTGGCCAGAGGCATTTTGATGAACCGGCAGAGGACGGCGGTCTCGGGCCGAAGGAGAAAGAGCATATGGACGCAATATACCGAGCTCTTGACTGTCTTTTCGGCTTCAGCGTAGCGGACTACCTCCCTTTTCTTAGAGGATGGAACATCGAGGGAGAGGAGGAGGAAGTAAGAGGAGCGGTTGATATTATCAACAAGTGCAACGACCCGATGATCCGCGAGAGAATGCATTTGTGGAGGGAGAAAGGTGGGAAAGAGAAGGAGGAAGATTGGCTCGATATTGTTATCACGCTGAAAGATGACCAAGGAATGCCTTTACTCACGTTTGAAGAGATTAGGGCTTTTTGCAAGGTTAGTGATCTTCTTGAACGCTTTGAATATTTACAGGTAATATTAAAATTAGGGTTTCATCTCTTCTTATATGCATGTATCATGGAATTTATAGGATGTCAACGTGGCTACAATCGACAATACGATGAATAACGTGGAGTGGACGATAGCTGAGATGTTGAACCACCCAGATATTCTTAAGAAAGCTTTAGACGAATTGGACACGATAGTTGGCAAAGACAGACTTGTCCAAGAATCAGACTTGTGCAAGCTCAACTACATAAAAGCTTGTAGCAGAGAAACTTTCCGGCTTCACCCACCTAATGCTTTTTTGCCTCCTCATGGAGCCCGAGAAGATACTACTCTCGCTGGCTATTTCATCCCCAAAGGTAAAACTCATTCTTTTAGTCCCTGTCTCTTGTGACTCTAGTAATAAGTAGGATATTAAATTCTGTCAAACAATATTATATGAGGTATATATAGTCGAACATTATATGACGTGGTATGTGTTTAACTGCGATAGGTAGTCAAATTCTTGTGAGCCGTCCAGGGCTTGGTCGGAACCGTAAGATGTGGAGCGAACCTGACGCGTACAAGCCAGAGCGACATCTTGATGATTACTCGAGGGACTCAATGGGTGTTAGCATGTTGGAGCCAGACATGCGGTTCGTGATATTCAGCACCGGTCGGCGTGGCTGCCCAGGTACTAAGATTGGAGCAACTATGATCATCATGTTGTTAGCCAGGCTTCTCCAAGGGTTCGATTGGAGTCTCCCTCCGGGTGCCAGTCAAGTCGAGCTCGTCGCGAATAATAGCAACTTGTTCATGGCCAAGCCTCTACTTGCATCCGCCAAACCTAGATTGGCTCCTGGTTTGTATCCGAAAATCCAGGTCTAGGATTTCGAGAGATGATGATTTTGGTGGCTAATCGTCAGGATCCATGTCAAGTAAAATAAGATTTAGTTTACCACCAATTTCCTTAAATCCATGTATCAATTTGTCACTGTGTTACAGTGTTTTTGTAACATAATGCATGTGTTGTTGTGGTTTTCCATTTATCTTCCAGTTGCATTTATAATAATATAAGGGATATGTTTTAGTATTTGAATAACATAAAGAATATGCGTTAAGTTCGGAACTATATAGCCGAAAAAACAAATAAATAAGGAAGTTAAGTAGAGCAAGTATCAAATGGAAGAGAAAAATAACCAATTGTCTGCTTCTTACCTTATCCTCGTTTGTGCCCTAGATAAGATGATGATTGGTAGGCACAAACGAGGATAAGGTATGAAGCAGAGTCGTGCAGCATCATGTATCAAAAGAAGCAACAGCACCAAGCCCCGTGTTTTAGGCATATAATTATTGGCTCCAATTTCTTGAATGATTTGGTTCAATGGGGGAATTCTTTCGATGGGAAATTTCAAAAATATTTTTTTTTTATATATTTTCAAAACTATATCTCTAGGATGTCTATTTTCAAAACTACACTTTTTCATTGTGTAAAAATTAACTTTAAATCCAAAATTTAAACCCTAAACTCCTAAATATAACCTTAAATCCTTAAATCTAAACCCTAAATTCCAAAATCTAAACCCTAATTTGAGATTAGTGAACTCAAACTTAGATATTAAATTTAGGAAAAAAGTAGTTTTGAAAATTAACACTCCAAAATGTATATGTCTTAAAGTTCCTCTTCTTTCAATATTTATGACTAACCTCTTATAATTCAGTCATTAGCAATAAATTGGGTTCTACAAATTTGTTTTTTTGTTTTTGTTTTGTTTTTGTTTTTTTTTTTGCTTTTAGATTTTTAGATTTTAGACATTCTTATTATATAAAGCTGGACGATGAGCGCGATGTGGTTGCGACACATAAGATTATTATAACTCACATGATCGCGACATGTGTTTTATTTAATTATGAAAGTATTAAGATCGTTACATATATTATGAAATAAGGGAAAATATATATATATATATATATATATATATATATATATATATATATATAAGACCAATGAAAGATTAGTAAAAGAAAATATTTAAAATATATTATATCCTTTAGGAAAAGGAAAGTAAAAACATATTTCCATTACAAAAAAAAAAACAAAAATCAGAAAAAATAGAAAACAAATAGTTAAAAAAACATTGTTACATTCACTAAGAAAAAACATGTACTCCAATATATAATAAGCTATATCATTTATGATTTACTTGTGTGCTTTTATTTTTGATTTAAACTTTTCTCTTATTTAGAAATGAAAAATCAAATCATGTATTTGAAAATTTAAAATATCAATGAAGAATATTTAATCTCTAGATCAGTTGGATTGAAATCAAAATGATTATCGGTTTAATATTTGATCATGTGATGACATATGTTAACTCAAAAAATGGAAAAATGTAATAAAATAAATAAAAAAAACTAACTAATAATGAAAAAAACATTTATAATGGTATGAGGCAAAACAAAATTGAAAAAGAAATAATATAAATAGAAAGCAAATAAAAGCTAATACTAAATCTTTTTTTATAATTAACTAATATTCTAATTTTAAATAGTTTAATTTTTGATTTGTTGTTAAGTAAAAAAATATTAAAAAGTATTTCATCAATTGAAATCTCTTGAATGAAATAATAAAAATTTCAATAATTAAGCAATTGTTCAGATTTAGACATGTGTAATTCTTTTTATTTTAGATAAAAATAAAAATAAAACAAATTAAATCATTTTTCAAAACATGAATTCAAAAAAACAAATGTAAAATGATTACCAATTTTATTTTATTTGGAAATTATAATTGGGTTTTAAATTTTACTTATACATATTTTTAAAAGTGATCAAATTTTGATTAATATATATTCCGTGACTTATATTAGAAAAAACACTTTAAAATAAACGTGCATATATACAATGTTATATAAATCATAAATTTTTCTCCATATCAATTATTTTATATCTATTTTGTTTTCATAACACTATAAAATGACAACTATTTTGAAAATGAAGTATTTCACAGAGCAGTCACTTTTATATTTATGATATACATAAATTTTAATTAAGTTTTTGTATATTCTTTATATTAATTAAATAAAAACATATATATATATATATATATATATATATATATATATATATTTATAATTTTGCCTCAGGCCCCTGAAAAGCTTCGCACCGCAACAACAGCACATGGTCACATGACGTATCTCATGATTAACAAAAAGCCAAAAGGAAATTGTACAAGAAGAATGATCAAAGCATTACCATGAACAGTGATAAAACAAAGATACATTTTATATTTTTTTCTCTTTCTAATCCATTTACTGTGTCGAGTCTGAGTCGGGAAAATCACCTAGTTTGTGAAGAATTCAATTTGGTATAGTTTGGGAAGAACGAAAAGACGGTGTTGTTATAAGCACTTGTATTGAGGTTGTCCAAATAATTATGCGAAAATTATTAAGAAAAAGTGAAAACAGAAAATGTTACCGGGGAAGGAAAAATAATAAAGGCTTTTTCATTGTTTAATACAATGATGATGATGCTAATCCTTTTCCAAATTCATTTCGGACATTTTTTAGGCTTTTTAAGTCTGGTTCAGAGTTTGAGGTTCCAATCCTATATTGAAAAGACAAACTTTCTTTCTTATGTCACTACACCTTAGTTTACAAATATGAACAAGTAAAATCAAGAAAACTTATGGATCTTGGGACATGTAGAGTTAGTTTACAAACGAACTCTACTTGTAACATTAATCTGGCTTTCTTCATATGAGTTGCTTTGCAGTTTGAAGTAGCATATATTGACCGTGTCAGTGAATGTCAGATGACCAAGCTTCAAAGCCGCACCGATATTGCAGAAGGTTGCGTCAGTACTTGATGATCACCAAGAAACACAAATACAAACAATGTATAACCATAAGTATGTGACTATCTTCTCACTAACCTCAAAGATTGAGAGCGATGGAGCGAAAATGTTTCAGCTTCAGCGTGTCTTCTCATGTTTGGAGGGACCGGAAGATGGACAACGCCAACATTCTTGAGTACCAAAACCAATCAATAAACACACACAAACATCAAACATGTTAGCTGCAGTGAACAAAGCTTTAGCATCAGAGATTAAGAGGGAGAGAAATGGACGTACGAGAGAGTGTCAGCTGCATAGAAAATCGGAAGCCTCCCTAAACCTGCGCATTTCCACGTTCTTCTCGGTGCTAAAACAGATTTCTCAGGTCCTGATCCTGTAGCAGTTAGAACAAACTGCAAAACATTCTGTTAACACTGGTTTCTTTACAAGAACATAACTTTTGATACTTGAGTTATGGACTTGTCTTAAAAGCAAGAAACCAATTTACCAATGGAAACAGGATGGCCATAAGCGCTCCGCTCACTAGTGGAGAAAGAAAGAAAATAGCCAACACGCAGGGGCTTCCTGCAAAACCGAACAAAAGCCAGAATTAAGCTTTCCCTTTTATTCATGTCGCCAACGAAACTTATAAAAGTAGAAAAAAGTTTTACCAAAACCAGCGAAGAAGGCCCAGTTACATTCAAAGAAGTCAAGCCTTTTCTCCAGAGGAATCCCTGAGAAGTTCCACTTATATCTACAATGAGAAGAACCACAGTTTGGTGAGTTTCAAGACTGTAACTAAAGCCCTTTGTTGTATGGTGAGAGATGAGAACATACTCGTAACAATAGTAGGCATACATCCATGAAAGAAGTAAGAAATTAAGTATCTTCCCAATGAATGGTATAACGCCAACAACATAAACCTGCTTTGTACAGTCCATTTGGGTTATACCACAGAAACGTATACAGTCAATGGAGTTTCGCAACAAAGAGGAAACATTCTTTACCTCCAGGAAGAAAAATGTAAGGAGTAGTATCGAATACACCTGCTCTCCGATGCCAATCATCACCCTGAAACACAATCGTGTAACAACAAAAGGAAACTGACTCAACAAACAACCCATTGGGGTTAGCGTTTTTATACTTTTTTGGTCTTGGAAAAGTTACCCTCCAAGACCAGAAGGCCTTTCAGCATTTGCCATGTTCGCTGACGCAGGAGCTTCACCTTCTTGTCTAACTGCTTCTGCTGAGCTTAACTCAGATTTCCCCATTGCCTCGAATCCATACTTTGCAATATCGTTATACCTGAAAAGTTCATCGTAACCTCAATGTTCACCAAGAATACAGGACATGGAACAATTCTAAGAAGTTAAATCAAGAAAGCGAAAAGCAAAGATGCAAGAAGGGTTACCAGATGTTACTCAAGATGAAGCTGAGCATGTAGAGAGGATAGAACCAAAACACCTGTAGCCCCATAATAAGAAATGTTCTTTCCGAATGAGTCAGATACATTCAAAATATGATAGACTAGTCTATCTAAATCTTCCGATGTCAGCAGCGAAACTTACGTAAAAGAGCTGCAAAAGTCCATTGCGTAGAAAGGCATAAGATCGGCCATACGAACAAAACTCGTGGAACGTGACAGGAGAGCACGGATCAGGTAATATCCACTCAAGGGCTGGCTCTATAAACCACTTGAACACACCTAAACTACACCATATTTAGAAAGAAAAACTCAAAGATAAGCTTAAAGTACTAGTAAAACGCAGCCGTCAGAAGAATTCCGAAGTCAAACATCTCAAGAATCTTGTAAAATAGGAACAAAAAGTTCTCTGCTTCAATCAAGTCTATAAATTTCGAGTTGATTTAGCTCATCCAAAATCTAATTTTTTTCAGGATCATATGTAACTGGGAGCGAATTGGGTCACTTGAATGTAATCAAGCAAATCAAAAGGCAAAGTAGAAATTTTTACCTTCCTAAGAAAATGAAACCATTCAATAGAAAACACTGCCCTGTTCGTAATAGGAGCTTTCTCGACCTAGCACCACCAATCGAAAAAAAAAAAACGGGACAAAAAAAGTCTTGTTAGTGTTGAAATCGCCGAGCAGGGAGATTCGATGGAAACGAATCGGAATCAGAGAGAGGGAAACCTGCGACAGAGAACGAAAACACGGTGAAGAGAGCAAGCTTCTCGGAAACCTTCGAGCCATAGCAGCATCACGGACTTCAATTTAGTTATCATCATCTCGTCAATCAACGGCTTCGCGGTTTCCGATTGTCGATGAACGGGAAGACGATGAATCAGACAAGCAACATTAATTAGATTGTTTTCGCTTCAAGGTGGGTTTTAATTTTTTTTAATTATAATGGTCCACGAACCGGAACAAACCGGGAGTCGAACCGGGACTCCATTATCAAAGTATTGCTTTATGATTTTAAGGTCTTCTCTCTATCGTTCTCTTCCCCAGAAAAAAAAACTTAAAGCCCCCTAAATCCCTAATTATCATCCCCAGATTTGCCCACAATTCATCGATCTGCAAAATTGGACAGAGGAATCGATCGATGGAGCACCAGCACTATCCTTATCATAATCCGTTCGAAAGACGTCCCATCCTTAAATCCAAGGCCCCAGCTGTTAAGTGGACTAAGGAGTGGTAATTTCGAAAAACTTCCTTCTTTCTGATTCAATCAAAAGATTTCTGATTCAAACTGTTCGACGATGATGAATTGTGTTTTTAGGGTACCACAAGATATTGTAACCACAGGTGGGAAGTGCTTTCTTCGCAAATGGGTCACAGGTGAGAAATTCGATGCTAGTTTCTCCTAATTGTTGTTCATATCTGTATGTGCTTTGTTGAATTATGGAATTTGGTTTGTTTGGTAACAGAGGAAACGGTGAAGAGACTGAAAGAGAAAGAGAGAGAGAGCGATGTTCCGGAGCCGGAGCCGGAACCAACAACGGAGGTTTTATTTCTGTGCAGTTACGGAGGATGTGGGAAAACTTTCTTTGACGCAAGTGCTTTGAGAAAGCATTCCCACATCCATGGAGAAAGGCAGTACGTTTGCGATGTCGTTGGGTGTGAGAAGGTACAAATCATCTTTAAAGCGATACACTTTCTTGATCTTTCAGTGAGACTCATTTTCTTGTGTGTTGTGTTACCAGAAATTTCTGGATAGTTCGAAGCTGAAGAGACACTCTCTCATTCATACTGGTGCCAGGGACTTTGTATGCACTCATGAAGGGTGTGGAAAGGTGATCTATTCTTGTAACTAGTAAATTTCAAAACTTCATTCTTATGCTGTGACTAAGTTTCTTTGGGTGATGGATGCAGGCATTCTCTTTGGATTTTAACCTCAGGTCTCACATGAAGACTCATTCACAAGAAAACTATCACATTTGTCCATACTCTGGTTGTGGGAAGAGATATGCTCATGAGTACAAGCTCAAGAACCATATTCTTGCCTACCATGAAAAGGTTTCGTTTTCAGTATTATTTCCTGAGAATTACATGTTTCTTGTGTTAAGTCAGTGAAGATTGTGTTGCTTTCGATGCCTGTGTGTCTTTATTTCTTACCCTTGGGTTTACTTCAGTAATCTCACTCGATGGAAACATGTTAATGCCTATGGTATCTTTCTTGCTGGAGCATAGAATTCTATAATCTTCACTCTTTCAATAAGTTACAATTGGCAGAAACACACATTTCTTAAAGACTCAATGATTCTGGTGTGTCAGAACAAGTGTCAACTGTTAATACTCTAATTGCACTGTGAGGATGCATAGCCATAGCCAGAACAAGTGCATAGATTGCTTCATGTGTTACGTATCCCTCTGTGTAAGTATCTGTAGAACTTATCTCTCTCATTGTGTTAACAGAATGTAACTGGAGATACGCCCAAATACACTCCACCGGCAGAGAAAGTATCACGGGCTGTCAAAACACCTGCAGGTGGTTATGGCCCAGCGACTTCGGAACGTCCATACGCATGCCCTTACGACGGGTGTGAGAAAGCTTACATGCATGAGTACAAGCTCAAACTCCACTTGAAGAGAGAGCATCCAGGGCATTTACAAGAAGAGAACACGGAGAACCCAACACCAACCAAGCACAATGGCATTGACAGGAACAATGTGGATGATGGGAGTGACCAAGGCTTTTACAGGAAACACGCTAGTAACGGGAAAAGTCAGGCGCATAAACAACAAAGCAGAGCTAAGCCGAACATGAGGACACCACCAGCCAAAGCTGTAAAGAAAGGTCCGGCCTCTTCTCCTGTCAAAGCAAGGATTGCCAAGAAGCCATGGCAAGTGAAAGAAACGTTTCAAGGAGGAGAACGAGAAGAAGAAGAGGAAGATAGCGAGGAGACTGAGGAAGATAGAGAGAATGTGGATGATGGCTGGAGGTTTGGGGATAACAATGACGACGATGATGACGAAGAGACCGAGGATGAAGACTAGGTTTTGCTTCGGCTCATGCCATAGGATACTTTTTTTTACCTTTCGTTCCTGACTCTATATGAGAATGCCTTTTACACCATTCTAGTTTTAAAAGCTCTGTACAGTGGTGTTGCATTGACATTTTTAGAATTTTCTCTTTTTCCGCTCAACTTTTCCAAAGCTTTTCTTGTGAACTACTACCTCCTTTTCCATTATGTAAGTGTGGTTGTATGAGTAACTAGACCCTTACAAGATGCAAGTCATTGAACCGTTGCAAGTCACTCTTTCTCTCTCTGAATGAATAATGTTTTACAGTTTTCACACACAAAAATTAGGCCCTAATTGCTAGATGTGGGATGTCACAATGTTCTTACAAAATGCTATAACCTGGCAAGATTTGGTCTACCAGAACGTTCAAGCGCAATCTCGAAAAGATCAGCATCGGATTCTTCGTCATAGTCCATCTTACGTCTATGGCTATTTCCCACAGTGGCTCTCCCGCTTGCAATCTCATCACTGTTTCCTCTGTTGATGAAAAAGTTGCTCAGATACTGAGAATCTAATCTCCCAATGGAGAACAATTCTTTACTGTCTTCAAGCCCTAGTGAAGCAGCACCAGCACAAGGGTTTGGCGTGCGATGCACGTTAGCCGGGCCGTAATAAAATGGGGATTGCCCTAAGTTAACAAGAACTGTGGCCTCTGTGTTGGAAGCAAGAGTTGGGTACAGAGGTGTCCCAAATTCTTCTGCTTTGCAGTTGATGACGTGAACCAAGTGCGAGTTGACTGTGAAGTAAACCTTCTTCTTCCTCGGGTCGTAACCACAACCAACTACCTTGTTTTCCTTGGCCCAGTCATGTTTCTCTGATTCACAAACCAGCTTCATTCCTGACACAAACGAGTGATTAGTTCTTAAGATTCTAACTTAGATAATCCATATCATCATTCACATGAGAACTATCTGCATAAGAGTATGCAATGCAATACAATAATCACTAAGTTATATACTCCCTCTGTCTCATATTATACTCCTTCCGATCCATCGAGATACATCCACTTTTTTCACGTACATTTTGCCCAACTGCTTATAATATGAGACAGAGGGTGTATATTTGAATATCTAAAAGAAGTTCAAAAGAATTGGAGCGTCTTTATCTATTAAAAAATGGGGTATAAAGAATTCGTATAAGGTCAACATAAGCAAATGAGGTGTGATAAGAATGGACTTCTAGAGGATGTGGAAGGTTGAACAAGAACCCTTCTATGTTTTCGTTTGTTATCACGTCGTTATATTCCTTAGTGGGTCTCCATTTCTCATTAACAAAATCAAGATCTCAAAAGGCAACCAACTTTTTAATTTATTTTATTGTGTATCTTTCGTTTTTCTAACTTAACGTGCAGCTTACGTTTCCGTTAAAAAATTTACTTGATTTCGTCCTACCATTTGAATATCATGTTTAAAATAAAATGATGCAAATAAACAAATAAATTACATACCATCGAGATAAACCGCACCATCCGACTGGAATCCGATAGAGGCTGGGAATTTTCCGGGCAGTCGTGGCTCGCCGACGCCGCCAGTGGAGCCACCACCAGTCGCTAGTCCTATAGACAAGACCGCTTCTTCGTTTTCACCGTCCCATTCTCTTCTTTTGACCAGTTTTACTTCTCCTACGTTCTTGAACAGCTTAGTTTTCTCACCTTCCACTGATGCAAGGTCATTATTGCCTACGTCACTAACCCCACGGCGGCGGAGTATCTCGAGGAGCGTGATCTCAAAGTAAGCCTCCTGTGGAAAAGGAGAGCTTATGAGTTGTGGTCCGGGAAGCGGTAGAGCTGCTCGGAGAACCATCAACGGGTTTTTCTCTCTAAACACTTGGTTAAACTTGATCGTCTGTGTGAAGTCAGCGTAGCCGTTTGACACTTCCCATGTGATTACTACACCAGGATCTTCGCTTCCGGTCGTCGCGCAAAGACCAAGAAGAGCGGATTTCGGAGAGGCCCCAGTCACCAAAGGAGCCGATGCATGGACAATGAAACCGAATCTTGTCCAACCATTCTCGACGGCTTCTGTAACCAAAGCCGGATGGTCTTTCCATACGAACAGACCAGGCTTAGAGGGGAATCCTCCGGTGGCAGTGCCACGGGAGGAGACGGAATAGTTGTTGATGTTTCCTCTGCGTTTGATGTCGGAGGTATCTAGCTGGTGGATGAGGCTGGTTTGGTGGAGCTTGGAGATTCTTGCCTGAAAGCTATCGCTCCGAATGGGGCTAGCCGCGTTAAGGGCGGTGGAGCTCTCTGGTCCTCGGAGACAGCACCAGCGGCGGAGAAAGAACAAGAGGAGACAAGAGAGGACAACAACGGAGAGAATCCCTGCCGTTAGATGGGCCCATCGTAGCATCTCTGAGTTAAAAGAAATTCTGAGAGAGGGAGAGAGAGAGAGGATGAAAAGAGAAGAAGGACATGGAAGTAGTTGACTTGGACCTGTTCAAAAAGGCATGGAGAGCGAATGTACAATAGAAAAACCATATCAAACTCTTTGAGAAAAAGTCAACTTTTGGAAAAATATCAAACTTTGTTTTCACTATAAACATAGAGAGTAACAAGAAGAATGAGTTTATCCAATATTTTATGATTGACTTAAATATTAGTTTAATGACAGTGAAAGTTTTCGTTTTTTTTTTTTTTTTTGGTAGAAGTGAAAGTTTTCTTATTAGTTGTTTAACTTGATTTTAGTAACTGAAATCATAAATGTCAAAATTTCTAGATAGGAGTAATTTGAAGGATCGGGTTTATCTTTCGGAACAAAGAATCAAATGACTTTCTAGCAAATGACCAAAAATTAGAGTGGCAAATGGGAGGGGAACATACTTTTGTATGAGTAAAAATCTACTATATGAAAGTACATGGTAGACTTAAAATATTAAACGACCAACCGTTTTGCTTAGGGTAAATAAACGCCCAATCTGACTTTAGACCTAACTTTCTCAACAAAATGGCAAGACTTGAGGAGTAAGGTACAATCCATGAGAAAATGTAAACAAACTCTCACACCGACTCGAAGAATGGAAGGAAATCAAGGATAAGAGGAAGTTTTTCATATCTCAAAAGAGGAAGTTTTCTATCTTGCTGATAGATAATATTCACCAAGGAACCGACCTATCAACACTATATATTGAAGACCCCCCCCCCATTCGTGAAAAGGGATCCAACACCTTCTAGAACTAAACACTAGAAATTTAGGCTTAGCATCATCTTTACTCTCCTCTTTGCTTTCCTCTTGTTCATCATAGTTTATCTCGTCAAGCCTGTTGGCGAGATAACATCTTTTGTAATCTTCCTGATATTCTTCGAGTTAAATCAAGCCTCCAGTTTCCTAAACTCACATCTTTGGTAACCCTGAAAAATCAGGGGTTATTGATATGGAAATAGATCACAAATTGGCACAAGGATTTCTCTACAAAGAAATATATTACTAGAAATTCTTTAAGTGTAACTTACAAGTATTGCTTAAACGAATTGACAACCACAATCTATCCACGATTTGATTGCTCTAGTAACACTCTGTTCTCAGATCTATCCACGATCTTCGAACCTCTCAAGCCCTAACCCTTTGTCCTAGCTCTCTTACAAGATGATCTAAACCCAAAGTCTAAAGCTCTCAATATTTGTGATAGCCGCTTCCAAGCAGCCAAGGTCCTCTATTTATCCTCAATAGACGAACCGCCAAACCCTACAAGGTTTGTGTCTTGGTGATTACTCCAAATCTCCAAGGAATATTTCCTTTCCTTATTTTTCTCTAAGAATAGGAAATATTCCTTTTGTCTTGATAATTCCAAATCTCCTCATCCAGCTCAGCTACCGCCTCTTCTGGATTCGTCCTTAACCGCTACAAGCTCGCATCCAGCTCAGCATCAATCCTTTAGCTCCGTTAAGCTCCGCTACATGTCCGTCCATACGTCCTGATGCACTTCCTGACTGATTCACGATCTGCGTCAAACCAGTTGCATCTTCAATCTCCCCCTTTTTAGCTTTGTGTCTTACAAGCACCTGTAAAACTCAAATCCACAATGCACATACCAGAGATAACCAGAAAACAGGGATGTTCTGAATACTTCATCATTAGACATTCAAAATATTCAAATCATTCAGAACATGAGAGTTATGAGTTTAAACATCCAAAAACAAAAGAGTTAGAACCAAAGCAAAAACTCTCAACTCCCCCAGAATTCTAGAACCGAAAACTACTAAAACAGAGCAAAAACAAACAAAAGCTTTGCTCCCCCACAATTCTAGCATAAGTCCTAGTTTTCGTCCCCTGGTTCATCCTGTTCTCCCCCTGCTTGTGAGACCACACAAGTTAAAAACACAAGATGTAAATCATATGGAACAAGATTGTGCAGAGTTTCAACTTACCTTGGAGGTTGGCGAGAAGCCCTGAACTTCTCCGTGAAGGTATGGAGAGTGTAGACGATGTCCTGAGTGCCTGAATCGCGGCTGGCTGAATTGGTGGAGTGGGAAGCGGACAGAGCCAAGATCCACAGTGAAAAGGCCTCTGATGTAGCTCTGATGGAGCGCTGATGTAGGTCTGACCTGAGATGTAGAAGATTGCTCTGCTTCATCTTCTTCTTCTTCTCATCTTCTCTCTTGATGTACTCCTTCCCAGAGCGCTTGTCCTTTTGATAGTGAAGAGGACGAATGAGGACATCATCGTCAAGAAGAGAGAGGCGCTTGCATCTGAATGACTCCATAGATGATCCTTGGAAAGATCAACCAACGAGAGTCTTTGTGTTGGAAGTTTGCTCATCCCCATCACTTGATCATACACCAACTGACCAAAATCAACTCGACTCCTGTAGATAGCTTGTAGATAAGCTTAGCTCGCTGGCTCAGACACATGGTTGCTATGAGTTGAAGGCATCCAGTTGTGAGACGCAACAATGACCAAGGATGCATAACATGGAGTCATCCCAATCGAGTAGATCTCAGACCACTCTGCCTTCTCATTCGCAGTGAACAGCTGAGCCAATGTCTTCAGACTGACAGAGTCTGCATCTGCTTCAAGCTTCTCTCTTCTTCACTCAGAGGCTGCAAGTTGAGAAACTCGTTGACAATCGGAGAGAACTCATACTCCTGCCTCGAATCATCACTAACACTATCATCTCCTGGTTGAGGCAATGCAGCATAGAACTCAACAATCTGAGACTCACATAGCTCCTAACCTAACTGTAGAAAACCTCCTTTGATGATAATATCAGGATATCCCCACTTAGCTTCAGACTTAAGATCACTCGCTCATCAAATTCCACGAGAGCTAAAGATGCAAACCTGTCCAGAGAGATGGTTTCTTGGTTTGGAACCCTCGGTTTGCTTTCCCTTGCCTTTAGCTCGTGAACTAGCTCGAGCCGGAGCTTTCTTCACCGGAGTAGATCGCGAGCAGCTTCGGCTTTGGAGATGGAGTTGTGTAGCTTCTCCTTAGACTTCTTCGACGGCGGAAGTCCGGTTTCTTTGAGAATCCTCGCTTCCGTGGAATGAGCACAGCTTCTTCATCGCTTTTCTTCATCCGAGAGAGCATAGCGAGTTTGATTGAGCGCCGGTGAAAGATCTTCGGATTTGAGCAAGCGGGGGTTCAATCAGGCTCCTTCTGCTCAGATCGAAACGGTTGCCGGGATTGAGTTCGTCGAGATCTCGTCGTTCTCGAGTATCGGCGTGTGGAGGAGTGACGATGGTTTCATCGGCGTTCAGCGCTTCTCGGCGGTCACCACCGGAGGTGTAGTGACCGCTGCTTCAGTCTCCGTCAGTCGCGGTGGAGCTAGGGTTTCGGCAGAGTTTGCGGGATCGGCGTCGTCTGTGTTCTCGAGGAATCTCCGGCTCCTCGGGTTTCTCCGCCGTGGCTTCTTCATCCGCCATCGGTTCATCTTCCGCCGTAGCGAAAGACTCGGCCTCGGGACACTCCTTCAAAGAGAACCATCTGCCGTCGTTGGATCACTACTCGTCGGCGGCTTCTCCGATCATCGTGATAATCGGCGGTGGAGGATCTTGAATCGTCGTTTGAGCGGCGGGTTCGTCGATTTGGACCGGCGTAGAGGCGGATCCGTCGGTATGCGTCTCGGATCGGTCTTGACTTGGACGGATTCTTCCTTGTCTAGTCGCGGTCACCATTGAATCAATTGACTCCTTCAATCGATTTGGGGAAAAATCTAGGGTTTTCGATCGAATCGATTTACTTTCCTTTTTCGCTTCTTTTTCCCTTTTATATCTCACTGCATCGAGAAACCACTTAAACCAAACCGGATTAGGAATTAAAAACATAAATCAGCCGGATTAATTGGTTTAGAAATCCAGAGCTCCTGCTTGACTTCCTGTAACATTCAGCACCAATATCAGCAGTACACACTTAGGATAAAATTGTGACATCCACATAAAATTCGATTCAAGTAGAATCCAAACAAGCAATACCATCCCATGTGTCACATCTTTTCAGCTTAAAAACATTTTTACTCAGTTTATCTCAAATTAAATACCTTTCATTTTAGTGAAGGAGACATTGACTGAGTCGGCACTTGCATCAGGATGTATTACAAATTCTCAACAGATTCATAGCGCTTGGCCATCCTGATTCCAACCTGCAGCTTTCACTTTGTCATACCCAGATCATATCACCACCTCTAATTCCAATGATGTGCAAAGTGAAACTCTTTATTTTGTTCAAGGCAGAACATGTGATCATTCTCTGTCGTTGGATGTTGTTCTTGTGAAACATTCCCCTTTCCTATTCAGCTCTTAGTTCTGTCGTCAGACTTTGTTCTTGTGAAACATTGTCTTTCGAGAAATCACATGAACCAACTTAGCCTTGTGAGCTATTGTTGTCAGTTCATCACATTTCCTGTTATGCTCATTGAATCACTTTTTGGTTCTTGAAGCAGCAAGCCATCTCCATCATATTGCATTCATTTGGAGTTGGCTCAGCTGCTTTTTGACCTTGAACATGCTTTTAGAATCACTTACTTTTCACTTTTCTTATGTTGAGGTGACATGACGGCATGACAAAGTAGCTGATCCTCATTGGCACCTTTGACTCCAAACAAAATCTGAACTTGTTATACACCCCGAGCCAGTGCCTGTATCAGCCCCTGCATCATTCAAAACCACTTGTGCAAATTCCAATGGAATTTCTTAAGGTGACAAAACGGTTAAAGTCCAATGGTTTTGTGAATAAATCAGCGAGCTGTAAATCTGTGACAACATGTTCAAGTACTACCTGTTTTTCTTCCACCAATTCACGAACAAAGTGGTGTCTTATGTCAATGTGCTTAGTCCTTGAGTGCTGCACCGGATTCTTTGATATGTCAATGGCGCTTTTGTTGTCACAGTAGACCAAGAAGGGTCCAGACTCCATCCCATAATCGGCTGACATCTGTCTCATCCATATAAGCTGTGTGCAGCAGCTTCCCAATGCAATGTACTCAGCCTCTGCAGTAGATAGTGACACAGAATTCTGCTTCTTGCTAAGCCAAGCAATAAGATTGTTCCCAAGGAAGAAACAACCTCCACTTGTGCTTTTCCGATCATCTGCACATCCTGCCCAATCGGCGTCACAATATCCAGCAAGATTTCTGTTGGATCCTTTGGAGTAAAAGATCCCCAGATTGACAGTTCCCTTGACATACCTCAAGATCTTCTTCACCGCTTGAAGATGGGACTGTTTTGGTTTGGCCTGATAACGAGCACACACTCCAACGCTGAAGCTTAAGTCAGGCCGACTTGCTGTAAGGTAAAGCAAGCTTCCAATCATTCCTCTGTATAGCTTCACATCAACATCTTCTCCTTGTTCATCCTTTCCAATCTTTGTCGTGGTGCTCATTGGTGTTCTTGCCTCCTTGCATTTGTCAAGACCAAACTTCACCAGTAGATTCTTGGCATAGGTGCTTTGAGAAATAAAGATTCCTTTCTCAGTCTGATTTACTTGAAGTCCAAGAAAGTACTTCAATTCTCCCACCATGCTCATCTTGAACTCCTTAGTCATACTCTTCACAAAGTTTTCCACCAGCTTCTCTGAAGTTCCTCCAAAGATGATATCATCTACATAGATCTGCACCATCATCATCTCATTCTTCTTCTCAAGTGTGAACAAGGTTTTGTCCACAGTTCCTCTGACGTAGCCTGTGTCAATCAGAAACTTCGTCAGGTGCTCATACCAAGCTCTTGGAGCCTGTTTCAGTCCGTAGAGAGCTTTCTTGAGCTTATACACATACTCAGGATGTGTAGGATCTTCAAACCCTTCGGTTGGCTACATATACTTCCTCTTGTAGAATGCCATTCAAGAAAGCACTCTTCACATCCATCTGATGTACACCTTGAAGTTCAATATGCATGCCATCCCTAGAAACAGTCTGATAGACTCAAGACGAGCTACAGGGGCAAAGGTTTCATCAAAGTCGACTCCTTCAACTTGTGAGTAACCTTGCGCAACAAGTCTTGACTTGTTTCGTACAATGCTTCCAGCATCATCTGTCTTGTTCTTGAAGATCCACTTTGTACCGACCACATTCACACCATCAGGTAGTGGCACTAACTCCCATACATCGTTTCTCACGAACTCCTCTAGTTCCTCTTCCATGGAGATGATCCAATCTGCATCTTCCAGTGCTTCACAATGATTTCGTGGCTCTATGGCAGAGACAAAGCATTCAAATTGAATAATTGCCATGCTGACCATCTGCTTATAGTTCATCTTGATTCCTCTCGTCCTTCGTGGCTCAGTGATGTCTCCAATCAGATCGTTCGAGGAATGGTTTCTGTGAACTTGTGTCAGTGGGAGACCTACATCAGGAGCTGTGTCAGAGACTTCCTCATGAACCTTTTCTTCTTCTTCACGAACCTCCTCTGCTTTGTTTCTGCTTCGCTGACTTCTGGTTCATGAAATATTGGAGAGTCTCCCATGGCCGCAATTGATCGATCATCAAAACAACATTGACTGACTCCATAATCATCTTGGACCGAAGATTGAAGACTCTGTAGCTGAACTATTGCCTGAATAACCCAGAAATATGCCTTCATCACTCCTTGAGTCGAACTTTCCAAGTTGATCCTTGTCATTCAGAATGAACACCTGCATCCAAAGACACGAAAGTAACTTAAGTTAGGTGTCTTTCCTTTCCACAACTCATAAGGAGTTTTGAGTAAAGCCTTTCTCATGTAAACACGGTTGATGATGTAGCATGCGGTGTTGATTGCTTCAGCCCAAAACTTCACAGGAATGTTTCCTCCATGGATCATTGCTCGCCATTCTCTTGAAGTGTTCTGTTCTTTCGCTCCACTACTCCATTCATCTGTGGTGTTCTAGGTGCCGAAAATTGGTGAGCTATGCCTTGTTCATTGCAGAACTTAGTCATGACCTCATTCTGAAATTCTCCCCCATGATCACTGCGTATGCGCTTGAGGCTTCCTTTCTCAGTGATAACTTGAAGAGCCCAAATCTTGAAACTCGCCATGGTGTCAGATTTGTCACGAATGAAGCGACCCAAGTGTATCGCGAGTAATCATCCACTAGAACAAAGACATAGCGCTTTCCTCCAATGCTCTCCACTTGCATTGGTCCCATCAAATCCATGTGTACTAGTCCAAAACAGTCTTGGATTGTACATCTGCCACCTTCTTGTGCTGGACCTTGATTTGCTTTCCTTGATTGCAAGGACCACATACAAGTTTCTCAGTTCCCTTCAGCTTCGGAACACCACGAACAATCTCCTTATTCACCAAGTCGGTGAGATGTCGAACATTCATGTGACCCAATCGTTTGTGCCATAGTTCAACATCATCTCGGACACTTAAGCACTTGCAGATTGATCCCACATGTAGCAGTTGTTGCCTGAACGAACTCCTCGTAGACTGTCTTTCCGTCAGAGTCAATGGCTTTGCACTCTATCTTGTTAAACCAGACCGTTAAACCTTCATCACAAAGCTGGCTGACACTGATCAGGTTTGACTTTAGACCTTGAACGAGATAGACGTTCATAAGCTGTGGTTGCTCATCAGAGGTGCGTCCCTTGCCTTGAATCATTCCCTTTGGTTCCACATCCAAAAGTGACCTTCCCTCCTTTTAGCTTCTTCACTTCCTGAAGATTTTCTTTGACTCCTGTCATGTGTCTGGAGCATCCACTATCGAAGTACCATGGTCCAGTGTTGTCAGCTTCGTCGATTTCTTCAAGTAAGGCCATGTTGGAGTAGACACGCTGTCTTGAACCACCAGTTGATGTACGTCGGCAGGATTCTGATATAGATCCGATTTTCTGATGAAGAACTGGTTTAGATGACGATTCCAATGATAGCGTCCTCGTTTCCATGCATAGTCGACTCTAGCCCAGTACTTGTTGCAGAAAGCCCTGATATGTCCTAGGACCCACAGAAATAGCACTCCTTTCCTTGATGTTTTCCTCTTGGACTCTGAAATCCTTTCGGATTGCGAGTTGGAGAAGAATCATATCCCAGTCCCATGGTGCTCTTCCCTCGATTCCCAGTTTTGAGAATGGAATCAAGTTTCTGAGCTGGTGTCTTAGTATCTGCTTGATGGACATCCTGAGCCAACCCTCCAGAGACAAACTTGACATTCTTGCCAGTTGTAACACTGCTGGTGTGTATCCTAGACCAAGATTTGACTTCCCTACACGGCCAATGCTCAGAATCTTGTCGAGTTCCTTAGTACCAGTCAGCATCTTGAGTTGCTTTCTGTGTTGATCCAATTCAGCTTGTAGATTTCTGGAATTCTCCTTTTCCAGAAAGTACTCCTTGGTAATGTCGTCTGCTCGTTTAACTGCATCCATCTTTTCAAGCACGATGTTAAGATTATCCATGTTGAGATCCTTTCGGCTTGAAGTGCTTTCTGAAGTTCGTCAACTCGTGCAGTAAGACGAGTGTTCTCCTTCTTGAGCTCAATGTTTTCCTTCCCAACTTCTACCAAGGCATTCGAACTTCCTTATAGCTTTCATGGATATCAACTTCAGATTCATCATCTGTGAGTTATCCTCTTGGTCAGATTCAGAGATCTTTGTATCTTCTATTTCAGCAATTCCAGCAAATGCGACAAAGTTACTGACTTCTTCCTCATCTTCAGACTCTCCTTCAGAATCTTCATCAGCAACGCCCATCATCGACTTCCCCATCTTCTCATCATACTCACATTCTTGTTGTGTATGACCTATTCCTTTGCACTTGTAGCAAGTAATGCTTCTCCTCTTGACAGTGGGGCAGTCGGTCTTGAAGTGTCCATATCCCTTGCATTCATGACACTGTGACTCGGTTTTACTCGTCCCCCTTGTTCTTGTCATAGGCTTCCTTCCATTGTTGACACGAGGCTGAGTTTTTCCAGTTTCATACTTCTTCAGACTCTGTCAAAGCGACGTACCAAGAGACTGATACTGTCTTCTTCAGGCTCTTCTTCCAACTGTTTCTCCGTTGATATGAGTGCAATACCCTTAGCCTTTTTGACACCTCCTAGTTCCAGTTCGTGTAGCTGCAGTTTTCCCACCATCTCGTCGTAGGAGATCGTCCCAAAGATAGGGTTTGCACTTAGTCCAGCCTTGTATGCTGTGAATTTGTCTGGAAGACACCGAAGAAGTTTCTTCACTAACTTAGCATCCTTGTATACCTTTCCCAGGGTACGAGACTCCTGAACGAGTGAGCTAAGTTTCGAGCTAAAGTCAGCAATTGACTCATGTTCCTCCATCCTCATATTCTCAAACTTAGTTGCCAATAGATCCTTCCTTGAGCTTTGAACTTGACTTGTCCCTTCAAAGTGGATCTGGAGGATATCCCACGCCTCCTTTGACGTAGTACAGCCCTGAATCAGCTCAAACTGTTTCTTTGAGCAACTACCATTGATCTGTGCCAGTGCTCTAGCATTGAACTTGTAATCATCACGTTGGGCTGTAGTCCAGCGTTCTCGAGGCACGGCTGTAGTTACTCCTTCAATCGTGACTGTAGGTGGTTTCCATCCATGCTCAGTCAAGTACCAGGCGGCCTCATCAATACATTGAATATTTGCTCTCGTCCTCGCCTTCCAGTACGTGTAGTTTCCATCATCAAGTATCACCTTCAGCTCTGGGTGATAGCCCTCCATTCCGCAAGATCTCACCTGCTATAGCAATACACGCAAGGTGACTGCTCTGATACCAATTGAAAAACCAGGGGCTATTGATATGGAAATAGATCACAAATTGGCACAAGGGATTTCTCTACAAAGAAATATATTACTAGAAATTCTTTAAGTGTAACTTACAAGTATTGCTTAAACGAATTGACAACCACAATCTATCCACGATTTGATTGCTCTAGTAACACTCTGTTCTCAGATCTATCCACGATCTTCGAACCTCTCAAGCCCTAACCCTTTGTCCTAGCTCTCTTACAAGATGATCTAAACCCAAAGTCTAAAGCTCTCAATATTTGTGATAGCCGCTTCCAAGCAGCCAAGGTCCTCTATTTATCCTCAATAGACGAACCGCCAAACCCTACAAGGTTTGTGTCTTGGTGATTACTCCAAATCTCCAAGGGAATATTTCCTTTCCTTATTTTTCTCTAAGAATAGGAAATATTCCTTTTGTCTTGATAATTCCAAATCTCCTCATCCAGCTCAGCTACCGCCTCTTCTGGATTCGTCCTTAACCGCTACAAGCTCGCATCCAGCTCAGCATCAATCCTTTAGCTCCGTTAAGCTCCGCTTAGCTCGCTACATGTCCGTCCATACGTCCTGATGCACTTCCTGACTGATTCACGATCTGCGTCAAACCAGTTGCATCTTCAAACCCGTCTTAACAAGTGCTATATCAGATCTAACAATAGATGCCTCTTTACATCCCCCAAAATGATGATAGCTTTTGACGTAGCTAAAATGTTTCAAGGTTTTGCTAAAGGAAAAAACAAAATTTCTGCATAAGCGATGATGACAAACTTGTATGCTAAGCTTCCTTAAACATGCATTCTGATAAATGTTCGGTTCTTACTTCTTACCTATCATCATTATAGTAGTACTAAGATGTTAATTTTCAAGTTTGACAGATGGAATAGAATTTTAGTGGCAAGACTCTAGCAAGCAGTCCTTAGAAGCAATGCGATGATTAAGTTGTGGAAGTCAAATTAGACGGTGGTGAGTGGTACGGAACAACAGTTCCTTCTTAGTCCGTTGTATCCTAAGTTCTCTCCATTTCCAGGCATAAATTGTTACTCATAGTTTGTGTAATTTCAATCTCTCTTTTGATGTCATATCTTATTCTCATCACTCCTACTTAGATATATAGTGAAACTAAAAAAATAAGAAAAAAAAACTACAAAACCTTAACAAAGTTTAAGTTTACTAGTTCATTGTTTAACAAGATTTTTTTAATTAACCGAAAAATTGACCTTAGTATATAGGATTTGAGGGGGCCAAAATTTGTAGTTTTTTAATTACTAGTTCAACCTCTCTTTTGATTTCATAGCTCATTTTGATCACTCCCACTGAAATATATAGTGAAACTAAAAAAAATAGAAAAAGTAAGAAAAACTACAAAACGTTAGCCAAGTTTAAAATTAGAGTAACTAGGTATTAAAGCCCTGCGCAAGCGCGGGGTTGTTAATTCGCGATAATTTTTCTGCTTAATTTTGTTTATATTCATAAATGATTTGAAATTTTGAATCATGATGGTTATATGTTAACTTCCATGTTTTGGTTATATTTTGAGTTAACCTAACAATTAACACTAACAATATGATCAATTTTTTTTATTAAGATATTAACACCTTACTTCATCTCGAGTTTTCTATTTCTAAAATTTAATTTGCATTTGACTCAACGTTAAAATTTGTAAACATTATGTAAAATCGCAATAGCACTCAAAATATGATGAAAAAGAAAAACATGTATAATTTCTTACATATATGCTTTATTGTGGTAGCATGTGAGAATTGATTATTTTCTATTATGTTAGTTTTGTAGATATAAATTGTATTTTTGAAACAAACATATCACCATTCTTAAAAATTTCATGCTTTTCGTTGCAATGAAATTTAAATAATAACTCGACTTCTATTTTTTAATAAAACAAACTCTAACTCTAATTTTTTATTAGCTTTTTACTATGTTAAATAATTTATAATGTACCTTTTTTACTTGTAAGAACATTATAACATTTTTAAATAGAATAAATCCTTTGAATTAAAACTTATCTATATACTATTTCAACTTAAATATTTCTTTATTTTATCTCCATTATATTACAACTTTCTTTTAACTTTTAACATCAAGATATCACATACTTTATATTAATAATTAAATTGTTTGTGTATTTTTCTTAGTTTTGTTTATGTGTAAAATAGGAATATATATAAATAAATATTAATACACATATATTAAATATCTTAAATACAATTAATGATTTTTTTTTTGCTGATGTGGATGGCCTAGGAGGAGAGAGCAACACCCCACGATTAGATACACCCTAGAAGGGAGAAAAATAGAAGTACATGAATAAATAAAACAGAACACTAATTTGCTAACGCCAACATGTCCATCACATTCTGGACTAGTGAAGCATCACACCCGATTTGAATAGGAAGGAGACCAGCTCTTTCGAGTGTATCTTTCTGCATATGCTGTATTTTGTACTTGTTAGTTCCTCCAGCCTTCATGATTTCTCTCATGCATGTTTGAAGAGTTAAAAAAATATAATTTACCTTTTTAGAAGGGTATTCGACAAATGACTCTTCCACGGCACGAACAAGATCTCCAACTGTTTTGGGGCAGACCTTATGTTGTAAAGCTTGAATGGCAGAAAAAAATCCAAGATCCAAAATATTTAGATCTGGTGAATTCGGTGGCTGACACATCAATCGGATATCAAAACCAGTTTTGGAAGCATGATGCAGAGAGATATTTAGAAATATTCTAATTATTTATCTTATTATTTGGATAATTTCCTATTATTATTTTAGGGTTTTCTAGGTTTTGAGATTTATTATAAATAAGCCGTTTAGGCCTCCTTTTGTATTCAGTTGATTTTGATTAATAAAATAGAGCTTTTAGCTTTTGAGAGAAGAGTATTCTCTAACCCTTGTTTTCGGTAGATCTAGATAGATCTCAACGAATCCAGGAAGGCATTGATTCTTAGGTATTCTTAGACTAAATAAGAATCTTTGTATTTATCATAGCTTCCGCTACATCAAAGCAACTTCTTCAAAATCCTTATCACCACAATTAATATGCGTCCTTGCATTGTCTTGTTGAATAAAAATAGTCTTCCCCAGATCTTCTTTTGGCCACCTTTCGTGAATCACCGGTATGACTTTATTAATCAAGAAATCTTTTACATGCTCTCTTTTAACGGAAGTTGACGCTTTCCACTCGAGAGTTCCAGCAGCTCTATGCTTACTTCGCCTTTTAGCTGGTTCCAAAGAAACAAAGGGAAATATTCCTATTTTTCCAGAAAATGTCTCATTTCCTTCCTCATCAAACCTAGGTCGAGCCATTGCAGCCAAAAACATCACTTTTGTAATAAAATTCTTACTTTGACAAGTGCGATGTGGATCTTCTTCTTCTGGAAGTAGATAATACTTCTCCATTTTCTTCGTCATATAAAACCATTTTTCATCTATATGTACAATATTGTACATATCAACGAATTTTGGTTCATGAAACAAAGTGTCTTTGTCCAACATGGACAAACAAAACTCTAGCCTCTTCATAGTATTTTCCTCCGTCAAGCTTGGTTTAATGGCATTGGTATGACGTCGAAGAAGCCCTTCTTTGACACGTCTCTGTAATGTCGAAGCGCTCACACCCACAGATACTGAGAATGACCTTAGATTTGTTCTCATATGTAATGGAGTAGCAAGAATTTTATCCAAATCAAGAGGTATTGGCTTCCGACCAGAATTACCTCTTTTATGAGAAACATCTACACCGCCACCATGAGAAGTTTCTTTTGCCCGATTCCAAATTCTTTGCACCGTTTTCATTGGTACCGATAATAAATCGGAGACTTCCCGCGTTGTAGTTTTTCTCCTTTTCCCACCATTAGTTCTCGCCATCAAAGCATTGTACACTGCCCATCTCTCTTTATTTGAGAGATTTTTCCTCGGTTTACATGCTTGATCGACATGAGACATCTCTGTATTTTACATCAGAATAAAATAGTTGAGCCAAACTGATCCATGATAAGCACACCGACGTATTATATTTAAGTAAACTGCCTAATTGAACCATGACAAGCATATGATTTCATGCAGTACATGTGTACGTAATAGTGAAAAAAAGACAAAGAAGAACATCAAAATACTAAATTTAAAAGTAGATTAATACTTGAATCTGTATCTGTATCTGGATGTTCCTCGTAAACATTTGGATTATCTTCCGATAGAAACTGAACATCTCTATTGTCAAAACTTTCTTCATTCGTTGGACTTTGGTTTAAATCAAACAGACCATCTCTCTCATCTTCCAAATCAAAATCAAAATCAAAAGACATGAATGAAGTTGTAATTTGTTGATTAGTTTGTGGGTTTTTTTTGGGTAAAACGTTTGTTAGTTTATTGTCATTATATAAACATGGAAAGTAAGATAATTTTCTTAGTTTGGCTTCAATCTTAAATTTAAATTTTCGTTCTATCACGTAAAAAAAATTTCAGTTTCGCTCCACTATGTTAAAAACGTTTTAGTTTCACCATCTAAAATCAGTTTCCCTCCACTACGTTAAAAACGTTTCATATTCGAATGTTAATTGCACCATATAAACCAATAAAATATAATTGGCTTTTTAAGTGGGACCCATAATCTCAATTAATGATACAGAAAATATTTAATTTAGAGAAAACTTTTTAGTGGTATAATATTGAAATAAGTAATAGAAGATGAGGTTAGAAGAGGTATTTTACTTACTTCCTTAAATATTGTCAAAAAACCTAAAATCCCTTATAAACTTTCTTTAAATATTGTCAAAAAAACCTAAAATCCCTTATAAACTGAAACAGAGGGAGTATAAGATATCAATGCATACCCATAGATAGCTCAAAAATTAGGCGACAGAAAAAAGTGATTTCTGACACACACTGTTGCAAATATAATTACCTTCTTAGCCTTATTTTTTATTTTGTCATGTTTCTCTCTCTTCTATTTTCCGGGAAGAAATTAACGGAGGAAACAAGAAAGAAGAAGAAGACGAAGAGAAGGGGAGAAGAAATAAAAGTTGTGGTGGAGAGAAGAAAATTGTATAAATGGAAGATAGTGTCAATGTCCATTTTGGCAAAATAATTGGTAGCCATAATAGTGACGGTGAACAGTGACGATCGGCACGACTCGTGACGGCGGAACGAGATAAGCCGGCCGAAAATGGAAGAGAAACAAAACCATCTCCGATATGAAACAAAGTCGCACCGTCAAATTTGGAAGGAGAAGATCGGCGGTGTCAGAGTTGAGAATCGGCATCAGAGACACCGTCAAATTTAACTTGGGCGTACCTCGTATGTTGCTGCTTTTTCTACTTCGGGAACGCAAAATTGTAGTTTCACTGATTTTTTATGTCTCTTCGTCGTCATATAACCTCCTTCTTTATCAGGTAACACCATTAATTACAAAACACACTTTCCTCCTCCAAAAATCATAGAAATTTCTCAAATGGAACAATTCAGTCTGCGAATTTCACAAATCTATCACAATATTTTGATCATGTTAATATATTTAGCATGTTAACTTATTTGTTATTTCATCATTTCATAATATAGTAACTAGTTTATCACAATATTTTCATAATATGCTAATCACATTAACATGATAACTATATTAATACGCTATTATTTTGATATGATAATAACGTTAACAAAATTTGTTTCATATTGTTAATATGTTAATTGGTTTAACAAATCAATTAGCTAATTAATTTAACACATTAATTGCATAAAAAACTGTTCTGATAAATGATTTAATATCAGATGAACAGTACAAACGGAGGAATGAACAGTGACATAGACAACTGTGTTGCCGGAATTCACATCCAAGATACTATTGCTGATCAGAATTTATTTTTGTGATAGATGGCATTTTATGTAAATAACTAAAATAAAAAGAATAAGAAAGTTATTTGTTAGGAGAGAGAACTAATTTAAAAACAGTTATTGGCAATTACCTAATTTTCATAACATCCATTGGTATTCACCAAATTACTGGTTCATTGTTTAACTGGATTTTTTTAATTAAATCGAAAAATTGACCTTAGTATATAGGATTTTAGAGGGCTAAACTTGTAAAAAACACTTATAGTCTAGTAAAACAAGAGAGATATTTTGTCTTTCTCTAATGCTCTAGTTTGGCAATTTTACCCTTGAGTGATGCTGGCGCAGTGTATCAATAGTAACTCAGCTCAAATCTAGGGATTTAGATTAAACCTCTAGAGACCTGACTTCTTGAGTTGATGAATTTAATCAAATCAACGCAAGGCTCTTGGATTGATGACAGAATCGAATCAGTGTAAGGATTTAGAGAAAACTCTAGTTTATTATCTTTCAAAAGTTGCTTGTTAAAGACAATTTACAATGCTTTATGTAAGAATTAAGAGGCGGTTTATAAAAACCTATCTCTTTGTCAAAAAAGAAATCTAATAAAAGGAAAACCAAAACAATAAAGGAAATCTAATAAAAACTGACATAGGAGAGTAGTTGCTTGACGGTGAAGGTATCATGTTGTTGCATCAGGTCCTCCGGGGTTAGAAGGATTCGACCACGAATCAGGAACCGGGTCTGGTGGAGCATAACAAGAGAGGTAACGTACGTTGAAGACATCGGAAGTGTTGATGTTGGCGGGAAGTTGTAAACGGTATGCATTGTCATTAATTTGTTCCAAGACAGTGAGATGACCTATCTTCTTAGCCTTAAGTTTGTTGTACGAATGGGCTGGCATACGATCTTTAGTGAGAAATGCCCAAACATGATTACCTGGTTTGAAGATTACACGGCGGTGTTGAGAATCAGCAGTAGCAATAGCCTTATACTTTGAAGAAGATGACTCGAGATTGGTGACGACTTGTGTATGAACATTATGAATGTTGTCAATAAAATCATCGGCGACACCATGAATACGTGTGCGGTCCGGCAAAGTAGATAAATCCAGAGGACCACGAGGAAGAAGACCATACACGACCTGAAATGGACTGTATCCCAAGCTCCGATTGAGGGAATGATTATAAGCAAATTCTGCTTGAGGAAGCTTAGAATCCCAAGTCTTGATAGAATCTCCCACAAGACAGCGAAGTAGGTTACCCAACGACCTATTAGTTACCTCCGTTTGACCATCCGTTTGAGGATGATAAGCCGAGCTCATGTCTAAACTAGTACCCAACATCTTCCAAAGAGAACGCCAAAAATGACCCAAGAACCTAGAATCCCGATCTGAAACGATAGAAGTGGGCAATCCGTGGAGTCTATACACACCTCTCGAAAGAATAGAGTTGCAACTTGGAGTGCATCGGTTCTTCGTTTACAGGGAACGAAATGCACCATTTTGGAAAAATGATCCACGATGACGAAGATGGAATCGAATCCTCGTTATGTACGAGGAAGACCCATGACGAAATCCATACTGATGTCAGACCATAGTTGTGTCGGAATCGGTAAAGGTAGGTAGAGACCGGCGTTTGTGGCATGTCCTTTTGACGTTTGGCAAGTTGTACAACGCTCCACAAAACGCTCAACATCACGTCGTAAACACGGCCAAAATATAACTGAGATATTTAATTTAGAGTCCTATCCCGACCGATATGTCCTTCATTATGAATTTCAGAAATAAGTTGAAGCCTTAGGCTGCAATCCGGGATGCAGAGTCTGTCACCACGAAAAAGAAACCCATCATGAAGTGTAAAATCTCGAGAATGATCAGCCTGAATATCAAGTAGAATCCGACTAAAGAAATCATCAGACTCGTACATATCGGCAAAAGCTGCAAAGCCTAGAACTGAGATGTGAAGAACGGCGAGTAGAGAATGTCGACGGCTCAGCGCATCAGCCACCCGATTTGAAACGCCTGATGTGTGTTTAATAACAAAGGTAAATTGCTGCAAGTAAGAGACCCAAGCTGCATGCCGAGCAGAAACCTTATCTTGACTGTGTAGGTGTTTCAACGCATCGTGATCGGTAAAGAGAACAAACTCTTTATGGTAAAGATAATGCCTCCAATGTTTGATTGCTTGAACAACTGCGTAAAATTCCACGTCATAAGTGCTATAACGCAGACGAGCTCCTGCCAGTTTTTCACTGAAGAATGCGATCGGCCGGTTACGCTGACTCAAGACAGCACCAATTCCCAACTTAGAAGCATCACAATGGAGTTCAAAAACTTGAGTAAAATCGGGTAGAGCCAGTACAGGGGCTGTGATCAACTTAGCTTTAATGGTCTCAAACGCTTCAGATGCTTTAGGAGTCCAAATAAAGAGACCATCGCGACGAATACAATCAGTGAGAGGTGCCATTAAACTACTAAACTGTGGCACAAATCGTCGATAAAATGATGCGAGGCCATGAAAGCTTCGTGTTGCAGATAACGTGGTCGGAGTAGGCCACGACTTGATCGCTTCAACTTTACTCGGATCAACAGCAAGCCCTTTTGCTGAGACGATGTAGCCAATGAAGTGAACATGAGAAGAACCAAATTCACACTTCTTCATCGTGGCAAAGAGTTGATCTCGACGAAGAACAAGGAGTACTTCTTTTAAGTGAGAAAGATAATTGGCTAGTAATGTGCTGAATATGAGAATATCGTCAAAGTACACTACCACAAATTTGCCAATAAAGGGTCACAAAGAGTGATTCATGACGCGCGTAAAGGTGCTTGGTGCGTTGGATAATCCGAAAGGCATGACAAGCCATTCAAAATGACCTTCTCGAGTTTTAAACGCAGTTTTCCACTCATCACCGGGGCGAATTCGTATATGATGGTATCCACTGCGAAGATCCAGTTTAGAGAAAATCGTTGCAGCACCAATTTGATCCAAAAGATCGTCGAGACGAGCTATGGGAAATCTATAGCGCACTGTAATTTTGTTTATTGCGCGGCTATAGCTATCGACACACATTCTCCATGATCCATCTTTCTTAGGTATAAGCAATGCAGGGACTGCACATGGACTCAGACTTTCACGTAAGTATCCTTTTACCACAAGATCCTCAACTTGTCTTCGAAGCTCTTCATGCTCGCTAGGACTCATGCGGTAATGAGCTCGATTAGGAAGTATAGCATCTGGTACTAGATCAATGCGGTGTTGAATATCTCTGTGAGGAGGAAGGCCGGACGGAAGCTCGTTGGGGAAGGCATCCTGAAACTCGTCCAAAAGACCCTTAAAGTTATCTGGAATTGAAGGAACAATGGTCTCGGAGGAGGAGTTGATTAAAATCAGAACTCGTCCCTCTTCACGAAGGGCATGCTCAAAAGGTTTTCGCTGGAGAATTAAGACAGGTGCTGATGGCGTGCTCTGTTTCCCAGGTAGAGATGGTTGAAGTGTGAGATTACGATTATTGTAACGTAAGCTGTAGGTGTTGAGATAACCATCGTGCTGGACGCGATGATCAAATATCCAAGTACGTCCCAAAAGTAGGTGGCAGCAGTCCATTGGTGCTACGTAACAATGAAGTTGATCTTTGAAAGTACCTCCAATAGAAAAAGAAATAAGAGCACGACGAGAAATCATCACTTCTGTTTTCTGGTCCAACCAAGCTAGTTTGTAGGGACAAGGATGAGGTTCTTTTGATAGTTTGAGTTTATTGACGACTTCTTCAGCAACCACGTTTTTGCTACTGCCGTAGTCGATAATAAATTTGTAAACCTTGCCTGCAATAGTACACTTGGAGTGAAACAGGTTATGTCGTTGAGGGTTTTCATCAATTTGGCGGGGAGCGAGGCACACACGGCGAACCATTAAGCATTGTTCAGTGTCTGCGACAATATCCAGAGTCTCTTCAAGAGGTTCTTGAACTTCCTCATCGTATACAACCTCCATGTCGTTGCCGGCGGTATCAAGGAGAACACCTCTGCGATTCCTTTTAGGACAATTTGACTGTCGGTGACCAATCTCGCCACAAGCGAAACAACGAAGCGAAGATGGACGTTATGCTGGCTTGTCGGTATAAGGAACGATTGCAGTCTCAGGTTGCTGTGGAAGTGAATCATCAGGCGGGGTAGAATTATTGCTAAGTAGTACGCGGCGGACGAGAGCTAGTCCATGAAAAATTGCCTCGAGTTTGTGACTCAATGGTGAGTGCTTGTTGGTGAGCTTCGGACAATGTCAATAGATTAAATAAGTTGATTGTGTGTTGGATTTGTTGACGAAGAACGGCGGTGAACCGAGCTACTAATTGACGTTCTGAATCTTGAATGTCAACACGAGTAAGCAGCAAGAAAAATTCAGTTGAGTAATCAGCCACAGAACGTGTACCTAGCTTATGTGATGAAGACGCTGGAACATGATCTGATCGTAATTATATGGTAGGAATGTTTTTTTTTAGCTTCGATTTCAGCTTGTCCCATGACATGATTTTAGGCTTCCCTTGGCGAGCACGAGTAGATTTTAATTGTGTCCACCATGCTGCCGCGCGGTTGCGAAATCGCATGGTGAGAACAGGAGTACAACGGTCCAGCGGAGCTCTTTTGAATTCTAGGATTTCTTCAACTGTGACAATCCAGTCGAGGAGTTCTTCGGCGGAGGAATTACCATGAAATTCTGGAAGCTCTGTTTTAAATCCAGTTTCCCATTGGAAACCTGTATCAACTCCTAGACCAGCATTATGAGCAACTGGGTGGTGATTATGGAGAGGAGCAAAAGGATTATCAGCCAAAAGGTTCTCATCTCCGTCGTCTTCTCCATCAGCTTCGTTAGCGTGAACATCGGCGGGGTTGTTAGCAGGGGGTGGGGGAGCGTTGCGGTGGGTGGTGAGGTTTTGAAGGGCGGTGGTGATAGTTTGCATCTGGGCTTGAAGCTCAGCAATTGCATCACGGGTGATTTCTGCTTCGGTTCGAACAGGTGCTCGACGAGTTCTTGCCATGGGGAATGGAAAAAAAATTTCGAGGAGCGTAGCAAAGCTCTGATACCAACCTGGCGCAGTGTATCAATAGTAACTCAGCTCAAATCTAGGGATTTAGATTAAACCTCTAGAGACCTGACTTCTTGAGTTGATGAATTTAATCAAATCAACGCAAGGATCTTAGATTGATGACATAATCAAATCAATGCAAGGCTTTAGAGAAAACGCTTGTCAAAGACAATTAGACAACTTACAATACTTTATATAAGAATTAAGAGGTGGTTTATAATAACCTATCTCTTTGTCAAAAAGGAAATCTAATAAAAGGAAAACCAAAACAATAAAGGAAATCTAATTAAAGCCGATATAGGAGAGTAGTTGCTTGACAGTGAAGGTATCATGCTGCTGCATCAGATGCTTTGATTGATCTTTTTTAATTTATGGGCCAAAGTTGTTTTTCTCTTGTTTTAGGTGGCCTACTAGTTTGGGCCGACACTGGATATATAAGAAGACTTTAACCTAACTATGCTAAAAAATAAAATATCTCTCACTCTTGAAGGGCGCCTCCCTCTCCTCTCTCTCTTTGAACATCCGCCATCTTTGTTCTTTATCACTTTCACCAGTTTCTCTTGCCAAATGAAGAACACCCTATAAATTTCTACTCTTCTCCTCGACACTCATCTCTTTCTAATCGAAAAACCCTTGGATCTCTCTCATCAGCGGTTATGTAGGTGTAGCTCCTCTTCCTTCGACGGTGCTAGCTGTGGTCGTGATGTGGTTCCGGCGTCACTGTAATAGAGGTACAATATGTATTATCATGACCTTTCTTACTAGATTCTGGGATATGTTGTTTTTTTGTCGCTTAGATCCTAACTTTCATGTCTTGGTTCTTGATGATATTTCTTCATGTTAGGTACTGAATCAGGTACGATGGGGTATGGAACTGATTAAGCTGATTATGGGGTAACCTTATCAAATCGGAAAAAACAAAGCTCATTCTTTATCTCTTGCAGATAGAGTGGAAACTCTGTAAATTAATAAAGTTAGGATTTTGATATTTTATTAATTTATAGAGTTATTGATGTAGTGGAAGCTACGATAAATATAGCTCAACCTATGATTCAAAGGAATTAATCGGGACTTGCCAACTCAACCAAGGGATTTGATATAATCCTCGCTTGGGACCTGTTTTTTGAACTCGTTGAGATCTCTCTAGATTTACCGAAAACAAGGATAGAGAATACTCTTCATTCAAAAGCCAAAGCTCTTTATTAAAAATCAACAACTTAATACAAAAGGAGGCCTAGACGGCTTATTTATAATAAATCTCAAGACCCAAGAAACCCTAAAACATTAATAGAAAATTATCAAAATAATAAAGTAAATAATATCAATATTTGGAATATTTCTAGTTATCTTCTTACATCATTCTTTCTTGGTTGGAGAAGATTCGCCTTCGAATCTTGATCTTGACCGTGATCTTCTGCTTCAAATTCCTTTTCTTCAAATTCTTTGAACCATCACACTTGAATTTGCCACACTTCAATCTTCTTAATCTTGCCAAAAGATTCTCTTTCAATTGATTTGCTCCACCGTATAATAACAAGAGTAATAATTAATCTTATTGGACCTTCTTTTGTGACAACCCAACACTTGTTATTGTCCATGACATTGACTTTTGGTAACACCGTAACTCCCTTTATCAGTCAAACTATAGCCACTTGATTGCTTCATCATTATTACTTTGACTCAGATTTTCTGCATAGAAAATATCGAGAATGTCTTTCATAACAAAAACATCACCGGTGTCTTCTGCATCGACATCATCATCATCATCATCATATATTTCTGGGTTCAAAAAAACGGGCAAAACGCCGTTTAATCGGAGAAAAAAATGTGCATCGAACGGCCACCGTTTGTGCACGAGTGTTTGTCAAAATCAGATTGTGGCAACGGTTTCAGCTTGGGATCTCTTTTAGGTGGCAGCAGTGACATATCCATGCGGACCGAGATGATGAAGTTTCTCCGCAATGCCATCTTGCTTTGTCTGAATGTTTTTCCGCGAAATTACATTTTGGAAGAAGCTGTGCTTGTTGCAGAAGAGTGTTTGTCAAAATCAGATTGTGGCAACGGTTTCAGCTTGGGATCTCTTTTAGGTGGCAGCAGTGACATATCCATGCGGACCGAGATGATGAAGTTTCTCCGCAATGCCATCTTGCTTTGTCTGAATGTTTTTCCGCGAAATTACATTTTGGAAGAAGATATGCTTGTCACAGAAGAGCTATTTGTAACAAAGATGAAAACATGTGAGGTAGCAACTACCCCATGCCAAGCTTTGGCCAAACGTCTCCTCAAAAGTGACCGGCCGGTAAGCTCTGTTCCAATTTGTTGGTGTGGTCTGCTCTTCGATTCAGTTTACCTGAAGTGATTCCTTCTCCATTAACAGGATCTACTACTTTGTGGAGTTTATGCACAGCGAGAAGCTGCTTCTGGAAATATGAAACATGCAAGACGAGTATTCGACATGGCACTGACGTCTATCTGTGGCCTCCATAAGGTTAGATTCAGATCTTTCGGTTCTGTTGTTAGTATATTATATAAAATTAACATGTTTCTGCCTATGCTTTCAACTTCGAAGGAACTTCTAGATCAGTTACCCTGATTGTGTGTTCATTGCTGATCCAAATGTTTACTTGCTGGTCCCAAAAATTGCTGCCTTACCTCTTAAGCCTGGACAGGAAAATTTCTTAAGGACAGATCATAGTAGTTTATAATGTTATAAAACATTATGTTCTGGGTAGCGTCAGAGAACTATGGTCTAGTATAGCTAGAATAGGTTTCTTATTTTACTGTATTTGTTGTGCACTTGTACTTCAGCCCAATTTCTATAATTGGTTTGGATTTTATTTGACATTGAAAATGCCCAAGCTAAATTGATTTTACCTTTGATTGCAGGAATTACAGTATAACGCTCCTATGCTATATCTATGGTATGCCGAATCAGAAGTAGCCAATAGTAGTGGTAGCAGTCGGGAAACAGAACCGTCATCTCGTGCTATGCACATTCTGTGCTACTTGGGAAGTGGTCTACCTTATATTCCTTATACTTCCCAGCCTTCAAGCATGCAAATCCTTAGAGCACGCCAAGGCTTCAGAGAGAAGCTTAAGAAGATACAATCAACATGGTCTCACGGTGTCACAGATGATCAATCAGCAGCGCTTGTTTGTTCGGCAGCTCTATTTGAGGAGTTGACAAACGGCCTTCCTGGTGCTGTTGAGATCCTTGAGCACATGTTCAGTTCTGTTCTGTTCACGTGTGGGTCATATTTGGTCTCACGCTTCTCTCTCTCTCTTCCCTCTCCCTCTCCCTTCTCTGCCTCTTCTTCCTCCTCCTCCTCTCATCCTCACTCTCCCTCTCCGTAATCAGATTCAGATTCTGATTCCGAGGCCGAGCCACTACTCGAATCATCATCGTCACGTGTTTCCTACTCCGTCTTCTCCGAGATTTCATAATCAAATTTCCGATCTGACTTCCTATTCCCTCTCCGTTTTTTACTTTTGCGTCTCTCTTCCTTCTCCGATTCCGAATCGCTCCCACTTTCCAAATCCGAACCACAGCCATACTCTTTGCCGTCTTTTGATTTCCTCTTACTTTCACGGCGACTCACATTGATCCTCTTCTTCATCAGACTCATTTCCGTCACCGCTTGCTCTCTCCCGGGATGATTAAAAATACATAGAAGCATCAGTTATTATTGCCATAGAAGCATCAGTTATTGTCGTTGTTGTTGAAATTAATGTTGACAGTGGAGTTGTTGTTGCTGTTGGGGATGATTCCCTTCCAATGGTTTTGTCTCTTGGATATTTTCTGTTGGAGTTCTTCGTCGTGATTAATGGTGGTTTAGGCACATGGTTTTATTGAACCGACATAATTGAGGTTTCCAGTAGTGAATGATTTAATATTTGATTCGACCAAGCAATTTCAAAGTTATTTTTTCTACGCTATCATTTAAAATAAGTAATTGAAGTAACAACTAGTATTAATATTGAGTAAAAGAATAGAATACATGAAGTAGTAATAGGCTTTCATACAAGAACTAAGGGAAAATAGCATTAAATACTACATAATCTAAGGAGTATATTTTTTGGAATATGATTATAGTTATATTATATATATATATAGGTAAATGTTTGAAAAATATATAAAATATAGTCAAAATTTCATCTCGTTTAATCCCGCTTAATCCCCGTTTTTTGAAAAATCCTCAAATCCAGACCGTCCGATTAACGATTTCCGATGTTTTAAACATAGCATATATATCATAAATTGGGGGCCCATAGATCTCTTTGTAGATCGCCTCTGCCCTTTGAAGAAACGGACTATCGTCCATGTAAGGATAAATACATCCACTCAACATGATATCCAAGGATCTCACTTTGACTAAGAAATCAAAGTGATGGCTCTGATACCAACTGATGTAGCGGAAGTTACGATAAATACAACTCAACCTATGATTCAAAGGAATCAATCGGGATATGCCAGCTCAACCAAAGGATTTGATATAATCCTCGTTTGGGACTTGCTTCTTGAACTCGTTGAGATCTCTCTAGATCTACCAAAAACAAGGATAGAGAATATTCTTCTCTCAAAAGCCAAAGCTCTTTATTAAAAATCAACAACTTAATACAAAAGGAGGCATAGACGGTTTATTTATAATAAATCTAAAGACCCTAGAAACTCTAAAACATTAATAGAAAATTATCAAAATAATAAAATAAATAATATCAATATTTGGAATATTTCTAATTATCTTCCTACATCAGTTATTATTTAATCAGTTTTGACAAAAATATTTTTAATTAATAAATAATTTAAAATATGTATGTTTTCAAAAATTTAGAAGTTTTTCTAAAGTTTAATTAAAAATTACAAATAAGTACTAAAAATATATAAATCTATACTATATAAAAGTTAAATTATGCCAAATTAGCATCTTAATTTTAAAATCGAAAATGGAAAGAGTTTTTGTGAATAATAACATTATTGTGTTAAATAATGGAAATTGTACTATTGTTAATTTGAATACTATCATTGTTGCACCAATTACGTAAACCAATTGTTTTTTTAAGTTTAATGGAAATTATGATTAAACTGAAATTTTAGAAAAGCTAAACTAACTAATTAAAATAAAAAGGAATTTCAAGGTTTGGCATTGGCTATAAATAGTCCCCTAAATTTAGAATTACATATACGAGTTCTGAAGACAATCATATTCTTCAAGAGATAAGAAGGTTTATTGAAATAACAATGACTTCTTCATGTTCTTCTGATTCTAATTGTGGTAAATATAATTATGCCTTTCCAAGTTTGTAATTTAAATATATCGTTAAACACTACAATAATATGATATATATAGCTAATATATTCTGTTCTTTATCATCTAACCCTCACACCATATATTATATGCATCATGTAGATTTATTATGTTGTAGCTTATAGTTCATTTGCAGTTTTTTTTAAGTGATGAGAGAGATCAAGCTTTGGGAGCTAAAACAAAAAATCAAGAAAACAATAGCATACTATATAATATTTAGTTCATCGTAGCTTCAAAAAAATGGTCGAAAAAATAAATAGTTTGTTTGGATTACTATGGAGCACAAGAATTCAAAGGAAGATTTAATAGTTCAACATATACAACAAAGTTTCGAGAAAGCATTCCACCCATACATCAACAAAATAAGAGTTCGTATTCGGGAGGATAATGGAGATCAGACGGAGAGGGAAATATTTATGTCTCGCATCCTTCACATCCTTTAAGAGATTTCATCTCCATGTAAATAACGATTTTCAAATAAGAGAAAATCACGAACCTTCCAAAAATGGCAAAATATATAAGGATAAAGAGATATATGCAATAAACCTATTCGGGGTAGAATAATCAGTTTTTCACTTTTTCTTTTTCTACATCTTTAAAGACTTCCTGAAAAAGGTGTGAGTTTGCCATAAGTTTATTGAGAAGCAGGGCTTGATCCAAGACTCATACTGTAGAAAGACATTTGAAGAAGATATGGAAACTATTTCTTTGATGATCACAATGATTGCAGGAGGTATATCAATTTCATGACAGCCAGAGTTTGATCGGTCAAGATAAAGCTTTTGCCATCAATTCAAGAGGAAATATTCATTTTGGTGTAGTATAAACTTGCCAAATATGATTACTCGATTTGATTAGAAACATGATATAAGGTGAGTTAATAACCATTTTTGCAATTAAATAAACATTAACTGAATTTTACAGTTTCTAAACAAATATGTAACTAACAAATTTTTTGAATAAAAATGTATTTATAAACAGATTTAAGGCGGAAATATTCAAATAAACATTAATATAAAACTACTTCTAAAAGGAATGTATACCATAACGCATAAAAAACGTGATAAAATTACTAACAAAAAATCAACATTGAACAAACAATGATTTAAATTTTCTTTAAGCCATAAAAAATAATATACATAATTTATATTATATAAAAGCTAAATATATATTATTATGATCAAAGTTTATAAACTAATAACAGGATGTGTAAGTTAATATACTGAAAAATAAATTATATGTTGTTTATAGTATTTTAAGTTCTAACATAACAAATTAAAGTTATTTTAAATAATTGAATATCTTCAAGTAAGCTTTGGTCATTAGACATACACAAACATTTTTGTTATCGGGATATGATCTAAATAATATTTTTGTATATCAAGATTTGATCTCAACATGTTATTATATATCTAAAAAAATTGTTTTCCAGAGAATTTTACTATTGAAATATTATTAAATTTTAATTGTTGATTTTTTTCAGTTTAAAAAAAAAATCTTTAAAAATAAATTTTAAACCGATTTAAGATACAGACCCGCGCGTGCGCGGGTAAAAGTCCTAGTCTATTACTAATAAAAGTTGACCCTATAGGCGTCTAAAAGTGTCCACATAGGATTCTAAAACTGTATTTGATTGGTCCATGTCTTTATTATTATTTTTCTCATTGAAAAAATAATTTCACAATTTCCTTTTTATACTTATTAGCAAATTTCTTTTTTTTAATATCCATATATTTTCTTTTATTCCACATCATTATTATTACTTTAACATATTAATCTATTACTAATAAAAGTTGAGTCTATATGCATTAGAGGGTGTCCACCTAGGATTCTAAAACTGTATTTAATTGGTCCATGTCATTATTACTAATTTTTTAATTGAATAATTAATTTCTTAATTAACTTCTTTTTATTCTTATTAGCAAATTTCCCTTTTATGCATATTAGCAAATTTCCATTTTTTTAATATCCATATATTTTCTTTTATTCCAATAAGTATTATTACTTTAACATATAACTTTGGTAAATTTCTTATATTAAAAATATTTTATTAATTAGACTTTAATAATTGTAGTTTTTATATAGACTATCTAATAAGAAATGATATTAGAAGTTGTCTTTTATATTAGTGGAAAATTGATTAAGAAGTCCATACTATCTATTATGGCATATTAAACATCTCTATTAAGCAGTTTTCATGGCAAATACACTAAGTAGTTAGACAAATAAATTTCTTCTTTTTAGCAACAAGGTGTTGTGGTGTAGCAAAAGGAAAATAAGAAATTTAATTTGATCGGTACACATAAGCATCTTAAAAAGATTTTCATTTTATTTGTTACTAGGAACTGTACCCCCGCGCAAGCGCGGAGTTGTTTGCATATATTTTTGGTTGTTCATTATCATTTATATATTTTACAAAATGTGCTATTGTTTTTTTTTCTCTATGTGTTGTGTTGTTCTGTATATATGATATATATGTTTATTTATTAAATATTTATACAAACAAAAACATTTTGAGTGTTTTTTTTTAAATGTTAGAAATAGTCAATACTATAGTTATTTTTAACATCAAAATCAATAATTTAGTTTTATATATAACTTCTTTTTATTACTTAAATTTAACAGTTACACATTTTCCATGAAATTTTATTACATACACTATCTTTTTACATAATATATATTATTATGAATTTTAGACATTTTAAATTTTTAGTACATTTTTTTTCTTTTAAAAAAAAATCTCTTGCATCTACTATTTAAAATTTAACTTTTAATCTTTTAAATATTAAGTTCAACCACTTTTTTATTTATTTTCGTCTTTTATATTTTTATAAATCATTTCGGTTTTTTTTATACATTATTTTTATATTTTTTATTAAATAATAAATCATTTAATGATATTATGAAAGTGTAGGTATTAATTGAATCATTAATTTTGATTTAATTAATTTGTATTTTTTTTTTGCTGATGTGGACAACAACTCCCTAATTATATATAGGATTATGATATTTCCTTAATACTCAATTCTATTTTTATTCATATTAAAGTTTTTAGAAAATAGAAAAAAAATAAGATTTCTAATGACATAAAAAGGAAAATTACTTCCTATGTGTATTTTTGAAAATTTTTGTCTAATGGATGTTTGGAAATTATTAGAAAGATTTGGGGTGAAGAGGATTTGGTATAAATCGTGACCTTCAAAGACATGCAATTTCTAAAATTCTGAAACAAAATGTTTGGTAATGTGCATATAATTAAAGCAAATGAGAGATAGGGTGTTCCAGGTCCGCATGAGTTTCTTGGTGGCCTCAAATTTTAAAATATATTATTTTTCAGTAAATTTATTTAATAGCTAAATAAAAAATAATGATAGATTGAAAAGTCTATTGCTGGGAAGTTTCAAACCATCCACATTGAGAAGAATGAAGAGCAACACTTCATATAAGCTAAATTAACATTTAGTAACATGTGGCATTAAAGTTTTATATATCTTTTGGTGGCGTAAATCCTATGTTTTACTAGCTTTACGTAGGGCCGAGGGTAATAATATTGATGTAGGATTTATGAATTCGATGAAATTGATTTCAATTGAAATTTAATTTAAGACTTTTGAGAAACACTCGCAAAAGAGTCGCATTTATGAATATTTATATTTTCGTTTCAAATGTGAAGATAATGAGTTTCTAATTTTACAGTGATAACTAACCCCGAAATGTGACAAAACTAACTCTTGAACCAAAAATTGGAGATTTAGTTCTATATAATTAGAAAATAAAATTATTAAAAATATTAAAAATAAAAATAAAAATTGTAAACAGGCAATACGAATTGTATTTGATTGTTGTTGTTTCTGTTTCGTAGTTAGACAACAAGTATTAATATAAGATTAGAGAAAAACTTTGCTATTCTTAGATATATATTGAGCAGAGAGAGTTGTTTGTTATCTTATAATCAGACTGATTAGTATTCTTTTAACTTGCTTTTTTGAATTTTCTTCTTTACATATATATATATATATATATATATATATATTATATATATATATATATATTTCATTCAATAATATTATTTTTTCCATGATTTCTGATGTTATAATAACGTTTTCTGTAGAAAAATTATTTAGAGAGATACGGATAATCGTCAACAATTTACACCATATGTAGTGAATGTGTTTGTTTATTGATCTTTACGTTACTACACCAAGAGATATATGACGTTTTTAAGTTGTGCCATATTGCAAGTGAATGAAACATATTAGAATCATAACGCCAAAAGGTTGGCGAAAATGTCATCGATGTTACACATTCTTTCAAACATGTAATTGCGTGGGTAAACGTAAGGAGGAGTTCTTTTACCTTCAAGCAGACCTTCACACGTAGATATACTATTAAAGGCATTAAAAGCCGCATTGGATGCTTCTCGGTAATGTCCAGAGCTCGCAAAACTATCAGCTCCCTTGATGGATCTAATGGATAATTGATAATATGTCACACAAGACTCATATGAGTGTGCGAGATCCGGATCATTCGTGGTTCTCGCTAAGTCTTTTATCATCTCTAGGTTCTTGTAGCTCAACGATTCCGTCTTTTGGATGACCATACCCACAAGACCGCGCAAGTCGAGGGTGAACGTTTTTGGGTCGGAGTTTAGCCAAGCGATGCAGAAGTGTTTGTAAATCGAAGGTTGTGAGCAGAGTTGGTCAACTAGTGCTTTTGTAACTTTGTCACTTGGAGAAAAATGTGAAGAAGAAGGAGCGATTGATGAAGACAAAGGGGTGATTGATAGAAGAACGATGAGAAGAGGAATAATCGGAAACACGTTTCTTGTGACCCAAGAAAAAGCCATTGTCTTGGATGTGGAAGTAATTAAAACGTATTTATGTGATGTTGGGGAGTGCGTATAGGTTAGTAATATATATATATATATATATTGTTTTTGGGGTGGAAAGTGTAACTCCTGTTGTAAGGTTCGATTTCATTTCATTATTATTGACTACTAGGGCTAAGCCCGCGTAATGCGCGGGTTATGACTATTACAAAGTTTTATCTCTTGTTTTAATTTTCATATGAATTTTCAAACATTTTTATTTATTTATTTCTATATTCTTTCTTATCTTATCAAAAATGAAATATTGAAAAACAATTTCTCCACATAAATGGTAAACATAAAATGTGTAAATTAAAATGACATGCAAAACTATCTTATCTCTCCACCGTTTTGTTTCGCTTACAACAAAACTATATATCTCATCACCACCATGTAATTTGTTACCATCAAAGCTAACGGGAACACCACCACCAAAAGACATGCTAAAGCAATGCATCTGCCTCCTACACCCATACCAATCATTACCGTCAGGCGATTTTCACATCGGTTCTCTTTGGCCTAACTAACGACAAAATGAACATTAAATTTTTTTCCAAAGTGTTAATATTTTTTCCAAAAACATTAAAATTAACATTATATTGACAACTAAGATTCATTAATTTGGAATTTAACTCATTAATAAAAGCTAATGTATTTTGAATTATCTTTAAAATATTTGGATTGACAATATGGTCCTTAAATCCATAATTATTTTATAGGGTGTTATATAGTTTATGGCTATTTACTACACTTTGAGTAGACAAAAAAAAATATACTCCTTAAATTATGAACTTGTGTATCATTACGGGCCTTAAATCATCATTAGCTAAAAGCCCAAAACCTTGAAATGAAACGACGTCATTTACGGACTTGTGTTAAGCAACGATTACGATTCCTGTATCTCACTTTCTCTCTCTCCCTCTTGCTCGCTATGTTTCTTTTGCCGGTTTCAATGGCGTCATCATCAATCGACGAGTTTTCTTCCACCGCTGATATCAGTTCCATCGTCAGATCCAAATCTCACAGACGACGATTAAATGGCGTCATCATCAATCGACGAGCTTCCTTCTACCGCCAATATCACTCCCGTCGACGAGCCAATTCCATAGTCAGATCCAAATCTCACAGACGACGATCCAATGGCGTTATCATCAATCGACGGTCTCTGACGGCGGAGATTGAAATTCCATTTCGCGGTTTTGGGAGCGTGGAGGAATCATCGAGAGGGATCTATTCTCTGCGGAGAGTGGATTGACTTCTCAACGGTGGTTCATCGAAGAGACGGAATCGGAAGGGATCTATCCGACGGCAGTGAATGCTCCGGTTGGGAGTTGGCGATTTTATGGTAACGGTGGGTAAAGAAACGAAGGAAGGTTTATTTCTTTTGTTTTTGAGGAAAAAAATAAAGTCTAGGGATGAAAATCAAATTTGTTCTAATTTTTTTTTCAATGAAAGGAATGACACATGTCAATTTTTTTTAAGTAGATGAATGACAGGTGTCAGCAAACTGGAGAGAGTTATTCATCTATTATATATAAGATTGAGTGGTTTAACGAAATATTGACCCGATTTGTTTCTTTTAGTGGATTGTTGACTCATCTTAAACTTTGAGGGGGATATTGGATTGGTGATTTAGGAGGATTTCTTTTTTCAGATCATCCCTTATTGGATTAGTATTATTTTAAATCACTCAAAATTCAAGGTTATTGAATTCATCATTTGTGCAAATGCTTTAAAATCCCACCTTATTGGAAAATTAGGATTTCACTAGTAATATTGTAATCATTACGGCAATTGATAAGAAATTTTAACATTGTGCCAAACTATGTCACATTCATATTGTTTTGATGGTTGGCAACTAAAAGAACCCATTATGCATAATTAAAATCCAAAAAAAGTGTATGAGAACTAAGATATCTCTTTATTAAGTTAGTAATAGTAATATCACTATTTTAGAATAAAAAATTACGGACTATTGAGTATATTTGAGTATTTGACATCAGAAAAAAATGAGTATATTTGAGCACTCACATTCAAATTTGATGATCCACCACCATTTCTGGAAGATTGTAACATCCGTAGACCAAAGAATTGTTATTTTTCTTTGGTGTCGGGCGATACCAGGGTAGTGTCAGATAGTTAAAATCCAATTCCGGTTCAATTTGAGTTGGTTTGGACCGGTTAAGGGCTTGGAAACCCTTATTCACTAAATAAAACTGCGCAGCCGCTTTCTTCTTCTTCTTTCTTTTGTCATTTTCTGAGCGAAAAACTTGAAGAATAGAGATTGAAGGCAATTTGGTGTTTGTGGGATCGATCCAAGGCTGTTCTTCGTCGATTTGAGGCTTTGGTTCGTGTTGGTGGCTGATGCGTGGTGTTTCTTCGTGTTTTTCGTCACTGTTCATCATCTCCTTTGGTTTCCCCCTTTTCAATCCGAAAATCCGAGGTGAGTGCATGACTATGGGTCTGTGATTGTTAGGATTGTGTTGTATGCTTGATTGTGTGTTGATTTTGTGGTGTATTAATGTTTGATTTCAGTGTTTTGAGTTTAATTGTGATTTCATCGTTTCGGGTACTGTTCATTCGTCGTTCTCTGTGTTTTGAATCTCAGTGTCGGGCTACACCAAGTTTGGTGTCGGTCGACACAAGAAGGTGGTGCGACCGACATCAAGCTGGTGTCGCTCGACACGGGCCGGTTTAGTTGGGTTTAACTGAGTTTAATTGGTTTAAGTGAATTTAATGGTTAACTCGGGATTTAATTAATTAATGACTATTTTAATTAATTAATTGGTTTAAAATAATTAATAATGGAAAATTATTATTAAATTATTAAAATCATTTAATAATTGAGAATTTGAGTTCAATAATTATTGAAATGTATAATAATTATTTTAAATTGCTAGTAATTGCGTAAATGGCTCGTAGGCACGGTGATTGCCTCACTAAGTATTTATTATTAAGCTAGGGGTGATCCGCGCTTCGCACGGGGTTTTAAATTGTTGTGTTAATTTTATTGTTTTTCCGCAAATTGAAATTATTTTTATAGTTTATCATTGTTTCAAAATTATCATACACATATTATTTAAAAATAATTAGGGTTAAAACAACTTATAAAAAATAAAATAAATTGGGCTTATGTGTGTTAATAAAGAGTGATAGTTATGCATGGAGAATTTAAGGATGCGTTTCTCAGTTCTTAGAATTGAATTGTGTGATTAAGATGGTATTGAATTTGGTTTTTAAATAAATGGTCATGGAAAAGCAAGTGGAGAGAAAGTTGTCACCTTCCCGTCCTATCTCATCCTGTTCCATTTTGTTTCTTTTCAACTTGTCCTGTTATTTTCTGCTATGTCTGTCATGTCTGTCGTCCCTTCCACTTTTTTTTATCATATCCCACTTTGATCCTTCCCGTCTTGTCCCATCCCATTTCGTTAACTTCCCATCTTGTTCTATCCCATTTATTTGAAGGTAAGATTTATAATCTCATATAACTAAAATTATTAAATAATACTCCTTCCGTTTCATAATAAGTGTCATTTAAGCAAAATGAGAATTCAATGTATCTGGATGTATTAAACTCAAAATAACACTTATTATTGTCCAGATACATCCAATTATTGTCCGGATACATTTTGTCCAAATGACACTTATTATGAAACGGAACGAATAGTTTTTATAGATATGTACATAAGTTTTTTTTTTATAAAAATGACTTTTCAAATTCTTCCTTAAACTATTATATTAGTTAATGATAATTATGTCATAATTAAATAAAAAGAGAAAACATATAATAAATTAAAGAATTGTGTTGATGTATCATTTTCTAAAATATAAACATAATAATTAAATAGAAACGATAAGCATAATTCTTGTCTCGTTTCATTAAATGAAATTAGGGCTGGGTATAATTTTGGTCTCGATCCATTTCGTCATGTTTCTTATATGTATTTCAGAGAACTGATAAGTACTTACATCAAGAGAAAATTTAACAACTCCATTAAGCATTTTGAATGTGAGTACTCATCAATTTTCTATCCTAAACCTCCGGATCCACTTTCTTCATTTTGCTTTGGGTTGATACATGGAGAATCACCGACATGCTCTCTACAGGATAATATAACAGAAAACAAACATGTCAACTTAGAAGTTCAGGATACAAATGTGAGCTAAGAGTCTGATTATGAAGAATAATAGCTTGAAAAAAAAGACTTACGTTTTAGGTTTCTTCGCATTATGTTGGTCACCAAGACCGTATCCATTGACTCCTCTTGGTTCTCTTAGTCTGAGAGTCCAAATCTAAACCTTCATCAACTCTTACCGCCCTTTTTTTATTGAATTTGGATTAGGTCCCATGTCTCCCTAAAGAAGCAAAGAAACCCAAAAGAGAAAGAGAGAGAACATGTGAATATGCTGAGAGACATATAGTATAACAAATGCAAAAGCAAAATTTAAATATTAAAGACCTTAAGTGAAGATGATCCACCATCTCTGGAAAATCCATGATAGGTGAATCCCACAATTCCAAGACCACGAGTCTTGCTCTCAAAATTAACTCCCTCTTCCATCACGCGCTTGCCTTTAAGCTCATGCTTAGACTTAGGTGTAGGTATTTCAACATCATGTTTCACATCATTCACACCGTTGGTTGCCTCATCACTTGTTTGATTTTGAGGTACCTGGTTTTTAGAACCCTCCATGCCACTCAGTTTCAGAGCTGGAAAGCACGGTGCAGCCTGACCCCAGCCCCCCGGATATGCAGTAGCAGAATGATAGTTCAGTTGTGGTCTAAATCCATGATTTTTAGTAGTAGGCTGATTCAGCTTAAATGTTTGCATCGTAGGAAGAGATAGAGGTGGGGGAACATGCTGAGACGGTGGAGGGAGAAGACGTTGCACCTGAGGAGGCTGAGTTCCAACTTGATGAGACACATGCATGTTGTTTGGAGGAGATCTTGCCTGGTTAGCTTGAGGATAAATTGGCTCTAAGCACCATAATGGATTTGGCTGGCGTGAGTGTGACGGACCCTCGCCAATAGTATTGTGTGGCAGACTTAATGGGTTAGCTTGGGGTAGCGAAGCTGATGGGGAAACAGCATGAGGCTGATGTAGAGCCAAACTCAGAGATATGAGTTCTGGTTAAGCATGGCTGAAACTCACTCTCCTTTGCAAGCTCAGCCAGAACTCATATCTCTGAGTTTGGCTCTACATCAGCCTCATGCTGTTTCCCCATAAGCTTAGCTACCCCAAGCTAACCCATTAAGTCTGCCACACAATACTATTGGCGAGGGTCCGTCACACTCACCCCAGCCAAATCCATTATGGTGCTTAGAGCCAATTTATCCTCAAGCTAACCAGGCAAGATCTCCTCCAAACAACCACTACAAGAAAAATACCCCTTTTGCGACGGAAATTCCCATCGCAATTCCGTCGCAAATCACCATTTGCGATGGAATTGCGAGAAACAAGATTCCATCGCAAATCTTTCGTCGCAATTACATCTCCCTCGCAAATCCGTCGCAAGCTTGCGATGGAAATGTCTCCATCGCAACATTGCGAGGGACGCCTTTCCGTCGCAAGTGTGCGATGGATTTGCGAGGAAAAATCTATATGTCGCAATGTTGCGAGGGAAAAGTTTTCGTCGCAAACTTGCGAATTCTAAATTTCCGTCGCAAACAATTTTTTTTTTGACATTTTTCTTTTTTTTAAAATAAGTAATTAATACTTTCAGATTAATTTAAAAATTAAATAAATTAAAATTTAATTAAAATATAAATTCAGGTATAATACAAAAATTCAAACATAACATATAAAAACGTTCAAACAAAAAACTAAAATTCTTCAGACGGTGCATCCACTAATGTATCTCCTCCGCTTGTTCCGCCCTAGCCCGCTACCAGGTTCACGAGAATCACCTTTTCCGTAGTCCACGTAACTGTTTCGTTCCCCCATCTGTCATACCTCAAAAACAATATTAAAATTAGAAATGAAAAAAATCAGAAAAAAAATATATCAACAACATTCAGCAAGTTATGTACCAGTAATTACCAATCATATTAAAAAAATTATCAATCTCAAATTTTATGATAAGTTTATTCTAATTTTAGTAAAATTATGTAACAATTTTTGAAAAATTAATTGTAACAATCGTAACTTTATAACAATTTTAAAAAACTCAATTAAAACAATTTTAACTTTCAAATATCATTTCTAAAAAAAATAGATTTAATTAGCTAATTATTTTCAATGATCTAACAAATTTATATACAATCTTGTAATACAAATTTAATTAAAACAATACTAAAATCTACATTATCTAATCTAACATCTAAAATTTTCTATTCTTAAACTAATCTAACTACCTAACAAATTAAATTAAAAAAAAAATAGTAAGGAAGAATTCATATTACTAGATCTGGGAAGTGGAGATGGCGACAGTGGAGACGGCGGCGGAGAGGAAGAGATCTGCGGTGGTGGCGGAGAGCGCGGCAACGGAGAGCAAGCGATCTGCAGGGCCGGAGAGAGAGAGAGGAACACGGCTGCGGGAGAACAAGAGTGGTGGGAGGAGAAGAACACGGCGGCAGAGAGAATGAGAAGGATAAGCGGTGGCGCGGAGAAGAGAAGGCGTCGGGAGAAAAAAAGGAGAGGAAGAAGAGAAGGAGAAGAAGAGGAGAGGAAGAGATCGGGCGGAGAGGAGAAGAAGAAGAAGAGGAGAGGAAGAGATCGGGCGGAGAAGAGATGGAGAAGAAAAGAAGACTATGCGGCGGCCAAAAAAAAAAAGTTTGATGGGATTATATATAGAACTTAAATGCCATCGCAATTCCATCGCAACATTGCGACGGAATTGCGACGAAATTAAAAAAAAAAACCCTAATCAAAGAACGTGGTCGTGGTCGTCGCAAATCCGTCGCAAATTGCGAGGTATTTGCGATGGAAAATATAGGAAACCCTAATTTGCGAGGGATTTGCTACGGAAGTGCGACGAGTATGCGACGGATTCGCGACGTTTTTGCGACTAGTAATTAGGTTTAGGGTTTAGGGTTAAACAAGCTTGATTACGAAAGAAATGCCTATAAATAAGTGTATATGAGTATGATTCAGATTTCACCACCAATTTCATTTGCATTATGTTATATGATCTCTCTTCTAACGAAAACTTATGTAATGTTTAGCTAATACTTAGTGAGTTTCATTGTGATGGTTAAGTAATGATTTTGATAGAATATTTATTTTGCGTTTTTCACGATCATGTAGGGTTTTATATATTGTAAAATAAAATTAACCACAATTCCTATATCATTCAGTCTATTATTTCGAAAATCCTACACCCTAAACCTTAATATACTCTAAACCATCGCAATTCTATCGCAAGTTTGCGATGGATTTGCGATGGCTGTGAGATTACCATCGCAATTCCATCGCAATATTTCTATGGATTTGCGAAGAAAAGATACGCAAATTGCAACTTAATAGCAAATATGTCGCAATATTGCGATGGAATTGCGAGAATGCATAGGTTTTAATTAGGGTTAGAGTTTTGGGCTTTTAAAATGGCGTAATCAAGGAAGTAGATATTGAAATGTTTAAGATAAATTTAATGAAATACAATGGCAAAACCCTTATTCAATCAAAGTCATTTTCAACATCATTTTCAAATACATAAGAGTTTGCATTATGTCCATTTCATCATCATCAGTATCAGGCTCCACGAACTCATCGGACTCTCCATCTTCACTTGAATCGTCAACAACGTCCTACACTTCTTTGTTCATTGGCCTATGCTTTGCGACGGAAATATTTTAACGCAAAACCATTGGAAAGTTGCTACGGTTAATTGGAAACACAAATCTCTCGCACCTTTGTGACAGATTTGCGGTGGATATCTTTTTAGTAGCAAATCGGTCGCAAGGTTGTCGCAACGTTGCTACGGAAATGTTTCCATCGCAAATATTTCGCAAGATTGCGAGAGATTTGCGATGCGTCTTCGTGTTATAGCAAATTAGTCGCAAGTCTGTCGCAAACTTGCGACGGAAATGTTTCCATCGCAAATTTGCGAAGGATTTGCGACGGCTTTCGAATCCGTCGCAACTTGGTCGCATTATTATCGCAAGTTTGCGACGGAATCATTTCCGTCGCAAACTTCCGTCGCAAATCGCCTGTTTTCTTATAGTGAACATGCATGTGTCTCATCAAGTTGGAACTCAGCCTCCTCAGGTGCAACGTCTTCTCCCTCCACCGTCTCCACATGTTCCCCCACCTCTATCTCTTCCTACGATGCAAACATTTAAGCTGAATCAGCCTACTACTAAAAATCATGGATTTAGACCACAACTGAACTATCATTCTGCTACTGCGTTTCCGGGGGGCTGGGGTCAGGCTGCACCGTGCTTTCCAGCTCTGAAACTGAGTGGCATGGAGGGTTCTAAAAACCAGGTACCTCAAAATCAAACAGGTGATGAGGCAACCAACGGTGTGAATGATGTAAAGCATGATGTTGAAATACCTACACCTAAGTCTAAGCATGAGCTTAAAGGCAAGCGCATGATGGAAGAGGGAGTTAATTTTGAGAGCAAGACTTGTGGTCTTGGAATTGTGGGATTCACCTATCATGGATTTTCCAGAGATGGTGGATCATCTTCACTTAAGGTCTTTAATATTTAAACTTTGCTTTTGCATTTGTTATACTATATGTCTCTCAGCATATTCACATGTTCTCTCTCTTTCTCTTTTGGGTTTCTTTGCTTCTTTAGGGAGACATGGGACCTAATCCAAATTCAAGAAAAAGGGCGGTAGGAGTTGATGAAGGTTTAGATTTGGACTCTCAGACCAAGAGGAGTCAATGGATACGGTCTTGGTGACCAACCATAATGCGAAGAAACCTAAAACGTAAGTCTTTTTTTTCAAGCTATTATTCTTCATAATCAGACTCTTAGCTCACATTTGTATCTTGAACTTCTAAGTTGACATGTTTGTTTTCTGTTATATATCCTGTAGAGAGCATGCGGGTGATTCTCCATGTATCAACCCAAAGCAAAATGAAGAAAGTGGATCCGGAGGTTTAGGATAGAAAATTTGATGAGTACTCACATTCAAAATGCTTAATGGAGTTCGTTAATTTTCCTCTTGATGTGAGTACTTATCAGTTCTCTGAAGGCAAATACCATTTTTGAAACATATAAGAATCAAAATGCCAAAAGGTCGGCGAAAACATTATCGATGTTACACATTCTTTCAAACATGTAATTGCGTGGGTAAACGTAAGGAGGAGTTCTTTTTCCTTCAAGCAGACCTTCACACGTAGATATACTATTAAAGGCAATAAAAGCCGCACTCAGTCACATAATAATATATTCAGTTAACAATCCTATATTGGATGCTTCCTGGTAATATCCAGTGCTCGCAAAACTTCAGCTCCCTTGATGGATCTAATGGATAATTGATATTGTGTCACACAAGACTCGTATGAGCGTGCGAGCTCCGGATCATTGGTGGTTCTCGCTAAGTCTTTAACCATCTCTAGATTCTTGTAACCCAAAAAGACGACCATACCGACAAGACCGCGCAAGTCGAGGGTGTACGAGTTTTTGGGTCGGAGTTTAGCCAAGCGACGCAGAAGTGTTTGTAAATTGAAGGTTGTGAGCAGAGTTGGTCAACTAGTGCTTTTGTGACTTTGTCAGTTGGAGAAAAATGTGAAGACGAAGGGCCGATTGATGAAGACAAAGGGGTGATTGATAGAAGAACGATGACAAGAGGAATCATCCCAAACACGTTTCTTGTGACCCAAGAAAAAGCCATTGTCTTGGATGTGGAAGTAATTAAAACGTATTTATGTGATGTTGGGAAGTGCTTATAGGTTAGTAATATATATTTACATTGTTCTTGGGGGTGGAAAGTGTAACTCCTATGGTAAGGTTCGATTTCATTTCATGATTATTGACTATTTAGTGGTTTAACGAAATGTTGACCCGATTTGTTTCTTTTAGTGAATTGTTGACTCAACTTAAACTTTGAAAGAAAGAACGTACACGTATTGAATTGACAGGTCTCGTATCACGATGACTGACGATGATATTGTTTTGATGGTTGGCAACTAAAATAAACCCGCTATGCATAATTAAAATCCCAAAAAAAAACAGTGTATGATAACTAACGGAAATTTAATGAATTTGGAATTTTAGTTGATTTTGAGTGATTTAATTTAAAATGATAAATCTTCAGTTAATTATTCAAATATAAATTTTAAAAAGTAGTTTAAAATCTAGTGTTATTGAAGTTGTGATTTTAGAATACATGCACTTTTGGAAATATTGTAGGTGAGAGATTTTAGATGATTTGAAGTGATTTTAGAGTTACTAGGTCTTTTACCCGCGCATACAGAGGAACAGTGACCATGATGAATGCGAATCCGGTCATGGAGCCAACCAGAGACCTCTCGATTTTGGTGGGACCGGTGATTTCTTCATGACTAGGGGGATCGTTACGTTGAAGACCGAACTCACTGAAGGTAGTAAGTATTTCTGTCTCAAAATGGATGTTAAACTCTATGAATGTTACTACTAATCTTATTATATAAAGCTGGATGTGCGCAACGTGGTTGCGACACATAGGATTTTTATAAAATATAGGATTGCGACATGTGTCACTTTTATTGTTAAGTCTGTTAAGATCGTGACACGTGTCTTGCGAAAAAAAAAAATGTTAGAAAAAGGAAAATTAAAAAAAAACTATTAGAATAAAAATAAAAAATCATATTTGTCATATCCTTATAGAAAAAGGTTTCCCATTTATCAAATTTGTATTATCTAAACACATATTAAATTCAAAATAATGTAATAAATAAAATCATATTAGTACATTACGAAAAATCAGAAAAAAAAGAAACAACTAATTTAAAAAAAAATATTACATCCATTAGGAAAAGTAAAAGAAAAAATATAATCCTTTTACGAAAAGGAAAAAAACGAAAAATCAGAAAAGCATTATGAAATAGTTAAAAAAATATTACATCCAATAAGAAAAGGAATAAAAAACATATTCCCATTAAGAAAAAGAAAAAAAAACCAATATATAACAAGCTATATTTAAAATAGTTTCTTTCTCATTAAGAAATCAAAAATCATGTCTAATATTTGATCAGGTGATGACATGTGTCAACAAAAGAAAATTAGAAAAATGGAGTAACATAAATAATAAACTAATAAAATAATTGTAAAACAACTAACTAATAATGAAAATGAAAATTTATATTGGTTAGAGGCAAAAAAACAAAATTGAAAAAGAAACAATATAAATAGAGAACTGACAAAATAATTATCAAGGAACTAAAATATTAAAAAGAATATTTTATAATAAACCGATCTTCTAATATTAAATAGTTTAGTTTCCATTTTTTTATTAGGTAAACCAATATTAAAATAAAGATTTTATCAATGGAATAATCAAAGTTTCATTAATTAATGAGTCGATTAGATTTAGACACATGTAAGTTTTTCTATTTCATATCATGAATTCAAAAAGCGATCAAATTTTGTTTAATAAACCCGCGTGTACGCGAGACCTAATCTAGTATTAATATATAGTATGTCTTGAGTTTGATGTTAAACAGACAATACAATACTTATATTTTAGTATATTTTCATAGGTTATATATTTCTATACGATTTGCTTCTAGAAAATATTAATTTATGATTATAACGCCCGGACTGCCTCTACCAATAAGTCACCCATGCCCTCTCTTTGGGCCCGCAAGCCCATCTAGGCCACTGGGCCTCACCCCTGTCCAACGGCCGGTCTGTTTTTTTCTGAGGCTCTAATGACTTGTTTTACGATCCCTGCAATCAACACTCGACCTTTCCATGTGTTTTGGCCTCACTCACACAATTTCGGAAACCACTTCCTGGAAGGTTACCCATCTTTCAACTACTCCAGCCCAAGCACGCTTAACTCTGGAGTTACTTATAGACCTTTGACCGAAAAGGTAAGTGCACTTTGTTGACATAGGTAGCCAAATCAATTCTCTTAATCCTCTCCTCATTTATCACAAACCGGGATGTTACAATGATATTAATGGGACTATATATTTACATATTTTTAAAATAATATTATTATCTTATTATCTTATCAATTTGTGTTATAATTTACACCAGTCCAACTTGAGACCGGATAAATTTGTTATTTTATCGAGTTTATTAATTTATCAAGTATATAGAAGTTCTAATATGTATATGGAACTTTCTATCTGTATTTGGTTATAAATTCTTTCCTTTTTGTCAAATTGAGAATTGATGATTAATGTGTTTGAATAGTGACATAATCTTGTGAAATTTGGAGATATTAGTTGATTTATTTAGCTTAATCCGAGCTATCAACTAACAGTAATACATTTTGAGCTTTACATTAATCCAGATGATATGAATTCTTCATTGGTATTGGTTGTTTAATTTGTTTCTATTTTGAGTAAATTTGATGCTAAATCTCTTTGCAATTCAAACTCAAATTTCAGATTTTGAGATGAGTGATGCTCAACACGAGCATACTCTGGACGTGGAGAGGCTTACACCGAGCTTGCCTTCTTTCAGGATTGAGATTTTCCCAGAATATATATATATATGAGAATTGTTCTGGAGGATTTACTTTGTGCTTTTGCATCCTAAACTCAGTAAACATGATGTCTTGCTTCTATCCACTCCTCATGTAAATTGAATTCTCAACTCCATTTCTGAAAAATGCTTGTCTCTTTCGTAACATTGGATAATAATTCCTAAATTTGTATATTTTGTCCTTTTAAGCAACAAGAGGAGATAAAGCAAGAACCCAACACCAACACCAACAACATGGATCCATCTATGTTGAAACTAGTATTATTAATACAATTCAAAGCAAGTTTAAAAGCTGGTTGTTGGGTTCTTGTGGTTCCTAAAATCTAATATCCAAAATATTTGAAATCCTATATTACTGGACTATACCGAACTGACTATCCTGATATCCACAACAAAATTTGGATTAACCGAAATGACCTATATCAGATACAACTTCATTTGCCTTTGTCTCTTTTTATATGTACAGTCTAAGATTGGTTTTACCCTTTTAAAATGACCTCTATAACCTGTTACTCAGATTTTCTCCATCTTTACTCTTTCCTTCCACAAATTATGAGGGTGTTATGCACTTATGTTGTGGGTTTGATCAGGCTACTACTTTTAAAACGCATTTGCATGTATTATGATCCATGCCAATCATTAACTTTTATAATCTAGTGGATTTTTTAGTAGTAGACTTATTTTGTAAAAGTAGACTTCATAATAAAGTTTACTATGATTAAGAAGTCTACCGATGAAATTTACAATTATTAATAGACTTTAAAGTATATTAGTTTTGCAATTGACCAACGTTGACTTTAAAGTAGACATCTAAAAGAAATCTATTTACTATTCACGGCATTAATCAGTAGACTTCTTAGTGAAGTCTATTAAAAGTATTGTTTCAAAAGACATCACCAAGAAGTCCAATATGCTCATGTACTCGAAAAACTATACTTAATGCATGAGAAATCATTGGTAAACTTCATTGGTAGACTTCAACGTTGGTTAATTGCAAAAGTAACATACTTTTTCAATATACTTCAAAAAAAGCCAGTTGGTCAATTGCAAAACTAACCTTTAGAGACTTCAACACAAAGTCTACTAGGTGACTTCGGTAAGAAGAATTACAGTAGAAACTCTATAAATTGATACTTGATAAATTAATAAACTCTATAAAATAATAATTTTCTCCGGTCCCAGGTCTGGCCAGTGTAAAAATTAGCAAAATTCGATAAAATAATAAGATAATAATATTTTTGAAACTCCTATGTAAATATATGGTCTCATTAATATCATAAATTACAATTACAATAAATAACATTTTGTGTAGATACATATCTATGATAATATACTAAAATATAAGTATAACTTTCACTTCTTTTCTACTAAAACTCAAATTTATTTAGAATTCATCCCTAATTTTAGAATGAACCTATACAAAATATAAAAACTTTTAAAATTTCTTATTTTTATTTAATTTAATATTTATTTTAATTGTTTTTTTTTATAAAATGACTATTTTATTCAAGATCGATAATTTAATAACTCTACAAATTAATAAAATATCTAAGTCCCAAATTTATTAATTTATAGAGTCTATACTGTATGCGCAAAAAAAATTGTTGTCAAAGAAATAGAGCATACTTCTTCAAAAAATCTACTACTCTAAAATTGTAAAATGTCAATTGCAAAACTAACTTCGGTGTTGACCATCTCGCGAAGCAGATCTGAAATTCAGGAAAATCGACTGGAAAAGTACCTGGAGGAGCTCTTTGGTGTCGTCGGATTGCTTCAACTTTAACCATTAATAGAGAAGTTGAGCCGTTGTCGTGAGCTTGGTGACCATAAATGACAACATACAAGAGTTTGAAATTTTGAGAGATGGATTAGAGAGTTTTTTGGATGAAAATGGAGAATAAAGTGGAATAGAAGGTTTGGAGAAGATATAGTGGGATTTTTTTTTTTTTTTTTGGCATCGAAACCCATGTATTACTAGATTGTATCGAAGAGGAGAGCTTCGTGAGCTAAACAGTTCAGTACTAAAGTGTGTACATAGGTAAAACAAGAATCTCGTACTCATGCTCCTTTCGAGAGGTAATCAGCACAGACGTTACATAATCGTGGGATGTAAGAAATAGAAAAAGACTCGTAAAGAGAGTGAACCATGTGAAAAGCTTCTAATTCATTAGCCATGATTGGCCAGGCATGTAACACCCCCAGTTCGGTCTATAGACATAGACTAAACCACAGATGTCACAACTGTCGAGACTCATCAAATAGGCCGTTCCAGAACAAAGAACAAATCAAAGTCTAGATCAGCCCGTCCGGTGAATCCGACCCTCTCGACCGTAGCATAAGGCTTTGCAACCCGTACCATGGTCTTGAGTTGTGTCGGCTTGGACTAGCCTATTATCATTGAGTAACCGGGTTTAAAAGAAAACATTCTTTTATATATCAAACTTGTAACACAAATTCTTACAAAACATTTTATACTTTATGTTGCAGCTGCGGCCTAATGCCAAAAGATAATTATACATACATTACCCGAAAATCGAGTTTTGCAAAAAGCCAACCAAACTACTCCGGTCTTCGACTGTTCTGCCTCCTGTTCACAGGATTCTACTCCGAGCTACCTGTAAGACAAATAATCATCATGAGTAACCTAATGTTACTCAGTGAGTTCAGGACCCTCTATACAAAGGTTATTCCCCAAACCCAAACCCCAAAAGAAAAAGGCGGGATCTCATCCGCCACCTGCAACACAAAGCAATTATGCAATATTGCTGCTATAGCCTTAAGACTAACCGTACCCCAATCAAACAAGAACAGGTACGATCAATCCAAGACTATAACAACACTCAAACAAGCAATCAATCAATCAAGCAATGCACACAATCAATCTATATGCAAAGCAACCCTAATCAAGTAGCGGAATACTTGACTTCTACATGCAGTGAGGCCTCTAGGTGCATAAGCCACATTCTCAGCCCACGCCTGTGAAGGTTCACGCTCATCCGGAATCACACAGAAACTAGATGAACGCCTTCACCCGGGCACTACAGTCCATCGCGGTACCCGGTTCATCCTCCCATCTATTGGCCTTACTGGCGCACCATGCCAATGTCTGGTTGGATCCCATATCGTCATATGGTACCATACTCGGCCAAGGCAGCTGACCAGGTTATCCTCCGAGTCTTCCTCCCTTCATGCACAGCCTCCACGCTGCCAATCCGGTTGGGCTCTGACGTGCGAGAATGCGCTTGACTACACCTTCCTAAACAACATGTGGTTAGACACGCCACATGTTCTCAGTACTTAGCATATGGGCCTTTACGCACCACTATGCCTCATACCCTCGGTTCTGCGGCAGAGCTTCCCTTGCCTCGGAAGAGTACCCACACGAACCTCGAAAGATCTGGCGGCTCAGCCGTCCGTGATCTTTCCACATCGGAGTCATACTCAACATATGGGCCTTACGCACCACCATGTTAGCATGCACTCGAGGTTTAGCGGCATAGCCATGCTATAACCCCACAACCGATGCATCTATGAGATTTGGCGGCATAGCCATCCACAATCTCACATCACCTAAAGTATAGACATGCATCTATACAAACAAGATCTGACGGCATAACCTTCCCCGAAGGTTACCCATCACAATCTTACACACAAAAGAGATCTGCCAGCATAACCTTCCCCGAAGATTACCTGACACAACCTCACAACACAAGAGATCTGACGGCATAACTTCTCTCTCTAGAAGATTACCCGTCACAACCTCACAGAGATTTCTGCAGCATAACTCTCCACAATTTTTACTAAACATTATTGTTTAGAGAGTTATACCACATACTTATTAAACGATAGAAGGAAATAAACTATAACCTAGCTACCGGAACTCACAACTTTTAGACGACCCGGCTGACCCCGACCCTAGCCTCCCCGCTCTAGCCCGATGCTGATCCGCCTCTGGATCTTCTTCTCTTCTCCTCTTTCTTCTTCTTTCTCTTCTCCTCCACGCCTTCTCACTTTCTCTTTCTAGTTTCTCTCTCTAGATTTCAGTTTGTGGTGTGGTTTGGAAATGAAGACCAAGGGGCCTTTATATAGGTTTTTCGGAAGCTCGAGGTGGCGTCTGATGGCTTCAGAACGCGACACCTCTTCCGCATGCAACCAATGGCATTGCTGCACGCCTGGAGCAGCTTCTTCCATCCCAATCCACTTGAGTCGAATGGCACCTTCCCATTGGTCCATTCCCCAAGCTGCTGGGTAGCTGAACGTGATTGGTTCGTTGAGGATGAGCATCTCCTCCTTGATCCTATCTTCCTGGATCAAGTGGCTCCTTTCCATTGGCTCATTGTTGATCAGATCAACAAGCTGCTGAGTGTCTAGACCTGATTCGTCCAACACATTCCTGTCTTCTCATGAGCAGCTGAGTGCTCACACCTGATTGGTGCAACACATTTTCGTCCCATATGAGCAGCTGAGTGCCCATACTTGATTGGTTAGCTTGAACTTATCCTTGATAAGCAGCTGGTGTCGCCATTCCATTGGCCTTGTGCTTCCTTCTACGTTTCCTCTTGCAGAAGGTTTCGTACGTTTCCCTGTACGGAGGGTTTCGTACGTTTCCTTGACTGGAGGGTTTCGTCCCGTCGTACTTGAGAATTAAAATCTCTTATTTTAATCCTTCCGTCATTTCCATGTTTCTGAGCTTCCACATAGCTGCTTGGAAATGTGCGGGAAACCTCTATCCCGGGACATTTGCGTTTCTCGCGCTTGTCATGGGATGGATCCTCCGTGTAGTGGGATGGTCGTTTCTGGCCGTCCGTCCCATCTATGTCTTGACCGTGCTTAGCTAGCATGAGGGATATTACAAGGCATCTTCATCTTCTAGGAGATGGACTAGTTGGAGGCAGTCTGTTTCAAAACTCATGGACATATGGCCTAGTTGGAGAATTTGTTCCATAGTCTAAATGAGTGATTCAAATTCTGCATGAAGGGGAGAAAGTACTTGGTTCCGTGCCGTCAATCCATATATGTGCTCTTCATCCGCTGTATATATCTAGTACGAAGCCTCCACCATAAACATGATTCCCCGACACCCACGAAGCATCAACTTGGCAACGTGGGAGGGTCGGGGTTTGGTCAATTCGTGTACTAGTGGTTCTTGTGGGGTCTGATTCGTCCATGGAGCTGTCGATAAGTTGGGCAAGAGCCCAACTCTCCGATTCTGCTACGGCAGATTGCAGCGATGCATCAGGTTGGATATCCTTATTGCTAAAAACTTTCTCATTTCTGGCCTTCCAAATGAACCATAATATCCAGGGAAAGATTGCTAGCTTCTTCTCCGGAACGTTGTTGTCTTTTGCGCGCCATAGGAGATAGTCAAGATTATTGTACAGGGCGTCGCATGGGAAGATTCCGGGAGCCGATGGGATGTCCGAGAGGGTCCAAACCTGGACAGCAGCTGGACATTCAAAGAATAAATGGTTAACCGATTCCTTTTCGGCTCCACATCTCGAGCATGACGGGTCGGTTCCACAATGGCGGCTGACTAGAGCTTGTTTCACTGCCAGGCAGCAAGAAGTTGACTGCCACATGAAGTGTTTAAGCTTCTTGGAGGTTTCTAGTTTCCAGGTCGGCTCTTCAGGGCTCTTGTGTTGGGTTCAAGTACTAGTTGGGGTCTGTGTTGAAGAAAATGTGAAAGAAAATCATTAGATGGTTGAAAATGGTGGTTGAATGAATTGATGAGGATGATATTTTTAAGAATAAATGTAGAATGTGAGGATTATTTGTACATTATGATTTTTGAAAGAAAAAAAAAATAAGTTAATGGCATTTTTGTAATTATGTGAAAGTAGTGAGGATAATACATGAAAATAAAGTGTAGGTAATTTTTTTTTTTAAAATAGAGAGGTAGGATGGGGTTTAGAAAAAAATGATCATAAGAAGATGAAATTTAGAGTTTTTTCTTTGATGATTTTTTTTATATATATATTTTTTTATAACTCATCGTAATCCCAGACCTATGGAGGGGCCAGACTAATCCTTGGGGGAGGTGCAGCCCACGGATAGACGCTCTCTCCGCGTATTCAAATGGGCCGAAAGCAAGGGCCCATATCCATGTGGCCAAATGGGATAAATCTAGCAATTTCGCGCTTGAGGGGAGTCGATCCCTGGCTTTGACTAACAGGGCAACTCCTCCATTAAGTGAAAATAGGTTTGAAAATAGAGGATGTAGGTTTGGTTTTAAATCAACACTTTAGAGGATGTAGATTATAAAATAAATATTATAAAAAGTGTATTTTTTTTTAAATGTGTCGTATTACATATGAATCTAAAAAATTATCAGTGACATATCATACCATTATATTTTAGGAGTGGTACGGAATTTGTATCTAAAGTTCTCTTCATTTCTAGACATAAATTGTTACTCATAGTTTGTGTAATCACAATCTCTCTTTAGATGTCATATCTCATTCTCATCACTCTCACTCAGATATGTAGTGAAACTAAAAAAACAAAAAAAAACTACAAAATGTTAACGAAGTTTAAAATTACAACATTTCCATACAAAACGTCTCTGGAATCTATGATGATCGATCATATCATATTTGAATAATATTAAGTAAATTTAACAATAAGATAACAAAACTGTGAAAAAAAACACAAAAATATACAATCTTATTATATAAAGCTGGATGCGCGCGACGTGGTTGCGACACGTAGGATTTTTATAAAATTTAGGATTGCGACATGTGTCACTTTTAATGTTATGTCCGTTAAGATCGTGACATGTGTCTTAGAAAAAAGGAAAAAAAAAAATTAAAAAAAATAGATAAAGGAAAAAAAAACGAAATTTTAATCTTTTATAGTTAAAAGAAAAAAAAATATTTGTCATATCCTAATAGAAAAAGGTTTCCCATTCATCAAATTTATATTATCCAAACACATATAAGATTCAAATTAATGAAATAAATAAAATCCTATTAGTACATGAAATAGGTTAGGTAAACTAAATTTCCTATAACTGCATGGAATAAGTTACATGAACCCCTATAAAAAGAGAGTTAAAGTAGTCTTTTTCTCATTTACAAACTCATCAAAGCAAACAACATGATAGCAATACGCATGATTTTTATAACTCACAAAATTGCGATATGTGTTTATATTCCCATTATGAACAGGAAAAAAAACAATATATAATAAGCTATTGCGATTCAATTATGTGCTTCTATCTTTTGTATAATCTTTTCTCTCATAAAAAATCATGTATTTAAAATTCATGGTATCAATGAATAATATTTAACTCTATATTAGTTGGATAGAAATCAAAATTATTGTCGATACATGTATCTAACTCTATATCGGTTGGATAGAAATCAAAATTATTGTCGTTACATGTATTTGATCCGGTGAAGACATGTTAATTGGAAAAATGTTAAACAGATATAAAAACTAGAAAAATAATTAAAAAAAAACTAACTAATAATGAAAATGAAAATTTATAATGGTCTGAGTCAAAAACAAAATTGAGAAAGAAACAATATAAATAGAAAACTAACAAATTAATTATCAAGCAACTAACTTTTTTTTTGACATCATCAAGCAACTAACTAATATTAAGAAAATATAATGAACCGATATTCTAATTTTAAATAGTTTAATTTTCAATATTGTTAGGTAAAAAATTATTAAATAAAGATTTCATCAATTGAAATCTCTTGAATGGAATAATAAAGTTTTGTTGAATTAATTAATCAGTTGATCATATTTAGACATATATAAGTCTTTCTATATTGGATAAAAATAAAAATAAAACAAATTAATTCATTTTTCATATCATGAATTCAAAAAAAATATCAATTACAATAAAAACGTAAAAAGGTTACCGATCTTATTTTATTTAAATATTTTTATCGGGTTTTTAATATTATTCTGTTTACTTTAAAATGATCAAATTTGGTTTAATACTTTTCCATGATTTTATTACAAAATCTTAAAATAAACCCGCGTATACGCGGGTCTTAATCTAGTAATATAATAATATAAGAAACCTAGGGATTCTATGAATATATTTTTTTTCCAAAATTTTGGCGCAAGTCATATTGTAGTTAGGATTTTGTTCTTTTAATATTTTAATGAATAAGTAAATTTGTTAATGATTTTAAAAAAACCATAAGTCATTATATCTTTTAAGAATAAAATGTTTAATTTGAATAGGATAAATTCTATAATTGTTTTGCCTTAAAAAATTAAACCAATAATTAATAAAAAATAATTTTGAAGATATTATAAAGATTTTCATTGAGGTATCTTGGTAATTCCGCGGCTAAGAGCGAACGTGGTGTCTCGAAACGAAATTCTGACTTCGCAATTAATGATATGATTTACATGAGATGTAGGAGACGTACGTTTGGAAGGAAAAAAAAAAAGAATGGCGTACACATCTTCTACCATTGTTTTATGTTAAAGACTTGTCTTTTGGTCTGATGAGGTTTTTGGTTCTCAAAATATGATGCAAGATATGTCATTTGCTTCTCAAAGCCGTCAGGTTGAGCTCTGATGATTTTCCATGTACGTAATTGTACACAATTGTTTGTGGTAAAACATAGTTCTTAGTTTTTACTCTTTATCAAAAATTTGTTGGTGGTGGATCATTTCTTACAATGTTATCTTATTGATTGAGCGAGAGGTTAAGCTTTTCATATGATCAACACTTGGTTTTTTTTTGTGTTATCCTATTATGACAATTATGTTCTCCCCTGGATTCAGTGGAAACTACATTTTCACCAATGGAATAATGTCATGTTCTACGTTTGATATGTACAGAATTCTTAAGAAAATAACAAAACATTAAAACACAATTCGGAAACGTTTTTATCTTTGTCTACAGATCTATCGACATAAAAATCTTAAAACAAAAAAAATTAGAAAAATTATTCAACAAGATAAACCTAGTGCTTAATATAGAGTCGTGAAAGTTGGATCCCCTTTTGAGACTTTGTTTATAGTCGTACAAGAGAATACCTACGTATCTAAACAATATATTCAAGATATACACAAAGATGGATATTTCCATATCCTCATAGTAGCTTCAATGGAAGCTTGCGATGGTGATGGATGCTAAAAAGGATTAATGTTAGTTAAAAATGTGGGGAAGAGAGAGTTTTTTTAGAATTCTATATTTCATTAAATGGGTGAGTGGAGGGGTATGTAAATTACTTTTGGGTAAGACATATTTCGTTATGAAGGATAAGTGTATCTTAGGAAGTGGTTCATAGTTGTCCTAGCTTGTGTGGCTTCGAGACGAATGTCTTGATATGCCATCGGATCCGGTGTGTCTGTGGAGACAAGTGTCATATATATCTTTTTTTGAAAAGTTAAGTATTACAACTATGGCGAGAGAATGGTTTAAATTCTAAAACAATCTCTCATGCTAGTTGTGTTCAATGTCCATCCATAAACACTCAAGACAACATGTCGAGACAAAAGCGAGGTTCTTTGGAATGGTGATCATGCGTTTCTTTAGTATCAGATTCAATGATATTTCAACTCTTCTTTTTCCTGATAAAAATAAAGAATAAAAGTAAAAGCTTCGAGGGGTATAAAGTTGGGCTACATGATACAACCTCTAAGTTATTCTCTATAATAACTTAGTGGGTATAAACATAAAGGTTCTTTATGCAAAGGAAAGATATGTATGCTCCTTTTTCTCCATTTATATTATTATTCAATCTAATCTTTTTTCACAAAATGCATTTATTCCGATCGTCTAAAAGAAAAACATGATCCCCTTCTTCTGTTTTTATAAGCCTATCATAATTTCAGTCTCTCAACTTGTAAGTTGTAACCTTGTTCTTGCTCTCTTTTTATTCTCTCTCAAACCCAAAATTTTTTATCTATATTTCTTGCATCCTAAGTTATCTCCTCCTGGTTCCTTTTAAACATGCGTCTCAGATTTTTCCCTTTTTTGGTTATCTTCTTCGTTTGCTTCAACAACAACAACCAATCATGGGGCTTAATGAGCTCGAGCCAACAACCTCAGTTTTTCAAGCTTATGAGAGACTCTCTCTCCGGCTACGCTTTGTCCTCTTGGAATCTCTCGGACGAGAGTAGTCACTACTGTAACTTCACAGGGGTAAGCTGCGACGATCAAGGGCTAGTCACCGATCTTGATCTTTCCGGTTGGTCTCTCTCCGGGATCTTCCCAGATGGGATTTGCTCTTACTTCCCAAACCTTCGTGTTCTTCGTCTTTCTCGAAACCATCTCAATACAAGCAGCAGCTTCCTCAACTCCATCCCTGAGTGTTCTCTTCTCCGAGAGCTTAACATGAGCTCTCTCTATCTTACAGCCACACTCCCTGATTTGTCGCCGATGAAATCTCTAAGAGTCATCGACATGTCTTGGAACCACTTCACAGGTAGCTTCCCACACTCGATCTTCAATCTCACCGATCTAGAGTATCTTAACTTCAACGAGAACCCAGAGCTCAACCTATGGACTCTACCGGTTTATGTCTCTAACCTCAAGAAGCTCACACACATGCTTCTGATGACGTGTATGCTCCACGGTAACATCCCAAGATCCATTGGGGACTTGACTTCCCTTGTTGATCTCGAACTCAGCGGAAACTTCCTCTCCGGCGAGATTCCAAAAGAAATCGGCAATCTTTCAAACCTAAGACAGCTTGAGCTTTACTACAACTATCACTTAACCGGAAGTATACCGGAGGAAATCGGTAATCTCAAGAATCTCACGGACATAGATATCTCGGTTAGCAGGTTAACCGGAACCATACCGGAATCAATCTGCAATCTTCCCAAACTCCGAGTGCTTCAGCTCTACAACAACAGCTTAACCGGTGAGATTCCAAAGTCACTTGGCAACTCAACAACCTTAAAGCTCTTGTCTCTCTACGACAACTACTTGACTGGTGAACTCCCGCCGAATCTCGGATCTTCCTCGCCGATGATCGCTCTCGATGTCTCGGAAAACCGCCTCTCCGGTCCTCTTCCCGCGCACGTTTGCAAATCCGGTAAACTTTTGTACTTTCTTGTCCTGCAAAACAGATTCTCTGGTTCGATCCCGGAGACTTATGGGAGCTGCAAGACTCTTATACGGTTCCGTGTAGCGAGCAACCACCTCGAGGGAGAGATACCAAAAGGAGTCATGTCTCTGCCTCATGTCTCCATCATCGACTTGGCTTACAACTTTTTGTCTGGTCCAATACCTAATTCCATCGGAAATGCTTGGAATCTCTCAGAGCTGTTTATGCAGGGCAACAAAATCCCTGGTGTTATACCTCGTGAGATCTCTCGTGCCACCAATCTTGTGAAGCTTGATCTCAGTAACAATCAACTGTCTGGTCCAATCCCTTCAGAGATCGGAAGACTCAAGAAACTGAACTTGCTTGTGCTGCAAGGAAACAAGCTAGGTTCTTCGATTCCTGAATCTCTTTCCAATCTTAAATCTCTCAACGTTCTTGACCTGTCCAGTAATCTCCTCACCGGAATGATCCCTGAAGACCTCTCCGAGTTACTCCCAACCTCCATCAACTTCTCCAGCAACCAGCTCTCTGGTCCCATCCCTGTCTCATTGATTAAAGGAGGCCTTGTAGAAAGCTTCTCGGATAACCCTAATCTCTGTGTTCCGCCAAATGCTGGCTCATCTGATTTGAAATTTCCCGCGTGCCAAGAGGCTCGTAGCAAGAAGAAGCTGAGCTCAGTATGGGCGATTCTCGTCTCTGTCTTCATCCTTGTCCTAGGGGGCATCATGGTTTACTTGAGACAACGGTTGAGTAAAAAAAGATCAGTGATAGAGCAAGACGAGACCTCAGCGTCTTCTTTCTTCTCTTACGACGTCAAGAGTTTCCACCGCATAAGTTTCGACCAGAGAGAGATTCTCGAAGCTCTTGTGGACAAGAACATCGTAGGTCATGGTGGCTCCGGGACAGTCTATAGAGTAGAGCTTAAATCCGAAGAGGTGGTTGCAGTCAAGAAACTATGGAGACAAAGCAGCAAAGACTCAGCTGCTGAAGACAGATTGCATTTGAACAAGGAGCTGAAGACTGAAGTTGAGACGCTCGGTAGCATTCGCCACAAGAACATCGTTAAGCTCTTCAGCTATTTCTCAAGTTTGGATTGTAGTCTCTTGGTGTATGAGTACATGCCTAATGGTAACTTGTGGGACGCTCTTCACAAAGGCTTTGTTCATCTAGAGTGGCGTACACGTCATCAAATCGCGGTCGGAGTTGCTCAAGGATTGGCTTACCTTCACCATGATCTCTCGCCGCCAATCATTCACCGCGACATCAAATCCACAAATATATTACTGGATGTAAACTATCAGCCTAAGGTTGCAGACTTTGGCATTGCAAAGGTGTTGCAAGCTAGAGGGAAAGACTCAACCACAACCGTTATTGCCGGCACCTATGGTTACTTGGCTCCAGGTTATTTATACTTCTCATATAAACCCCTAGCCCTAGGTTTTGAATTAAGTTACTTAATAAAAATAATTAGGGAATGATATTTTGCTTATAACAGATAAAAATATTTTGCTAAATTCAATAGTACTTCTTACTGTAGCATTATCAACAATTGGTTTCTTCTTTTCGAAAGAAGTACACGTTGTTTGTGTGTGTGTGTGTTTTTTTTTTTTTGGTATTGTCTAATCAATAATATTTCATTTGGTAATGGCAGAATATGCATATTCCTCCAAAGCAACGATCAAATGCGACGTGTATAGTTTCGGGGTGGTGTTAATGGAGCTTATCACGGGGAAGAAACCGGTGGATTCGTGTTTTGGGGAGAACAAGAACATAGTGAATTGGGTTTCAATAAAGATTGACACGAAAGAAGGATTGAATGAGATATTAGACAAGAGATTGTCGGAATCGTCAAAAGCAGACATGATCAATGCCTTGCGTGTTGCTATCCGTTGTACAAGCAAGACTCCAACAATCCGCCCAACCATGAACGAAGTCGTCCAGCTTCTGATTGACGCAGCGCCTCAAGCAGGACTCGACATGACCTCTAAATCCACAGCTAAAATTAATGATGCAATACTATCAGATCATCTTACACAAACAAAACTCTAGGTGGAGAGGTGTAGCAACCTGTATTTATCATAGATGAAACTGCTTATGTATGATCTGTTAATCCTTTTATGTATTTAACATGTATCCTTTGAAGACTTTGGTTATTTCCGGTTTTGCTTCTCCGATTTGAAATCATTGTAGGCAAGAATATAATGGAAATTTATGTCCAAAAAGCGAGAAAGAATACCAAGATCACACACTATTATATAACAGGCTAACAGATGCTTCAGACTAAGACAGAGAATCTAAATGTACATATGTAGACCCATTAATGAATCATAATAATTCACTAGCTCTTTTTCTTTCTTTTTCTCTTGTGGACTTTTAATTCGTCATTCATCTTTATTCATCGGTGAGTGGAACTTCTTTTTCGACTGCATGGCATGCAAGTGGGTTCTCGAATTTTCATACATTTATAAACCTAAAAGGGGGAATATATATAGAGGCTGGGTATATTATCAGACAGGTCCAAACAGAAGTTGGGCCTGTGCCAAAATAACTAGAAGTCAAATTACTTGATAAATCTGAAAAGCTGACCTTAATACACAATTTCAGAAACTTTAGATCCTAAAATATAATGAAAATCAGATGACTGTGCTTTTGCATTGTGTGACATCTCTAGACATGAAATGTTATAGGGTGAATTAGCTACTTAGACATGAAATGGACCATAATTTGCGTTGCGTATTAGTATGTATAGATACGGTTGCTGTTATATTGTAGGAAATGGACTGCGAACTTATTGTAAGGGGCTTGTTATTTCAGCTTCTTGATGTGCATTGGAAGTGAGTGTTTCATGGGTTGTGAAAAATATTTAATAAATAAATAAATAAAAAGATTTTGTATGTAATCATTGTGTATAAAGGAATGTTGTGTGGCTTGCATGTTTTGTGATAAACTAGAAATAGGTCATTTTCTCTACTGCAAATTATCAGTGATGAAGATTGTAATATAAAGGATTCGAAATCCAGAGGACCAGCGTTACACTGTGAAACTAGGAGATTTAAAACAGAGCTAAGACAAAGATGATTGGTTTTAGTAACAGGTAACGAATGTAAACGATGATGTAATTCAATTAAACAGGGACTAGACCAAGGCAATTCGCAGAGATTCACGGTTAACGACCAAACAACTATTCAGGGCACAGATGATGAACAGGTCTCGAACTCAAACAAAATATGTCAATTCACTTTCGCGATAATGAACAACTTTATCTAACAACCTAGATGTCTAAACTGTCGTTTGAATCTAGCAATTGATGACAAGCAGTAAACACAGGTTCGATAAGTTCACGAATCGCCTCAGCATCAACTTTCGCAGGCTAAGGACGATTCGCTCACCACAGTTCGTTCTAACAACCTATTGCACTTTTGATGAACAGGTAATCTGAGATCAGAGATCGAGTGATCAGATCGATCTAAGCAGTAATGCAACAATGGCGAAGACAGTATTAAAGCCCTATCTGTATTCAGTCAAGTTAACACATGAATCCCTTTGAAAAGCCTAGATCTAGCAGGGTGACTACTCAGACATGGCGAAACAGCAAACAATACTGAAACTGAATGTCATTGAATCAAATAGAAAATAGCAAAAACAAGGGTTCAGAAATCTTCTCCAAACTGTGAAAACAATGGTTTGATCTCTTCTCCCTCAGAAACAATGTAAAACTCTGAAAAACGGCGTAGCCTAAACAATGGCTAAAGATAGGTCTAAATAGCTCCGGGGTCGACTTCGGTTCAATCCGGTTCGCTGTGGTTCGATCAAGTCGGTTTGCACCAAGTAGATCGAACGGCTGTGATATCATCTGACCGGGATTGATCGAACGGCTGAGACAGAACGGGATCGATCGAGCTCTCGCTCTGCATGGGATCGATCGACTTCTGACGATCGAGCGACTCCTCTTGCATGGGATCGATCGAGCTGTAGCAGGTGTGTCGATCGATTCGCAGTAGGGATCGATCGAGTGTGATGGGGTCGATCGATCTGTGGCGACTCGATCGAGCTCCTTTGCTCCGTTTTGCCTGCTTTCTCCTCCTGTTGGTCCATGTGACCAAAGCTCTCCCTGGAACGTCTTTAGACCTGAAAAGACTCGATAAAGACTAGAAAGACTCGATAAAACTCGTGAAAACAAGTGTTAGAATGCGTCAAATACGCAAGATATCAACTCCCCCGGACTTGGTCTTTTGCTTGCCCTCAAGCAAACATAAATTCCAAGAATAGGGAAGAAGTTTGAAAACGCGGGAACTCACAAATCATCAGCAACCATACCCCGAAGGATCATCAGTAGACCTCAAAGGACAAGGTTCGGTCAGTGCATAATCACTGTAGTCCCCTTGAAGTCTCGCATTCCTGATCCCGTGATGAACCTCCATCCTGCAGAAACTCAAGCTACACATTGGTTAACTCTCTACATTCATTAAGATTTGGCGTGGACCTCTCATCAGAACATCATACAGGGTCGACGGTGTTGGGTATCAAAAGGCCTGTTTTTGGTGAGGTTAAAGTGTTTAAGGGTTACCAGATACGCCGGAGGATGCATGATATCGCGCAAAACAGCAAGAGAGAATGGTTCTGTTGATAGCCACATTTCCCAACCACTTCACTCTTCAACTCCTTGTATGTTGGATTTTATCCAGAACAGCTCTAACTCCCAATTCGCCTTGATCGGTGGTGTTCCTTGGAGGTATTCGGTCGAGCTTGACATTTTATTGAACCACTAGTTCCTTTCCTCAAGTTTTTCTGATTTTTTTTTTTTTTTTTTTTTTTTTTTGAGAGGGAACTAGTGTCAATGGCTCGTAAATGTTACCGTGTATTCGTGCTTCTCCAAGGAACGACCATCAGTTCGATCGATTCAGGCTCCATACTCCACCATCACTTCCCATTCTCAGTGTTGTAGATGAACACTCGTCTTGAATGTGGTTGGGAAGCTGTGTCGAACCTTTCTCTCCGACGTTTTTGCACATATCTGCATATATGACAAAAAGAACAGAGTGCATGAAGTCAGAAAGGAGGTAAGGCTCAAGGTGGGGTACCAACCAAAAATGGGCTGGCCACTCAGGATCAACAGAGAGTGGTAAAATGAATAAGAAGTCCTGAGTGTATGGTCCGTTTCCCTGCTATGACATTCCGAATGAGAGGTAATTGATGTCAGATTAGTGGTCCAATAGCATTAGAGTCAACCAAATGTTTCACCAAAATCTCTGCAAAACGAAAATTCCTGGGGGAAGTCTGACCAAAAGGGTAATCCAGCTTTTTACACATAACAAACCCTGCAAAATTGGTCACTAGATAGAAAGAATTCAAGATCAAATGGTTTGCATCAAATAAGTTTATTCCCAACAAGTTTTTGACTCAATAAAACCTGACTCAAAGAAAACATCAAAATGACTCAAGGTGAAACAGAAAACAAAAGAAAGAAAAAGACGTTAGTAAACACAAAGACCCTCCCCCGGACTTACTTCACACCGACCCGGTGTGAAAAGAAACCAAGGAGAGAGTTAAACAGACTCAATAAAAGAAAAAGAAAAGGGAAAATGGAATGATACAGTGGTGGTCGGTCGAGTGGCGTCAGGAGAGAGCATCAGCGGCGTCCGTAGATGAAGTCGTCGAGATCCTCCTGCATGCTCTCCTGCGTGTAAGTAGGGACGGTGGTAGGCGCAGCTCGCTCGGTGGTGTAAGGCACGTACTGGTCCGGCGGAGCTCTCGTCGGCGGTGTGTGGTCTGTCGGCGCTGTCGGCCTCGAAGTGGAGCTGCATCGCCTGAATGGCAAGTCTGCGTCAGCTCCTGCGCCTGATGGTCTCGCTGCCTGCGGCTCTCCAAAGCGCCTCTTCCGCTGCTGTCGCGGCTCGAAGGAAGAGTGTCGTGGTGGCTCAGGAGGTAGTGGTCGTCCGCCGGTGGTGTCGTGGTGGCTCGTCGTCGTCCTCAGAGGGGATCGCCTGGCGTGGACCGACTGCGGTCCTGTGGACACCTCCTGAAGCTGAGGCAACACAACTCAGCTTGTCCTGCATGGCACGGATCTGATCGGCCATCTTCTTCACCTTGCTCTTGAGCTTGCTGGTGATCTTGTCCTGCGCCTTGTTCCACCGCTGAAGAATGCTGATGTGCTGGTGAGCCGCCTTCAGTCCGGCGGTCTGTCTGGCAGTGGTGGCGTAGCCGGCGAAGTGCAAGTGCTCGAGCTCGTCCGTCTGCGTGGTGTCAGCTCGTGAGACGGATCGCCGCGGTGTGTGGTCGCCTGAGGTGTGGCGTAGTCCTAGCGGTCGGTCGATCTCCGGTGTAGAGAGCGGACTGAGGTGGGTTGAACTCGATGTTGGACCCTCCTCTGATCGTCGTCCAGCTGGGGCTGGGGAGCAACGTGAGTGAACTGGTACAGGAGCGGCTGGCGTCTGACGTCTTCTGCAAGAAGACGCTGTTCCTCAGGTACTCGAGATCGAGCCTCTCGGGTGGTGCGACCTCGTCCTCTCTGTCAGGTGTGAAGCCGACGGCGCGTAGAAGAGGTGTGACTAAGCCGCCCATCCGCAGTGTGCACTTGTGCCGGATGGTCCTGTTCCTCGACGCCCAGTCCCTGTAAGAGCGGAGCTGGCTAACAAGGCGACCGTGATGCCTCCGTGGACCTGCTGCCTCGGAGCTGGGTCCCGTTGATCAGTCTCAACGGGATGCCTGTGAGTGCCACGTCGATCATGGCCATCTCTGTCTCTGTGACGTTCCCGGTGGCCTGTCGGGAAAAGAGCGTGTTGGCGATCGCCTTGTGGAAGTAGCGGACCGGCGGGCTCCTGATCTGAGCGGACTTCGCATTGAGGAGAAGTACTCCCCAAACGCGATCGTCCCCCAAAGTGCGGACATCTCGTCGCGGTCGACGTCGAGGCCTAGACGGTTGCCTGGCGGCAGAGAAAGAGTTCGGTCGATCTCTCCGTATGAGAGATGGTGTCTCCGTCCAGTGGCCTGATGTACCCGTCACTGCCGTCGGATGTGGTCTGCCGGCGACGCAGGGCTCGTGCTCGAGAGTGGCAAGGAAAAGGCAAGTCGCCTTCCGGTAAGACTCGTGCTGCTGGAACATGACTCGGCCGATCCTAGGTTGTGGAACATCTCGTCGATGTCCTTGTCAATGTGGAGCGTTCATCGTGCCTCTGTCGGCATATCGCGTCCCGGCAAACTTCATGTCGAGGAGGGTGCGGAGGCGCTGCATCTCGACCGCCGTGACAGTGTCCTCGGGCTCGTCGTCTCCCGGGGTCTCAGGAATGGTGCGTCCTGCATCGTCTCGTCCTCTACGAAGTCGTCATCGGGCTCGACCACGGGTCTCTTCCCCCGCGCTATCTCCTCTCGCCGGTGTGAGTATCCGTCACCGCCGCGGTTCCGTCCGCTTCGCATGTTGTGATAAAAGAGATTTGAATCGTGAGGTGAGGAGTTGATCGAATGATGATTGGCGAGTGTTTGATCAAGTTCTAAAGACGGAGTGGGCGGTTATGAGGGAGATGATGGAGTGAAGGGGAGTGAAGAAATGAGTGTGAGTGATAGAGAGAAGATGAGTCGAATGTGTGGTGGTGAGGTGAAGATGAGAGAGATGAAAAAAGAGAGAGATGGAGGAAGATGGAAGAAAGTGAGAGAGAGTGATGTGAGTTGGAGATGAAAGAGAGTGAGTAAAATGAGGGGGTTGTGAGTTTCAGAAAAATTGGAGAAGGGGATAAGGAAAAAAAAAAGAGGGAGTCGTGGGAAAAAGGAGAGAGAGATAAGAGGATGTGAGTTGTGCGGTGGTGAGAGGGGGGGAAATCTAAGGGGATTAGATTCACTTACCTGGCGGGGCCCATCTGTCGGTGGGCGGGTTAACGGGTGAGCGGGTCCATCGAAATGGGCGGGTTGATCGAATGGGCGGGTCGATCGATTGGCCGGGTCGACCCGGTTTCATTTTTTCAAAACAAAGAAAACAAAATTAGCAGAAATCAAATTGAAAAGAGAGTATGTACACTTACCAGTGGGTTGCCTCCCACCAAGCGCTTGGTTTAAGTCACTAGCTTGACTTGAATGCCCATCAGGCAGGAGATGGATCACTGAGAGGAATAGATTCCCTCTCTGTGATGTCGGTATCAGCAAGGTATGGCTTGAGGCGTTGACCGTTCACCACGAAGTGTCCACCAGACTTGTCCCATAGCTCAAAAGCTCCATATGGTCTGACTTCCTTGATAACGAAGGGCCCAGACCACCTTGATTTCAGCTTTCCAGGAAACAACTTCAGCCTGGAGTTAAACAGCAGGACTTGATCTCCTTGGGAGAAGTTCCTTTTCAGGATCTTCTTGTCATGGTAAGCTTTAGTCCGCTCCTTGTAGATCTTCGAACTGTCATAGGCCAGGTGCCTAATCTCGTCAAGCTCGACCAACTGCATGTTCCTCCTCTCTGCCGCAGACTTCATGTCATAGTTCATCTGCTTCACTGCCCACGCAGCCTTGTACTCTAACTCCACAGGCAGGTGACAAGCCTTGCCATAGACCAAGTTGAACGGTGTCGTACCAAGAGGAGTCTTGTAGGCAGTTCGATAGGCCCAGAGTGCATCATCCAACTTTGCAGCCCAGTCCTTCCCAGTCGTGCCTGCAGTCTTCTGAAGGATGTTCTTGATCTCTCTGTTAGATAGCTCGACTTGGCCACTCGTCTGGGGATGATAAGGAGTCGCCACCTTGTGCTTCACCCCGTGCCTCTTCAACATATTATCGAAGGTCCTATTGATGAAATGGGAACCTCCATCACTGATAACAACTCTCGGCACACCAAATCGAGGGAAGATCACCGACTTGAACATCTTCATCACGACCTTTGCATCATTAGTGGGACTGGCCAAAGCCTCTACCCACTTAGATACATAGTCGACAGCCACCAAAATGTACAGGTTTCCATAGGAAGATGGGAAGGGTCCCATGAAGTCAACTCCCCACACGTCGAAAACCTCTACTTCCAGAATGAAGTTCTGTGGCATCTCGTTTCTCTTACTGATGTTCCCCTGTCTCTGGCACACATCACACTTAGACACGAATCTGTGAGCATCTCGGAACATGGTGGGCCACCAGTAGCCAGCTTGCAGCGCCTTGGATACAGTCTTGTACGTGGCGAAGTGTCCAGCATAAGACGAGCTATGACAGTGGAACAAGATCCCAGGTATCTCCTCATCAGCTACACATCTCCTGTAGACTCCATCGGTGCAGTGCTTGTACAGTATGGCTCATCCCAGAAATAGCGACGGATGTCTCTCAAGAACTTCTTCTTCTTGTTCCCCACAAAACCAGTAGGTTCATGCTCAGCAGCGAGGTAATTCGCTATCTCTCCAAACCATGGGAAACTGGAACGGTCAACGGCGTTACAGCTCAAGTACGATCTCCGTCATCTCCATTCGATCGATCTCTTCAGTGACTCGATCGAACTCCATCATCTGCGAGCAGGGGCTCGCCGTAGTCGATCACCTCAACAGCGTAGACGTGCTCATCAGGTAAGTGTCGTCTAGAGGAACGTCATCATCGATCTTCATCCTTGACAGGTGATCAGCTACACCATTGTCAATCCCTTTCTTATCCTTGATCTCCAGATCGAACTCCTGAAGCAAAAGAATCCATCTCAAGAGTCTCGGCTTCGCATCCTTCTTCGTCAGCAAGTACTTCAAGGCAGCGTGATCAGTGTGGACAATCACCTTCGATCCAACAAGATAGGACCGAAACTTCTCAAATGCAAACACCACCGCCAATAGTTCCTTCTCAGTCGTAGCGTACTTGCACTGAGCTTCATCAAGTGTGCGACTGGCGTAGTAGATCACGTGCAGCTTCTTCTCCTTTCTCTGGCCCAGAACCGCTCCGACAGCATAGTCACTAGCATCTGTCATCACCTCGAACGGAAGGTTCCAGTCAGGAGGTTGGACAATTGGAGCACTCACCAGAGCTCCCTTGATCGTGTGAAAGGCCTCCAACATGTACTGTCAAAGTCGAACTTGACCTCCTTACACAACAGCAGCGTCAAAGGTCTGGTGATCTTGGAGAAGTCCTTGATGAATCGCCTATAGAACCCCGCATGCCCCAGAAAGCTGCGGATTCCCTTGACAGAATTAGGCGGCTGTAGACTCATCATCACCTCGATCTTCGCTCTGTCACCTCGATTCCCTTCTCCGAAATCCTATGTCCCAGCACGATCCCATCTCTCACCATGAAGTGGCATTTCTCCCAGTTCAGCACAAGATGTCTCTCCTCACACCGCTGCAATACCCTGCACAGATTAGACAAACACACAGCAAAGGAGCTTCCATAGACAGAAAAGTCGTCCATGAAAACTTCCATTATGTCCTCAATAAGGTCAGTGAAAATAGACATCATGCAGCGCTGGAACGTGGCCGGTGCATTGCACAGTCCAAACGGCATTCTGCGATAAGCATAAGTGCCATATGGACATGTGAATGTCGTCTTCTCCTGGTCGTCTGGGTGGATGGGGATCTGAAAGAAACCTGAGTAACCATCTAAAAAGCAGTAGTATGGATGGTTAGCCAATCTCTCAAGCATTTGATCAATAAATGGGAGAGGAAAATGATCTTTGCGAGTTGCAGCATTCAGTTTGCGGTAATCAATGCACATGCGATGACCAGTGACAGTTCTAGTGGGTATCAGCTCATTCCTATCATTCTTAACAACAGTTATACCACCTTTCTTAGGAACTACATGCACAGGACTGACCCACTTACTATCAGATATAGCATAAATTACACCAGCATCTAGAAGTTTCATTATCTCTTTCTTGACAACATCTTTTAGATTCGGGTTTAACCTCCTCTGATGTTCTACAGAAGTCATCGATTCATCTTCTAGATGTATTCTATGCATGCAAAGATCAGGAGAAATTCCAGGGATGTCATCTAGCGAATACCCTATAGCTTTTCTATACTTCCTAAGCTCACAGAGAAGCAAAGCAAGTTCAACATTGTTCAGCTCAGCATTCACTATCACAGGGTATGTAGAGTTAGGTCCCAGAAATGCATACCTGAGCCCCGCAGGGAGTGTTTTCAGCTCGAGCTTAGGTGCGCTCGACTCGCTCCAGGGCTGTTGACGGGACTCTCCTGAGGTCATTCGATCGATCTGGCACGGCTTCGATCGATCCTCCTTGTCCTCCAAGCTCATGAACGCCACCAGTCTCTCCATCTTGCCGCTCGCATCCATCATTTCCCGAAGCCATCGGCTTCCTCATTCAGGAAATCATACTCGCCTTCAGCTTTAGTCAAAGCTACCTCCAGAGGGTCGTCAAGAAGCATCTCCTCACTCACTTCGTCCACCAAGTTTGAGCCATCTTCAATCACATAAGTTTGCCCATCTAACATTGGCTTCTTGAGGAGTTTGTTCATCTCGAACCTCATGACGATATCTCCCAGATGGAGATCAATGATTCCTCCCTTCACGTCAATGATTGCACCAGCTGTGCATAGGAAGTTTCGCCCTAGTATCAGGGATCCTTAGGCTCTTCGTCGAGCTCGAGGACTACAAAGTCTGCTGGAATGAGTGTGTTCCCTATCTGCACATGTAGATCCTCAAGTATACCGACTGGGAACTTAGTCGATCTGTCAGCGAAAACCAAGAGACTTTCGTGGGTTTGAACTTGTGTATCCCAGTCGCTTGGCCACAGAATACGGCATCAGTTCACGCTCGAGCCGAGATCGCAAAGAGAGCATGCGAAGGTCATGCGGCCTATCTGCACTGACAAGACAAATCTTCCTGGATCGCTCCTCTTCTTGATCACCTTGTTCTGCAGCACAGCGCTGCACTCCTCGACACTAGCATGACGTTCTCATCCTCAGCTACTTCCCAGATATCAGCTCCTTCATGTACTTCTTCAAGCAGGAATCATCTGAACAGCATCAGACAGAGGCAGCTTCACAGTCAAGTCCTTCAGCATCTCCTTACACTTGCATCCTCCAAGTCTTTTCTGGACTTCTTCCGTGGAACAGGGTAAGGCACCTTAGGTGCGTAAGCTCGGCTGGAGCAGTCTCTGCAGCTGCAGGAGTAGGTAAATCAGCTACCTGAGACGACGAAGCGTCTTCACCAGCTCGATCGAGTCCGCTGATGCAGCTCGATCGACTTCAGCTTCTTCTTCCGATTCTCGTCGGCTTTCTCCTTGCCTGCCCTTTTCAGAGGAATCACAGCAGGTTGTAGCTTCCTTCCACTTCTCAGCTCAACTTGTGCAACATACTCATTCCTGGGGTTCTGCTCTCCTTTCCCAGGAAGGGTTCCATGAGGTCTCTTCACAGCTTCAGCGGTTTGAGCACTTGGACATCCAGCTTCTTCACGTGAGTCCACACAGCTTCGTACTTCCCATTCAGATCGTTGTACATGGTGTCTATCTTCAAGTGTGTCTCCGCAGTGGACTTCTGCTGGTTCATCAACATCTGCTGCATCATACCCTTAAGCTCATCGTTCGAGTTGTTCGATGAACCTGAAGGTTGTTGCTGATTGCTGAACTGCGCCTTCTGTTGGTTACCACCTTGAGAACGATTCTGGTTTGGGGCAAAGGTCTTCTCCTGGAAGCTGTTAGGATAGCTCTTCTGATAACTCTGCTGGTTCTGGTTCGATCGAGGCGGATAGACCTGATCCTGAGGGTTCTCGACGTTGGTGCTCCTGTAGGACATGTTCGGATGGTTTCTGTAGTTCGAGTTGAAACCACGGTTCGGCACAAAAGGTTGCCCATTCACATAGTTGACCTCCATCTGATCATCTCGTCCTCTCTCCTCCAAACTCTTGAGAGATAGGTGCATCATCATTTTCGTCAACAAAATGAACAGACTTCTGCTGCGCCTTCATCAATAGATTCACCTTAGCAGTGAGCTCCTCAATCTTCTTCGCGTCAGCACTGCTTCCTTTGACAGATACAGTGCTCACTGTTCTGTCGTACTCAGCGTTCTTGTTGCTCGAGCTCGCTGCAAGATTCTCGATCAGCTCGAATGCACCTTCCTTGGACTTCGTCATGAAATCGCCATTGCTGGCTGCGTTCAAAGCATTCTGTAGTCCCAGTTGACTCCATCATAGAAGATGCTCAGGATCTGCTCGTCAGAGTATCCGTGATGAGGACACTCTCTTCGGCACTCCTTGTATCTCTCCCATGCTTCGCAGAAAGCTTCTCCATCATACTGCTGGAAAGATGCGATCTTCGTCCTTAGAGCTGCATTCTTGGACTTCGTGTAGAAGTGGTCCAGGAAAGCTGCTCTAACTTGGTCCCATGAAGTCAAAGACCAGGTGGTAATGACTTCAGCCAGCGAGATGCTTTGTTGGCAAGTGAGAACGGGAATAGCTTGCACTTCAGAAAGTCAGCCGGTACTCCATTCGAACCAGTCGTGCTGCATATCTCCTCAAAGTTCTGGATATGGTCCGCAGGAATCTCAGCAGGAAGTCCATGGAAGATGTGATCCTTGACTAGAGCGATCATGCCGGGCTTGATCTCGAAGTCTTGCCTCTGCACGTTTGGAGGGACAATCGCAGACCGGTTTTGATAGAAGGTGTGCGGATTGTCCTTGTCTCCAATAGCAGACGAGGTTGCGGTTCTCGATCTTGTTGAGCCTTCCGCATCTGCTCGATCTGCTGCTGAAGCTGCTGCAACTGAGCAGCCATGTTCGGGATTGCCGTTATCGCCCATGTCGGCTGGATTCGGCCTTCGTTGTCTGTTTGCTCGTTCTACTCTTGCAAGTTCTGCGTTGGACAGGATCAGAAGCTCTTCGTTGCGGTTGCTCCGTCGAGATCTAGTGATCATGCACCTGAAACACACACAAGAAAAACGAGAGAAACAAGTTAGTAAATCTTAGACTAAATTTCAAATCAAGAATCAAAGGTAACGAATTGGTCCCCGTCGCAACGGCGCCAAATTTGATAAACTAGAAATAGGTCATTTTCTCTACTGCAAATTATCAGTGATGAAGATTGTAATATAAAGGATTCGAAATCCAGAGGACCAGCGTTACACTGTGAAACTAGGAGATTCAAAACAGAGCTAAGACAAGATGATTGGTTTTAGTAACAGGTAACGAATGTAAACGATGATGTAATTCAATAAACAGGGACTAGACCAAGGCAATTCGCAGAGATTCACAGGTTAACGACCAAACAACTATTCAGGGCACAGATGAGAACAGGTCTCGAACTCAAACAAAATATGTCAATTCACTTTCGCGATAATTAACAACTTTATCTAACAACCTAGATGTCTAAACTGTCGTTTGAATCTAGCAATTGAAAGCAAGCAGTAAACACAGGTTCGATAAGTTCACGAATCGCCTCAGCATCAACTTTCGCAGGCTAAGGACGATTCGCTCACCACAGTTCGTTCTAACAACCTATTGCACTTTTGATGAACAGGTAATCTGAGATCAGAGATCGAGTGATCAGATCGATCTAAGCAGTAATGCAACAATGGCGAAGACAGTATTAAAGCCCTATCTGTATTCAGTCATTAACACATGAATCCCTTTGAAAAACCTAGATCTAGCAGGGTGACTACTCAGACATGGCGAAACAGCAAACAATACTGAATGAATGTCATTGAATCAAATAAGAAAATAGCAAAAAACAAGGGTTCAGAAATCTTCTCCAAACTGTGAAAACAGAGGTTTGATCTCTTCTCCCTCAGAAACAATGAAAACTCTGAAAAACGGCGTAGCCTAAACAATGGCTAAAGATAGGTCTAAATAGCTCCGGGGTCGACTTCGGTTCAATCCGGTTCGCTGTGGTTCGATCGAAGTCGGTTTGCACCAAGTAGATCGAACGGCTGTGATATCATCTGACCGGGATTGATCGAACGGCTGAGACAGAACGGGATCGATCGAGCTCGTCGCTGCATGGGATCGATCGAAGGACGATCGAGCGACTCCTCTTGCATGGGATCGATCGAGCTGGGTAGCTGATGTGAGTCGATCGATGGGCAGCGCATGGGATCGATCGAGTGGGTGTGTGGTGAGTCGATCGATCTGTGGCGACTCGATCGAGCTCCTTTGGGCTCCGTTTTGCCTGCTTTCTCCTCCTGTTGGTCCATGTGACCAAAGCTCTCCCTGGAACGTCTTTAGACCTGAAAAGACTCGATAAAGACTAGAAAGACTCGATAAAACTCGTGAAAACAAGTGTTAGAATGCGTCAAATACGCAAGATATCATTTTGCAGATAGGATAGTAGGTTATTAGATACTCCCTCTCTTTTCAAAATATAAGGGGTTTTAGAGTTTTGTTTTTGTTTCATAATATAAGGGGTTTTAGAGTTTCTGTGCAAAATTAAAGGTGTTTTTGTTACTTTTAGTAATTTATATACTGTAGATTTCTTTTTCATTTGTTGAAAAGTTTAGGAATTGATGATAAAATATATTTTATTTCAAAAAGTACAAAAAAATTATATGGCTTTTTAATCTGTGAAAAAAAATTAAACCCCCTATTTTGAAACAGAGGGAGTAGTAGATTATTAGTGGTGGTTTTTGAAGAAGAGATGCAAGAAATAATAATGATGAAAAGAAGATGTAATAACGTAAATATATGTTTCTCATTTTCTGTAGCCTGCTATAAATATGTGTAGCAGTGTTATGGATGCAGTTAACTTCTCTCTTATCGTTCATTAATTCAACGATAACATGGTCGTTACCAAAAAGTTTTCTCGTGATGTTCCTATTTGTTGGAATTCAACTTATAATATGCTTGTTGATTCAATTGGTTATATGGATTTCTTATGTAGTTTTATTAAACAAAATTGTATTTCTTTAACTTTGTGGCATACTCATTGGGACGAGTGTGGTGCACTTTTAAAATTATTAAAATGTTTTAGTGATGTAACATATTTATTATCTTGTGTTTATTATCCTACTGCTTATTTGCTTTTATATGAACTAGGTTTGAAGCCCGCGCAAGCGCGGTGTTGTTTGCGATAGTTTTTCTGTTTAAATTTGTTTATACTCTTTGATTTGAATTATGATGGTTTTGTGTTAACTTTCATGTTTTGTTATGTTTTGAGTTAACTCAACCACTAACACTAAAAAATATGAATAATTTTTTTTTTAATTTATTAGGATATTAACACTCTACTTTATCTCGAGTTTTCTACTTCTAAACTTTTATCATGTTATAAATATTATGTTTGTTTACTTTTGTTTTACTTCTATTAGATTGTAAACATGTATATATATTTGATTGAAGGTTAAAATTTATAAATATATATATATGGATTTGACTGAATATTAAAATTTGTAAACATATTCTTGTTTTTCACTACAATTAAATTTACATATAACAATTCATTTCTGTTTGTTTAGAAAAACAAACTATAACTCTAATTTTTCATTAACTTTCTATTATCTTAATTAATTTATATTCAACTTTTTAACTTGTAAACACATTATAACATTTTTAAAAATAGGAGAAATCCTTTGAATAAAAAGATAAATATATACTATTTGAAGTTAAATATTTCTTTACTTCATCTCTATTTTATATTCCAAATTTTTAATAACTTTTAACATCAAATGATCACATACTTTCTATTAATTAATTAATTTATTTCTATATTTTTATTAAATGTGAATAAATGTAAAGAAATATGAATAATTATATATTTAATAAATATTTGAAATGTAATTTAATGCTTTTGTGCTGATGTGGACACTCTTAGATGGAGAGAGCAACTCTCTAATTATATATAAGATGTGTTAATATTGCTGATGTGATGATGCACATGAATGTGATATTGTTTTGTCACCATGTATTAAGAGTATGAAAGATAAGTGGTTAATATTATAAGAAATTCCACCTCTTAATTTGCTTGCATCTATTTTTGATCCTAGAACTAAATTGGATGGTTTAAATGAATATTTATCTACATATTATGAGTTATTGCATTTGTCTGAGAGCATTAATATTCCAAACATTATTTCAAATTCTAAAAAAGATATAGAGACTTTGTATGATGAATATTATAGAGTATATAAGTATCTGGCACCACAAGTGGATGAATCTTCTATACAAAATGACATGTCCTCAACATCTTCACTAAGCCTTGCAGAAAGGATGCGGAGACAGAAACGACAACGACCATCACAAGGTAATAATTCTGAACTTGAAAAATATTTATCTACTAACTTTGAGTTTAGTGATGCAGATGCAGGTAATAACTTTCAAGTCATTCAGTGGTGGAAGTATCATCAATCTCATTATCCCATTTTAGCTATGATAGCAAAGGACATTTTCTCTTCACCAGTTTCTACAGTTTCTGTGGAACGGGCTTTTAGCATGGGATGTCAAATTTTAACGAAACTCGATCAAGAATGAGTCCAGATTCTCTCGAAGCTCAAGCATGTCTTGATGATTGGACTAAGAGCTCAATATAGACAACAAGAATACATTGAGACCATGAAGAAGAATTAGAAGATTTTGATAGTGATGTATCTTCAATGAGATCCGAAGACAGTGACTAATATTTTTTTAAACTTTATTATTGTAATAAATAATTCTCAATATGATATGAATAATTAATTTTTCTTTCAAAGTTTTATATACATTTATAAATTAATTTATCTCTTTCATATATCTTAGTGTAAATTTTTACATTATTCTGTTTTTTTATAATATTTATTTAATCATAAAGTGTAATATTAACCGTATTATAATTATAACCTTAACTAACCGGATTGATATTTAACCATAACCGTATTAACCGCATGTTAAATGGTTAAGGTTAAGGTTAACAAAATTTCTAACCATTACCGGTGGTTAAATAACCTTAACAGTGATAACCGTAACTGTGGTCATGCCTAATGTAATATAATCATTATGTAAGACAATATGTGATGGAATTGTACCTACAATTGGTCTTTAATTAGTCATGCCTAATGTAATATAATCATTAACGGCCGAGAATTTTGATTCTAACAACCATCAAGGAAGTCAAGTTATGACAATATCTAAAAACACTTGAGTGGTAAACACTTGTGGTAGCTTTAAAAACTTCAATTTGGAAAGAAAATGATGGTGGGATGTTTTGATGAAGATGTCATTTTTTTGAAAAAGTGAGGATGATGAGGCTCTTATTGTTTTTTTCAAAAAAAAAAAAAATGTCATTTTTGTGATTACTTGATATTTGGAAAAGTGGAACTGGATACTGGATACCAGTGGTTAATGTTATAATGGAGGAAAATTGGGGGTTAACTTTGCGGATAAGGAAATAAACTAATATTGGCTGATCTTATGGGCTCGGTCAAGGCCTATCTCAAGCCTCAATCTCACTCGTGTCTTCATTGAAAAACGTGGAGGATCCGGCGGTTTAGGATCTCTCCTCCTCTCAAACACCTTTTTGCTTCTCATGATCCCCTCTAATTATTTATTTTCTGGGTCTGAGATTCTGATCTGATTTTTTTAAAACACTGTTTAGAAGACATGGATGAAGGAGTAGCTCTTTACCCACTTCATCGTTGCAAAACCATTCACCTGGTTCGTACAAACTGGTCTATCCACAGATATATGAGTGGTTCATATTCCTCTTCCAAGTTTATAACGCGTTTTTGTTTGTTAAATATAGGTGAGACATGCTCAGGGGATCCATAACGTGGCTGGAGAAATAGACCACAGTGCTTACTCTTCTGAGGACTATTTTGATGCTCATCTCACCCCTCTTGGTTGGCAACAGGTATATTTCTGTTCTTGTCTTGGATTTAATGCTTTAGCAACGATGGATCATCATCATTTTTGTCTATGGCAGGTGGATAATCTACGAAACCATGTTTTAGCCACTCAGCTCTTAAACAAGATTGATCTTGTCATTGTTTCTCCTTTGCTTAGGTAAGACATTCATTATCTATCATTATGGTTCTTTTAGGCCTGAAATGATTAATCACAATAATTTTAGTATTTTAAACAAAAATTTCACTGTTAATATTAACCACAATTGCGAACCACCAAAAGCAGACGAACATTTTGCAAACATATTATATGAACGAAGTGTTTTGTTTTCTAAAATGTGAAGTTTTCTTAAATGTGTTATATATAACAAGTAAACTAAGGTGATGATTGGTTCTCCCGCTACCACCCGCAAACGCAGCGTTTGCGGTTCGTAGCGGTTCTTAGCGTTTTATAACAATCACGACAACCGCTTTCAACCGCTCTATACCACTCTGTACCGCTCTATATCGCTGAAAATCAAAAGCTCCTTTCCGCAAGCGTTTGCGGTTGCGGGCGGTTGCGGTTTGAAAAAAAAAAAAAAAAAACATAATATCTCCAAATTTGGAATAAGGGTATATTTTTTTGAAAAATACCATAATTATGTTTAAAAATTTCGAAAATACCCTAAATTTTTTCTGTTTTGAAAAATACACTTTTAAAATGTAAAAAGTATGTTTTGACGTGATTTAAACAAAAAAATAATAAATAATTACAAATTATAAACGAAAATTTAAAAAAATAATAAACTAATAAGTTTTTTTTCAAATAAATATAGTATATGTTAAACTGAAACAAATTTTAATATTTTGGATCTTTATATAAACAACTTAACCTCATACACATTCAAACCAAATGAAACTTTAAATAAATTAAAACTTTACATATATTTAAAGTTTATAAATTATTAAAAATTTAAAAGTGGAGAAATATATCTTTCATTTTTAATGTTTATCTTTTGAAAAATTTAAATATTTTTGAAACTTTGCATAAACAACTTTAATCTCACCCCATTTAAACTTTATATAAACAATCTTATATTTTTATTAAATTGTTTAAAAAAAAACTAAACAGGTAATTAGGATGTTAAAATGATACAAAATTATTATCAAATATTAATATTTTATATTTCTTATTTGAATTTCGTTTTTATTAAATTAGGAATAATCATTTTACATATAAAAAGTGTATTTTTCAAAACCAAAAAAAAGGGTAGTTTTCAAATTAAAAATTCATCAAAAAATATATTTCAAAAAAAAAATTATTAATATGGTTATAAATGTTTTGAATAATTATATATTATTTTTATTTTAGTAACTTTTGGTTAAACCGCTCTTGCACCCGCTGGCTAACCAGTCAAAAATATCCCGCAAACGCAACCGCTATGAATTGCTATACCAGTCGTACAAACAGCTTTTAATCGCAAACTCCCGCTTCCGCAAACTCCCGCAGCCGCAAACTCCCGCAACCGCAACCGCAGCGGTTAAACCAGTCAGACCCTAAAGCACATGCGTTAGCGTTTTAAACAATACTAGCACCGGAAAAAATGTTGCAATTTAATGCTTAAAATATTATAAACTGATCTTTGTGTCATTCAGTAATTGAAACTACAAAGACTAAGTTTGTATGGACGTCGTATCAAATGTAGAACTATACAAACAGCTGTTGGTGCTTTTGGAGGTGAACAGGATACTAATGGAGAGGCATCACCGCCCCTAATGGTTGCTAATGCTGGGAGCAGTGATCGCCCTGCGATTTCAAGCTTAAATAGCCCACCATTTCTTGCTGTTGAGCTATGCAGAGAAACTATGGTACATGATAGAATACATAGCCGTAGATATAATTGATATCACACTGTTAAAGATTTTGTTATAAACGCAGGGTGATCATCCTTGTGATAGGCGAAGAAGCGTCACAGAGTACAAGGCTCTCTTTCCTGCCATTGATTTCTCAATTGTAAAAGCATCTTCTTGATTTTAATTTAATCAATTATCACTAGGAAAGATTCTTACGTTTTTCTCTGTGAAAATAGATTGAGAACGATAAGGATGTTTTGTGGAAGCCTAGTCCAAGAGAGACCGTAGAAGAAGTTGCAGCTAGAGGTAGAGAGTTCATCAACTGGTGCGTTTTGTTGGATCCTTAAAACATTTTTTGTTCTCATGGAGATGAAATATTTTTTTTTGTTTTCTTGAATCTATCTACTGCCATTTTGCTTTGTTAAGGCTATGGACAAGGAAAGAGAAGGAGATTGCAGTTGTATCTCATAGTGGCTTCTTGCACGGTGCCTTGAGCTCGTTCGGGAAAGATTGTAGTGAAGACGTAAAGAAAGAGTTGTCTATACAGTAAGAGCTGAAGCACTCACTTCAAGAATTGCTAGAAGCTATTTTTACTAACCAAAATATTTTTACTTTTTTTTAGCTTCAAGAACTGCGAGCTTCGTTCAGTGATCATCGTGGATCAAGGGTAAGAAAATGGCAATAAGTTGTGAGAGGATATAAATAGGGTTTTGAGAGTGGTGTTGCGTTATTTATGTGTAGCTTTTCTTTTGGGTGTGTAGGAATCTTGGGACTATTTCTGAAAAAACCACAAGCTATCCTGGGAAGATTCCTCAAGGACTTGATCATCCAAGCGGCTAATGCGTGGAGAGTAAGAGGTATATTACAAGGGAACACATGATCATGCTTCTTCCCTTGGACTAGAACTTGGCAATTTCAGTTTTTTTATTGATGAACAAAAGTGAAATTCTTAGGATTTATGCTCCACTATGCTGATGCTGCTAAATGAATTTATGATTACTATTTGACGTCAAAGACATTTATATAATAAAAGAAAATAAATTTGAAAACAAAAATCTTAAAACCTAGCATTTTCAAAGCCGTGCAAATCACTCTTCTTCATCATAGCTCTCCCTGTCGACGTGGGAGTCAACGGCTCTCCATTTTCATCCACCAACATCATTGTCATGTCTCTTCTCTCACTCCCTCTCCTTCGTTGAACATGTTGTTGCTGCTGACTCTGATACTCCATCAACTGTTGCCTCCTCCACTCAACCTCCACAAGCTCGGCCTCCACGACTTTCGCGTACTCTGCCGCTGCCTCCGCCGTTCCCGATCGCCCAAGCAATGCAAGCGCTGACGTCAACAAATGGTGTGCGCTAGTGCACTCCCCATACTCCACCAGTCTCCGAGCCTCCGTCACAGCTCGTGTCATTATGAAAAGGCTCCTTAACCGTTCGATCTTAGGAGAAGTCGATGATCTCACGGACTGGGGAACGCGGAGTGACTGGTCCCGTCCATATACAACTTCTTGTGTCGATGGGTCCTTATAGAGACCTCTAACTGACAGCACTTGTTGGGATCCTGTCAAGCTTGCTGTTGACGGGATCCTAAGCTCCACTAGGAGATCTCTCTCCTCACCTGCGTAAAGGTCCCCTAGTCTTACTGATCTGGAGCCAGAGCTAACCAACACTGGTCGCCCATTGCATAAGTAAACGGCTGAGATCTCACATGGTCCACATCCTGATCCAACTCGGATTTGGATCCTAAGATCCTGAACCACCACACTAAGCAACCCTTCTATACATTTTGTGAATGACTCTTCAGGTGGTGCATGGCTGTCTCCAAATCCATACTCAGTCACAGGGATCTCAATTATGGACCGTTGATTTTTGTTTACTCTACTTAACTGACTCTGACCGTCCGATAGGAGGACAATACTAGCGATAGGGTTTCTCTCCCTACGATCTTCAAGCACACGCGCGGCTTTTTTCAAAGTTTCGCTTGTGTTAGAAGCTTGACGACCACAAAGAAGCCCATCCACAACAACTCCTGCGGAACGTTTGCCGTGGTTTGTCATTCTCTTTAGTGGGAGGAGTCTCGTACCAGATGCGACTATAGAGAACCGATCAGCCGAGCCGAGCGAGGAAACCACAAGCCGCATGGCTCGTTTGACCATTTGGAGTTTTGCAGCGTTACCGATTCCAGCTATGTCAAGTACAATCACCAGATCCACCGGAGCACGTTGCAACGGATCTAGAAGCCGCCTACGTCCTCCGCTAGCTAGAGGTGGTGGTGGCGCCTTCACACGAAGAGCCACTACACGTGTCTCGTAACCACACACTACAGAGACAACGGCGGATTCAGGTAACAAGCTCACCTGTACGTTTCTAAAATCTCCATCGTTGGTGTCGGTTTCAGGTATGGTGACAAACCGAGGTGAGAGCAAGGGATCGTCGTCGTCGTAGAATTTTGGCCTTACAACGACGGTGGAAACGGCGTCGTCGAGGGGAGATTCAGTTGTATTCCGATGAGGAGCAAGAAGAGAAGCGATGAGGAGCAAGAAGAGAAGCGTCTTTCCAGAGAGAGTTACAGACTGGACAAACAAGCTTTCCGTGCTTACGAACGTGATCGGAGATACAAGGGAAATGAAACGCATGTGAACACTCCGCCGTGTATTTAGCCGTCCCTTGCCCTGTTTTCACGCTGTTCAGACATATCCCGCAACTACTCTACAAGAAAATAATTAATCATTCATCAGAGACATTATTTTATTTATTGTTTTTGATTTCTCATTGTTCTTGCCCATTTTGTCATCTGTTTCTTACTCTCCACCGGAGAGAAAAGCTAGCTTCACGCAGCTTCTTGGGCTTGGACTGGTGTGTTGTTTTTCAAGATCCGGCGCGGCCGCGTCGCTGTTTCTTGGGGCAGTGGTGCAAAATGCTCGTCGCCAACCAGTACCCATTCTTTTTTTTTGTGATCGAGAAATTATAATTGCAAGAAGAGGAAGTAGTAAGTAGATAACGATTAAAGATTCTGCAGAGAAGAAGACAAAGTTACGGTGACAGGTTATGATTTTTTTTTTTTATAAATATTTCGGTCTGAATTGTTGTTATACTTGTTGTTAGTATCTCTCCATCTCAGAATGGGAGCTCTGTGGAGTTTAGTATAAAATATTTTTAAATGGTTTTCACTCTTGTCTAGATCCATGTGTAAGTAGTGTACTCCCTCTTTTTTCTTCCTCTGCTACGATTTTACTCGAAGGGCTCAATATCTAACCATAAAATATGAATACTGTGGCAGGATTGCACATTTAATTTCTTGGGATTTTTTGTTGATGGCGTGAATGTCGAAAAGGGAAAGGCTTTTTGTTAAAGAAACCAAATGTATATTAAGTTGTATAAATGCATCATTCCTAAATGGCTACATCAATATATACTAATTCAAGAAACTCATTTGCCATGTTAAATGTTTACAATTCATCAACATTATAAAAATGCATAAAAGTTTAAAATCGGCACAAACATCGAAAGATAAACTAAGAATTAGTGCTACAAGATTCACATAAACATTCACACATTGCTACAGAAAAATTCTTCATTCAAGTATTCATATGATATTATATGATTTCTTTGAACTGTTATACCAATCATATAAATCGTTTAGTAACGTTAGAAACCGCTATCGCCCCACTTTCACAAAACGTCATTTCGATCTATTGCTTTTAAACAAGTCAAGCCATTAATAGAATGTAGAAGAACAAAGCACATGACGTTCAGATTTCAACAGCCCATATGAGAAAGAGATCACAACAGTTTTCAGTATCCCAGGCTGAAGATTCGTTTCCCACAAACCAAGATAATAATTAAATAGGTAACCGTAGTATTTAACTACTATGATTATACGAAACATGCATGATTACAAAGTAAGACAACTCATTAATTGTTTTATGTATTACTAGGAGTGACCCGCGCTACGCGCGAGTTGTGTTAGTTTTATTGTTTTTCCGCAAATTTAATATTGCTTCGAAGATATTATACACATATTACGTAAATATAATTAGAGTTAGGCAAAAAAATTGTACCATCTTGTTCTATCTCGTTCCATTTCGTTCATTTTCATCATGTACGTTTTTTCCCGTCCCGTTCGTCTTGTATGTCCCGTCCCGTTCAGTCATATCCTATCCCATTATGATTCTTTCCATTTTGTTTATTATTGTCTCGTTTCCTAAATATAATTAGGGGTAGACATAATTCTATCTCATTCCGTTCCTTTTCATCTTGTCATGTTCTTTCCCATCCAGTTCCTTTTCCCGTCCCGTTCGTCTTGTATGTCCCGTCCCGTTCAGTCATATCCTATCCCATTATGATTCTTTCCATTTTGTTTATTATTGTCTCGTTTCCTAAATATAATTAGGGGTAGACATAATTCTATCTCATTCCGTTCCTTTTCATCTTGTCATGTTCTTTCCCATCCAGTTCCTTCTGTCCGCCCCATCCAGTCCCATCATAGATTATGTTCATTTCCATTTTGTTTTATCTTTGTCTCGTCTCTAAATATAATTAAAGATATGCAAAATTCCGTCACATTCCATTTCTTTTCATTTTGTCCCGTCCAACATTTATGTTTTGTCCTCTCTCATCATGTTTTTTCGTTCCACTCCTAAATATAATTAGAGGTAGGCAAAATTTCCATCTTGTCTTATTCCGTTCTTTTCTGTTCCTTTAGATCTCGTCTCGTCTTTAATATCATAAGAAGTAAACAAAATTCTCCTCTTCTCTAATTCTATTTTTTTTCGTCTCGTCATATTCAATCTCTTCTCTTTTCATTCAAAAATACTATAGAAAAAACAGTGTTTTTTGTATAATATATTTTTATTTTTATAATTGTTATTAAATAATAGTTTTTATAGATTTATATAAAATCTTTTTTTCTTTTTGTAAATGACTTTTTACATTCTTGTCAAACCTATTTAATGAATGATAACTATTATAAAAGTTTTAAAAAAGAGAAAATATGATATATTAAATGTTTGTGATGAAATAATGAATTTAGAGCCACCCTCTTTTGCTGAGGTGGCAGCTTGAGAAGAGATTCACATAAACTTTATATATATAGATGTAACGTTCTCGGTTTTATAATTGTAACTATAGTATAATAATTATGTTTCTAGCAGATACAAATATTAGATAAGAATATAAGATCATAAGAGTTTCTACAACAACATTTGCAAGCTGGAAGAATAAGATCACTGGCTATCACCCCGACTAAACCAAATTTTTTATTGTATTTTTTTTAATATTTTGTTAGGATTGCCGCCAAATTTGCTTCAGTAAAATGAAACTGAATACAATTTAGTATGATTTTGGTTTTACACTCACAACTATAGAAAATTTTATAATATCATTATTATTATTATAAGATCATAAAAATGTTATATAAAATCATAATAATTTCTACAACAACATTTGTGATCCGGAACAACTTCACCGATTATTAATGATGCCGATCCTATTAATTTTTTTTGGCAGAACGCCTCGCAAGCATTCCCTTGCCATGGCCAGTAATCTTTGGAGTAGCATATTTGCCATTTGTCACCAAATTTTGCAGACCCTATTCCACAAGAATTAATAAACTATTATGAACATTCACATAAAAAAAAAGTTTATGATCAAAATAACAAAAGCAAATAGAGATTATAATAATAAGCTAGTACCAATACTCTCGGCAGAACAATTGACATAAGATATGGCCAAGAAAAAGCTCAGAAAAATTGCGATCAACATTTTCTTTGTGATAGCCATTTTGTGATATTTTCTTAGATTGTTTTTAGATGTTATGGCTGAATGAATAGTTATATATATATATATATATATATATATATATAATAACACCGCATATGTAGAACATATTTTCTAGTCAAAAGTTTTTAGAAAAGGAAGCAAATTTTTAAAATTTATATCTTCTATTATAGGTAAAGAATGATTTTCTTGCCTAGTTATGATTTAGCATTTGTGAAATAATATCATATTATTTTTAACATAACTTTATTTGAAGATACTTTTCCATAATTTAATTTTTATAAAAGTCGTATTTTCAAGTAAAAGTATTCAGTTTATATCCTTGTATTCTCGTCAAAAAAGCCAGGGGGTCAACAGGTCAAGTTTTATACTCCCACTGTTTCAAATTAGTTGTCGTTTTGGCAAAATGTATCTGCAAATATTTGGACGTATCTGGACGTGTTTTGCATTGCAGATACATCCAAATAATTGTAGATACATTTTCCCAAAACGACAACTAATTTGAAACGGAGGGAGTAATAGTACTAGGGGTGACCCGCGCTACGCGCGAGTTGTGTTAGTTTTATTGTTTTTCCGCAAATTTAATATTGCTTCGAAGATATTATACACATATTACGTAAATATAATTAGAGTTAGGCAAAAAATTGTACCATCTTGTTCTATCTCGTTCCATTTCGTTCATTTTCATCATGTACGTTTTTTCCCGTCCCGTCCCATTCAGTCATATCCTATCCCATTATGATTCTTTCCATTTTGTTTATTATTGTCTCGTTTCCTAAATATAATTAAGGGTAGACATAATTCTATCTCATTCCGTTCCTTTTCATCTTGTCATGTTCTTTCCCATCCAGTTCCTTCTGTCCGCCCCAGTCCCTTTTTTTTGGTTAAAGAATATTCCATTTAATGTGCTCTAATTTGTTTATTTAATCATGGAGACAAATTTTTTTGTTGTTGTTGTTATAAGATCCATGTTTGTTTTACCCAATCTTCACAAATCTGCACAATCTATAGTGTATGTAAGCATGCAAAATAATGTTTCGGTCAAGGTATGAATATATTTCCTCTGTTTCTAAAAACAATTTTTACTTAATTAAAAATTAACTAATATATAGTTTTAAGTGCATCATGTTTTCTTACTAGCCATTTTATCATTAATATAAACCAATAAAAATTCAACAATATTAAAACAACCAAGTCATTTTTTAAAAAAATAAATCAACTCACCAGAATTCTCAATTCAATAAAATAAATAAATAAATAATCATAAGTAATTCTCAACTCAAACATATAAATCCTATCATACTTTCCTTCGGTCTTGATTCTGCGATCACATAATTCTTGTACCTGCATCACAATACGAACAGAATGCGTAAGTATTATCATAAATACTTAGTGAGATGATCATCCCACCTACATGCTAATTACGTGAAACACTAAGCAATCATACAACAATAAACAGTAATATAACGAACAACAACAAGAAAAATGTTGTGTCGATTGACATCCACTCGCTAACCCGAGCCCCAAATCACGAAATCAACACAAAAACATGAAATCCAAGAGATTAAACATCCGAAATCGATCAAAACAAGCATTAACTCAAGAACAACTCAAAGACATATCACACAACGAAATCCTAATGAATCACGAGCCTATGATCACACACTCACCTTAAATCTGATTAAATCAGAAAAAGGGAGAGACAGACAACAAAGAATGGCGAAGAACAACAACAATCAGCCTCAGATTTGCCCAAAAACACCACAAATCCACCAAATCGCCTCTAGAACTTCTCCTCTTCCACAAAACGACAAAACTCCAAAAGAACAAGACGATTGACTCTTTTATTCACGGACCTAGGACTTTTCTTACTCAAATCAGTCCAAACCGAAATCAATTCACTTAAATTGAATTGGAATCGAATTTTAACTATTGGTGTCAACGGACACCCTCCTAGTGCCGCTTGACACCACCTCGAGAACGATATAATTTTACATTCAAAAAAAGAACTGTAAAATTAAAAAAAAAATGTGTCTTAAAACTCACTCAATAAAACTTTCTAAAGAACCAAAAAATCATTTTTTGCACTATGAGCATTTATTTACTTTCCCATCTAATTTCATATTAATTTTACTATACTTTTTTGTTTAGATATGTATTAAAATTTTGTGAAACAAATACTCTCTTCGTTCCTTAACACTTTATGTTTTCGATGTTTCACATAGATTAACAAACAATTCTTAATGAGTTGAACCAACAAAGTTCTTTCAAGTGTATTCTCGTCAGAAAAGCCAGGGGTCAACAGGTCAAGTTTTATAATAGTACTAGGGGTGACCCGCGCTACGCGCGAGTTGTGTTAGTTTTATTGTTTTTCCGCAAATTTAATATTGCTTCGAAGATATTATACACATATTACGTAAATATAATTAGAGTTAGGCAAAAAAATTGTACCATCTTGTTCTATCTCGTTCCATTTCGTTCATTTTCATCATGTACGTTTTTTCCCATCCCATTCGTCTTGTATGTCCCGTCCCGTTCAGTCATATCTATCCCATTATGATTCTTTCCATTTTGTTTATTATTGTCTCGTTTCCTAAATATAATTAGGGGTAGACATAATTCTATCTCATTTTGTTCCTTTTCATCTTGTCATGTTCTTTCCCATCCAGTTCCTTCTGTCCGCCCCAGTCCCATCATAGATTATGTTCATTTCCATTTTGTTTTATCTTTGTCTCGTCTCTAAATATAATTAGGATATGCAAAATTCCGTCACATTCCATTTCTTTTCATTTTGTCCCGTCCAACATTTATGTCTTGTCCTCTCTCATCATGTTTTTTTTGTTCCACCCCTAAATATAATTAGAGGTAGGCGAAATTTCGTCTTGTCCTATTCCGTTCTTTTCCGTTCCTTTAGATCTCGTCTCGTCTTTAATATCATAAGAAGTAAACAAAATTCCCCTCTTCTCTGATTCTATTTTTTTTCGTCTCGTCATATTCAATCTCGTCTCTTTTCATTCAAAAATACTATAGAAAAAACAGTGTTTTTTGTATAATATAATTTTTTATATTATTTAATATATAAATATATTTTTTCTTTTTGTAAATGACTTTTCACATTCTTGTCAAGCCTATTTAATGAATGATAACTATTATAAAAGTTTAAAAAAGAGAAAATATGATATATTAAATGTTTGTGATGAAATGATGAATTTAGAGCCACCCTCTTTTGCTGAGGTGGCAGCTTGAGAAGAGATTCACATAAATTTTATATATATAGACTATCATCGAACCTACTTTACCACATCACCATACTGCAGTAAATCCAAAATGATGGTCAAACAAATACACTGTATATGAAAGAAATTTGATTGTATAGAATAAAAATGAGTGGGTATTTTTACTCTTATCAAATTAAATTAATTTTATTGAATAAACAAACTTTAGGTGTTATAATTTTCTTAAATATATGTGCAAAATGTAAAACATGTAATTTTTTTTATACAACGGATGAATAATATTACCGCATAAAGGGAAAAGGAAGTAAAGAGGAAACATGTCCTGAATTGGAAGCTTTGCCTTTGGGCTGGTTGTTAAGAATAAGATGCGACCGTCAATAATACTATCACATGCCTGTTAACCAACTTGGTTTATATATCTTCATAATCATTTCACAACCTACCTTACGTTGTAGAGCATTTGTTTATTGATTTTCTTTAATCAATTTGTTTGTTTTGTCGACAAATGTTTTATTTGATCATTACTATACTCCCCTCTGTGTGTGTCCTACCATCCATTCGTAGCGTCTTTATGCATTTCAATTCCCAAGAAACGAATTTTGAGTGTGACGATAATACACATTTTAGTCAACGGGAAATATAAAATACCATATAAACTTTGTAAATTAATATTCGAAAAATACAATAATTTTTTTTCAATTCCAAGTTAGACTGTTTCAAAACTAATAATAAGATAAACATATTGTTTACTTGCTCTCTTTATTTTTAGCAAATTTAAGTAATCTTAATCATCATCTCATATTGTGGCTTTAGCTTTATCTGAAACCTAAGATTCATTCCCATCTACACCTACGTTGTTATTTGCACTTGCAGATTAGCAAAGGAGTTGGATAAAACCCAAGTCACATCATCCACACACATTCTTCATGATCCATCTTTCCTTGACACTAAGAGAACGAAACAACATTCGAATTAAGGCTTTCACGAACATATCATCTGGACATAATCTCTAGCATTTGTATCTCCAACTCTTTAGATTCTTCAAGATTCGTTCTAAAAGGCTGGTCATTTTGTAAGTGAAATACTTTGATATTTAGGTAAAGGTTGAGTTTATTCATTCACGTACAACAGCTTATATACACAACTTGTTAGTCACAATCTAACAATATCTTTGTATCGAATATTCTCATATATATCTCTATACCCCCCCCCCCCCTCAAGTTGGTGGTCGGGAACTACGAACACCTAACTTGGACAAAAGCTTATCAAAAATCGGCTTGGGAAGAGCCTTAGTGAACAGATCCGCAACTTGTTCCTTGGTGGAGAGATGGTGCGTAGCGATGAGACCTTCTTGCACGGCATCTCTGACAAAATGACAATCCGACTCAACATGTTTAGTGCGCTCATGAAATACAGGGTTGGCTGCAATATGAAGAGCAGCTTGACTATCGCAAAACAAAGGCATAGGTTGCGGATGATCAAAACCAAAAGTGCGAAGCAACTTCTTGAGCCACTTCAATTCCCGTAGTGTGTACGCCATCGCTCGATACTCTGCTTCGGCCGAGGAACAAGACACTGTACATGTTTCTTAGTTTTCCAAGATATAGGGGAGTTCCCTAAGTAGACAATATATGCCGAAAGTGAACGACGCATCCGCGGACAGGCATTATAATCAGAGTCACAATACGCCGTAATGGTGAGATTACTGTCACGTCGAAGAAGAACTCCTTGAGCAGGTGTTCCCTTGAGATAACGAACAACTCGGAGAGCTGCTTCCCAATGTGCAACAAGTGGCGTCTGCATAAACTGAGAGAGAATATGCACGATGTATGTGAGATCCGGACCCGTAATGCTGAGATATATCAGCCTACCAACAAGTCGACGATACTCTTCCGGACGTTTGAGCTCTGGACTATCAACAGAACCGAGCTTGTGATTGACTTCAACCGGAGTAGGAGAAGGTTTAGCACCTAAGAGACAAACTTCAGTGATAATATCCAGTGTATATTTTCTTTGTGAAAGACATATGCCATCCGGACCACGAGATACCTCTATACCCAGAAAATATTTCAGCTTGCCAAGATCCTTCATGTGAAAGCATTCATGAAGATACTCTTTAAACTTCTCGATCACACCTAAGTCATTCCCAGAGATGACAAAATCATCAACATACACAAGAATGTGTAGAATAGTACCACCACGAATCAACGAGAATAGGGAGTAATCTGGATATCCTTGCTTAAAGCCATATTCCTTGAGAGCAGTGGACAACTTAGCAAACCAACAACGTGGTGCCTGCTTAAGACCATAAAGAGACTTTCTTAGGCGACAAACTTTATTTGGGTCGGAGGACTGAAAACCTGGAGGAAGCTTCATGTACACTTCTTCCTCGAGATCGCCATGCAAAAATGCATTATGAACATCCATCTAGTGAACCTCCCAATCTTTTGCAGCGGCAACAGCAAGTAGATGTCGAACGGTGGTGAGTTTGACAACTGGAGCAAATGTTTCTTTAAAATCAATACCTTCTTGTTCACGATTCCCCATTGCAACGAGACGAGCTTTATGTCGCTCCAAGGAACCATAAGTGTTAAACTTCAGCTTATACACCCATTTGCTTCCAATTGCTGTCTTTCCCGGAGGTAAGTCAACAATATCCCATGTGTGATTGCCCTCAAGAGCCTCAATCTCTTTCTTCATAGCCTCACACCACTCTTTGATAAGAATAGCATCTTTAAAATGTTGTGGTTCCTCACTATCCAAAACAGCTGCCATGAACGCGATATGATGCGCTGTAAAGCCAATGTCAGATAAGTATTTAGTGAGAGGGTAGAGGGTCTTACCAGAAACCGTTTGAGAGGGCTTTGAATCTGAAGGAGCGAGTGAGAGAGCGTGAGAGGGAGAGTAGTGTACATTTTGTGTCACAAAGTCTTTCAGTAGAACAGAGGTTTTCTTTGAACGGTGACCACGACCCAATAACTCAGGCAGACCCGGAGAAGGAGGAGGAGTCTCTTCGTGATTAGAAGCATTATCTGTCTCAGTCGATTCCAACGCGGATACAGCTGGCGTGATCACTGTATTCGGCTCGATTACAGGTTCTGGAGGAGGTTCAGTCTCGGTGGTAGAAGGTATCACAACAAGAGGTGGAATCAATGGAGGTGTAAAATTCCAATCATCATCAATAATAGCGTCAGGGGAGAGAAGAGGTGTCGCAGGACTCGACTCCGTGACGGTGAGATGGAAAGGGAAAACGTTTTCTTGAAACTGAACATCGCGGCTCACAAAAAATTGGTCTTTCTCTAGATCATAGAGACGCCACCCTTTCTTGCCATAAGGATATCCCACAAAGATACACTTGCGACTGCGAGGTCCAAATTTGTCCTTATCTCGAGCACGATGGTGAGCATAGCATAAACAACCAAATGTGCATAGAAGATCATACGTTGGTGGCTTCCCAAAGAGTATCTCATATGGAGATTTCCCATCCAAAACTCTAGTAGGAGTACGATTGATCAGATGAGTTGCAGCAAGGATGCTTTCACCCCAAAAAGTAACCGGTAATTGAGCTTGGAAGAGACAGGCGTGAGCAACATTCAAGATGTGCCGATGTTTACGCTCCACACGACCATTTTGCTGTGGAGTATCGACACAAGACGTCTGGTGTAGGATCCCATGCTCCTGAAAGTAAGAAGAAAGGCACATAAACTCTGTTCCATTGTCACTAAGAATAGCCTTAACTTGTTTCCCAAATTGCCTTTCAGCCATAGTGCAAAAATTTTGTATCAACTTGGCAACTTCAGATTTTTCACTCATGAGAAGAACGAGAGTAATCATCGACTATAGTGAGAAAGTAGACAACTCCAGATGATGAAGGAGTGCGATATGGACCCCAAACATCACAATGAATAAGTGCAAAACAATCTGAAGCTTTATTAATGCTATCATTAAAAATCTCTCGAGTTTGCTTGGCTCGAAAACAAATATCACAACTATTGATCTCTTCAAGAACACTAGGAGATCGATCACAATTAGGTAAAGAATTCAAAACACCAGCAGAAGGATGTCCCAACCGACGATGCAACAATGCCCCAGACGAATCAGTATCCTTTGAGACATTGTTGACACGAGCAGCCAAGACACCAGTAAAATAGTACACTCCCTCACGCTCTTCACCCGCACCAATCAAAGTCCTCATAAAACGGTCCTGTAAGAAGCACAATGTGTCAGTAAAGATGGCGATACAACCGGTTTGTTTCAAAAGTTTTGACACTGAGATAAGAGTACAGTCAAAATCAGGAACAAATAACACATCAGGGAGCAGATAATCTGAGGAGAGTGCCAATGTGCCACGTTTCGTAGCTCTAGAGCCACTACCGTCGGGAAATTTCACAGCGGAAGGCAAGATATCAAATACATCTTGAAGAATAGATATGTCGCCAGTCATATGGTGAGAGGCGCTTGTGTCAATGATAACATCAGTTAAAAGAGTTTTACCCGACAGTTTCTCAGATGTGGTGTTAGGCCGTTGAGCTTGGAGAAGGCTGATCAGCTGTGCAATCTGATCATGACTCTGTTCAGGAACAACATGAGCATTGTTGGCTCTTCCGCGACCGCGACCTCGAGATGCTGGGGGACGACCACCTCGCTGAACAGAAGCTTTGGAGTCTGAGTTAGACGTACGTCCGGCTCCCTTGTTAAGTTCATAATACCAATCAGGATACCCATGAAGAAGAAAACATTCGGAGACTTCATGGCCCTGACGGTTGCAATGTGTACAGCTGAGGGTCGACCTATCACGAGAACGTGGGGCAGAGACGGCGGCGAATTGAGCAGATGAATCTCCTCTGGCAGCAAAGCCGATAGCGTCTGTTTTGGAGGTTTCACTTGCTCTAGAAATATTGAGATTCTGTTCTTCACGGATGACGCGAGAGTAGACTTGATTCAGAGACGGTAGAGGATCTTCACCGGTGATTGTTGAGCGAATTTGGCTGAAACGAGGAAGATCAAGACCGAAGAGAAACTGGTGCACTTGATCTTCTTCGCGTTATTTAGCAATGGCGGAAGCGGCTTCACAACTACACACAATCGTAGTTCGATAGTTTTGTAGCTCCTCCCATAGTTTTGACAAACGTCCATAGTACTCAAGGATTGGTTGCCCGTTTTGCTTGCATAAAGCAATCTCATCTTTCAAGACTTGTTTACGCACCCCATTACCGACTGAAAATCGGCTCTGAAGATTGTTCCACAAGGTAGAAGCTTCAGATACGAAAGAGAGGACGTAGTCCATGTGGTATGTGATTAGGAAATACGTCCCCAAACTGTTTTAAAAGCTTGGTGATCACCTGTGATAGCTCAATGCCTCCAAACATGTACACAAGACATCCTTAAAAACCATAAGTAGCACCAACTCTTTATAAGCTAGTGACCTTTTAATTTGACTAGACATAATCAGGAATTTCTTCTTAATGTTATCATATTTTTCTTTGTTCATTTAGCATTGTAGTTCATGCACTTATTTTGATGTCAATGGTGCTAATGTGAACTTACGTTTATTATAAAACTTAATGTAATGAATGGACGGACCGACCCATTATGTTCATTTTCCTTATCAAACTCCCATGGGCTACCAAAGAGTAGATGACCAGATTTCATAAGCCAGGTAAACAAGGTAAGCGGTTATTAGTGTAAAACAAACAGTACGTACAGTCAATAATCACAACAAACTTATTCACTGTTCAACAAAGGGTTGTTAAGAAGCTTTAGACCAAAACTAGAGACATTCTTAATTATAAGGATCTTTTTTAAAAAAAATGAAAATCATATGAAACTATCATAAACAAATTATATAAAAATAAATATACAAAATAAACACATACAGAGAAAATCATGTGCGTAGGACGGATACTCTCTAATAAGCATATAATTTATAGAAGGGAAAAATTAAAAAAAACGTTACTTGAAGTGCTTCTGGTTTGGAATCTTGGTTCGGCTTGATGTTCTGTGATGCGGTTCTTGAACTTCTTATACAGCTGCAGATTCATTCTAAGCAATTCAAGTCAGTCGTTTCCTAATTTTGAACATCATGTAGTGTCCTATGGTGGTAATATTGCCTTTCGTACAGAGCAATAATTAATACTTTACATATGGTCCATCATGATTCATGACATACGTAGAAGAATTTATATAGCAAATTATAATCGTTGGCATTTTCTCTATCATATCACATGAGAATAGATGGAGTGTGATTTTTTGCAAGTCTTGAATGATGATTAACTGAGAGCCAATTTCAGATCCTTATATTGTGACAAATGTCAAAGACACATCTTATTAGTACTACAACATATAGTACTCATACAAACCTTATCGTACATGGTGCATCTATGTGCACTAAATTCTTATTGAAAATTCAAGAAACACTTAGAAGCTTGGGATAAACCGTTTTTCAGATCCTTAAATGCTGCAAGGAAGCATTCACATTAGGAATTCTAGCAACATAGTGGTTGGAGGCTTGCGCAGTTGTTTCTCTGTACTTGGGAGGGTTTTCTTCAGACAAGAGTTCTTTGATCGGTCCATATAAACGCGAACTCGTAGGATGCACAAAGAAAGATGCGATTGAGATGCGCGGCTCTTTAACTTTGTTCGCCAAAGCCTTATGCTCCACGCTTACAAACTTGTCATTGGTTATAAGCTGCAAACAAAGTAAAGACCATTAAAAGAACACCAAAAAACAAAAAAAAAACTTATGGGTTTGATTCCATTTCCATAAACAAGAACTTGCCTGTAGAAGATCTCCAACGTTAACGATGAGAGATCCTGGAGTAGGAGCAACTGGGACCCAACCTCCATCATGTTGAATTTCAAGTCCTCCAATGTGGTCTTGAAGAAGAATAGTGATGAAAGTTCTGTCTGTGTGCTTCCTGGCGCCGAGTGTTCGGTCTGGCTCAGGACAGTGTGGATAGCAATGGCAAAGCATATATAAACCTTTTACACAATCCAAATCTTTGAGGTGATTGGGATTCAGCCCTAAAGCTTCTGATGCAAGCTCTAAGATTAACTCCGCTAACTTCATCACTTGCTTCGAGTACTCCAACATGATTTCCCTAAAACACTCACACCAGTAAAGTTGTTTAAAATCCATTCAATAATATTAAAGCAAAGCTTGAATCTTCAAACTAAAGTAAGAGAAATTTTATTTCGTACCCACAAATCTCTGGTAAGTCCTCAGGTTTTGGAGCATCAGGAGCCATAAAACAACTTAAGGTGTCTCTCCAGCTGGCAGCAGGAGCGTCATAGAAATCAGCGTTAGTGTTATACTTAAGCTTTTTGGTTTTGTCTCGTGTATAGAACGCTTTCCTCACTTCTGGATCTTGCTCGTGAAACCCACGAACCCCAGCTATCATCTTCTCCATGGTATCGAGTGGAATCCCATGGTTGACCGCCCTGAAAAATCCAAAAGTCTCCATCGCATGCTTAACCTTGGCAACCAAACTCTCCCGTGTGGCCGTGGATTCGAACAAGCCTCCTCCAAGATCGATCTCTGGGATCTTCACCGGTGAGGAGGGTTTAGGGTTTGCTGATACCAAGGCTTCCGGGTCATGGAAAATGCTTGGGATTTGTGTGATTCCGGTGTCCGCGAGACCCTTCACACCGATCTTCATCTGGTCGAATGCTGTTCGGTCGAATGTTGCCGCTACTGTGTCTTTCGACTCCATCGTCTTTCTTTCTTTTGGGTCTACAAACAGAACAAAGAGAGAAACTTGTGCTCTGTTTTGAAAACAGAGTATGTCTGTTTAAGGACGGAACTATGAGCGTTGCTTCTATTATGGAAATGAAATCAATGGACCACAGGTCCACAGCCACATTTAAAAAAACATTTCATATAAAAATAAGAGGCCACGTTTATCGTCCAATTGTATTCGTCGGTAGATTGCCGCTAACTTTTTTGACGTTTTATACAATTTTTTTTTTTTTTTAATACATATACAATAGATCTGATTTATCTGACATAAGATATTAAAATTAAAAAAATACTACATTAGAATAATAAGGAGCATAGTGATTTACATAATGGAGCATTTTTATGGCTTTCAAGTCACATTCATACTTTTTAGTTATCTCATTTATTGGTTCATTGGTTCAAGACTTCTTTTAAAACGAAATTTTAATTATAAAATCTAATGATGCTAAAATATTTACTTTTTTAAAGATATTATCATTAGTTCTTATGGATGGAGATGCCCATATTGTAAGAGAAGCTTATTCTTATTATTATTTGGGGTAGAACATGTATTTTGGAGTTATGAACGGCAGATTACTTTGATCTTAACTTTTAACAGAGAAGTTCAGTCGTTGTCGTAAGCTCAGTGACCGGAAATGACAATATATAAGGGCTTGAGATTTGGAGAGATGGATTAGAGAGTTTTGGGGATGAAAATAGAGAGAATTACGTGGAATGAAAAGGTTTTGAAAGGATATAGTGGGATGTATGTGGAGAAAATGGGGAGAAAAAACATTAAAAGCTTGAAGATGATTGAAAATGGTGATTGGATAAATTGATGATGATGTCAATTTGGATATTTGAATATCCAAAAAGTAAATATAAGGAAGCTCTCCCAAGCCTATCGCATAAGTTGTAATATACAGTTGCGAGAAAAAAAATCAACTTCTTTATTACGATTTATTAGTATGAGAGTGAAAGTAGATGAAATTTTTTACCATTATGTATACAATGACAAAGTAGATGAGATATATTATAGAGTTTTTGGATGAAAATAGAGAGATTTATATGGAATCGAAGGTTTGGAGAGGATATAGTGGGATTTAGGTGGAGAAAATGAGGGGAAAAAGCATTAAAAGTTTTAAGATGATTGAAAATGGTGGTTGGATTAACTGATTATGATGACATGTTTGTGAAGTGTAAAAAGTGAGAGTTGTTTGGACATTTGATTTAAAATAATAATAATAATAATAAATACAAAGAAAGGCTTCCAAACCTATCGCATAAGTTGCAATATACAGTTGTGAGAAGAAAAAAAATTATTACGATTTATTTGTAAAAGAGTGAAGTAGATGAAATGTTTTACCATTATGCATAAAATTACAATATACAAGAGTTTGAAATTTTGAGAGATTGATTATAGAATTTTTGGGATGAAAATAGAGAGAATTATGTGGAATATAAGGTTTGGAGAGGATATAGTGGGATTTAGATGGTGAACACAAATAATAAGTATTAAAAGATTGAAGATGGTTGAAAATGGTAGTTGGATAAATTGATGATAATAACATTTTTGTGAATAAGTGTAGAAAGTGATGGTTGTTTGGATATTGTGATTTTCGAAGAAAAAAATGTAAATAAAAATTAATGGCATTTTCATGACTATATGCAAATAATAAAACTGATACACAAAAAAAAAGTGTAAATATTTTATAAAAAAATGGGTATAAGTTTTGGGTTTTGGGTCACATGTGAAAACACTCATTGAAAATAGTATACAGTAAAACCTATATAAAGTAATAATGAAAATTTTGAAAATTTATTATCTTCGAAAATATTGCTTTATAAATAAATAAAATATTTATTAATTTATAAAAATATTTTTTTTAATACATAATCTTCGAAAATTATTCTCTATACGATAATATATTAAGAATTTAGAAATTTTTATTTGTTAATATAACATATATAAACTTGATATTATGATAAGTATTTTGGATATCGCAATGGAATATATATTAGTATTAGCTTATTTAAATATTTATATAAAATTTGATACATGATAAAAATAAAATAAAATGTTTTGAATAATTATAGCTATTTATGAAGTTGAAAATAATGTTTAGAACATATATAACAATTTTAGATGCATATAAAAATTGCATTATAAGTTTTTCATATAATAAAAAGTTAAAGATAAACTTTAAGTCATAGTTTCATAAATTTTCTTAAGCATATACTATATATTAATAGAATTATTACACTCACTCGTTATTGGGAACATATTTTTACATAGGAATGTCAAAAATATTATTATTTTTATTATTTTATCGCGTTTTGTTTATTTTTACATTGATCCGAGTTAGGACTGGAGAAATTTACTATTTTATTATAATTATTAATTAATGAAATAATACTTTATAGATGTTCTATATTTGTATTAAACTTTTCATTTATAGTTTTATTCTTTGATGAAAAAAAAAGTGTTTTTAAAATGGACAAGAGAAGATAAGTTTGAAAGTAAACATGATAAAAAAAAGTGTATTCATTACATCTAAATCTTCATGATAAAAAAAGTGTATTTATTACATCTAAATCTATAAATTGATCAACGACATTTCAAGCCACCGATATTTTAGGATATTTTTTTTATATGACTAGCCGACATTTGCTTTTCTGTCTTTCTTTTTTTGGTTTTCCATTCTCCTAAAAAAAACATAAATAAATCAACAATACAACTACGAAGTTACGAATACAATAAATACTAATATAGTGTTTGAGTAGCTAATTAGTGATGCAAAACGGATTTCAGAAAGAGAAAGCTCCTTTCTTCTCCGATCAATTTCGGAGTTTTTTTGTTGTATATACTTCTCCGATCTGATTCGGTTGTTTATTTCCGGCTATGTCCGGTTGTAATTCCGACTTAGTTCGGTTTTATTTCTGTTTAATCTTAGTTTTAGGTGTCCCTCCTTTTCTGAACAAGGCTTTATTTCTGTGTGAATAGTCAGATCTGCTTTAGTGAAGCCAAGATCCGATGTATTCTGACGGATTTTCTCACTACATTATATGCTCTTATCATCTTTTTGTTGGGAGTAAAATCTTAGCCCCTCCGCTGAAGGGCCGTATTTACGGTTGTGGGTGGAGTATTCTAAACATCAAGGTGGTCGGAGATGTGTTTCCTGCAATAGTGAAAAAATTTAGTCATGAAGAAGTCGTATCTGTTCAGATATGGAGTCTGTTACAATATTTGAGGTTCAAGGTCGGATTCGGTGGCTTAGCAGAGTGATTCCGAAGGTCGAATCCGCCAAGATTCGCCGGACATGCGGTAGCTTGACGGCGATGACTTTTCCGCTTCCCCTGTCATGAAACACGTAAGCTACACGTGTCCATCATGCATAGATCTTATCTCATTAATGTAAATGGGTTTAGGATTTGGGCTTATTTTGTAAAATGGGTTGTTGGGTTCAAATATTGTAATTACTTTACCCATGTAAATGCAAAACATTTCATTTTGGCTCCACCTAACTACCGACTCTGAACCAGCCAGCGTTGTTTCCTTCTCTAAGTCATTCTTTTCAGGGTTTTATCAATAGATATCAGTAAAAAAAAAAAATTAAGAATCTGACCATATCTATTGATGGGATACTATTTCTTAGATACAATATACAATATTGTCTGAATTGCCCCTATATTACTATAGCCGAGTTTTTCAGCTTGTGTACTACACGGCTTCGATCTAAGCCGTTTGATAAGTTTTCTAATTTTAAAAGAAAAATAAGAAAAAGATAAGAGAAACAGAGGTCTGGCTATCGTCATTTTCAGGACCACGGTTTATGGAACTCATCTGTTTAACAGAGTTAGACTGTTCTGATGAATAAATAGAGAGAGTATATATAAATCGAGTTCACAGTTATTTTCTCGAGCTCATCTGATTCACAAATCTGCATCGTGAACTGATAGAGAATATACATACAAGGTTAGTTTCTCTTTAATTGAAGAAACTGCAATTTATTGTTTTTCTCTGTTGTTATTGGATAATCTTTCAATTGATGGTTGTTTCTGGTTTAGTTCTGTAATTAGTCATGCGATTATACGTCATAGTTAATTGCATATGTAGTTCTGCAAATTAACACCTATGTTAATTTTATTTATATTTATGTCAAATTGTAGAATGGAGGAGATGGGATTGCCAGAAAGATTGTTCGAGTCTGGATTTGAACCTACTGGTAGAAAAAGGGTTCACAGTTATTTTACTCTTAGATGGGTTGAGCTTATTAAACCAGCAATTGATCCAGATTACATCGACATGTTGAGTCAATCACAGTTCAAGAGTTTGATGAAAATGGGAGACCATACTTTTTCTGTAATGTTTGTCCATTATCTCCTTTCAAGACAGTTGGTGACCAAAAAAAAGTATGAGCTGTGGTGGTTGTTTTCTGGTAAACCGGTGCGTTATGGTATAGATGAGTTTGCTATTGTGACTGGTTTGAATTGTGAGGAACCAGATGTTACCATTTGTAAGATAGCGAAGAAAAGCAAAGCGATTAAAGGAAGGAAAAAGAAAGTTAATGTGGGGAAAGAAAGAGGTCCTATGTGGGTTGAATTGTTCGGAGAATCTGTTGATCCCACTGTTTCTTGGATTCTAGACAGGTTGTTATTAGGTAAGAAATACAAAGATCCAATAACTCGGTTTAGACTGGCTTTGTTGCTTTTAGTGGAAGGTATTTTGTGTCCTAGAAGCGGAACATCTAGTATAAGAGCTGAAGTTGTTGAGATGGTTTCTGATGTTGAAAAATTCTTGAAATTTCCTGGAGGCGTGAGTCTTTTATTATGTCTGTTGAGAGTGCAAAGGCACGTACAGCATCCCAATATGCTCAGAGCACAACCGCTATTCAAGGATTTGTGCATGCTATTGTACTCGTTGCTGCTTGTTCTTGTCCAGAAATTGTTAAATATGAAGCTGCAGAAGATTCTTCATCAGCGGATGAAGAAAGCATTGAACATGTTGTTAAATTTGTTGTTGATAGTAGGTTGATGGTCAATGTTGTATCAGCTAAAGCAGTGGATCAGAGAGGCCAGGTTTGTATTTCATGAAACTTTTAATTTAGTCATATTTAAAAATGATTTATGTTTGTAGCATTTCTTGAGGACTAACAGTTCATTTCGGGGAAGGGTATAAGGTTTAGTTTTGGGGACAAATGTTTAGTTGATTGGGGTTGAAGTTAGGCGGTTTAGGGTTTAGAATGGTTGGTTTTGGGTATATTTTTGTGTGGTTTTGGGTTTATAGCATTTCTTGAGGACTAATCGTTGATTTTGTGGAGGGTATAAGGTTTAGTTTTGGGGTCAACTGTTTAGTTGATTGGGGTTGAGGTTAGGCTGTTTGGGGTTTAGATTGGTGGGTTTAGGGTATATTTTGTTGGGGTTTTGGGTTTATGTTTTAGGGTTTAGAATATTATTGTTTGAGGACTAACAGTTGATTTTGTCCTTCATTTTTAGGCTTCTGTGAGATCGACACTTAGTGATTCAATAAGTGGCAGTATTTCGAAGAGTGTATTTGATGATGAACAAGATGATCCTCAAGTACTGCATATGCTTGCTTTGATTAACGAGGATTTCCCATTTGAACATAATTCATGGTGTGGAGGTGTGAAAGCATGTGAGGCTGTTGAAACGAAGGTTATAGATAGTAATGATGGTTATGCAGAGGTAGAAGTGTCTACGGAGATATATACTGCTCATGCACCATGTTTATCAAAGGTTGTTAATCCTAGTACTATGTGTACTGCCGTAGCTGATGATCGTCTTGGTAAACATTTCGGAAAATTAAAGGATAATGGAGATCGAGTAGAATGTGTTGATGTTTCTGCTCAGTTAAAAAATTTAGCTGATGCATATGAAGATCGGACAGCGGAAATGTTAAGAGGTGTTTCTGCTAGTTTTGAGGTTCATGTAGATAAAGTTTTTAAGAAACTTAAAAGCGAGATTGAAGAGTTTATGAGGAAAGAAATAAGAAGTATTAGTCATGCGCGTCATCTATAGTCATCCACGGAGGATACTGGTAAGCGAGTTTGAGAGTGATGTTGGTGTTTTTGATTTGTAGTTTGTTGCGCACGTCATCGATAAGATCTCGAAAGTTGAGACCATCTTTGAGAACGACTGTGGCAAAACCTTCTACTGAATCTGTTTCAAAAACCCAGTTTCCTGTCTCTTCTCTTATCCATGTTCCTAAGAGGAGATTAACTTCATCTTGAGGAGATTTCTGAAAAAAAATATGTAAGATTTCTTTAGAATTGAATGAACCGAGAGTTTGTCAATATTTGAAGCTAATATACTATTTCTACTAATCGAGACAAACATATTTATAGTTTCAGTTGGCTATAAATGGTCCCTATCTACGAAACTGAAACGGATATAAGTGAGAAGGATTGTGTAATTACCTGTGTACTTGGACTGCCTTTATTAAGTGCCCAACTATTCTCTTTATCAGACATGTTAAAGATGAAGCAAAAAGTACAGTACAGGTGAAAAAGAAATAGTATGGTACTTATAAAGGAATAGATGATAGTCGTGGAAACCAAAGGGTCCTTTTTCAAGTGAGAAACGTGGCCAAATTATATACACATGAAGAAATAGGAGGGAACTTTAATTTTGAAATTAATTTTAATTGGATAGGTTATGATATTGATTGGACTTGATTAACTCGGCTTGCAGTACACTTGTCATCGGCTTCCCACAAAAACTGCCGACTAAAGAAGAGTGGCAAAAGTGTCTTTTGCTGGCGCGTGCAATACGCGATCCAATTTCCTTTTGTAATGGATAGTTTCTAAATTAATAGGCCCAATATGGCTAGTTGGCAAATTAATCCTTCTTTTCCTCCTTTGATTTTCCTTTCTCTTAAACCATAAAGGTAGAATTGAAATATATATTTACTGACTGTTCGAAAAAGTCACAATCTTAAAACAAGTTTAATTTTAGCTCCATCTACCTACATCAAACCAAACACGCATGTCCTTCTCAAAATCGTTGTTCTTTTGTTTTTCGCTTCTCTTAAAAGAAAAATCATAATTAATCAACTGTACAGCTAGTTATTTCCTACACATAAGTCAAACATATACCAATCGACAGTTTGAATATTGGCACATAAGTAGACTATATTTGGTATAGTTGTCAATCATATTTTTTGGATATAGTCTACTATGTTAAACAAAAATTATACTGCGCAAAATATTATTAAAAGTAATCAACCAGTATTTATACGATATTTGCATATAATCTTCGCATAAATATTTGATCTAAAAGATTAATTTTAATGGAAAAAATATGATTGACAACTATACCAAATATAGTCTCCTATATGAGTATGCATCCCAACTAAAATATTAATTTCTCTCTTTCTAAAAACTTGATATTTTGAAAATTTTTTTTTGTTCCACAAAACTTGAGTTTTAGATTTCTTTTTTATTGTTTATGAAATCCAAAAATATGTAACATCCGTAAACCAAACTATATCTCTTCTCGAGGTGGTGTCAAGCGACACCAGGAGGGTGTCCGTTGACACCAATAGTTAAAATTCGATTCCAATTTAATTTAAATGAATTGATTTCCGGTTTGGACCGATTAGGGCAAGAAAAGCTTTAGGTCCGCGAATAAAAGAGCCAATCGTCTTGTTCTTTTGGAGTTTTGTCGTTTTGTGGAAGAGGAGAAGTTCTAGAGGCGATTTGGTGGATTTGTGGTGTTCTTTGGCGAATATGAGGCTGATTGTTGCTGTTCTTCGCCATTCTTTGTTGTTTGTCTCCCCCTTTCTCTAATTTAATCCGATTTAAGGTAAATACGTGATTATAGGTTTGTGATTCGCTAAGATTTTGTGGTGTGATATGTCTTTGAGTTGTTCTTGAGTTAATGCTTGTTTTGATCGATTTCGGATGTTTAATCTCTTGGATTTCATGTTTTTGTGTTGATTTCGTGATTTGGGGCTCGGGTTAGCGAGTCGATGTCGATCGACACAACATTTTTGTTGTTGTTGTTCGTTATATTACTGTTTATTGTTGTATGCTTGCTTAGTGTCTCACGTTATTGGTATGTAGGTGGGATGATCGTCTCACTAAGTATTTATGATAATATTTAAGCATTTTTTTCATATTGTGATGCAGGTAAAAGAATTATGTGATCGAGGAATCAAGACCGAAAGAGAGTATAATAGGATTTTACTCTTTTTAATGTTTGAGTGGTTTAGATAAACATGGTGTTTGCTAGCATTACTTATAATTATTTATTTATTTATTTTATTGAATTGAGAATTCAGTTGAGTTGATTTATTAAAAAAAAAATGACTTGATTGTTTCAATATTGTTGAATTGCTATTGGTTCATATTAATAATAAAATGGCTAGTAAGAAAAAATGATGCACTTAAAAATTATGTATTAGTTACTTTTTAATTAAGTAAAAATTGTTTTTAGAAACAGAGCAAATATATTCATACCTTGACCGAAACATTATTTTTGCATGCTTACATACACTAACAGCTATAGATTGTGCAGATTTGTGTAGATTGGGTAAAACATACATGAATCCTATAACAACAACAAAAAATCATTTGTCTGCATGACTAAATCTAAATAAACAATTAGAGCACATTAAATGGAATATTCTTTAACAACAAAAAACAAATTTGAGCACATTTCTCCATGTATACTCATCGTGACGAATATGACTTTTGAGTGTATCAAGACAAGCATTTGCGGTGGAAAGCATATGCGGTGCGTGCCTATGTAACATTTTTAATTAACAAATACCACACCCATCATAGAGAAGATGACTCTTGAGTGTATTATTTATTCTGTTTCAAAATATAAAGAGTTTTAGAGTTTTTATTTTTGTTTTAAAATATAAAAAAAATTAGAGTTTTTTTGCAAAATTAAATGTGTTTTTGTTACTTTTAATTATTTATATTCTGTAGATTTTTTTCATTGGTTGAAATATTTTGAAATTAATGGTAAAATATATTTTATTTTAAAAAGTATAAAAGTTAAATAATTTTTTAATCTATGTACAAAACTTTAAACCCCTATATTATAAAACAGAGGGAGTATTAAAAAGACAACGCACAAAAAAAGCAAAGAATGTGACTCTTGAGTAAATTTTAGTATATTTTTGTTAGCGTTGAGTTAGAGCAGTGTGCAGAAATGCAGCGATAACAAAGATTCCAACTAACAATTATTATCGTCTCCAAATTCACAAAAGTACATACAAATCTAAAATTTCAAACCAAATATAATCTAAAACTACAAATCTCACTTCTTCAAAATTAATAAATTAATAAATCTCACTTCTGCAAGAGCATTATTGTTACTAATTTAAATCAAACTAAACTTAAACTTAAACATAACTATAATAGCAATCAACAAATATCATTTAAGTTTCTTTAATATTTTATTGTCTTGTTAAATTAGTTTATAATTAAAAGCCCCGCGCGGGTTTATTATACAATTTTTGAAATAAATCATAGAAAAATATTAAATAAATTTGACATTTTAAAAGTAAGTAGATTAATATTAAAACCCGATAAAAGACCTCTAAATAATATTAGATTGGTAATCTTTTTACATTTTTATTATAATTGACATATTTTCTGAATTCATGATACGAAAAATGAATTAATTTGTTATCTTTTTACTTTTATCTAAAATTGAAAGACTTACACATGTGTAAGTTTGATTGATTGATTAATTCGTGAAAATTTTATTATTCATTGAAGAGATTTCGGTTGATGAAATTTTTTTTAAAATTTTTTTACCTAACAAAAAAATTAAACTATTAAAATTAGAATATCAGTTCATTATAAATTTTTCCTTTTAATATTAGTTAGTTGCTCGATAATTATTTTATTAGTTTTCTATTTATATTGTTTTTCAGTTTTGTTTTTGACTCAGGCCATTATAAAATTCCTTTCCATTATTAGTTGTTTTTTCTAATTATTTTGTTAGTTTTTTATTTATTTTATACATTTTTCCAATTTTCTTGTGTTAACACTTGTTTTCAAAATATTAGACACAAGTAGCAACAATAATTTTGATTTGGATCCAACTGATCTAGAGTTAAATATTCTTCATTGATATCATGAACTTTCAAATACATTATATTTATTTCTTAATGAGAGAGAAGTTTAATCAAAAGATAGAATCACACAATTAAATCATGAAGGACTATAGCTTACTATATATTATTATTTTTTTCCTTTTCGTATTTGAAATATGTTTTACTTTTCCTTTTCGTAATGGATGTAACAATTTTTTTTTTTTATTAATGAGAGTTATTTTTCCTCCTTTTCTTAATATAATATATATATATATATATATGTTACCTAACCTTTTCATCAAGTAATAGAAGTTTTTTTATCAGCAGACTGCAGATTAAAATTACAAATTTCGATGATGTTTCCTTCGGCCATCTGATCTCCAAAATTTTGAAGTAGTGAATGATGCACAAAAACTTGAATTGTGTTTTCCTGTTTCAAACAAAAGTAAAACTTTAATGTTAATCAATGTTATAATAAGATTATCTATATCAATATAATAAGATGTTACTAACCTTTTCATCAAGTAATAGAAGCTTAACTCCCATAAGAATATTATTTTCTTAGGATTTCTAGCTTCCCACTTTCGAATAACACGTACTATAGTACGGCGATAATTTCGATTTCGATCCAATTGACCTAGAATCAAATAATCTCCACTGTTCTCTTGAACTTTCAAAGATATGATTTTAAAATTAGAGAAAGAGAATCAAAGAGATTTGCTGAATTTGCTTTGATGAGTTTGTGAATGAGAAAAAGAGAATACAGTACTCTCTTTTTTATAGGGGTTCATGTAACCAATTTCATACAGTTTTATGATATTAAGATATGTGTTACGATCTTAACGGACGTAACATTAAAAGTAACACATGTCGCAATCCTATATTTTATAAAAATCCTATGTGTCGCAACCACGTTGTGCGCATCCAACTTTATATAATAAAATCCTAAATTTGTATAAAAAAATGTTTTTCTACTATTACATTGTTAACAATTGATAGATTGACCCCTTAATTTTTTTGTGGAAAATGGGCCCGTAAGATTTAGTTTGATTTATTGTTTAAACCAACGCCCCTTAATCTGGTATTTTTTTTTAAGATGTTAACTTCACATTTCATCTCCAGTTTTAACGATAGGCCCAACATTATAGCCCAAAAGGTTATCGTCGTATCGTATGTAAAGATCACAGCCTTCACGTGCCTTAACCACCGAAGCAAACTTCCGATCGTCTTTACCGACTAGAGATCCGATCGGAAAATACAACGAAGACGAATATCAAATTCTCCAAGCAAAATGGATTACCTTGGGATTGATCTGAGCTGCGCGATCGGATCTCTCCGGGACGGCGAGTTCCCGGAGAAAGATTGTCTTCTTCCTCTGATTTCAAAGCTTCTCGGTTACTTCCTCGTCGCTGCTTCCATCGCCGTCAAGCTCCCTCAGGTATATCAGTTTAAATTACTTCCGTCTACAAATTTCTCACCCTAAATTCCCCTATTTTTGACTTAATGCTAGTTGTTGCGCTTATCAGATAATGAAAATCCTGCAACATAAGAGTGTACGAGGCCTAAGTGTTGTGGCATTTGAGCTCGAGGTCGTTGGTTATACAATTTCTCTTGCGTATTGTCTTCACAAAGGCCTTCCCTTTTCGGCTTTTGGCGAAATGGCTTTTCTTTTGGTCCAAGGTTTGTTCCACAATTTATATGACCAATTTTTTGATTATATGTTCATTGTTATATTATGGCTTTGTTTTAACAGTCTTTTTGTATCTGATTTTTCGTTTTGAAGCTTTGATCTTGGTTGCTTGTATCTATTATTACTCTCAACCAGTCCCTATGACAACTTGGGTCAGAGCACTCTTGTATCCTTTTCTAACTTACGAGAATTTTCTTGAACTTTTGATTTGAGACTGTTCTTGTGTATTATTGGCTTTCCTTAACATTACCTTTAAAGATATTGTGCTGTAGCACCAACTGTGCTTGCTGGTCAGATTAATCCTACGCTCTTCGACGCTCTTTATGTAAGAACAAACTCCTTATCTCATTCTCTTAAAGCTCTCTGTATGTGTGTGTGTGTGTGTGGGATACATTTTGATAGTATATCACTTTGTTGTAGGCTTCACAGCATGCGATATTTCTCTTTGCAAGACTCCCTCAGATATGGAAGAACTTCAAAGTACGTCTAAATCTAGAATCATTATTTACCCTATTTTGTGGTTGATGAATCTTGTTGATGCATCCTCTTGTTTGACTCAACAGAACAAAAGTACAGGAGAACTTAGTTTCTTGACTTTCTTCATGAACTTCGCCGGATCCATCGGTAAGAGAGATCATTTCATGGATGTCTCTTACAGTTTCCATTGGATATGTAATAATTCTCTCATCTAATATTTATTTGTTTCTTTCACTCGCAGTGAGAGTGTTCACCAGCATCCAGGAAAATGCCCCAAATAGCAGTATCCTTGACAGCTAAAATTTGCTTGTTGTTATATAATGATGTATGTTTTTATATGCTCTATATGTAGAAAGCTTTCCTTTTCCTTAACTTGTGTCCATAGTTCTTACGGGTTTTGCTCTTGGAGTCTTCACGAATGGAACTATCCTGAGTCAGATTCTCTTGTATCAGAAGAAGCCTGCTGAGGCAAAGGAGAAGAAAGCCAATTGAAACGTAGAAACATGTCTTCAATCAAATACTCATGGTGTAGGCTCCAAAAAGAGATTAGCAAATGTTTGCAGTTATAGTATTTGTTTCTTTTATAACCTCAGACTTTGCCCATAGATGGTACGGATTCGGCTTGATTCTCATACTAAAGATTATGTTTGAGGTCTGCTTGATCCACTTTCTTCTGTGTTGTTATAATAGCTTAATCCTAGAGATTTGGTTTATATATATCCAATATTGCAATGCACTTCCAGTGGTTTTGTTGAGAGATTAATTGGGGTTAATGGTAACATTGATCACGAATCTTTTATTTAAATTGGATGCCACATTGTTCAGTTATTGATCCGAAATGTATTGTAGGTAAATGTTTTGAAAATTCTCTTTGATTGATTAAGTTTTTTGGAAAGGTTCAGAGTTGATTTTGATGGTTGATTGTAGTGTTTGTATACTTTTTCACATTTGATATCTGCCACACATGCTACATTACTCACCTATTCGGATATTGATTTCCCCCCTTAAATTTCAATTGCTGTGCGCATCTAACACCATTATTACAAGATATCTTAGCTGATGTATGTCATTTTAATTATGTCCGTTAAGATCGTGACACGTGTCTTAGGAAAAAGAAAAACTTAAAAAAAATTCCAGAAAAATGTTAATTAAAAAAAACGAAAAATTTAATTTAATCAAAAAGGAAAAAATAATATTTGTCAAATCCAAACAGAAAAAGGTTTCCATTCATCAATTTTTTATTATATAAAGTTGGATGCGCACGACGTGGTTGCGACACATAGGATTTTTATAATTTATAAGATCGCGACATGTGTCACTTTTAATGTTACGTCCGTTAAGATCGTGACACATGTCTTAGAGAAAAAAAAAAAAAAAAATAATAAAAAATTTAGATAAAGGAATTTTTTTAAAAAAAATATTACAGTTAAAAGAAATAAAAATATATTTGTCATATCCTAATAGAGAAAGGTTTCCCATTCATCAAATTAATATTATCCAAACAAATAATAAAATCAAAATAATGTAATAAATAAAATCCTATTTGTACATGGAATATGTTATGTAAACTAAATTTCCTATAACTGCATGTAATAGGTTACTTGAACCCCTATAAAAGAGAGTCAAGTTTCTCAATCATAAATTCATCAAAGAAAATTCATCAAATCCCTTTGATTCTATTTCTCCAATTTAAAAATCATGTTTTTGAAAGTTTTGCGATACATAGGATTTTTATAACTGACAAAATTGCGACATGTGTTTTAGAAAAAAAAAATTCTGGAAGTATGAAGATCGTAACATGTGTCATGGAATAAAAATAATAAAAATTAATATGTATAAGACTAACTAAAAATTAGAAAAACAGATAACAAATAATTAAAATGAAAAAAATAATACATCCATTAAAAGTAATAAAAAAACAGGAAACAAATAATTTAAATTCTTTTGTTACATCTATTAAGAAAAGGAAAAAAAATCCATTTCGAAAAGGAAAAATACCAATATATAGTATTTATAATGGTCTGAGGCAAAAACAAAATTGAGAAAGAAAAAATATAAATAGAAAACTAACAAAATAATTATCAAGCAATTAACTAATATTAAAAAATTATAATTGATATTCTAATTTTAAATAGTTTGATTTTCAATTTTTGTTAGGTAAAAAAAATTGAAATAAAGATTTCATCAATTAAAATCTCTTGAATGGAATAATAAAAGTTTGATTAATTAATCAGTTGATCAGATTTAGACATGTGTAAGTCTTTCTGTATTGGATAAAAATAATAGTAAAACAAATTAATTCATTTTGTCATATCATAAATTCAAAAGAAAAATCAATTACAATAAAAATGTAAAAGTATTACCAATCTTATTTTATTTAAATATTTTTATCGGGTTTTCAATATTATTTTGTTTACGTTTAAAAATGATCAAATTTTGTTTAATATTTTCCATGCTTTTATTATAAAATCTTAAAATATACCCGCGTATACGCGGGCCTTAATCTAGTAAGTATATATATATATATATGACAATTAATAAGCATTATTTATTTATTTTCTTTTCAAGATTGTGCCTTTTCTTCTTGCAATGAAATTAATTTAGGTTTACTTGCTTAAAAAACTCAAAACTTTAACCAAAGTCTACGGCCATCATGTTACGATATCGTAGTGGCCTTAGTGGGTTCACTAACCGCACATGAGCCTTTGACATTTCTCTATGGTAGAAGAACTATCAACCACTTCTCTATTAGAACATTTCGAATGTGATTCCAATGAACCAAAGGTCCAAAACGAATTGATAGTGTAAATCATGAAAGGGGATGAGAAAAATCTTGTAGAAAATGGAAATATAATACACTAAAAGTATAGTTAAAATGATACAAATACTAATAGTAAAGAAACCTATTTTGTGTTTCTATTTCAAGTGATTTTCACTACTTTTGTATGTACAGAAGCCTAGTTAAGTAACATTTGATTACAAAAGTATATGTTAGTAACACAAACCGATCCTTAATACAACTTTTGAAGGAAAAGGATAATATAACATTTACATATACAAGCATTGATGTTATTTTTAGTTTTGAAATGGCCTTTTATGAATTAGTTCTGATGTTCATCTTTGTTTTGTTCTTATATCTCCAGCATGACCAAGATCATCTAGCGTTATGAAATACGACATGCTGATGAACTTAGAACCTTGGCAAGTAACTAGTTGATCGAACATCGCTAACATCTTCTTTAGGATGAGGTTGTTGATGTCGTAGAGAGATAGAAGCGCTGGTTAAACCTGAGATAAGATAACTGAATGTTTTGAGCCTGTCATGCCGAATTAAGTCTCTATACATATAGGGTTTATTCAATAATGATTACAAAATTTTAAGTGATTCTGCCAATTATTCAGATCATGTTTCTAGCTAGTTTGACATAATCCTTAATTTCGTGCTGCAGACAGAACTGATGATGGAGTGTGTGAAGACTCTTCAAGAAAAGGTTAGTGCTTTGGTTTTCAATTTTTCATTCGCCATATAGGCTATGCTGATTCTTGAATCTTCTTAAACTTTGAGTCTGCAGGTCATCAAACCATGTTTAACCATGTTTATGTCGTTGGTCTTGTCATAGTTCCTTATTCGTTTTTGGCTTCATTGAAATAAAGAAAAAATCTTTATCAAATTCGACATTTCCTCCTTAAAAAACGACGAGGATCGATGTAATATGTTTCGACAAGGAAATCTGTCTGCAGATATAGGCTTTAGAACTTGTTAGAAACTAATGGACTTCAGGTGTGATCTTACACAAACAGGAGAAATTGCTGATAGAAGAGAACCAGATTCTGGCTAGGCAGGTAACAAAGCCACAATCTCTTACGCGTCTAGAAACTAATTACCCTTTAAAGTAGGCCTGGGCGTTCGGGTTTTGGTTCGGGTTCGGGTTTTTTCGGGTTGCTAAATTTTAGACCCATTCGGGTTTAGGAAAATTTCGGTTCGGTTTCGGTTCGGTTCTTGTCAGGTTCGGGTCGGTTCGGGGCTAAATTTTATGGACCCGTTCGGGTTTATACAAATTTTGGTTCTTATTCGAGTCTCATTCGGTTCTGATTCGGGTTGGTTTTTATCGGTTTTTTAACCGAATATCCAAAATCCTACAAAATAACCGAAAAATCTTGTCTTTACTCCATCTTCTACTAAATGTTTTTGGACTTTTCGAATATTTTGGTTATTTTGTTCTAAATATAACTATTATATTAGATTTATAATTGTAATTTTAGTTATTTTTATTATTATAAGCCTAAAAATAACTAATATTTTGGATATATAATTATATTTTGGATATTTCGGGTATCCATTCGGTTCTCGGTTCGGTTCGGGTTCGGATTCGGGTTTTTCGGGTATAAAATTTTTTGGACCCATCGGGTATTCGTCTTGGTTCCGGTTCGGTTCCATCTTTTTCGGGTCGGGTTCGGTTCGGGTCTTCGGGTCCGGGTAAAATGCCCAGGCCTACTTTAAAGTTCAAAATGGATATTAGATAGATACGATACACATATACTGCACTTGCATAAATGCATTATGCATATACGTAGATATGAAAGTTCATAGACCTTTTTTTTATCTTGAGTGAAGTCCTTAGTTCAATTTGTTAAATTTTGCTACAAAGTAATAATGATTTTTACATTGTAGTAATAATATGTAGAAAAGATATGTAAGGAAGTTTCTTACGGATGGGGAAGATGACGTCGGAAGATAGCTCCTGTACGGCTGTACCTATCCACCAGCGGAGACTCTCTCGCTGCTCAAGTAACCACCATCATCAACCAATGTGTTACGTGTATTGTTTTCATTAGTTAGTGCCTTACTGAATGTGTGTTTCCTTAATTAGTGGTACGGTTACTTGCCCACGATTCACGTAGTAGTTAGTTTACTTGTTAGTGGAGATATGAAGAGAAAATTTATGTTACTTGTGTCTTAAGTCTTTGAGACTTGTGTTGTTCTTGATCATCATTGGTTTGTCCTAATTTGGGATCTAACAATTGGTATTAGAGGCTATTTCAGTTATGGATTCATGAAGAGCTTATTAGCATAAATGGAGATATGAAGAGCTCTTTCGGTTATGGATTCATGAACGGTTTTAGAGACAATGAACGGTTTTAGAGACAGAGGCTTTTAACAGAGAAAAAAAAAAAAAAAAATCTAGAGTTAAAACGGATCTTCTAGTTGTATTTCTTTTAAGTAATCTGTCCTTTTTGTAAGTAATGCTTTTGAGGTACTCGAAAATTAGTTTCCAGAAGAAAAAAAATCGAAAAGATAAATTTGGCATAAAAATCTTGTCGTAGCTTATTAGCATGTAGCAAGTTGACGAAAAGACTAGCCCTACTTATAATATGATGGGTCCGCCATATGCTCTTGCACGTTTTTGTTTTCAACAAAAGGATGGGCCTAGATTTCTAATTTTCTAAGCTCAGGCCCCGACAAAACTAATAACAGGACGATTACGACATCGTTTAACGAGTCGGAACCCGCTTTACGGGAGAGAGTCAACTCGAAATGTATTTATTAACGTACAGTTGTCGCATCAATTAATTGTTCGATTTTGTTTTCCTTTTTTTCTCGGCTAATTAGTTGTTGGATACTGACATATGATGCAACTAGACAAGTATAAATCCAAATCCCCACTTCGTCCCTTTTTTTTTTTTTAAGTACAAATTTGCATCTACTGGATTATGGATACCGTAAAATTTTGACAAACATGGTGAAATAAAATGAACAAGAATTTCCAACATTCAACGTATTCGGTTTTGTTTTCTTTAATCATTAAATGAAAAGATAATAATTGTAATAAGGGTTAATTTGCCCAATAATCATATTGAAAACACAAATGAGAATATAGCCATAGTAAATTCATAATTTAGAGAATAACCATGGCCACAACCATTTGACACTTTAGTCCTTATGTTTAATGATAAATAACCATAATGCCATGCTACATCATTTTCTCTTTAATATTTTTCCATTTTTTATTACATTAATCTCATATTAGCTATTGATTAAATTTAAATTCATTTAAAAAAAACAGATTAAATTCATAATGTTATACAACAAAACCAGATTTTTTTTCTTTTTTTTGGTGAGTAAACCAGATTTTTTTTCTGCATATAACATGTTTTGTTTTTCTTAAACAAACTAAAATTTAGTAACATAATATTTAATTAATGCTAATGAATATATAATGGATACTATACTATATAATTCAATATGTTACTATACTATGTACTAAACAAAATACAAAAGAAAAACAAAAGGAAGGAAAAAAAAAACCTAAACCCTAAATCTAAAAAACTAAACCCCAAACCTTAATATATAACCTTAAACCCAAGATATGAACCCAAAATCCAAAACAAAATATCCATAATTTAAACCTTAAATCCAAAAATCTAAACCCTAAACCCAAAGTCTAAACCCCAAATCTAAAAACTAAACCCAAATATATAACCCTAATCCCAAAAATTAAACTCTAAACCCAAAAAACTAAACCCTAATTCAGAAAAAAAAATCATAATCCTAAAATTTATACCCTAAATCCTAACTCCAAAATTAAAAGAGAAAATAGTTTAAATCATACATATTTTGTTTTAATTTAACTAAAGGCTAATTTAGGTAATATTGTAGAATAAATATTGATTGTACTCTAACCAAACCAATCATATGGTTATCAACTTAATTATGGTACTCTGTGCAATATCCCTTGTAATAATAACTGAGATTTTAATTGAATGACACAAGCAGGATAAAACGCGCCCGAATGGAATTCGACATGCGTTACTACGTGTCTAAACGCATCGTTTTCGAAATTGTTATTGTTTTTTTTTCTCTCTCTTCTGTTTTTTTTCCCCGGCGTTCACTCTTCTTCCTTTTAACAAAACAAAAACATGCTTGAATTTTATCTAAAAAATATTAAAAAAAGGATAAAAAAGCAGAGGCGTTCACTCTTCGACCAGTTAGACGAACATCAGGATCAAATTAGGGCGTAAGACTGGACGGAGAAAGAAGCTATGGGAAGAAGAAAAGTGGAGATCAAACGAATTGAGTGCAAAAGCAGTCGACAAGTCACCTTCTGTAAAAGACGAAATGGTCTCATGGAGAAAGCTCGCCAACTCTCAATTCTCTGTGAATCCTCCACAGCTGTTGTCGTCTTCTCCAATACTGGAAGACTCTATAGCTCCTCCTCCGGCGATAGGTAACACTATTTTTTCCTCTCTCGTTAGAATTTCTCGAGAAAAACAGAAACTTAAAAACTAGGGTTTTTCCTTTTCCCCTTTTGACTCTTTAAAAGCTGATCTTCTTAGTTTGTCCATAGCCATAATCGATGTGTTGCTTTAATCAAATTTAAGATTAAAACAATGTGGTGGCCAGAGATGTTCTTATTTAGTGGGTGTTTGTTTTTGATTTTTTTTTTTATTGTTTTCATTTGTTGTAGAGATTTGTTTTTGTTGTTGACTGAGAATATTATTGCATGCACTCGGAGAGATTTTTCTACACGTGGTAATCTGTACTTTATAATGTTCGTCTTTTTTGGACTTCAACTCTTCTTAATTTTTGTGTACTTCCTCTGTCGTTGACTCGTTGTAGACTTGTGGAGAACAACAGTGCATTGTTTAATTTTGAGGGTAATTTAGGCTCATTATCCCCCTTTTACTAAATTCTATGCACTTTCGATGAATTATTGGAGTTAATTAATGCTGTGAATCAAGAATCTCTAGACTGGAACGGTTGCCACTTTAATGTATGCAAATTTTGGTTTATTGGTTAGTTACAAGTGTATCAAGATGATTTATGATAATATCTTATTATTGATTTTGATTCTTAAGTAAAAGATTTATAGTTGACTTTGATGGTCAAATGTAGTGCTTGAATAACTATAAATAAGACTCTAGTTGACAGTAATCACACATGATGCATTACTCTTACAATTTTCGATATTCTAAACTCTCAAATCTTTGAAATGACACGGCAGTGACACTAGCACAAACCACTAAACTACAAACTTTATCATCGATTTTCTCCATGTTTGATTAGAAGCATATAACAGCTAACACGATGCATGTGTACTATATCAGTAGCGCTTTGTTTTCTCTCGTTTTGCAATGCATTCTAATTTATATTGTTGAGTTATTGGGTCTCATGGGCCAGAGAGTCTGCGCCTCTAGTACCTTTTGGTTTAATACATACTATCTTGTGTTTTCCTCTAGATTACCTTTTCCTGTGTGATTAAAATTATCCGAATTGAGAGTCCTTTTCCTATGTTAAGTTGGTATCTCTTTGTCACCATATATAAAGCTTGTTAGCTTTGCCTTGATATTATCACCACAAATGCTTGATCACGAAATAGATATTTTAAGTTGGCATCTTACATGTACGAACTAGAGAGAACTAATGGAACATTTTTTCGTTTGCTTCAATTTTAACACTAGTCAAAACTCTAGTTTTAGCTAGTTTCTTTGGTAGCTCCATTGATGCCTTAATATAGTGGCAACTATACAAAATTGTTATGACTTGAGATTATGATTCCTATGTGCGTTACTAATTGCATAGTTTCAAATCACAACTTAGGATATGCTGTTAGCAACATGAAGATCAAGTGAACCAAATTGACTACGTTAATTGAAATCTTGCAATACAGATCATGGACAACACAACCTATAGTGTATTATAAGACCCAGAGGCACCCCTCACACATAAGCTAGTTTTTTGTGGTGAGTCTTTGTGGGCTTGATTTGGGCTCAATCCTCAATTAATAATCTTCCCTAAAATGCTTAACCGGTTTTCTTGGCTTGTTCCTTGAGTGTTTCAAAATCTAAGTTATGCACATAGCCAAAGGTTTTGTTTTCAGTTTTCGTTTTGGAATTGTGTGGGAGCTTCAATACTATGCGTAGGTTGGAAGGTAATTGTGTTGTCAATATTGATTTCACCAACTTATGGAGATTTTCACTTATGAACATGAAAAAGAAAGACAACTGGAAAAATAAATTAAAGAACAAAATATGAATATATATCGTTAGAAAACTATAAAAAGCTATTAGCTAACAAACGGTATATATGTGTTATTATTTAAGCAATACACACTAACATTTATATACATGTAGAAGCCTTGAGTAGATTAATTACCAAAATTATAATGAAGTGTTATCACCCCAAATTGATGCTATATAATATATTCATCTCTATTTGATGTAAATTTGTTTCGTAGTTTTGAAATGGTTTGACATTGGATTATTTCTTGATCTCTCTCCAGCATGGCCAACATCCTCAAGCGTTATGAAATAGAACATGCTGATGAACGTGAGACCATGGTGAGCTTTCCTTATAACCTTATATAACCTATCTGGTCAGGAGAAAACGAAGGGTGCATGGATATGCATTTAAAAACTAGCTTGTAGTCTATTGAGATGGGGGGAAATTTCAAAACTACACCTCTTGAGGTGCCAATTTTCAAAAATACACCTCTATGGTGTCTATTTTCAAAACTACACTTTTTTCATTTAGTAAAAGAGCTCTAAACCCTAAAATATAAATCCAAAACCCTAAAATCTAACATTGAACCCTTAAATCTAAACCCTAAACCTCAAAATCTAAACCCTAATATAGGATTAATGAACCCAAACATATATATTAAAATTAGGAAAAGGTATATTTTTGAAAATTTCTACACCATAGGTGTAGTTTTGAAAATTTGCACCTCAAGAGGTGTATTTCATAAAATTTCTCTTGAGATGGTTGTTATGAGGATATATATTGTGTACGTAGTTCCTTAGCAGTGGAGAGAGCAGAGGTAATTCGTTCTTCAAAGTCTATGAAAGGTTCTAAATTTGTCGTATACAAAATTTAACTCCCGAGGGTTAGAATCACATCTTGTCATCCACAAATATAGACGACACTGCTCTCAAAACCGTCTAAGGCATATGTAACTTGGGATGATTGGGTTTAAAAGCTTAGCTACAATAGTCAGTCTCCATTGAGATGGTTGTTTTGGATGCTTCGTATATTGCCTTAACATAGTGGAGAGAGATCGGCATAGAATTAGAGGTACTTGGTTCTTTACCACTGGTGATGCATTAAAAGGTCTACCGGCAAGGTTCTAAACTTGCCGTATACCAAACTTAATTCTCGAGGGTTAATTAGAATCGTTAGAAACACAAGAATCGCAATCTTTCTGACAATTCCCATCGCCTTTTTGATGGCAGGATCTTACAGAAAAAACTCGGAATTATCTTTCACACAAGGAGTTACTGGAAATTGTCAAAAGGTTAGATCTAAGACTCATTCTTCCCACGCTTCCTGAGTTCCTCTGATTTTCTTTTCCTTTTCATGATTTGTGGAATATGCAGCAAGCTTGAAGAAGCAAAAAGTGACAATGTAAGTCTAGAGTCCCTAAATTCCCTGGAAGAGCAGCTCAAGAGTTTTCTGTCTGTAACTAGAGCTAGGAAGGTATATATATATGCTGATACTAAGGGATTGCTTCTGTCTACTTAGATTTCCAAGAACAGTATTTGGATCATATTTCTAAATTCTAACATAACACAATCCTCAATGTCTTGTGTTGCAGTCAGAGCTAATGATGGAAGTTGTGAAGAACCTTCAAGAAAAGGTAAGTGGTTTGGTTTTTACCTGCGGTCGCGGCAATTCTAGTCTATATGCTTGAATCCTCTTAACCGCAGAGTATGCCGAACACTATACCAATTTATTTCTCTACATAGTCTTGTCATAGTTTTATGCCTGGCTTCATTTAAATGAGAACGAAAAACGCTTTGTTAAAATCTCGATCAAATTTAACTCCCTCCCTCGGTAACAGGAGACGCTGTTGACAGAAGAGAACCAGGTTTTGATTAGCCAGCTTGCTCAGGTACCATCTCTTATACATGCTTATATATGCTTTTAGACGCTAATTAGTCACTATAGATGGACATTAAATAGAGAAGCCCATGTTTTTTTTTTTTTTTTTTTTTTTTTCTCTATTTCAAACAAGAAACGTAAGGAAGTTTTCTTATAGATGAAAGTTAAGAACTTTGATGGATACAACACAATTTTGTGTGAAACCCATGCTTTTAAGATCCGGATTTCTGGTTAGTTTGATGGATACAACATAATTAAAATAAATAAATAAAATCAATAGAAAAAAAAAAACCCATGCTTTTAAGATCTAGATTTCTTGTTAGTTAAGTATCAGTTTAGTTTATGAACAAAAAGAAGAGATGAAAAAAGTGTCTTACAGATGGAGAAGAACAGGTTTCTGGAAATGGAGGACGAGGGAGCAGTATCACAGGAAAATAACTCCGGCAATAGCCCACCGGAGACTCTTCCGCTGCTAAAGTAACCATCATCTGCCACGGCTGATTGTTTACCTTCTTGATTCAAAAAATAAATAAAAATGTAAAAAAAAATCATATTTTATTTGTATCATGTGTGGAAGCTATACATATCCTTCAAAAATCATCTTCTTCAACTGGAAAAATTGAAGAATAAACCTCATCGAAGGAAAGCTTTAAATTCAAATAAAAATATCCATCTTTATTTGGTACGAGACAGGATCACGGTTTGGTATGCTTCTGTGTTCTTGACTGAAAGTAGGAATTAGCGAGTTTGTAAAAGTTATGATTTCTTCAGCGCGAAGAAGCCTAAAGGCCAAAATTGTTCTTAATTTTTGTTATATAATTGCTAGTTGTCACTTTACCTTCGTGGCAGTGTTTCAGCATATCCTTGTTAATTTTGAATTCATTTTAAGGGATAATATATTTTTTTTGGTCAACCAAGGGATAATATAAATCAAGTACTCCCTCCGTTTCAAATTAGTTGTCGTTTTGACAAAATGTATCTGCAAATATTTGGATGTATCTGGACATGTTTTGAATTGCAGATACGTTCAAATATTTGCAGATACATTTTGCCAAAACGACAACTAATTTGAAACGGAGGGAGTAATTGATATCAGGAGGGCTTTAAACTGTATTTTTCCAATAAAAAAAAGATGTAAGGCGTAAAACCGGTAAAGCATTGTCTGATATGTCATGGTTGAGCCCATACTCGGCTCATATCTTTCTGGTGTTTTACAGTTTTGTTTTCATCATTTCTACATTCCTTGACAGACACAAACTCTGCTAGCTTTTCAAACCAAATCGTGGTAGCATCAGTATGAACCAAACCGTAAACCAGTTTTCATTTGGTTTCAGTTTCTATTAAAATAAGAAGAAGGAAATTATATGTTTTAAGATCAATAAAGTAGTAAAGAGCCTTTGCACACCTTGCATTGTAGAACACTATAACGAATCTCCTTTTATTAGACTCTTGATTGCTTGCTTCTTCTTCAAAAAAAAAATTGCTTTCATTTCCCTTAATATAGTAATAGACTAATAGTACATAGTGTTTGGACTCAAATAACGATCTTGGCCTTAGTGTAGTATCAACATCTTGGCCTTAGTGTTTGGACTCAAATACAAAAAAATGAATCAAGACTTTGCTAAATTTGTAAGCCCAAAGTCCAATACAATTTGATATCACACACTTGTCGTCTCACACACCGACACCATTGTGCGAGGCAAGTCTTTTTTTGTGCGGAGCAAGTCTTTTTAAGAGTATTTGCGGGGCACAAGCCAAAGCAGATTACTTGCGAGTCTTCAAATTTTGAGCAAGTACTTGTAAAAATGGATACTTGTATTTCACAAGGCAGGTATAAATCGGTTTTCGGAAAAAATGAATAGGGCAAGGCAAGTCACAAATATGGCAAAAACACCAAGTATCTACTCTGTGCCCAGCCCTACTTACATCCAAATACACGTTTGAAAATATTCCAAATAGAAAGCGTAGTTAGGTGGTCAAGAGAACTTGAACCCAGAATTCTCCCAATTGGGAGTTACCACGGCCAAGGCAACTTGATTGAACCATGGGATGTTAATGCTATGCTTGAGATTTTTTTGGTTCTCTTTCGAAAATCCCTTTTATTTTCTTGTCTCGCCAAATGTTTTATGTTAATAAAGATAAACAGAACATTCACGGTTGTGTTGTCATCAACCATTAAGAGATATAGCCACCTGTTATATATTCCCGTCGGTACGTATGTTTAATGTTTAAGTGTCTATGCAGGTTTCTACATGTGCGTGTTGCTGTTGTCATGGTTTCTTTCGGTGGGCTGTTAATAAAAATTAGTAGTCCATGCACATTTTAATTATTTTTATATTTTGTTATCATCCTCCAGAAGATTAACGATGTTCAACAATCGAATAAAACATATTCTCTCTGTCCATTCAAATACATCCATTTTTTTCAGATACATTTTACCCAACTATTTATAATATAGAACAGAAAAAGTATTATTTTATTTTATATTTTTAAACATAAAAAAATTAATGATACTTGCGCGTGACAAACATTTAGTAGTATATATTACAAAGAAAGTAAGATAATACGTGAATAAATTTTCAAATATGGAGAAAATGTCAAAATGATGATACAAATTACAAAATGTGTATATGAAAGAGAAGGTAGGTAACCACTTCTGTTGCTAAATAAATAAATTAAAGGTAACACATAGGATGAATATATATGTGGGCCTATATTTGCTTATTAACACAGGTAATACTTGGGCCCAACCAATATAGGCCTATAAGTCACCTTTGCGGGTACACAACCGAAACCAAAACACAAAGGATCTGTATAACGTTGATTCACGCGACGCAACCGACACTATTTAAATCTTTGAGGTCTGCTTGATCCTCTTTCTTCTGTGTTGTTATAATAGCTTAATCCTAGAGATCGTACTATATGTTTATGATTAAGAATTTAAGATTAACTATGAGAGACTTTAGCTGTTTCAATTGACATTAATTTGTTCGAGAATAGTTTTGGGATCTCATGGATGGAAATATTATAACGTCTTGAGAGCAATCATTGAAAATGTTAAAACCAACGAGACTCGTAAAGAAAGATAAGTTAAAACAAAATTCATTTTCTAAGGAAACATTACATAACATTCATCCATATCAATAGGAAAAAAGAAAAAAAAGACAAAAACGTAAACAAGTTTACTTCTTCGCTCTCAAAATCTCTCTATTGGCCTTTCTTCTACCCAGACAAACAAAAAAGTAGTCATCTTCTTTCGGACAAACATACTTCTTTTTCTTTTTAAGTTCCAAAAATATGTCTGTCCACTGGCAGAGTATCCAAACTCTTGACAACATCCACCCACGGTTTCTCAATCACCATGACTGAGTTTTTAGAAAGGTGACCCACGAACAAAACCGGGTGCTTTGAGGGTAAAATCTCAAAGTTCTTTCTCTCTTTACTCTTACCCTCTACCTGATACTCTTCTAACCGACGTTTTCGGTTCGATCCTTTCTTCAATTTCAACCCCATGTTCACGAGTTTACCTTCTAGCGTCTTCGAGAGATTGCCGTTTGGTAAATCAACATTCTCTTCGTCTTCTCCTGCCGGCTTCCCGAAGTCGATCACACACTTTGCCCTGAAGGTGTTACGGTTAAAAAGGAGTTGCATATACGTATTGACTAACTAGGTTAAACAAAGATTACAAGCAGTAAGTACCTGGAGCTGTAAACTATGACAGACGATGAACTTGCCGACGGAGAGAAAGAGAGTCCGATGACCTCGCCAGGAAACTCTTGGTACCTCTTTGGCAGGACGTAAGTGTTGAGCAACGACCACTTGCCCAACTGTCTGGTTTCAACGTCAAAAGCAAACACCTGGTTTGAGGAGGTTGAGATCACAAGCGCATTGTTGTTCCAGGGATGGAAACCAGCAGCTGTAACAGATGCACCATCAAGCCTTGATATGAACCAGTGCTGCCTGTTACATCAAAATTAAAAAAAATACCAAAGTCAAAAGAGGATTTGAAGCATGGAGGCCAGTCAGGAGTGACATTAAAAAAAAAAATTAAGTAAAGAGATTCACCTTTGTGTTTCGAGGTTGAATACATAGATGTCGCCAAAGCAATTGATAGCAGCTAGCCACTGACCATCTGAGCTAGTGTACAATTTTGTTATTGGAGGCTCGATAGGTGGAGATTCACCTTCCTGCTCCTCCCGGCATGGTGTGAAACTATATACTAGTTCCATACTATTAACGTCAATAGCCTGCCAACAAAATATGACTCAGAAGTTTAGAGAGTAAATCAAAACAATAATAAATTATTCTTAGCACAACTGAGAGCGGCACACGTACATATATCCTTCTGTCATGTCCTGCTAATATCAGTCGAGTGCAGTCTGAACTGAAAATCATGGAATGCGCAAACGGAAGTGTGGGAAGTCGTCTTCTACTGACACTCCATGGACTCTTTGCAATATCGTTTTTCCTCAACTCAAACAGACTGGGGCCAATTTGATCAGAATAAGCAAAAAGGGACCCCGTGTTAGAAATCGCACTGCATATGATCTTCCTTGCATCTCTACTTTTAACACGAACTAATGACTTAGTCGAGGCACGTCCACTAGAATCACTGCTTACGTTAAGTCGAAGAATATCTAAATCACTAATACCCTGAACCAGGAGAAGAGAAGTCTGATTGAACGCCGAGTTATGTACCATTTGCATGGGTACTCTCTGAGGCGCAGGGCATATATCATGTGGCGAGAACTTGGTAAATTCCTGAATTGAATATGCAAAGAGCTTTGCATCATCACCAGCTGAAATGAGCATCGGAACACCTAAATGAGCCCATTTATGGTAAGTAAAGTCAACCGGCTTCCCTTTTTTCCGAAGCTTACGACTTTTTCCATGTGACAATATCTCATCCGGAAAGGGATCTGCAGAAAGATGGGACTTAATAAATAAAAGATCTGCATGATTATTTTCTAATCTGATTGCAAAGCATAACCATAACTCAATAAGAGACTGACCTTCTCGACTAATTGGCACAGCAACTGTTAGAGCTCTGATGTCATGTGTATGAGCCTTTACATAACCAATATAATCCCATTTCTGAAGGGAAGAAGGCTTCAAATCTTGAGAACTGTTTGTGCTACCAGAGAGCTTATAAAGAATAACCTGTACATAGGACGACCAGAGAATTACAACGATGAAACCATTAAATCAAAAGAAACACAAACTTACTGAAAACTCTTTACAATTGGTCAAAGTATTTGATTCTAGTCTAAATACAAATCTCATTTCTTGTCAAACAGAAAAATTTGAATCAGCAAAAAGAATTTACATTAGTCAACCATATTCACAAAAACTAGTGTACAACATTTACTGCAGTCTAATAAAGTTCATTTACCTGTCCATCAGAACCAGCAGAAAAGACTCGGTTATGGCTGGGGGCTGCTGCAAGAGCATTGACATCACCTTTGTGATTAGAGTGCGACTCCAAAAGAGTTCCATACTGACTATCCCAAAACTGGACACTTCCTGTACTATCTCCACTAACAAGAACTTCACACCTAATAAAGAGAGCATGTAGATCCTCAGCAAGAGAATGATAGAACCTTATCAGAAAAAAAAAAAAAAAAAAAAAAGTAAAATCTGAACATTATCATCTGTACCTCAAAGAAAGAAGTGACCAAACACAAAGCTCAGAGCCACTTCCCAGTCCACCTAGACCAACTGTAATTCTGTATACCTCATTGCAGGAGTTAGCGTCCCAGCATCTTATCAGCCTACAAATTATAGTCAGCAGCAGCTACTTAGAATAACTTCTTAACATTGGAATGTCACCTCTTTAACAAAATCTAATAAACTCACCCATCGCTACTACCCGAAAAGAGTCTCTGCGCGTCTGGAGACCATGCCACACTCAAGACACGTCCTACAAAAGATAAAAGTTCCATGAAACTAAGTAAACAAGAAACAAAAAGATTGAAGATTGAGAAAATTATTACAATAAGGGTGAAGATTTCTCACCATTGACCCTAGGCAGTGATCTATAATAAGTCAACTTGTTCAACTCAGAGATACGGTACAGTCTCACGCAACCATCATCACAGGCAGCTGCTAGTAGCCTATACGTATCCTCTGATTGATCGTGAAACTCGTCCAAGTCGGAGTCATCTTCTTCACTCCCACTTTCTTCATCAGCATTTGACTTCTCGCTCGAGTATCCATTCTCAGCTTTGAATACTGCATCAGTGGAGGGAACATTAGCTGGAGGAGCCAGAGCCATTTGCCAGATTGTGACTCCAATCGATTCGAGGACAATCTGCAACATCATAGAGAGAGAGAGAGAGAGAACAACTAAAATCTAAATACCAATGAGAAGAGGCAACAAAAAAAGAGATTTTTGAAGAGAGGTTAGGTTAAAACCTTTTGCTTCAAGTCGAAAAGATCCCACTCAGAGATGGAACCATCGAGGCTTGAAGAAAAGAGACGACCGGAAGGCAGTCCCTGAGAACCAGCACGGCACCAAGCAAGCGACGAGATTCTCGAATTCGGATCGCCATGGATGGTCTACTCAAAAAAAGGCCGAAACCCCAAAGAAAAACACACAAATCAACTCGAATATACTTCACGAAATCCAATTTCGACTTTCGCTAAAGAGCTAAAATCGGAAGAAGGGGTTCCAGAAAGAGGAAACCGTAGAGTACGTACGAGTTGACAGTGCCATCCGACGGCGCCGGGGGAGACGAGCCAGATTTCAAGAGAACCGTCCTCGCGAGCGGCGGCGACTTGAGTATCGTCGGCGCTGTTAGCTAGGGCTACCACCGGAGACGGCTTCCAATCAACGGAGCTGCAACTGTACTCAAGCATGACGACCGAGTAGGGGAAGTAGACTCTCTCTGGACGGAGATGAGAAAAAGAGGGGAAAGTGGAGGCGAAGAAGCATTTAGGTTTTTGAGGGTTTTACCTAGGGCCTTATGGGGCGGCAATTTAAACGGGTTTGGGTCGCCTGCGCCTCACCCCACCCGACCCGAACCTCTCTTCCTTTTTAGTATATCTTTGAATTTACATGTGTGTATTTAAAAATATAAAATACATATATAACTATGATTCGCACTAAAAAAAAAATTTGTCAAGAAAACATTTCATTCTTAAAATTAAGAATTAATATAATTATGATTCACATTAATTTTATAATTATTTATCCAGAAGGCAGAAAGTATATTTTGTAAACATTTGAGAAAATTGGAAATTGATTTAGATCTTTGAAAAACTCGAATTCTTAGAAATGAGAATTACAAAATTAGATTTCATCTCAAATCTCAAAATGAGATTTTTTAAAGCAGAGTTCATACCGGTTTGACAATTCTTTTATAAAGAATATAATTATGAAAATTTAGACATATCAAATTGATCAATTATATCTATCTATATATATATAAAGTTGAAGAGATTCTCTTTTCAAGTTGACACGTCAGCAGAATCAGTCATTTACAAAAAGAATAAACATTTTATATGGGATATGATGGGATTGGACGGGACACAATTGGACGGGACACAAACATGTTGGATAAGACAGGATGAAAAGAAACACAATTGGAGGAGATTAGACAAAACTAAAGCTTGAGAGTTGGGAGTGAAGCTGATTTGTGGAGTAAATAGGATGTTAATCTCATTTTCCTTAATAACCTTAATGAATCTTAGTCTCTCACCATTGTTCACTCGTTCTAATAAAAATCTCAAAATAGAGTTTATTCAAAATTCAATTACACCACCCTATTTACATGAGCCATATCTTTTACATTTTGTTGTGGCTGATCCTATTAAATCAAATAAATTTTATAAAGTAATATAATTTCGGTTATCTAATATACATATCTATATATATATTCATATTTGAAAAAAATCAAGAAAAACTAATTATAATTGTACATTTCATCTACAATTACAAGTTAATTACTGAAAACGGTAATTACAAATCTATAAACAGTTTTTTTTAAATATGTAACTTAAAACAGAGTAATTTCTATAACGTTTTTTATAACATATAAAAACATTGACTAGGTCATTAATCATTGTATAATGTAAGTAGAAACACATATAAATATGGCATTATCTAACTTTAATAAACTTCACAACAAAAAGTTTGAACATTTAGTAAGAATAATACCATTACAAGTATTTTTCTTAATTACTATTAAACTTTTTAAAGGAAAATGAAAACAAGTATTTTATGTTTAACCTTTTCAGTTCTTCTTTTGTCATGTGAGTCTTTTCTTTCTTTTTGTATGATAATATGTTGAAATTTTTAATATTCTTTATGGAAATATTAATTTAATGAACCAATTTATTTTTTAAAATTTTGTAGGTGCATCTAATATTATGGCAAAATTTAATTTTTTTGAGAGAGCAACAATTTCTATTTTAGAAGCAAGTCCTCTAATTGATATTCAGAGAAATGGTATTCTTCCACCATACGAACATTTTAAACCCTTAGCCTCTAACGATCCTGTTGGATTTTGCCATGAATGTGCATATCATTGTATGAGAAAGGATAAAAAACCGATGGCTTGTCTAAACTTTAAATGTCATTGCTCTGTAAGAAATATAAGTGGTGGTAACAAATAATATAAATATAATTAAAAAAAATTATATAATATGTGCCGTATAAAGTTAACGTTTTTTTAGTTACGGCTGGCATGTGTAGTGAACTGGCATTAACATATGAATGTTTTAGAAATCTAATATTCTCAAATTTTATTATCTCAAAAGTTAACAACTTCACACGTCAAAACCAACACTCATTTATATCCACATCTTTTTTGGTGAGAAAGAAAAATCGGATCTAATCAAATGTAAAAGTTTGTAATCTATACTTTAACATGTCGCATGAACAAATTTACAAATGAAGAAAAAAAGAAAAATAATGGATCTACGAACAGGAGTATCGTTTTCTTGACCTAAATTGCCTTTTTTCTTTTTAAATGAGCTTTATATTAACACACAAAATAATGCATGGAGACGGTTTCATTCTCTTTAATGAAAAATGTCAAAACAATATATAATCTTAGAAATCTAATATTCACAAATTTAACTAACTCAAAGGTTAGCAACATCACGGGTCAGTGCAACATTCTTTTAGATCCAGGTCTTTTCGGAAAAACATAAAGAAAGAACGGGACTGATAAAGGTGAAAATTTGTAATTTGACTTTAATATGTCTCATATGAGAAAAAAAAAACGGATCTAATCAAATGTGAAAGTTTGTAATCTGTGACTTTAACATGTCTCATGAACAAATTTACAAATGAAGAGAAAAGAAAAAGAAAGGATCTACGAACAAGAGTATCGTTTTCTTGACCTAAATTGCTAATTTTTTTTTTTAAGAATGAGCTTTACACTAACACAAATAATAATGCCGATGGAGACGGTTTAGTTCTCTTTAATAAAAAAATGTCAAAACAATATCCTATCTTAGAAATCTAATATTCACAAATTTAACTAACTCAAAGGTTAGCAACATCACGGGTCAGTGCAACATTCTTTAAGATCCGGGTCTTTTCGGAAAAAACATAAAGAAAGAACGGGTTGATAAAGGTGAAAATTTATAATCTTGACTTTAATATGTCTCATATGAGAAAAAAAATGGATCTAATCAAATGAAAGTTTGTATCTTGACTTTAACATGTCTAATGAACAAATTTACAAATGAAGAGAAAAGAAAAGGAATGGATCTACGAACAAGAGTATCGTTTTCTTGACCTAAATTGCCAATTTTTCTTTTTTTAAACTGAGCTTTACACTAACACAAAAAATAATGCCGATGGAGACGGTTTAGTTCTCTTGAATAAAAAAATGTCAAAACAATATCCAATCTTAGAAATCTAATATTCACAAATTTAACTAACTCAAAGGTTAGCAACATCACAGGTCAGTGCAACATTCTTTTAGATTCGGGTCTTTTCGGAAAAACATAAAGAAAGAACGGGACTGATAAAGGTGAGAATTTGTAATCTTGACTTTAATATGTCTCATAGACAAATTTATAAATGAAGAGAAAGAAGAGAATATTGGATTTACAGATTTTTTTATATGATATCAAATTGAGAATATATTATTTTAAGTGTTCAAGGAGACTTACTAGACTTATTACAAGTTTCTTTTTTCATTTAAAATGTACAGATTCGACGGATTCGCCAAATTAATTTCATATCAGAAGACTAGATATCAAATCGAATTGGGATTCGATTTTCCCATTCCCCCAAGTTGTGCGACTTTTCGTTTTGCGCAAGATGTTAAACAAACGGTCTGGATGCCGCAAATGCTGATGTTAATTTGATGGATAGAAACATGCGAAATGAACTTATCCGTTTCAGGGCCATACTCGAGAAGAATTATTACAGCCAAATATTTACCTCTTAATTTATCACTTTTCGTCTTATTATTGATTCAATAATTTATTTAACCTCAAATTAAAATTAACACAAAAAAAACTTAAATCTTTAAAAATCATAACATCCTGTGCTTCTCAAGCACGGGTCAAGAGCTAGTTTTCCTTAATAACCTCCATGAATCTTAGTCTCTCACCATTGTTCACTCATTCTAATAAATATCTCAAAATAGAGTTTATTCAAAATTCAATTACCCCACCCTATTTACATGAGCCATATCTTTTACATTTTGTTGTGGCTGCTGCTATTAAATCAAATAAATTTTATGAAGTAATAGAATTTCGGTTATCTAATATACATATATATATATATATTCATATTTGAAACAAATCAAGAAAACTAATTTGAATTGTACATTTCAACTACAATTACAAGTTAATTACTGAAAACGGTAATTACAAATCTATAAATAGTTTATTTTTTTAAATATGTAACTTAAAACAGAGTAATTTCTATAAAGTTTTTTATAACATATAAAAACATTGACTAGGTCATTAATCATTGTATAACGTAAGTAGAAACACATATATATATGGCATTATCTAACTTTAATAAACTTCACAGCAAAAAGTTTGAACATTTAGTAAGAATAATACCATTACAAGTATTTTTCTTAATTACTATTAAACTTTATAAAGGAAAATGAAAACAAGTATTTTATGTTTAACCTTTTCAGTTCTTCTTTTGTCATGTGAGTCTTTTCTTTCTTTTTGTATGATAATATGTTGAAATTTTTATATTTTTATGGAAATATTAATTTAATGAACCAATTTATTTTTTAAAATTTTGTAGGTGCATCTAATATTATGGCAAAATTTAATTTCGTTGAGAGAGCAACAATTTCTATTTTAGAAGCAAGTCCTCCAATTGATATTCAGAGAAATTGTATTCTTCCACTAGACGAACATTTTAAACCCTTAGCCTCTAACGATCCTGTTGGATTTTGCCATGAATGTGCATATCATTGTATGAGAAAGGATAGAAAACCGATGGCTTGTCTAAACTTTAAATGTCATTGCTCTGTAAGAAGTATAATTGGGTGGTAACAAATAATATAAACATAATTAAAAAAATATATATATATATAATATGTGCCGTATAAAGTTAACGTTTTTTAGTTACAGCTATTGGCATGTAGTGAACTGGCATTAACATATGAATGTTTTAGAAATCTATTTTTTTAAAAATTTTATTACCTCAAAAGTTAACAACTTCACAGGTCAAAACCAACACTCTTATATATCCAAATCTTTTTTGGTGAGAAAGAAAAATCGGATCTAATCTAATGTTAAAGTTTGTAATCTATACTTTAATATGTCGCATGAACAAATTTACAAATGAAGAAAAAAAAGAAGAATAATGGATCTACGAACAGGAGTATCGTTTTCTTGACCTAAATTGCCTTTTTTTCTTTTTAAAT